TTACCTCTAACAGAAATAAAAGCAGAAGTAGTATAGCTCTTATCTTTTATATAATCTTTATTTTAATAAGTAGTACCTCTAATATCTCTAGAAGAACCTATAACTATAATTAGAGTACTAGCAGTACTAATAATAGTAGTAGTAGCTAATATAATAAAAGAATAATAAATTAAGGATAAGAAGAAACAGATTAAAGAAAATAAAGATAAAAGAAAAGTAAGGATTAAAAGAGTTATAGAAGAAAGCTTTTATTATAGAGATAATAAAGAGAGTATATTACTTTATTTATATCTATATATAAATATACTAAATTAGAATATACCTAAGAGCCTTTAATTAAGATAATACTATTAAGTTTAGTCTATTTAATCTAATTCTTACCTTTATTAATATTTAGATCAGTTATTACTTAGAGAAGAGAATAAATTATTATAGAATTCTAAGTATATAATATCTCTAATACTTAATACTAATCTAAAGCTAAATTCTCTTTAAGTTATCTATATATTAAGGCCTACCTAAACCCTAATATATTTAAAATCCTATAAGTATTCAGAATTCTTAATCTCTTTAAGAATTAGTCTGTATATTAACTATCTAATCTAATCTCTACTATCTAATATCCTTATCTAGTTACAGGTCTCTAGCCTAATAACTTAGTAACCATTATACTTTATTAAAAATAGTATATATAATTTAGCTATTTATTATCTCCTTAGTCTATAATTCTATATTACTTACCTATAGTCTGCTAAAAAGTAACTTATAGTATTATCTATTACTATAGTATAGGAATTAACTATAATACTACTAATAGTAATAAGTAAGTATTTAAGATATACTATAATACTAATTCTATAATCTCTGTCTACTAGAGTAAGCTAAAGATAAGGCTTAAGTCTTATCTTAGGTAACGTACTTATATACTTAACTATACTTTCTATATTAATTAGAGCCTTAATAATCTAGTTACTAATAACTACTATTATATATATAAACCCTTATATATATTCCTAGTATAACTTTATAGGGATCTTAATAATCTATATAGTTTAGATATTAACTAAAGAACTAATAACTAGAGAAACTAAAGTATTATAATTAGAATCTAATAATATAAAATAGGAATAAGCTCTCTTCTATAATTCCTAAATCTAGATATTAATATATTAAGATAGATCTATAGCAGTAGTATTAATAAGTACTTAGTTAATAATCTTAGTAAGCTTCTAACTTATAGTATCTATACTAATATCTTTTCTAATACTAACTTAAATATAAGGAGTAGTACTAAGGAGTTTACTAATAGAGATTATAATCCTAGTTTTCTAAATATTCTATAGTATTAGATTAGTAATTATAGATCTTTTCTTAGCTATAGTAGAATTCTATAGTTCTCTAATCTAATATAGAATATTATTTAGAGATAGGTTTTCTGCTAGAAAATCTTATAGTATTTATTCCTAGAAAGTTCTCTAGGTATTATCTAATATAAATATTAGTTTATCCTTATTAGCTTTCTTAATATATAGCTAAAAATAGCCTTACTAAGTATTTCTAGTATATATATATTTAGATATATACTATTTTTCCTTTCTTATATAACTATTCTAGATCTATTCTCTAATAGTATTAACTAAACCTATCTAATATTTATGTCTATATTCTTTCTTATCCTCTAATAGCTTTTTCTATATAGGCTTAGATCTAAGAAGGAATATAGTAATATATTAAACTAGGGTAGAATAATAATCTTTATTAGAAATACTATTAAGAGATATATCTAAGAACTATACTAGTATAGAGGGTACTAATTAGATATAATTACTTATAAATTACTGTAGATTTTAATTTACCTATATAGTATATTATTTAGGAATTAAGTCCTTTCTTAGAATACCTATTTATAGTTTTAGTTTAGAATCTAGATTTATCTTAGTATCTAGAGTTATCTAACTAGTTATCTAATTATAGTAGATTATTCTCTTTACCTTAAAGTCTTAGATAGTATTATATTAATTAGGGATACTGTTATATAGATCTCTATATATCTAGTATTCTTTAGGAGAATTAACCCCTATATAATTTAATAATATTCCTTAGTTTCATTTATAGAAAGAATTATTCTAATAATTTGTTTAAATATCTAGTTTTAGTATAAGAACTTCTAGTTTCTAGGCTATATTATTAATTACTTATAAGGTAGAGTTATTAGCTTATTAATCCTTAGGTAGAACAACCGGGATAGTAGGTATAGAAGAAACAGAAGAAATAGACTACTACTATAGTAATAAAGATATATAGAGAGAAGGAGATAATTTTCTTATAGGTTCTTTTATCTTAGTCTTTTGCTAAACCTTAGCTATAATATATAGGGTTATTTTTATCTGTTTATAGGCTATTTAGTAGAAGATCTAATTATAGTAAGAATAAGATCTCTCTGTATATTACTTATAAATTCTTTTCTGCTATTTTATTAGAAGATCCTTAATAAGTATAATTACTTAGTTAATATTACTTAGAAGACCTAATAATAATATTTCTATAGATACTTTATAAAACTTACTTAGATAATAATAAATCTTATTATTTATTAAATAATTAATAATAGTAAGCTAGTTAAGATATTTCTTAGTATACCTTAACTACTTATTATCCTAGTTATAGTAATTATCTAAGAAAGCCTTATAAAATATATACTAATTTCTTATTTTTTAGATATAATAATCTTTAACCTAGATATAAAGTAGTCTTTTGTAGTATTAGGGAAGAAGATCTATACTTATCTTATAATAGATAATACTACTATAATAATAGATATTCTCTAGCTTTCTTAGAAAGTTAGATATATTAGTTTTATTAAAAGTAGGGGCTCCCTAAGATTCTAAGGCTAGTATTATACTATATATTATTTAATATATTAGTTAAGACAGTAGAACAGTATAATAATAAGTCAGTAGTATAGGATTATATAAAGATATTATTAATAAAGAGAGGGAAGATAGCCTTATAGTAGCTTTAAGAATTATAGAACTAGCAGAATAAGAGGGTTTACTAATAGTTAAACTAGAAGCTTTAGGAAGCAGTTTATAAAACTAAGTAAATTATTCTATAGTAGAAATAGATATAGCTATATTACTAGGAAGTTTATTATTATTTCTACTGTTATTAATAGCTATAGTTTTAGAAGATTATTTTTCTGTAGAAAAATAAGATACTAGAGAATAAGAATAATAAATAGATATAGTATTAGAGAATAAATTAGCCTAATAAGATAATTTCTAAGTAGAAATAGAAATAGATAAAGATATAGATACAGAGGATAATACTAAATAGGGAATAAAAGACTCTATACTTAGGGGTAATAATAATAATAATACAGTAGTTAATAATTAATATTATTCTAACAGTAATCTCTTTTCTAATAAATAATATAATATAAATAATAATAGAATATTATATAGTACTGAATACTAGATATAGTTAATACTAGGATATCTCTAAACTACTATCTTATATAATTAACTTAGTATTATTGATAAAAATCCTTCTTATACTATAGTATCTCCTATATACTAATTAGTAAGTATTAATTTTAAAACCTATATATATTCTATAGATAGTAGTATTTTAGTAGACCTTTTAGCTGACTTTTTGAATATTTAATAGGCTAATCCTACCTAGGATTAAGCTACTCTTTATTCTTTATAATATATATTTAAATACTATTATATAATCTTAGGGTTAAATATAGTACCTACTTCTTATAATATTATTACTTTTACTTTTAGCTATTCTTTTATTAATTAAGTCTTTCTAGGGATACTATATATAAGATAGGAATACTTATAGGCTGTCTGTATTAGCAGATAGGTTAATTATAAAGAGATAATACTACTATACTTATAGAGTATAAGGAGATAATAGGTAAGTATAATACTATAGAGAATTAACAGAATAAACACTAGAGTAAATAACAGAGCCTTTTATAAGCAGTATACTAATACTATAACCTTAGCAGCCTTAGTAGAATATTTTATAAGGGAGAATATATATATTATAATTAATAATCTAGAACAAAACAGGAGCCTTATTGCTAAGGCTTCTGTTATATAATCCTAGGGTACTGATGTCAAGAGCGGAAATTCCTATTACAATATATATCTTTATAAAAAGGCTTACTGTTTTAATTAAATTTTTAATACTTAATATTTAGATCCTAAAATTTAAATATAGAATAATTAATACTAGATAAAGCAATATATAAAATAGTAAGATCTAAATCCTTCTAGAAAAAAAGATATAGAACTGATATTTAAATACAGTATATAAAAATTATAAAAAATTATAAAAAAATTATATAAAAATAGGTTGAAATAGGTCGAAATAGGTTATCTATCTATAACCCACTGGGTTTTGGGTTGGGTTAGGTTTTAGGTTGATATATTCAACCTAAAATGGGTTATGGCGATGTCTACTTTCGGCATAGTATAGGTAACAGCAGAAAGAACGCCTGTTCTTACATTACGCTAGCTGTTGTTTAGTCTAGTATAGTATAGTTTGAGATGGTGAATCAGAGGCTGATTCCAGCCGTTGGTTATGTGATCTACTCCTGCGTTCCTCTGCCTAGGAACGGTTGGCTCTCAGCAGCCTATCTGTAGGCTGCAGCCCCTCATATCGCAGGGTCTGTAACATAGGATACTAATATTAAGAGTAGAAATTTTTATTATAATACCTATATAGATATATCTATAGGTTAATATAGATCTAATCTGACTTATTATACTAGATCTTAATATCTATAAGTATCTAAACTTCTTCTACTATACTATATATATATTATTAATAAAATCTAAAAATATAAATAGATACTATATATAATTAAATAGACATTCACCCTATCAGCAATCCCCCCCCCCCTGGCAGAGAAATAATAGCAGTATACTGAATTAGAAAGTTTAACATATGGTGTCTGCGTCTCTCACTGTAGCGTCTGGTAATTAACCAAGAAAAGAAGCAGGAAAATGATTGGAGCCCATTGTCTGTTCACCAGGTATTGAAAGATTTAGCCGAAGTTGAGGATCAAGATCCGAGCCCATGAGAGCCGACCTCGTTTGAGGGCTCAACGCGTCCTGTACATCAAGCATCACTTCCGGTCCATAGGAAGTGTCTTGGGCAGGGAATGCCGGAAGCCAGAGATCTTCGTTCGTCACAGTGCCCATGTTATTTCCCCATACGTAAACGGGTGGGTCAATGGGTATTTCACTCAAGGAGCCTTCGCCTTCGGCATGTGCTCGGGAGGTGGTGTTTACAGGCTGTGCATAATCGGGTTCTCTTGGCTTTCGACCAGGAAATAGTGAATCAAGTTGATTGGAGACTTGGCGATCAAGAATCCTTTTGATCCGAGCTCGGATGATCTCAATACTTCGATCCAGACCAGGCATGGCCGTGGCAGTACGTTGAAGAACGTCCAGCAGGAACTTTAATTCTTTCCAAGCTGTCTGGTATGATTGTGAGGATTGAGATCCTTCTTCCGATGTTTCTAGTTGGTACACAGCAGCTGTAGCAGCCATATACGTGCAATAACTGTTCATGTATGTGATATGATGATATCCAAAAGTATGAATATACATTTGGAGAAGTTCATATATCGCGGTGGTGGCCCCTCGACATATTTTCCAGCTCTCTCGGATCGTAGCAGAGGAAGATACATCACCGCCTGCAACATAAGGCCGGTGAAGAAGAATCAGCGTATTGTGATACATCAAGTTGAGTGAAGTGATGTGTGGTGGTGGACTCCTATGAGGTATACCATTGCACGGTATACTAAGGTACGACGCCAGGGAGGAATGCCAGTCATCGAGCTCCTTTTTGATATCTATAAAGACAGCCATTCGCGGATCCGAGGACTTATCTGAGTGACAAGCGGACTGCGAGCTATAGAGTTCGAGCATGACTCGTGTGAGGATTTTGCAAAGCTTGCATAGCTCTGTGAAGCAGGACATGACATAGCCTGGAGTTGGGGGATATGGGGGGAGCTCTGCAGCCTTTGGGTCTGGTCCATAAAATGGCACCCATGGATCATGGTCGGTGAAGTCGTCCAGAAAATCTAATGATACGTTCTCGGCGCCCATCACAAAATTCGGCATCCTTCCTAGGTACAAGCTGATGTGCTTGTCCCAGGCGTACATGCTCCAAAAGAGACGTTTTCTGATCTCAATGTCCTCCGATGAGAGCGAGGTGGAATATTGTTGGAGTTTGTCGGGAGAGACGTGTAGGCCAAGATCAATGGCCATACGAAATGCCATACCGGAATATAACCATCCAGAGGAAGACCGACCACAAGCAACATCCCGAGCCGACTGCTGGAGTAATGCTTGGATTGTAGGAATGGCAGGGGGGGTTCAAAGTTTCCATGGCCAACAAGGCCTTTGCCTCTGCCATCAAACGGTCTGAAAGTCCCTGAAATGATTCACCATGACTATTCGGGCTCCACACTTTATCTGGTGATCGGATGAATCGACAGCTGTGGGCGAAAAGCACCTTCACAAGGGTTGAAGAGCAATGCGTAGCGGATTGATCTTCACGCGCAAGTAGAGGCATATCCCTTGTGAAAGCGGGGCGATAGACGAAAAGGAAACTCGGATGCAGCCAACACCAGTGTAGCTGCAACAAAGTTCTAGCGAGATCATTGGATAAATTTGCTAATGACTGGGATGAATTCAAGTCCATCATTTCCAGGTCTTTTTGCGCGGCAGCATTGGCCACCAGTCCTTGCCTGATATCTGCTGCTCGACTTTTATGTGTTGACAATGATAACAGGGATGCAACATATAATGGCTGAGAATTATTCCGGGGCAGATCTTCATGTATAGCAGATGTCTGGTTATGGTAGCCAATATCGCCGAGTGCATCCAGACTTATACAGTCGCCGCCCTGACTGCTGAAAGTCGAGCCGATAAAAGATGAACTGGATGGCGAAGTTGATGGTGTGTTAGCAGTGCGCTCCAGCTCACGAATGCGAGATTGCAACGAGCGCACATAGGCAAGGGAGGGCAATTTGTCATAGTGACAAGGCGACGCACTGGCGACACAAGCGGAGCAGCTTGGTGAAGCACCATCGCATTTGCTTTTTCGTCGTCTACAAGTCGAGCAGACGATTTTTTGATGTTTCACCATATCTTCGTGACAAAAGCGAAGCGGTGGGGCATGCTTTTGCCGGCTCTACTCAGAAAGAAATGGAAAATGGGGAGATTGGGATGGCAGATTTGCCGGGGAAGAGTGGGGAATGCCCCACGCTTTCCTGTTTATGGTCTCTAGTTCGGGATTTATCTTTGCCTTTTTACTGCTTAGAAGCTTTCGGCCCCCGCTTATTGTTCTACGAGCTCCCAGGATCTGCGATAATGGGCTGAATTGGAAGGGGAATGCAGAATAACAGGTATTCTATCCCAGATATATGTTCTCATAAATATAGTATAAAAGTACTCAGTTCCCGCTGAAAGGAATTTTTGGCAAGAATATTAGAGTACATATCTGAAATCTTTGTTCTCAAACTCTGTCCGGTCTTGCATTCCGGCCTCGTTACTTCTAGCCTTGTCAGACGGGCCATAGCGTGAGTCGCGACGGCGATTGATGATAAACATGTAGCCTTGGCTCATTAGCGTCAATTTACAGAAAAAAGGACAAGGATCCTACCAAGCAATGAAAGATGGCATGCTGCCTTGATTGCATAACCGACTAGCAGACCAATCGTGGCGCCCTCATATCGAGGGGCCTGCGATTCCTTCACCACAAAGGGCCCGGCAAAGTTACCCCAGCAATAGGCAGTACTAAAATAAGTTAGTTCAAATCCTAGATGCAAGCCTCAGACTATGGTAGCGCTTACAACACAAGAGCATTAGCCATAGCCCGGTGGGTATAACCAGCCATATTGGAGGAAATGGTCACCAATGAAACCGTGAAGCCGACAGATTGAGCATTTACTAGCCAAAAGCAGACCAGTCTCTGCCATTTTTGCTCCTGCGGAAGATAAGCCATACAGGCAGCTGCAACAGTGCAAAGAATATTGGCAGCAGTCGAGGTAAGCAGCCGGGAGTTGGGTACGTTTAATGTGATAGCGCCACCGATAATCAACGAAATGATGACAACTGCATCGCCGACAGATTTCAACTCTGTAGTCATCGTTTGGGAGAAACCCATATCCTTGATAATGATCGCCGAGAAAGAGTTCACAACACCGTTGGGAATGGCGGCGGCAAATACGGAGATGAAGAGTAGGATGGCTTTTGGATCCTTAAATGCAACCATACCTTGCTTCAGGTCAAACACCTTGTTCTTGATACCAGTTTGATTGCCAGCAACACGCTTGACCGCAATTATGCGCTCAGATTTGGTGAAGAAGAAGGCACTTGAAGGCGAATCAGGCAGAAGAAAGAAGATCACAAACGACCAGAGACAAGTAGCGCCTCCGAGAATGTAAAACAACAACTCCCAGCGTGCTGGGCTCATGTAAATTGGGAGCTTAGTGATTCCGAATGAAATATAGGATCCAACAATGCCACCCCAGCCAAGTGCCGAGTACCAAATACACTGGCGAAGAGGGATTTCCTGTCGTGTATACCAGAATCCGGTCATGAGGGTCAAACCTGGGGTGACGGCGGCTTCAAAGATACCCATTATAAAGCGAACACCCAAAGCACCGGAGAATGTATGGCATTGGGTCATGATAATAACCATCAATCCCCACATTATGCAGCTCACTCCCAATACACGTTGGGCAGGGAATCTTCCAACAAGCCATCCACACGGGTATTGACCAAAGAAGTAGCCGGCATACACCACTGAAACAGGTCAGCTTCTCATTTACCAGCACAATTGTCCGAAGGGAAAACATACTCGCTGAAAGGTAATTGAACTGTTGACCTTTCAAGTCCAGGGTCTCTTGGTATCCGAGTAAGTTTGCATAATTCAAGGCTGTCTTGTCTATGAACTGCAATGCCTGAGTGATGAGGAAGATAGGAAGTACAACGAGATCAATCTTCCATCTGACTATAGCTTCCTAAGAACTTCTCCATTAGGAATCGGCGACAAACCGCCCGGGAAAAAGCACTCACTTCCTTTGCAGTGAACTCAAGGTGCAATCCTTCTCGGTACTCCTTGTAACCAACCGCATTTCCCTATAAAATATCAGACTAGACCTCCATGAATGCTCCAAACACAAAAATATCACCTCATAGATCGAGCTCGCTTTTGCCTCTTCCAAATCGTCATGAATAGGAATTTGCAATGGAGCCGTCGCCTCAATATGCATACTGTCGGAGCTTTCCTGCTTTTGTGGCATTGCAGCGGATTTAAAGTGGTAATACAAGCAAGGAAAGTGGTTCGCGGCGTTCCTTTTATCTAAATGATCCACTTGGATCCCCATGACATATGGTCTAAACATTTCTCCGCGTGGAGGCTCGCAGATTGTGGGGACCAATCCCCGGAAACCGGGCATCTTCCGTGGCTACCCCGCCCACGGCGGATGCCCGAGAGGTTTTACCGGTCAATTCCAAGTCCATTGGAGATAAGACTCCGATAAACAGGATCGGGCGTTGTCCATAGTATTCATAAATCTAGAAGGCTGGCACGTTAACCTATTTTACATTTTACATTTTTTGTAATTCTATCTATCATTATACAATGCCACCTAGTAAAGATCAAAACAACACCTGGTTGGCCCAGCCATCAGGAACTTGTTGTCTCAAGGGAGATCTTCATGAAGGCATTTCACGTGGGCGTTTTACAATGGTTGCCGGCGTAGAAACTTATATCGTGGAGCCTAAGAAAAGCAACGCAAATGGCCACATTTTACTTTACTTCCCTGATGTATGGGGAATGTTTCCGAATGGTCTCCTGGTGATGGATGCTTTTGCAGACTCTGGTTATATTGTACTAGGGCTTGACTATTTCAGAGGTGTAAGATTTTCTCGGTTTTTTCTTCTTTTGGAAGACGCTGATTGATTCTAGGATCCGGTTTGGAAACATCGTCGCGATCGCCACGACCGCTCAAATCCAGAATTTGACTATGAGGGTTGGAAGAAAAAACACATATCTTTTGCGGATGAAGCCGTCCCACGATGGGTGAATGAAGTGAAGAGCTTGTATGGGCAGACATCGACCAAGTATGCCTGCGTTGGGTATGTATTTCCTCACTTTTATCAAGTTTTAATCTTGGGAAAGCTCTAACTGCAATTCTTGGATCAGATACTGTTTTGGTGCCCCATATGTCTGCAACGAGCTGGCCAAGAACACAGTCAGCGCCGGTGCATTTGCCCACCCGGCATTTTTGAAAGATGTACATTTTTCAGAAATAACCAGTTAGTTCCCCTTATATGGTTTTCTCACTAATTAGTACTAAAAGCTATCCAAAGAGCCACTATTACTGTCCTGTTCTGTGGAAGATCATACATTTCCTCTAGAAGCCAGACAGGTCGCTTTAGATATCCTGGAGGCGGGCCAAAAGACCTATCAACTTCAGCTTTTCTCTGGTGTATCGCACGGATTCGCCCTACGAGGCAATATGAAAAATCCCTATGAACGTGAGTTACTATTCTTAGCTATAAATGTACCCTGGAACTTGAAAATTGATATTCTCCAGGCTATGTGAAAGAGCAGAGCTTGAAGGCAATTATAGAGTGGTTTGACTTTTGGTTATCACAATAGTTTGTGTGATAGAATTATGTCGATTGGAGAAGTGGATATATTACAGTTAGGAGCAGGATGATTGATGAACAGTTAATCTTCTACATCTTTTGTATAGTAATCGATGTATTCTCGGAAAAGCAGTGCTGTAACACACTAATCAACTAATGGGCGAATAGTTCCCTCGGTACATTTTCAATTAAGCGCTCGCAGGGATAATCTAATGGCTCTCATGAGTACTAGTCGATATTGATGTTTTCCCCTCCGACAAATGATCCTATAAATTGAATTTGCCATGGAACATTGCGGAAATAACCCTCAATCAAAATATTCTCCTGCGACGGCGTTTCATGATTCCTTTCTCATGACATTTCAAACTTTTTCACATGAGAGTCAAATGTAGAAATTGTGAAACCAGTTTGAAAATATCATAACACGCGCCCAATTTATCACTGACGACAAAAAACATTAGCAGTATTAGGCTAGCGGTAGCCTGGCCTCAGCTTTCAATTCACAGGGCTCGGCGTTCAACCCGATTTTAAACTAATCTGCCGTTTATCAATTCCCCACGGGGACCAAAGCCGAGACTTTGTGGGGTCTCCGAGGCCTCTTGGACAGCTGGGGCTAGGGAATCGGCGGATGGCCGAAGGGGGTGAGCCAGCCCCAGAACCACAGGAGGATGGCCGCCTACTGTTGTACTTATAGTACAAGAGTGAGTGGCTCTTTATAAAAGCACCTATAAGAGATTTTATTCCTTCAGAAACCCCAACGACTAGTTTTTATAATAATAACTTTGAATATGGCCGCTGGTAAAGCTTTTGATTTCACTGGTGAGGTCGCCATCGTCACCGGTGCGGGATCTCGGATGCCTGGTAAGTTCGGTTCACATTATTGCTTAATCATGCAGATTAATATTCACAAATCCTAGGCGAAATTGGAAATGGCCGCGCAACTGCTATCTTACTCGCCAGACAAGGTGCCAAGGTGGCGCTAGTTGATTATAATGCTGAATGGGCTCAAGAAACTAAGCGCATGATTGGTATTGAGGGCGGCGTGTCAGAAGTCGTACAGACGGATGTAACTGACGAGAAAAGCTGCAAGAATGCCGTGAGTAAGACTGTTGAGCTATTCGGAACTGTGAATATTCTTATCAACATTGGTGAACATCCCTTCGCGCCTCATAACACTTATGGAATCTAATGGGAATTACTAGTCGGGGTTGGTGGTGCCATGGGAGATGCTACCAAGCTTGATCTTGCAGCTTGGGAACGCGACTTCAAGATCAATGTCACAAGTATGGTGCTGATGAGTCGTCACGCTATTCCTGAGATGAGGAAGAATGGACGAGGTGCCATAGTTAATATGTCCTCAGTCAGCGGTCGTAAGTCCCTGTTGCCTCTACTTGTTAAATAAGTTTAACGTGAAATATAGTTCTCGGTGGGAACCCCAGTCTCCTGTACCCTACAACTAAGGGTGCTATTATTCAAATGACACGTGCCATGGCTGCTCAGCACGGCCCAGAAAATATTCGGGTTAACTGTGTTTGTCCCGGAATGGTGTTCACCCCAATGGTACGAGACAGAGGTATGACGGATAGGATGCGCCAGGATCGTATCAACCAGAACCTCTTGAAGCAGGAAGGTACAGGATGGGATGTTGGTTATGGTATGAAAGTACCCCGTCAGGCAGTTCACAAAATACATTTAATAACTTTCAAGGAACAGCTATTCTCTTTCTTTCTAGTAAGGAGGCAAAGTGGATCACTGGATTGATCATGCCTGTTGATGGCGGCGTAGGTTGCCCCTTCAGAAATATCTAACGAGACTCAATCTAACCTTTCTTCAATAGACCACCGCAGGAAAGGCAGACCGACCAGCCTTGACGGCTGATACCCTTGCGGAGCAGAACACGAAGATTCCCAATAATGCTTAAGCAATAGTTATTTTATCTGTACAGGGTTTTGAATAAACCAATGTAGACAAATTCCATTTCCCCCAATATCAAATATCATCTCTAATAAGAAGTGGAATAAATTGATTCCTGGAATGTAATAAATTAAATGGCACTCTATAGCATGTGCAGGGAAGGATATAGCGAAACTGCGGAGAGTTAATAAGTTATGAATAGCTACAAACTATACTAGTGAATCCCCAAAGGCCATTCGGTTATTAAACAGCCATGATCGCCCCGGTGACTGCAAAAAGGAAGGCAACCATTCCGGAAGTGATGTGTAAACCCTGTCATACCCACTAGCAGAATGAGAATATGAGGATGACACCTCCAACCCCCCCTGATTGGGAAGCTTGTCTTTCGTCACAGAGCCCCATTATAGTTGAACCAGAAGCAACAGACACACTCGTAAAAAGAGAGTCTAAGGCGATGTTCAGACTCTCTATAATTTCCACCCCTTTCTTGGCCAGACTGTATAGTGAAGCTTGGCGACAAAGCAAGTTGAATCCTTCGAGAAATATTGAATAGCTGGTTTGCAAATCTGGGTATATCATACTTCGAATGCCGCTAGTAAGAAACCTTCTTTCGTCGAATTGGATTGAAAGCAAAGAAACTCCCAGGGATGCCAGGGCGTCGACAAGGTATATTGGAAGCAAGAACAGCCGCTCAGCTGGTGGGCCACCCCCTTCATTGTCGATAAGAATGTAGAGTTGCGTGATCAATGATATCATATGTGACGTCGTTTGTACCAAAGATCTTCGATGAGAGAGCGCCAGGGGATCTGTTGTGCATTGTGACTCGAGCATTTCATGTGGTCGAAGGCTGTTACATGGATCTGCAAACGCTCGGTAGAGTGAAGATTTTGTACTCGAGATAAGCAATTGAAGGCGCATCCTCTTAATAACAAGGACGGGATCTATGCTGTCCCAGCTTGTATCAGGGGCTTCCATCCAGAGTGGCGGGGGCAATTGATCAATGATGACTTCATCAAAGCGTTGCGCGAATTCTGATACTGTTGCTGGGATGTATTGATCGCTGGTCCATGATGGTGGGCTCAAAAAAGCTGTGATATAACGTGCTATCTTGATGTGAAATATATGATCCGTGAAAGGCGTAAGCACGTATGGGCTAGTAGTTAGTGGTTGGAGGCTGTCGTGCGGCGGCTCGATATCAAAATAGCCCTCGGGTATTAATGGCCAATGACCAAAAAATGTGCACATAAAACTAGAGTTCCAGTCAGCTCCTCTATTGCTTTCAAATAGTCGAGAAGACCAGAAGATCTTACCGGTCCCAGAAATACAAGCTCCAAAAAGTACGTCTGCGTAGTTCCATCTCAGTTTCATCAAGAGCGATGCCAGGGTCTTTGAGATGCAGGCCCATCTCATGCGCGTCCTTAACAGCAGCGCTCAAGCTTGACCAGCTCTCCCGTATTTTCCCATAGTTCTTGGAGTATCCTGTATGGAAAAAGCGATGCTGCACTGTTTCTAGAGAGGGCTTTCTATCTGGTGATTGTGATTTGTCCAAGTCATTGGCTAGCGTATAGAGCCATTGTTCTACAGCCTCTGGGTGTGTCTTCAAGATACCCTGGGTGGGATACTTTGGTGACGGAAGGGTTTGAAGGCTTAGTAAACATGATCGAATGATGAGAATGCCAAAGTCAATGTCCTCGTCGGCAAGAGATGCACCTGGGTCGCCGTTTGCCTTGGTTTCTTGCGCAGCCCACCAAACAGCATACTTGGCTTCAAATGATGATCCGTGAATCACTTCATAGATGCGATTGATTTCCTCTAGGAATATCCGGATGAGGAGATCAGTCAAACACTTTTGCGGCCATAGCCCCCACTGCCTGGATCGGACTGGGTCTATCTTTGAAAAAATATCAAGAGAAGAATCCTGAAGCGCGTTGGATTCTCGAGTCAGGTATTCCAGGGGACCTTTCTCTGTCTCAGAATCAGACTCGTGGGGCGAGAGTGTATTAGATGAACTTCTTTCGGGATTATTGACAGGCAGAGGAGTGCTTGCGAGTCGATTAGGCTGATGACGGTTTCGGGTTCGCCTCCCGTGAGGGCTGCTGGTAGTATACACACAGAGGTGCTTGACCCTCCGACTTATGCAATGATTGCATGGTTTCTGGCGGTCACACTGATATCTTGTTAGTGAGGCCAGTTGGAGTGATTGCAATCTGTGTACCTTTTGCTTCCTGCGATTACACTCCAAGCAGGATTTGATCGGTTTACGTCGAGTTTTTTTTCTCGGTCTGCATATTCTATTGCCGTCGCATGAGGAGGGGAGGATTCTTCACTTTTGCTTTTAGCTTTCGCGGGGTAGCTTGCTTTAAGGAGTCGATGTACATAAGCAGCCAAGGCTGAATCAAGGCTAATAAGCGCCCCTATTATCTTTCAGATCCACTATGAATCTTTAGCTTATCAATGTGTATCGTAGACACCTGAGTCGTCGTAGCCAATTTAGCATTTCGATACTTCGACCCTACTCATTTTTTGGCCTGCTTTCCGGTCTTTGATGGCAAATATATGTGTCGGCATGCCGGTCGATGTCATTATCAAGTCACTGACAAAGTTCATATTGCCAAGAAAGCCAAGTCGACGCCAAGCTGAATCCGTCTACCAAGACGTTGGAAACTGATTTGATTGGTGTTGAAATTCGACCCATCAGCAGTATTGGGTCACGATTCACATGATTTATGGCATGGTGGGGAATTTTGTTGGAGACCAGCAACTTTTAATTTGGGGGCCAAAAAGCAGGAATTTTTTGGCGGCATCTAAAACACAATTGCCGAGACGGTGGCCTTTCATCTCGATTTCTCAAAGTTAATTGATTACTAATGAATGTCCAGATTAGTTCAATGCTTCATTCTTCGGCGACTAATTGGCATGTCTTCGGAAAATGCCTATTTTGTTTCTGTAGATAGTTCTTGGTGATGTTTTACTTGATCCCCAAAACAAGAGTGGGGCCTCCCGGTGTGAAGAGGGGACCAGGTACTGATATTTCCAAGTCTTACGGTTTCAAGAATGTTTGAATCCAAAGTCTATCTAGATTATTAATTTCTCTATTGTAATTTTGTTCGTAGTTGGCCAATCTCCTAACTAGTCACCTGTCCTGCAACTCCTTCCGTTAAACTAATTAAAATAACATTTGCATCTCTTTCTCCTCGCGCACCCTACGTACACGGTGATGGAGTGTGGATATGTGGATGCATGACAAGGTGGTGGTTGGAGAAGACTCTAGAGCGAAAGCTATCTAGACACACAAAGGAACGACATCCTGGATGTCTCGCATGCAGGCATCTACGCAAAGTCATTTAAGGTAAATCGAACCTGGTAAAATAAGAGCATTTTGTAATATCGGGCGCAAGGCGATGTCGAGAAATAAGATCGTGAAACTGTTCAGTCGCTCAGCAAAGTGGTGGTTATGGATTGTGGCGAGTACTTGTTCAACTGGCTGTAAATATGTGATAACTCTATATAACTCTATTTCTCTAACATTGCCATCAAACTGAGAAGCATTCCAGCGCCAGGCGTGCTTGTGGTCCCTCGCTGTAACCCACAGCCCTGCTAGTACTTCCAATTCATTCGATTATCTCGACCCACACAGCTGACATTGGCCTCTTTCTCGTAACTTTATTCATTCAAGTACTAGGTTCAAAGAAAGACAACCGCGTTATCAAACCGAGCCGGTCAAATCACGCATTCTCAACACACTCATCCTTTGCCCCAACCTTTTCCGTATCATCAATATGAGCCAGAAGCTCAGTCTGGAAGGGAATTTCCCGCGCAATCCTCACAGGATCAAAAACAGACTTAGACTGAACGAAAATATCATCAATCTCCTCCAACGTGCGGCCCTTAGTCTCCGGACAGAAAAGATAAAAAAAGATAAACGCGAAAGCACTAATACAAGCGTATATAATATAATACCGCCATTGAATAGTAGCAAATCCAATCGGCGTCACTTCCGCCAAAAGGAAATTGAAGAGCCAATTTGCCGCGGCGGACATAGCGGTGACTTTGGCGCGAGTGCGTAAGGGTGCGATTTCTGCGGCGTACATGAATGGTACCAAAAACAGTCCGATCGGGAAGCAGAATAGTGCCATGAAATAGAATAGGATTGAAGCGCCCGCGGCGGATTTGTTGGAAAGATCGCTTGAAAGACCTGCTAGGCATGTTTGGGCAATTGTCATGCCGGCGGCGGCTGTGAGGAGTAATGGTCGACGTCCGACTCGGTCGATTAATAGAACTGCTATACCGGCGGCTATGAATTGCCAGATTTGTAGACAGCCTGTTATGATGCGGGAGATTGTACCCGATATCCCAGATCAGACTATGAAGAATGGATTAATTAGTATTTCATGAACATGTTTGATGGGTTGTTTCGCCGGATCAGATCATCTCATCTCGAATATTTTGCTTACCTCGAAGATAGTATCAGAATAAAACGTAATGATGTTAACACCCGTCATCTGGGCGAGAATATTGACTCCAACAGCAATAGCCGTTCGGTGCAAATGACGATTATTCGTCAAAGCAAAAGGTGAAGTCGAAACCGTCGATTCGTCCGCTGCATCCAAGAAAAGAGACTGCTTGATGATCTCCAACTCTTGCGCAACGTGCTCAGATTCAACTGGCACATCTTCCATTCGTGAAAGAACCTCGGCCGCTTCTTCCATACGATCAACGCGAGCAAGCCATCGAGGAGATTCGGGCAAAAATAGGATACACGAGACAACCACGAGGGCGAAAATGCCCTGGAAGGCGATGGGGAAGCGCCAGCTCACTGAGTTATCGCTGACGTAGTATAATCTATCCCAGACCAGAAGAAGTCAGCAAGTTTATCTAGCCTCCCGCGGTCACGATGGACGGTGGTGGTGATGCTTACCCAAATTCCAACCAAGTTGCAAGGACGATACCACCGATAGCAAACCACCCTTCTAAAAGAACCATGCGTCCTCGAGCCTCTGCGCCAGAAGACTCAGAGACATACATAGGAATTGTCGCGGTGAATCCACCGACACCCAAGCCTATGGTTCGTTTCCTGTTAGCAGAGCCCACGCATGATGCTATCACATACTGTGACAGACGGGAAAGGAAACCAGATAAATCACTCACCAGTAATAACTCGCCCAGAAATCAACTGTCCCAACGCAAAGGGACTTGCTTGAATAACGATTCCAACCAAGGCAACGCATCCCGCAAGAAAGATCGTTTTGCGACGACCGAGTTTATCGCCCAGAAACACGCAGCCCAGGGCACCCAAAGCGCAGCCGACTTCATAAATCGCGACCGTTGTTCCTGGAATGGCATGTCGGATTAGCCCGGTGCTTCACTTCAGCGTTTTAAAAAAATACCTTGACTCGCTCGAGCAAAGGCCGCGAGCATCCAAAGGAATTTATTTAATATAGGACTAACCTTGAATAGTAGAATTGTGCGATTTTTGGCTACCATGAGTATTGACCGTATCAATTTGGGGGAAAATAGCAATAAAAGATCCCAATGTCAGTAAGCCATTAGCAACAGCTTGGTCATAACCTTGTAGCACGAAACCGACCGCGCCAACAAGACCAATGACACGGCCGAGGGATTTCCCTCTCAGTGTAGTGATTCCCATCCGGGGCGATTGCGATTCTCTTTACTTTTCGCAGAATAGAGAAATTGCAAGATGAGATCAAGTTGGTTGGTTTTTGAGAAGATGAGAGAGTGATAGAATAGCACGTCACACCGCAACCGGAAGAAACAGAAATGCACGACAATGCGGGGGGGGACAACGCTCTACCCCATCAATTTCAATTTCCACAAATCCCCAGCTCTCCTTTACTTTGTTTACACCGTGGAAACCCCGTACTCAGTAGCAACTCTCTCCCCAGAATGGAGCCCCGGACTGGAGATTTTGTGGACCTCGCGGACGTTCACCGAGCCGAAGACAAGCATTTGCCCAGCCGGGCGGCGCTCAGATCGCCCATGCACCCGAGTTGGCTGATTTCCCCGGGCTTTCGATTCGTCGTCGTCTCCGTGGCGGACTCGACCGGGTGGGTCGAGAGGGGTTGGGGGGCGAAGGAACTTCGCCGAGTGATGCCGTGAAGTCGTGGGTGAATTCGCTTATCGGGTTACATGCGAGTTGGGAGCATACTGAGCTCAGCAGATGGCACTACGAGTATGCTAGGCATTCAGGTTGGAAATACTCGGTCTTTGTGTATCGAGGCTCACCTGTGGACTTGGACTCCTGTCGTGATTTGGGGGGGGGATGTATGTAATGTCTCTACTATATGAGGTCAGTGAATGACCACCGTGGCGCCGCATTGGGGTCCGGTATTCGGAGGAATGAATTATACTGCAGACCTTGTGAAGGGTAGGCAGCGAGTGAGACGCTAATTTCTCACGTTAATTGGTTCAAGTTTTATATGAGATATCTATTACTCTCTCTTATCAATAATATGAATTTGCCTTAGCAAAAGTGATAGGCATAGAGTTCACCTTTACTCAAATCCCAGCATAATATAATAATGTAATACATTATCACCAAGGGACAAGTGCTAGTATAGTAAATGAACCGTGTCTGTCTGTCCGAAGGAGTAGTGAAAAAGATTGAACAAGAATTCTAGCACGGTGTGACTTTTTATGAAATTCACTCCACCGAACAAGTCAATGCCCGAGCCCCGATGAACTCGAATTGATACAGTGTCAGTATCTACATATGTGGTCTGTTTAGAGTACTTCCTGCAAATCAGCTTCTGTCTTCATTCCTTGCCTAGCTGGGCCTGAGAATCGCTAACTGGGTGTATGTACAATATCGATTATGCCTCTCTTCTTCTCAGGATCCATTCGGGTTCTCAAAAGTACCCATGGAAATGATCAACTGGCCCATATCTTCTACTAGTATATTTGGATGACCAATCCCATCCTAGGACTAGACAATTGATCCAGGATCACAGCGGAATAGACTACAGTCCAGGAAATTGTGACTACGGCAAAACTATAAATGATTTTCATAAAGATCAAGTGGCCTTGTTACTATTTGACCTCCCCGCGGTCCATCTTACATGAAGATCTTTCATATGGCATTTTCTAGCTAAATAGATAAAATGGTATGATGTGAGTGACAAGAATATTAAGTTCAGCAGAGATATAATGTATCTATTTCAAGAAATAAATAATCGCGCAGTGGTGCCGAAAGGGTCTGGTTAAGAGAAAGAGACTCGGAAGGTACGCATAATGGCGCTTTGGAGTTATCAGATATTAACAGCTACTAGTAGTTGAACCAATAACTTGCCACAGGCCACAGGATAACAATTGACACCCCGCCGAGCGAAGCTTATCTATAACATACTCATAAGTTGCTGGACATAATTTCAAGGAATTCAGACTTCTTTCCAAGCACCTCAGGTTTAAGCGTAGATAATTCAGTTATTCCAAATTTTATTGATAAATATTTTGATTGTTTGTGCCGAAGCGATATTCAATTCGCCCCTCAGACCCAGAGAATATAAGTAAGTCTAACTTATGTAATAAAAATCGGTAATAGAGAGAAAAAGGTAGATAGTCGAGAAGGCGAAAGGGTCTGGTCAAGGTCCTGAGCAACAAGAACAAGAACGGTATGTCGGCAAGGTTCATGGCGTTCCTGTACACACGCGTTTCGTTTGGCGAAAAGTCGAAAAAAAAGAAGAAACAAACCTCCCATAGAGGCGAAAGTAGCCAAATCCGGGATCCCCGCCACGAGATTCAACCACATGCAGACGCTCCAAACAGGTCGTAAGAAAGAGAAAACAAAAAGAAAAAAGAGAAATAAGATGTACAAAAATGCTAATGCAGAGCAGATCGTGTCCAGGCCGTATCAAAGACAACAAGTACAAAAGAAATCAAAATCACATCATATCCGAAGATTCGATGGGTTGTAGACTTCTAATCATCACGTCGACCAAGCTCGTAAGAAGTCTCAGTAGACCCGCTGCGGGATTCTTCATCCTCCTTAAAGCTGACGCGTCGGATAAATGTAGGCATCAATCGTCTCGCTCGGCGCGAGGGAGACGAAGACGACAGGCGTGACGGGCTGATGATGGAGGGAACTTTCGTGTAGCGGTAGCGGTATTTCGATCCGAGGAGCATGACTCGGCCGTATGTCCAGAAGAGGCAGAAGCCTACGACGGCTGCGATTAGGAAGCCGAGGAAGGTAAGGAACATCCAGTGTTGGCCCATCTAAAGCTCAAATTAGCATTTGATTCTCTCTAAAGCATCACGAGGGGAGATATAAAAATTTGACTTACCCAGAAAATGAGATGGGCATCCTTGCCGTGCCAGCTGTTACCAGTGTGGTGGGTGAAGAAACTCCACGAGTGCTTATTGTACTCATCCTGCATCAGGATTCGAACACGTCCAGACTCGGAAGGCCCGTCACGCATGTACTCCTTCCAGAGCACGGACAAGAACAAGGGCCCAGTCGAATACATAACGGTAATGTACGGGAGCAGCCAGCTGCGGTCATAGGTTTGCAATAACTCGATCGTGCGGAGGAAAAAATGGGTGTTGGGGAACTGAGCCCATCGCATCGTTCGAGATACCTGTAGGAACGGTGCGTCGTACCCACGCGGGGTAGGCCAGTAGGGGGTCCAGTCGGCGGTTGCAGCCCTGAGAAAAAAAGCCTGGTCAGTAATTGATTCTATTTGGAGGGATGTGGGGGTGACAAACATCATCCAAATCGATATAAGTGCCACCGAAGTGAGCTAGAACGAAATAACGGATTGAATCCGCGCGCTGGATCGGATACTTGTAGCCGTCGAAGGTATCCAAGAACCAAGGGTATTCGGCAGCGATAAAATCTCGAGATTTTTCATTCGTCCAGAGCTAAAATGATCATTAGTTCAAGGCCAATTGATTCGATCCGGAGAAAGCGATAAGCGGTATCGAATTGAGGAATTGATCACATACAATATATTCGTAGTCCGGGTGCAAGTCAATGCAGCTCTGCTGCGCCTCAACCCAAACCTCAGGGATAGTCTCATTTTTGTACGTTTGGTGAATGATCTTGGGAATGATTTGCGGGCGTTGTTCAATCAAGCTTGAATTGGGCGACGGTAGTTCGGCGCGGTGAATCGCGTCGGCCGAGGCATCCTCCACGAGAAGCGAAAGAAGAGTCGAGACACTGCGGATCAAGAATGATAGGACGAGTAGGTTCACCAAGATGAAGATGAGAAGTCCGCGTCGCATGGTGAAGATGTCGGCGCCGGCCAAGCAAGAACCGAGACAATGGAATCAACAGCGAATAGGCGAAGAGCGCAAGAAATTCGAGTCGAGTCGAGTCGAGTAGTCCGGGGGAGTCGGGAGTGTCGAGTGAGAATCTCACGGACCGGGCCCAAGGCCGCGCGGGATAGAAAAGGGACACGAGATTGTTGTTCGATCGTCACGAGTGGAAGGATAGGTAGATTGGTCGAAAATATTATTATGAGGCGTATGGAATAAATTAGGCGCCGAGAGTAAAGGTGGTGGTGGTGAGAGGGAGAGGACGAGAAGAGGTCGAGGTGGTACGGTGGTAGTGGTAGTGGTAGTGGGTGAGATGGGTTCGTGTCAAAAGGGGGGAGGGGGAGAAAGTGGAGGATAGAAAGTGAGATATTGAAAAACGGCTCGGCCAAATAGGGGAGAATATAATAAGGAGTGACGGAGTGGGGAAGGGAGAGAAGGGAAAAAAGCGAAGGCTAAGGCCAAAGGAGAAGAGTGTTGAGGGATCTCTTCGCACTTTGAGGCGTTGCGCGGCGAAGTCTGAGCAAAGTGGGTCACGAAGGTTTGGTGAGACTCCAAGGGGTTTAGTGTGGTTTCTCCGTACAGAGAGAGTACCTGGTAGTACCCAGTACTGGAACACTGGTACACAGGGACCCAGAACAGACAAGGGGCAAAAAGTTAGTTTACTGTACAGTATGTAGGTACTGCGAGGTATATGAGAGGCTGTGGTGGCTGAGCCCCGGTTTTTCCTGCCTGCGACCATGTGTTGCTTAACCTGGATGAGTGATGATTGGTGGAGATGTTGATGACTAAGGTGGGGCAATGGCTGCCGCGAATACGATTACGCACTCGCAGTACAATACGGTAACACTGACATTGGCACTGGGATTGGCATTGGCACTGCCACTATGCAGAAGGAGACTGTATTGTACTGTACTGTGCCCAGCACTCGCACTCAGCACAGACCAAGTGCGATCGTCTGCTTTATCCCCCCGTCACCATGGGCACCCGACTGTAACTGTACTGTATGCAGTCGATAGTCACGATAGTCACCCCGTCACCATCCACTTTCGTGGGCCGAATGGGCCAACTGGCCAATTCAACTGGACAGTCACACTTGACCCAAGTCTTTTTTTCTCTTTACTCTTTACTCTTTTACCCTGGAACAAACGATCCATGCACTCCATCTCCAGGTTTTTAGCCTACTTTTTGCCTAACATGACGTGGGTGGTCGGGGCCGGGCCTGGGTTACCGGTCATCGCTGAGCCACCCTCTCCACGAGTCGTCGTCCTCCGTACCAATTCGGGACATTCTTTCGTGCCATGTCACACTGCTCGCCCCGCGGGGCCAAATGCCGATTTCTTATCGTCTGGGCGTATCTCAGCCTTGCCCTTGTCCTTGGCCATGGCCATGGCAACTTGGCCAACGCCATAGACTGACGATCGTAGGCTAGGGTCGGATCGGAGTTGTACAGAATACCACCACTGGTGCAAGGAGATAGACAGAGCATATAAGTTGTATACCATTGTATGGTTAAACCATCGTATGTAATTTGAATATAACAGCCATCCTTGCAGCCAATGATCCATAATACAACCTTACGGAGTATTCATCAATTGGGTCAGGCAACAGAAATACCACTAATCAGAGCGAGTCTAAAATAAGAGAGAGAATACGAGTACGACCAAGAGCATGAACTTGAACTTGAGGATAATAATAGTATTACGGCCGTAGTGATAATGATAATAAGAATGCAAAATACTCCGTAATAACAATAATAAAAGGGTATCAATCGCTATCAATGTAAAACAATGCATGAGGATCCCATCCTTCTCATAGGCACTCTGCACTTCATGCTCGGTTTAACGTTCCGCTAGAAGGCGACTTCAGGCGACCCTTTGACCTCGGCACCCCACCTAGATCAGGTTCGATTTCGATTTCGATTCCACCTCAGCGAACTGCCAGCAAGCTACACTTGCACAGCCTTGGACCACCCCCACCTTGCAATTTAAGAACTCTCTCAAAGTGGAGGGTCACCCCGCTCAAGCTACGTGTACATCATCACTAGGACATCACTTGGATCTTTCTCCGCGGCCATTTTCTCTTCGAAATCAGGTGTTGACGCCATCCTCAAAGGACCATCCTCAAGCTGACCTGATCACGCGCGGGGTACTAACTCTAGTCAATTGGCTTTTTTCGCCACGAGTCTGTCATTTAAGGTTCGGAAGTACGCGTCCCGATACAATGGCAATGGCAATGGCAATGGAAAGGCAATGATAAGCTTCCCACAGGAAATAGTCGCAAGAGCATATTATCGGACCTCGGGTGCGGCGGCGGCAGCAGCAAACTCTTGGTTGACGGTCGCATCAGTGGGGCCAGGGCGTTCTCGCTCCTCTGCATCAAGATTGCCCTCAAATAACCGCCGCCACCATCTCGGCGGATCAAAAGGACGATGACCACCATGAAGAGTCGGGTAAACATCATTGAAAAAGTACCAGACATGGCCCACGACAACGCCACAAAGTTCATCCTTGGGCACCATCTTATGCACGACCAGACTAAAGCCCATCAACACCCACGGAAGATATGGAGCTGTGAAAACGAGCAGGCCGAGGAAACTGAGTCGAGTCTCTGGATTCCGTCTCGCCCAGATATAAACGAGACTGGAAGACAGTGCGGTTCCGAGGAACGGTAACGAGAGGAATGGCGATATCAACAGCAGCGAGGCACAAGCGTAAACGATCAACCAGGTGAATTGAGCCGGGGAGCGACCAGAGGATTCTTCCAGAAGACGTGAGTAGCGTTGTAAGAAGAAGACGTGAAATAAGAGGTCAAGGTTTAGTGGACCGAAGTAGAGAAATGTGGATAGTAGACGCCAGTACTGCGATTTCGCATAGACGGTGCGGAAGCTGTAGAAGAGCTGAAATGGAGTCACAATGTGGCACTGTACCAGTACAGAGGTAGCCACCGTGGCCACGGTCCACCACCTTGTCACTGGGGGCATCTCGTAAAACCATTGTTCTAATGGAAACTGACCCATCTGCCCATTGTTCTCCCACAGGGCAGCCATGATGTGAGGTTATGAGGGGAAGGGAGAAAGGGAAGGAGGGGGAGTGCGGAGAATCAATGAGGCCACCTTCATGTATATCCAAGGCCAACCTGTCGAGTCCCCCAACACGTGACCCCGTGCAACGCGCGGGAGACGCGGGAGATCGCGCGTCTCCCGCGCGAGGCTAGACGAAACGAGTTAAACTACTCTTTCAACCCTCCCCAGCCTCCTCTTTTTTGCGCATTTCGCATTCCAATTGTTCTCCAAACTTATCCCCCCACCACCGTTGAACCAATTTCTCCTCTGATAATACTTTTTACCTACGGAGTAATTTCCATCCCCTCACTCCCTTCAACAAACCCCCCCGGGGAACCGAACCTCCTGCAAGGGCGAACTGAAAAAAAAGCGCATTGAACAACCTACAAAGTACCTGCATACGTTCAATCGCATCGCCTCGTTTCGGCAGGGCTTTATCGTCTTGAGCCTTATATCTTTTTTCTTTCTCATTCCCTCGCGAATCATTTTCGCAACCGAACAATGCCAGTCAAAACCGCATCCAAAGTCGGCAGAGGCCGCCCATCACAGTCAACAACAGCCAACCCAAGCTCACCATCAAGGGCGCGCAAAACTACCGGCACACCGAAGAAGAAACCCGCCGCAAAGCGACCATCAAATGTACAACGTATGTCTATCCCACCCTGCGCAATGCGAACCCAGTCCAACCCAGCCGGCGCACTTGTTTTCTTCCCCTCATCCCCATGCCAACCGCTCCCCAATCCACCCACACCAGCCAAACTAACCACCCACCCACTCAACAGCCGGAGACCCAACCCCAACAGGCCGACGCCGCCGCTACAAGCCCGGCACAGTCGCATTAAAAGAAATCCGGCGCTACCAACGCTCCTACGACCTATTGATCGCAAAACTTCCATTTGCCCGCCTAGTCCGTGAAGTCGCACTGGATTTACTACCCGCAGAACGGGGCTCGGAAATTCGCTGGCAATCACACGCTATTCAGGCGTTGCAGGAAGCTTCCGAGGCGTTTTTAGTGCATTTGTTTGAAGATACGAATCTTTGCGCTATTCATGCTAAGCGTGTTACTATTATGCAGAAGGATATTCAACTTGCGAGGAGAATTCGGGGGGTTTGGGCTGGTTTGGGGTGATTTTCTTCTTTTTTTTTCTCGAGCAATTTCTCAATTTCTCTCTCTCCCTACCTGCCTGCTGCCTTGTTGTGCCTTTTTTGCTGCGCTTTCTCTCTGCGGTCTGGTCTGAGCGTTTCTTTTAATTCTGGGTGTTGTGTTGCATTGTTATTTTTTGCAGCGGCTTTTCCAAGCCTACGGGCTCTGGGCTGGGGCATATTTAGTCGAAAACTGCCGGCGTATTATGGACATGATGGGGTGTGTTGTCTCGTCTCGATCGAGTTTCAACTTTTCAAAGTTATTGTGGGTGCTGGGTGCCTTGACACTTGAAATGTTTTGTTTTTAATCCCACCTTTCGTTTTTTGATTTCATTTCCCCCACCCCTTTCTCTCTTGACAATGAATGTTATTGCATTATATGTCTATGAAGTATGATGCTTACTGGGTTTCTTCCCTTCCCAATATACCATACCATACCACCGATACTTGCATGTTTACACCACTGCGGGCAGATTTAATTTTTTGTTACCATCTAATAAGTAAGCGCCGAGGGGTGTGAGAGGACGGACCCCTTAGGCAAAGCACTTGAATGAAACGGAAAGTTTAATCATACATCTATACTGTACGATCTCACCTCCTCTTTCAAGTTTCCTGACTTTCTAGACCTAAAGGCACCTGGTGTAAACCCGGGGTGTGATATCGGAACCGACGGTGTCTTGTACACTTCGAGATGGCACACAGCAGTCCAGTTGAACGGTTATAAATGGTACATATACTAGATATATTCGCTGGTCTATCTCGAGGCCTAGACTAGATAAATGAGACGCCTTCGCACCATATTCATGAGATGGTATCATACACTAACTCCTTCCCAATAGAAAAAGAAATCAAAAGACAAGAGGAAAACGTCCTCGGAAATGGAGAAGAAGAAAAGAACAGCAAGATATTGACGTTCACATCAAGGACATTTCGACGCCACATCCTTTCAAAGCAAGCGGATCTTGATCTAGACTGAACGTTTCAAGCCAGGCGGAAGACCCATAACCAGTCGTTGGCCCTCCTCACGCACACTACTAGCCTCTTCACCTTTACCCTGCCGTTCGAGGGTATCAGCAAGCATTTCATCCGTGACACTCGCCCAAAGTCGATGATTTGCTCGTTTCGCCATGGCCCGACCAGCCCTTGCGCTCTTTTCGGCCTGTTCGCCCACGACGCCGCGGAAATATTTCCAGCTCATGAATGTCAGCGTCATGCATGTGATCTGACTATTGCTGATAGCAGTCGCGGATTGCAGAGCCTGTTGGAGATATTGTTTTGTTTGTATAGTCGAGTCTGTGTGCACAGTAGAGCATACCAAAAAGTAAGCTGCTTGGATGTACTTGTTCGGACTGTGTTGGCAGAAAGACTCGAGCGTAGTCAAAATAGCAGGGAGGTGGGAATGTGCTGGATGAGTCGGATCCCGAATGATGAGGACTGTGTTTAGCGCGGAAAGAATACAGATGTCGCGGTAGGGGTCATTGCGAGAGATCTTGCTGGCGGATGGCGATAGTGTTAATAAGGGTGACTGGAAGATCGTCAAGGCTGATGCTAGATCTCCCGTCGCTTGGGAAATGGTGCCGGCGGCGTATTCCATGAGACATTCAATGGATTTGGGAAGGCTGGGCCCGAGTTCTTGGGTCACCTGGCGGAGGGATTTGAGAGTTTGACTAGCATAATCCCAGTCTGTTCTAGAGCAAGCCAGGAAGACCCGTTGCAGAAGGAAGTTGCAGTACAGAGTCCGGCGCCATTCAACGCGTCTTGCCGCATTGACCATGGCCTCTGGGATTTCCTGTGGCGTCTTAAAGTCCCCTGCAAATGTATGAGTGTGAAGTTTATTGGTGATATAATGGCATGCTTACCTTCGATCATGCGAATGCCTTCATCGAGGAACTTTTCCGCCTTTCGGCCATCGTATGAGTTCTTGGCACTCAGTGTAATGGAGCTCAAGAAATATGAAAGCGCATAGAGATCATGCTGAGGAAGCCAACTAAAACTCAAAAGTAAAGTTCCACTTTGAACCTGCAGAATATCCCCAGTATCGATTGACGATGGCCCGGCAGATTTTCCATTCAGGGGAACGGAGAACGAGCCATCAGGGCGCCAGCTGGGGTCATTGAGTGTTTCGTCCACCAGGGCTTGCATAACCTTGAGTTTTTCAGCCGATTGGTTCACATCGCACTCAAGTAAACTGCAGCAAATATCGACGATCTGTATCAAAGTTGAAAGCTGGGGGATGTTACGAAGTTCGTCATTTAGCTGATGGCTCCGGGCGATCGCTATAGCACGCTGTGCTTGTTCGATTGCATCAGAGCCGGCACCTTGCTGGAGATGCGCCAACGCTTCGATGACTGCTGCCATTGCCGCGACGGTTCTGTCGCCATTGCGATTGGCCATTGCCGCGATCTTATGGAGATGCTGGAGTGCTTGAAGGGAATCCTGATGCGTAGGGGCGGATAGTGAGAGCGAGACACGAAGAAAGCGAAATGCATACTCCCAGGCCGCATGTCGGTATCTGTAAGCTAATTAGTATTCTGAATTTCAAAAGCGTCCATGAAAGAAGAAAACATACGCCTCGACATCTTGGATCATTCCATCGACGGCTTTCAGAGAAGCTTTTGGATTGGACTTGTGAAGCATTCGTGCCAAAAGATGTTGCATGCTGTACTTCAAATCTAACATGCGATTCTGAGAAGCGTTAGTTGATTCCAAATGAGTGGACAAGATATTGAATGGTACTCACTCGTTCGCAGAGATCAATCTTTCGAAGAAGTTAGCCGCTAAACTCGATACAAAACTAAGAGGGAGGAACACTTACGCCTTTACTCAAAGCAGTCTCTGCTTCAAGGTCATTCTCCGTTTCCTCGAATAATGTCCGGGCAAATCGAAGTCTCACCAAGGCTTCCTTGCGGGGCTGTAGTCTCCAGTTCTATTGACAAACAGTGAGCGAATGGCACATATTTGATGTGGCTTGAGTTGCCTACCTTTAGAACAGCCTCTAGACACCCTAGCCCGGTAGAGATTAGCTTATAGTATTCCTCAACATCATCCCTTCTGGTAGATAGTGCCAAGGTGGTTCCATGGCTATGTGCGGCATTCAAATATTCGTCTGCCAGTGATAGAAGCAAGACTTGATAATCCACAGGCGGCTTGGAAGACTTTGCTGGCTTCTCTATGGACTGGTGACTTGGTTGCTTCTTCAATTGTTGCTTCTTGGGGGGGAGATTGCTTTTGCAGGTTGACTTGAATATCCTGTGATGGAGCTGGAATCACAACTTGTGGAACTGTATTGTTCGCGGGTGACGGTGTTGGTTGAGGTCGTACGGAATTGGACTTCGGCGTCGGCGTCGCGGGTGGAAGCTTGACCTCAAGCTTGGCAGGTGGCTGATCCAGGACCTTGACCTTTTCAGGCTTGATAAATTGTTGCGGTTGCGGCAGTTGCGGCAGTTGCGGCGGCTGCTGAGCCTGGAAAGTCTGTTGCGGTTGAATGTTTGGGATATTTTCTTGGGGGGTAATGGCCGGGGCTGATAGATTTCTGGCTGGAGTTGGCGCCGAGACTGTTGCCGGCGCTGGCATTGAAGTTACTTTCGGTGGAGGTGGAAGTGGAGGTACTTCGTCCACAGCCAGAGGAACTGCGTTTATATCGTCAAACTGTGGCAGGGAGGGGTACCGTGACCGTGGCGCGGTTGGCAGTGGGGTCTGGACGAAGAGTTCAGCCGGGTTAATGAACTGATGCTGTTGCGGGACCTCCTGTGGAAGAGACGGAGGTGCTCGAGGCACTGGGTTCACAGGTTGCGGAGCAAGGATAGGTGGATCCTGTACAATGGAGACTTGGCCTTGGGAGATTGGACCGGCGGAATACTGCTCTGGTTGTGGGCGCGGAGATTGCTGATGTATTTGAGGAATTTGGGGTTGCTGTTTAAATTGGGGAAGCGGAGATTGTTGCAGCTGCGGTCGTGGCGATTGCTGCTGGGCTTGAGGGTGCGACGGTCGTTGGACTTGGGGCCGTGGTGATTGCTGTTGGATTTGGGCACGCGGGGATTGCTGTACCTGAGGACGTGGCGATTGCTGTTGCTGCACCTGAAGGCTCGGGGATTGTTGTTGGATTTGAGAAAGCTGGGGTTGCTGTTGGATCTGGGCACGCGGAGATTGTTGCACCTGAAGTCGTGGGGATTGTTGTTGGATTTGAGCAAGTTGGGGTTGCTGTTGGATTTGTTGTATTTGGGCACGCGGGGATTGCTGTACCTGAAGACGTGGCGATTGCTGCTGCTGCTGCTGCACCTGAAGGCGTGGGGATTGTTGTTGGATTTGAGAAAGCTGGGGTTGCTGTTGGATTTGGGCATGCGGAGATTGCTGCATTTGGGGGCGCGGGGATTGTTGATGTTGTATTTGAGGGCGCGAAGGTTGCTGTATCATTTGAGGACGAGGGGACTGTTGATGTAACTGCGGAAGTTGAGGCGGCTGCTGCTGCATCTGCTGTTGCGGCAATTGCTGTTGCTGTTGCTGGTGGTGGATGAGGGGAGATTGCTGCAACTGCGGAAGGGAATTTGGTGCCGGGTGTTGGACAGGATGCTGCGGATGCTGAGGGTATTGTGGATAGGCAGGGTAGGGCATCATCCCCTGGGGGTAGATTGGCGGTTTGTTGTAGCCATTGTATGGCGCGGGTGACGGAGTGCCGGCATTGCTGTAGAGCAACTGCGGCGGCGGACCTTGTCCCTGCCCTGTTTGATACTGCGGGGGTATATACTGCGGGTATTGACCGGAATGGGGTGGTGGGAAGCTCATCGCCTTGATGTGCGCTCCAGCTGAAGCCGATCCCCCAAAGCGTGCGGGTTGGGCTCGGAAGACTGCAAGACGTCGTCGCGCGTCGGGTCACGGGCGGAGGACCATTTTGGAGATCAGCTGATAAGCACTTGCGATAGGCGGAGGTCCGGGCCACCCTGGGGGGCAGCCATTTACTTTGGGCGACATTTAAGTTATACTCGTTTACTCGGTGTGAATTAAAATTTAGAACTGGTATTTCAAGTTGTTAATGACTTAATTATCACGAAGTTGGCATTATATGATTGTAGTAGCCAGTGGTCAAAATAGTTAGATTAAACACGATATAAGGGTATATATAAAACAATTAACATCTAGCCCGCATCGCTTTCCTCCTCCCTCATTTACAACATTTGAATGGAAGAATATAAGGAGTTCATGGGAGAATTCCTCATTCCCGGTCGGATAATCTCTTCACCCAAACTAGGCGAAAAGGCGATCGGGGGGTGTTCACGAATCGTCCAAGGACATAGCTCATTGCAGTTCTCCACGCCAATGGACGGCTCTGCCGGATGGATTCTTTGAACTCCCCAAGCAGCATCGGGAACGTTGCCAGATCCCCCGAGTGATCTTTGTGTCCAAAAAGAGTATGTGACCTTACCGCCCTCTTCAGCATGGTACGGCTGTTTTCGACGGCATTTGAGTGTCGTGTCGCACGCACTACAGACCGTAATCCGTTTGCAAGACGCACAAAATGAATCGAAAATCTGACAAATGGTGGATTGGTAAACGCTCGATAGCCAAAGGTCAACAGAGCGATGGGCGCATCCAAAACGTGGTGTCATGAACTCCTCCTTGCCAACTTGGCCGGATTCGGTTGTAAGTTGATATTCCGAGTGGATGACCAACTGATCCTCTTCATTCAACTCGGGAAACAATGACATCTTGAGTTGAGTTGGCCCGTACTGTTCCGTGCACGAGTGCCAACAATAACGATCGGATACCGTGTTTCCAAACTGTGAGTTCAGGGCTCTCAGTGAAATCTGTCGTATCCGAAGATGGTCGATGAGATCCAGCTTATCACGGAAAGTCAACTTCTTGCACGGGCACAAATCAACAATGCCGGCCAGTTCTCCCACATTGCAGGTCCTATTCTCAGCCTTGCGTCGAATTTCGCGAGATGAGAAGGCGGTCCGAGGGTGTAATTTCAGGCATCTGGAGCATGTGCGCCAGCGGCTATTCTCCAACAAGGTAATGAATTGCCACCGTGGTGTAGTAAAATTATGGCCATTGCGATAATGGTGAAACAGAGGGGCGAAGTCGCGAGTGAATCGTAAGGATTTCGAGCTGAGAATTTCGCCTGAGATCGCGAGCATGCGCTTACAGGTCAGGGCGAAGGCGGCTTCGGGGATCAGCGTAAGGTGGGTGTTGATTTCAAGTAGTAACTCGGTTGGTAATTCCATGATGTAGCAGCGGCTGGGCTGCTCTTTTTGCTGCTTTCGCAAGCGGGTGTGTGGCCACGACTTCATTTTGATGGCTGTCTTCAGCTTTTCAGTAGCTCTATGAAGGCGCTCTGGCAGGGCGAAAGGGGACTCTTCAAAAGCCATGGGAATTGGTCGGTGTATTGACTTTGTCTAGGACGGGTTCCTGATCAAAGTATCGCAGTGAAGGTCCGTGAGTTGCTTTCTTTGTCTGGGTCGGACCACTTTCAATATATTGTAGTAGAAATGCCGCCTGGAGTGGAACTCGGAATGATGATGCTTCTGTTTCTCGGTGGGACGTGCTGAAATATCATATTGGAGTCGACGGGATCTGCATCTTGTGACGAACAGACGAGAGAAGCTTCAAAAAGGGAAAAAAAGAAAAAGAGAAGGGGATCTGTCGACCTAGAAGTATGCACAGGAAGAAGAAAGAGTTGCACGAAAACGGACCATGAGACTGGATAATCGAGGGCCGCTGACAATGTTATCAGCATTACATATCCCGGGGGACAGTGCTGGGCGAACTGATCATCATCAAGGCACGCGCCGTTTTTTGTCCGATGATCCCGATGCAGGGGCCCGACTTGTATTTACGCATTCAAAATTTCCCCATCAAGAGTTTCCCTTAAAAACAATGTCTATTGTCGGAAGTGGGTTGAGGAACTCTCAGATTCCCCGCCGGAAGCTATCGACCATTCAGGGTTTACTTCCGTTTGCGGCGATGCAGCGAACATTTCATCACCGCTTCCCTCCATTACTTTTATTTGAAGAATGGAAACGATCCCGGATATCATTGTGTGGAAAAATAAACTGAGGCTGATTTCTGTGGTGGAAGATGTGCTCATGATGACCTTGTCAACTGACAAACAGCCCTAATGTCCCATGACATTGACGCATGGCGGGATCCAGTGAAGTGCCAAAGAAGTCACGGTAACGTGATCCGGCCCCACCCGTTCGGACTTTTGATATTCCACTGCGGTTCGAGCTGTACATACAGTATAAGAAGAAAAAGAGATGATTCATTGACTTAAGCACGCCGTATTTTACATGATGGGTTAGGAATCGAAACATCACCGATCTACTCTACTCTTGATCTCCAATACCACAATGAACGGTCCCCTACCGATCTTCGAGCTGCCATTATAAGCGCCGAAAGCGGTACAATCCCGGATGACTAAGGCGGCTCCTCAATGGAGTAACCACGTGATCTTTAGTGCAGTATAGAGAGTACATACAGCTATGGTAATACCCTGTTGATCGATAAGAAACAAGACTGAAGTATGAAAATGTTGAATTTAAAAAGGAGGACATACATATCCCCATTGACCATAATAAAAATAACTTAACTGTGTAGTAACAGCTTCCATTCAGAACCTGGGGTAAGCCGAGTTATGACCGCCAGCCCTAAGCCCTGTCCCAATCGGGTACCCAGCGTCATGGGCCTCGACCTTCTACCTCCTACTCCTTGGCGGATCATGATCTGAGGACAACATCTCCAATGCTATCAACTTGACCGGTGGTTTTTTCAAACACCTTTCCTCCCGCCAACGTCCCCCCTCCCACCTACCTCCCTGTAAAAACCCAGAGTCGACTCGATTTTGCATTTCCTACCCCGCCTTCGATGGGCAACAACCCTTCCAAAGGCGGCGATGCGCCATCGGGCCATGTCCCCAATGCCTCGGGAGATCGAAAGGTCGTTCGCCGAACATCCCTCAATGCGATTCCGACACACAAGGCTACTGTAGCCGACCCTTCTGCCTCACGGGAGACAGCTGCGGGCCACTCGGCAGGTTACCAAGGCTCCGTTCAACACCGGCTACAGTCACGAAACACCCCCGATCATACCGCAAGAACCTCCGGAAAGTCAGAAAAATACGATGCAAAGAGTCCTGAATATACCCAAGGGAAGAATATTCCTGCGCCGGATCTTTCCAACCCGGTGCAAGTCCCGGTTGCGCGCCATGCCGCGGGACGCGATCCAATGGCCCCCTCGGCCCCGCCCATGAATTCCTACTATAATGCATCGCAACATCTTCAACGGCCTCCGCGATTGCCATTACCTATCGCCGATGGCACCGCCACGCCGGGATCTCCCATTATGGGGCCCGAAGATTCGCATATACAATCGATGCCGGCGGACCGACTTCTCGACGAAGAAATGAACCAAGAGACCTCCCATATTAGCAGTGAGGCCATGGACGGCGAGGAGGTGCTAGATGAACTCCAACCATTTACCCCAAGTGGCGTTGGAAAGGCTGTGTCTACAGTCATCGAATGGTCTGCACCTGGTCAAAAAGTTTATGTCACTGGAACCTTCGTCAACTGGGAGAAGAAGTTCCGACTACACCGAGGGTGAGTATAGCCTCCTATAATATCAAAATTTGAGAATGAAAGTTGGCTCACCATATCACAGCGACCACGATGGCGCAGTTATGTCGACTACATTGAATCTCCGCCCCGGAACCCACCACTTGAAATTCATTGTTGACGGAGAAATGCGAGCATCCGATACTCTTCCAACCGCAGTGGATTTCACCAACCACCTCGTGAATTATGTTGAAATCAGCGCCGACGATGCCCGTAGAGACAACGACACCCCGGCGGGCGTAAATGACTCGCAGAGTATAGCGGATAATTCCCGGGATGGAAAATCCGAGGAGACAACCGATGACCCTCCGAAAAAAGAAGAAATTGAGGAAGAGGTCCCTCCCGGCGATTTCGGCGGTGCTATCCCCCAGTTTCTCGCAGACCTAGATAAAGAAGAAGACAGCCCGGCGTATCTTCAAGCTGCGAATGTCATTGGAGACACAGCGACACCTCCAAGTCTACCTTTGTTCCTTGGCAAATCCATTCTCAACAGCACTACTCCCACCAAAGATGATAGCAGTGTCCTAAATTACCCTAACCACACTGTCTTAAACCATCTTGCCACCAGCAGTATCAAAAATGGTGTGCTCGCCACGAGTGTGACGACCAGATACAAGCGAAAGGTGAGACCCCGCCCCTAGGCCAGGCCATGCCTTATCGGGAATAAACTGACCCTTTACTTTAGTACGTCACGACCATCTTGTACAAACCAACCGGTGATCTGGAATGAGCGATACTTCAACCTAACCTATGATGTGGATTTTTACACTTGCGGAGTCGATATTTTGAACCATTTCCATGAAATACTACTTGGGACATTATGCAAAGTCCTCACTGCATCAAGAATTTGACGTTCTGTAAATTGGAGTTTAGTACGGCGTTGTTCTGTGGTTTATTTGCATTTCACCCCCCATATCTCCAGGCCCCAGCGACAATTTTGCATGCCCTTTTTGTTGACGGGGTAATTTTTATGAGAATCTTTCGAACCTATCAAATTTAAATATTGGAAAATTAATATACAGCGAAGTGTTCCATAACTGCAAGCAGTTGGTCGGATTTAAGTAGAACGATATCGGGCTGCAGACAACTCTTATTTACAGCCCCCCATAAGTGTACACAAGTTTATTTGGAATATGCCACTGGATCAATGCTGTCCCCACATTCGTGTTTTGTCCTCACAATGCTCGTCTAAGAGTATGGTGAATTTACAGAGGGCTCTCATGGCATTGAATTTATAATTTTTTCCTTCATATCACATAATCATATCTATTTTATTTGTCCTGGCGACTGTTTTCGTAGTATGCAACATCAATCCTCCCGCCACTTGACATGCACTTCATCTGTTCTGAATCGTTGTGTGCAAGAAGAGTCCTTCAGAGCAGTCCGGAAGCCAGACTGATAAGCCAACATTCCAGCTTGCGCGATCATGATTCCATTATCGATACAAAAGCGTTCATCCGTGGCGTAAACGCTACCACCACGATCCCGCGCCATAATTCCCATCATCTCTTGTAGTCGTTCGTTGGAGCCCACACCACCAACGATAAGAACTTGTTTGAGATCCAACATGTGCCATTGCACGCTCGGTGATCTCAACAAGCATAGCGTAAACAGTTTCCTGAAGCGAGAAACACAGATCCGCACGAGTAGGTTTGTTGTCGGAGCCGGAGTCGGAGTCGGAGCCTTGGTTTTGGCTTGTCTGCTGCTCCACGTTTGAGGCCTTCTCGGCATCTTCTCTCGCCCGTTCTTCCCCTCCTAACCCCAACGTCGCAGCCAAGCTATCGATGGCCGCCAAAATTCCTGAAAATGAGACATCCATGCCCTTCACCACGTATGGAAGGTCCACTAGTTGCCTGCCTTGCTTGGCAAGTTGCTCGATATTATAACCTGGGAACGGATCATTGGATATGTGTAATGTGCGCGCGAATCGGTCCAAACAGTTTCCAACAGCGATATCAAGAGTTTCGCCGAAAATTCGGTACCGTTGAGAGCTGTATGCGATGACTTGTGTATTGCCGCCAGAGACGTATAGGACGACGGGGTTGGTTGCGCCGGTAATCAGACGGCCCATTTCAATGTCTATGAAGAAGAGGAAGAGGAGAGTTAGTTAGTGTACCTCGATATAAAGAGAAGATAATGCCGTATGGCTGGGATGGGAAGAAGACTCACGCCCTACACAGTGATTCACACCGATCAATGCCTTGCCCCAAAGAAGACTCAGCATGCGCGCCGCAATTGCGACAGCTTGTAGCGGGGCACCCATTCCAGGTCCTTGGGTGAAGCAGATACAGTCGACCTCCTCGACCGACACTCGGGCCTCCTTGAGGGCTCCTTTCACCAGGTTGACAACCCATGTCCGGTGGTGACGGGCCACATCTTTGGGCAAAAAGCCTTCTCCAGGTGGGGAAACATAGGTGTGTCGAATGTTCGCGAGGACTTGTGGTGGGCTGCCATCTTTGGGATGTGACATAATGCCTATACCAATCTTGTTGGCGGAGCCCTCCATGCCAATGGCGATCATCTTGGAAGTCGTTGATATGGAAATATACGAAGTGAGAGGGAATGAGCTTTGATATGGTGTTGCTGTTGCTATTGCTTGTCAGGTATAACCTTCGGTGCACTGGTGGTCCTGCCGATTTTCGTTATCGTTATCGGTATCGGTAAAAGCGGCGACGGGACTGGACCAATCCCGTTTCGCCGAACGTTCTCCGAGGGCCAAAAGTTATGAATAATTACGGGTCCTCCATCTAGTTACATACTCTTTTACCCTTTCATTTTCCCTTCCCCCACTCCCTCAACTCTTTGCAGAAATCCTTCACCTTTTCTCACCTTGAGTATTTGAGCAAAGACTGGGACTGGAATAGGGATATATTGTCCAATCTTCTCTCTCCTCACCTCCCATCACCTCCTCATTCTTTCTTTCGTCATTCCAGCTACATCCCATACAACATGTCCTCCTCCACCCACTTCCCCGACCCTTCAAGCTTCCAGCAACAGTCGAACAACTTCATTTCTTGGTTGGAAGGAAGCCCTGGTGTTAAAGTCAACTCCAAGATTCTCCTAGCAGACCTTCGAGCCACTGGTGCAGGACGAGGAATCGGTAAATTCAACTTTCTCCCCCCCCCCCCACCACACAAAATCCGCAATGGTCAGCAAAATGGTTTGACAGGAAAGCACCTTCTCTAACAATATCTCTTCTTCATAATCATAGTGGCCCGAACAAACATCGAAGAAGGAGAAGAACTATTCTCGATCCCGCGTTCCCTAATTCTCGCCGTGCAGAATTCAGACCTGAAGTCCCTGCTCCCTCAAGATGTGGAGAACCTGGGCCCCTGGCTGTCCCTGATGCTAGTAATGATATTCGAATACTTGAAGGGACCTTCCTCTCAATGGGCACCCTACTTCCAAATCCTACCCACACAATTCGACACATTGATGTTCTGGTCTGCGGCGGAATTGCAGGAATTGCAGGCCAGTGCCATTGTTGACAAGATTGGCAAACAGGGTGCTGATGAGTCGATCCTCGAATCAATTGCTCCCGTTGTTAGGGCGAACCCGTCTCTATTCCCGCCTGTTGGCCAGCTCTCTTCATACGAGGGTGATGCTGGCGCTGCGGCGCTGCTGGAACTTGCTCACATGATGGGCTCCCTTATTATGGCTTATGCTTTTGATATCGAGAAGTCCGAGGACGATGATGACGAAATGAACGATGCGGATGACAGCTACATGACTGATGATGAGGAGGAGCAGTTATCCAAGGGCATGGTCCCTCTGGCTGATCTCCTTAATGCCGACGCTGACCGCAACAATGTGGGTAGAAACTGTCCTGGATCCCGTGACTGGACTTGTCATCTCTAACAAACCATCATTCTCTAGGCCCGTTTATACCAAGAAGAAGAGTCATTGATCATGAGGGCATTGAAACCCATTCGTGAAAACGAGGAGATTTTCAACGACTATGGCGAAATTCCTCGCGCAGATCTGCTCCGCCGTTACGGCTATGTGACAGAAAACTACGCCCCATTCGACGTGATTGAGCTATCCTTGCGAGATATCTGCCAAACAGCCGGTCTCCCCACTGACGACTTGGAATCGCAACCTAGGGTATGCCAAAAAACAAATCCACCAAAATCCACCATTCCTGCACCTTTCTGGACAATTGACTAATTTTGTTGTCCAGCTTCAATTCCTCGACGAGCACGAAGTTCTAGAAGACGGATATGTCATCCCGAGACCTTTGAACAATGCCACGCTTGAGGATATTCTACCTGCAGAATTGGTCGTCCTTCTTACGACGCTGTCGCAGACACCCGAAGAATTCGAACAGCGTCGATCCAGAAACAAGCTGCCAAAGGCGTCCATGGATGCGAAACAGGCTGCCCTTCTCTACAAAGTCTTACAGACCAAGCAAAGTCAATATGCAACATCGCTCGCTCAGGACACCCAGCTCCTACAAAGTCTTTCTCCTCCCCAGTCACCTGCATCTCTAGAAGGGTCATCTCGTCGACTGAAGATGGCGCTTCAGGTGCGCATGGGCGAGAAGGAGATCTGCCAGGCTGTTTTAGCGATGCTTGATTCCATTACGGCAGCTTGATTTATCGAACGAACTACGAACAACAACGAACAACGGCCCCGAGAATGGTGATTGAGGTGGAATATCGGATATATGATATGCTCTTGAGAGAGCAGGCTCGCGGTGGCCATACGAATTACGTTACGAAGCCAACAAAGGCCCAAAAAAGTGTCAAGATATTGGCGAGTGATTATATTTCTGTTAGATTTTGGAAGTTTCTCCTTTTCTGCCCTTGTTCCCTTTTTCCATCATCACAGGCATCATAACTTCGGTTATCCATCATACAAAACAGCGGTCTCTTCGACCTGCGCGCTCTCTCCTCCACCAGAAATCAAAGAAGGTAAATATGTACACTAACAAACGCAGACATACCCGCCAAGATGCTGGACTAGCAAAATGACAGGCAGTTGCAACAGTATCGAAGGGTAAAGGTGGAGAGGAGCGAGAAAAAGGGGGGTGGGCGTGGGCGGAGAAGAAGGAAGAAAAGAAGAAAAGCACAAGCGGGACCATCAAATCCCTTCGTCGCCCACGATATTCGTCAAAACATGAAAAGGTACTAAAACTACAGTGTGGGAGAAGGTGAAAAGTGGTGAGGTGAGGTGGGCCGACGGGATGATGGAGAAAAAAAAAGACACGAAAACGCCCGCCAAATGCTGCAAAGAGAAAAAACGTTAAGGGGAGAGGAATGGGAATGACAATCAAGCCTCAGACGATGCAGCTACCATAGCTGGCGGAGCTGGTGGAGGTCCATTTGGCCCTGGGTTATTGCCAGCTTGATCGGCTTGCAATCGTCGTTGAGCTTGGACCTGAGCTGCTGCTTGTGCTTGCGCCTGCGCCTGCGCATGAGCAGCTACTGCGGCCTGTTCCCGTGCCTTGGCCATGGTGATGGCCCGGTGTTGCATGATCTGGATGCTATAACCATCTGTTTCATACGAAGACTCTTCATCGGAGTCTTCTTGATCGAACTTGAATCGATCAGACCGAAGGGGATCCATTTCAATTTTACATCGCGCCGCAAGATTTCGACGGTCGATCATTAATCTTCCACCGCGACCAACCCGTCGCCGGAATGACGGCATACGAGATGGTTCTTCATGCATCTCCATGGCCCGCGAGGCAAGTTTATCTCCCCGGCCGGAGAGGGGGCTGACATCCAGCGATGTGTCCATTGCATCAGCCGATGCCTCTGAAGACGGCGGTGTGGGCAACTGTGCAGTAAAAGCCGGACGGAAAGCCGCAGTGTCGAATGTCCTTTCTGGTGACGGTGACAGCGGCGCACGGGTGTGGTCTACAAAGCCCTCGTTCCACTTGATGTGCTTTGCGATATTCTGCTTGATATCGCGCATAATCTCGTTCTCCTTCTCTGCCTGGTGATCTTCCAATAATTGAAGATCTTCTGCGCCTTGCAAGCCTGCCTTGAGTGGCATGCGGATTTGAGGAGCAGTGGGTTGTCGAGATGGCATCTCGGGTTGCTTCTTCTTGGGCTGAGTCGGGGAACTGTTAGCAATTGTGCAACAAAGACAAGGAACAGGACCAGAAGAACATACCTTTTGGTTGATGAGGTCCTCATCATCGTCCTTGATGTTGAGTTTGCGCTTCATATCCCTGACTTCGGAGCGTTGCGCGAAGAGGTGTCGTTCCATGCTAAGCATTTCTTTGCGAGCAACCTCACGTTGACGCACCAAAGCAACCAGTTGCCGTGCATCTTCAAGTTCTTTACGAAGTCGCCGCAGCTTCTCGGCACTCTGGGCATCCCGACCACGCGTTTTGCGGATCTGACGAACCTCACGTCGACGGAAACAGACATACGGATCGCTGTCATCAGTATCCTGACCAGTCTCGAACTACAGAAGTTCAATTGTTAGCAGAGTATTCGTCTGAAGTGCGGGGCGGTTACAAGGGCGCAATTGCGATTTACCTTCAAGCTTGGTTCGAGCGAACGATTACCGGCGGCGATTCGTCGTGACTTCCAATGCTCATATATAACCTTGGCGAAGCGCTTCACACACTCCTCCACTGCGGCATCCATGGAGTCTTCCATGTCTGCAAAGGCTAAAACGGGCGGGCTATCCACGGCAGCGAATGGCTGTTTCGCCTCGGCGGTCTCCTCAAAGAAGTTCATCGTAGCTTCGAAGTCATCTTCTGAACACCGGTTCGCCGGGTTCTTCTGATTGAAGATCTTGAGAAAGACATCATCCTCCTCGTTCATGTTATACGGACACCCGCAGCAGTCCTCCACCGTGGAGGAGAAGCGGATATACGTCGCAGGCTGCGAGAAGAGTGGAGGGTATAATTCGTCATATTGGAGGTTACTGAGGATGGTTTCGGGAGTTGGGATGTGCGCGGCAGTAACATTGCCTTTAGCAGTGGCATTGATCGCGACTTGCAAGTGAAATTCCTAGCGTGGCGCGTCTCGAGTTAGCATCGTGAAAATTTCGTGTCGCTTTGGTGATGTCATCACGTGATGATATGCAGGGATGAGGCTAGGCTAAAATTAGGACTGGGGGGAGGTAAAGGGCAACGTACGGACTCCTCGGCCTTTTCGACGCCGGTTTCGATTTGTTGGAGTGTAGACTGAAGTTCGTCGTCGATTACATCGATCTCATGTTCGCGAACGATGGGGATGGACGCCTTAGCAGTGAGCTTCTTTGGGCGCGTTCGGCCCAGGCCCCCGTACCGAGTCATAGCGTCGGGACGCGCAAAAGCGCAACGACCATGGGCGGGATTGGGATTAAAAGGGTCTCAATCGAAAGGCCTGGTCATGCGGTATCTCGTAGTCGTATTTTTGAGATGGAATTCGATGAGGAAGGGGGTGATAATGACGGTTGAAGTTGGGCGTGTTCGCAGCAGGCGGTTGGATTGACGTTGCAATGTCACCCGGTGATGGCCTGTTTTGCCGCCCGCACGGCCTCAGGGGCTCGCTTGCCTGTCCCGTTCCGGTTAGTCACTTGTCTGAAAGGGGTTAGTGCGGGGCTGGGCATTATCAAACTTGGTCTCTGCTATCATTCTGCTATCATTCTGGTGGTCCTTTCTACCCCGGCTTTGTTTTGTACTCCGCTCTATTCACTAGACCTGTGCCTGTGCCTGTGATTTGTTTTGTTGTATCCTCTCTTCAACCAGTTCCGGTGTTGACTCCTTTCATTCCTCTCTCCAACTCATCCACCTTCCCGCCTTCCCCTCACATTCCTCCCCCTCCTCTTCCACCGCAATGGACCAGCCATCCGAACCCAACGCCGCCGCCATGCACAATGTGGCGCGCCGACGAGGCTCCGTCGGAACTACACAACTGTTCGATAATATTATCTCGACTTCAAATTGTTCGTTTCCCCTGGTAATGTCGTCAAGACGAGGTCACGAGCTCCCCGCTGACACTCAAAACAACAGTCGATCGTGATGAGGTGGACCGCCTGCGCAAGCGCTTCATGAAGCTTGATAAGGTTCGATTAGCTTGAAACTATTTCCGATCTTCCCTCGACAACTTACTAACAATCGATCTCCCGATCTCTAGGATGGTTCCGGTACGATCGATCGCGACGAGTTCCTGTCCTTGCCTCAGGTTTCCTCCAACCCGCTTGCCACGAGGTACGTCCACGCAGTCGATGTTTCCAATACCCTACCACCACCACCACCACCCATATTGACTCGGATTATAATAGAATGATTGCAATTTTCGATGAGGATGGCGGTGGTGATGTCGATTTCCAAGAGTTCGTGACCGGCCTGTCGGCCTTCAGTTCCAAGGGCAACAAATCAGAGAAGCTTCGATTTGCATTCAAGGTCTACGATATCGATCGCGACGGATATATCTCCAACGGTGAACTCTTCATCGTCTTGAAGATGATGGTGGGCAACAATCTCAAGGATGTGCAACTGCAGCAGATTGTGGATAAGACTATCATGGAGGCCGATAAGGACCAGGATGGACGCATTAGTTTCGAGGAGTTCCAAGACATGGTGGAGAGCACGGATGTCAACCTGAGCATGACTCTGAGTAGGTCTCGCCTTATCTCCTTTTCTTCTACATGGGGATTGTGTTTTGTCATACTGGCAGATTCATTTGCTAACACGACTATCAGATCAAATATAAACCCGGCGATGGACATACTTGGAGCTCTACCATTGGTACTGCGTTGCGCTTGACCGCACTTCTCTGCGTGCATTCCCCATTCTGTTTTCTCTTTTCTTTTTAAATTTGTGTTCTGGTTTCGTCTGTTGTCCCTCTCGTTCTCATGTCCCTCCTCACTCTCTTTGTGGTGATCCATGCAGGTGGGCTTTCCGCCTTATGACTCTATGACCAGCGACGTGATGTCCTTTCCCCCCCCTGCAATGTAGTTTACTACCAATGATATTCCCATGCCCCCCGAGCCTCGGGCCAACCTCCGGCCGAACTGTAAGTCTCGTGGTGAGGTGCAATCTCAACCGGGAGGGGGTCCAGTCGCAATCCCAATCCCATTCCACAGCTTTCCTTTCCTATCCATTCTGCCTCGCCGGGGAGCTCTCGGTGTCACTATCCCTCCGAGCAGAAGCAGCAAAGCCCAGCTCGGCTATAAATGGACATCGTCAGCTGACAGGGGACCAGAAACGTCAGCAGCGGTGAAACTACCCAGGTTCCCAGTTGCGGCCAGTATACCGAAGGCGAAGGGTGTACAGGAGGGCGTGCGAGATCAGACCGAGTCCTGGGTTGTGCAGATTGCATCATTTTCCTAGTCTCGAGGGTTGGTCGGAACAGGATGAAACCCACAATTTTTTTTTCTTTTCTTCCCCCTTGACCTCGGCACTGTCCCCATCCCAACCAGAGTATCGGATCTGGTTGGGGGGCGGAACGAATCAAAATCGAAACCCTAGGGCGGATTTTGACTTGACACTTTGACTTGACATTTCTGGCTCCACTCTCCACTAATCGTCAACCTACTTGTCTTGGGTCGATTCAATCTTGCTGCAGATTGCAGATCCGGAATCGGGCAGACGATGCCCGATCTGTATTTCAAATCTTGACACCCTGACTCCCGTTTGGAGGCTTTTTTTTCTTGCTTTCTCTTCGTACTTCTGACCCAAGTGGATCAGATCAACTGTGCCCTGCCCTTTTGTTGCAGATATCCGAGAAGGAAGGGGGGGGAGGGGAAGGGAACAGCAGCGCAGCAGCTGTCCGAGCAATAATATGCGCCCCGGAATGTCCAGTCACCCTCCTTCTAACCCCCCTTTTATTATTATTGTCATTACTGCTACGGAGTACTTCGGTGTACTACTATTATTGCTATTATTGCTATTATCTATCATATTATCATTCTTCTTTTACTTTCTCTCCTCCTGCTTCTGCTTCTTTCGTTTTCGTTTTCTTCTTTTCTTTTCTCCCCCTCTCCGGTTGACTGCTTCACAGCTATACCTTTGTTCAAGCTGAACACGACTCATCTTTCAGGTCTGCTTACTCTTGATTTCTCCGTGGCTGAAAAGAAAGAGAGGGAGAGAAGGGGGGGGGGAGTGAATTCAATCCGTTCCATTAGGGCCTGGGATCCTCAGCCCCATCTCGCAAGTTACACATCCAAAAAGAAACAGAAAATAATAATAATAATAAATAAAACAAAACACCAAAAAAAGAAAACAAAAAAAAGAAAGACACACCTGACCCTGTCATCCCTAGCTTTTGGGAAACCCACCAGGAACCAGCGCACCGGGTTCCTGGGCGATCTCAGACGCGCAGAGTTCGTAGATCGGTGTGCGATCGTCGGCCTAGCGCCATCCCAAGTAGATAGTCTCAAATACTATCCCTTCCAGGTACCCGGTCCTCCACGAGTTGACATGTTTCTTGTTCGGTACCCTCCTGCCCCAGTTACAGCTCTTTCGTTCATTACTGTCTTCGCTTCTTACTGGGTACGTTCAGCCCTTTCTCAGGCTAACTATTCTCCCCTCCCCACCCCCCTCCCTCTCTCTCATCCATCTATCGTCATCCTTTATTTTTTTTGGCCCCCCTCCCTCTGCTCACGTTACGATCAGATTCGTCATATTTTGGGAGCCCTACTTTTTTCTTATTTTTGTGGATTCCATTTATTTGGGTCCTATTGTTTTTAGGTCACCCGTGGCTTTGGCTTCGTTTTATAAATCATCAATCATCTCGCCAATCTCTCATCCTCGTCTTCATGTAATCAATTCCCTTCGACTTTCCCTCGGTGGTCTTACTCTTACTCTCACGCTCACTCACTCTCGCTAAATTATTCTTTGTCGGTACGCCTCGTCTGACTCCGAATTCTATTCTGACGCCTCATTCGGTGGCTATCAATCTTGAAATTCTCCGTGGCTATTCCTTGGGTCCACATCCAGATCTACATCGTCTAGATCCATATTCATATTCACAACCCAATATCTGAAAACACAAAAAAGAACTTCCGGGAAATCACTACATCAAATTGAAATACTTCTACGAGGTACAGAGAAGCGAAAATACCAAGAAATAAACAGTGATCTACTGTAATATATCAATCCAAACAATCCAAAGCATTCTCCAAGCTGGCATCCTACGCAAGTCCGCCCTTGTCCCCCAACCCCAAAACTTGGGCCAATATCGACCTCCACAGGCTCCGGTGGGACGGCCTAATGGATGGCGACAGCCGCAAGCAGAATGAAAGATTGAGGGCAAGATCCGGCAACTCGACAGCCAGAGGCCGTGGAGCTGACTCCTTCGAGTCTTCCACCATGCATCCACGTGGAGACCCAACAGGGCTGTCGCAGGCACCAGACCGCGGATCGATGTCCTACAACTACGAATACACAGGCACATCCTTCGCCGACGGCTCACTGCAGGGCAACGAGATGTCATCCTATCCGCCCGAGTTTGTACGGCCACGCCAGCATCAAACGGCGTCATCTACGAGCGGCCAGCAACGCCGACGACCGCAAGAGGTGCCGCCATTCGTACCGTACGATTCGGCCATGCTGTACGGATTTGGTCAGCAGGGTCCAGCCCCAGGACCCTTTGAAGTTGTTCCACAGTACTCGCCACGGCAGTCTGCAGCGATTGAGGCCCTGTCGAACCAGTTTGCCGTTCCACAATATTTCACCCCCGAGGAACCCTCAGCGACGGGGGTCCCAGTCGGGCTCTCGCCTTATCTCAACGCGCAGATGCCATATAATCAACCTGGCCCCATGGCACGTCCGAGTACTATGCAACCCTTCCCCGCCAACATGACCGATTTCACCCCAATCGGCGGCCCGACTGGCCGATTGGAGCACCCCCCCTCAACAACATCAACAGCAGCAGCATCAGCAGCATCAGGCTGATAGCTCCGAGGCCGTGCCCGTGGACGAATCCTCAACTCTCAGACGAAGCCTATGCTCAGTACCGACGAGCACTGCGCAGCACCTTTGACCACACGCGCGCGGGACGATTGGTGGAAGCCAGCCGATCGCTGCTGGAAATTTCCGAGTGGCTTGTGGCTAACGCACGGGATCTTGGTAGGTTCGGCTCCTTTCCATGCTCTTTCATTTTTTACCTTGCGGGAGGTACAATGCTGGTACAAGGTTGCTGCCGCGCCCCAGAGCGTGTGGAGAGGTCGTACCACAATCGCACTCCAGCCTGGGCCCTGTTTTTTAAACCGGGGAGCTGTATTTTTTCTGCCTCTTTTGTTTTTTCTCTTCTCTTCCTTTGCGCCCTACACGCACGCGTCATACAAGCATCATCTGAGAGGCCCAGTGGGGGAATACCGATACCATAATAACCCTTGGGAATTATTACCAAAGAGTATCAAAATGAGTACTAATTCTTTTTCTACTTATTTCGATACAGGAATTCTGCGCGATGATCATCTTCTCTATCATGATCGATTACAACTCTGGAACGACTTTAACCTTTGCTGGTTAGCCGTGTGTCAGAAGCAGAAGGATCTGTTTCAAGATCTGATCACGACGGGCCATTCACCAGCGCATACGAGTCTCATCGGTCGAGATCAGTTGGAGGCCATGGGCAAGGATCTGATCCACCTTTGCGATCAGCTAGAGCAGCATGGGCTGGTCGATTATCAATTGGGCATTTGGGAGGAAGAAATCCTATGTGGTGCGTGAACAAAGCTTTGTAGAATTCCTGCTTCTTGCCCTCCTCCCCCTACCACAGCCCTCTTTTCAGGAATCGCATTGCGAAATAATTTCGAGTCTAAGCCTAACTAACCTTACATCAGTCCTTGGCCAATGTCTAGATGTGATAGAGAGTCGACCAGAACTCCTACGGGTCCATGCGCTACCCGAACCCACGGCCGCGGCGCCACGGCCCTGAATCAAAAAAAGCCCTAATTGACCAACGAAATCGTCCTCACCCCCTCCATCACGCCCCTCAAAACCAAACCTTCGGCTCCAAAATGCAAACACGGGTCCATCATCATCTGGCGATCAATCGCCAGAGGTTACAGGTACAGGTACAGGTTAGCTGCGGGGCAAAATATGAGGTGGCAGCCACCACGGCGCAAGCTATTGCCTACTAGCGCCATCCACCCACCACCCACCACCCGCGACGGGACGTGAGACGTGAGATCATCCAAAGCCAAGCCAAAGCTTTGGAACTGGTCAATTATCACGATTCGTCGCCTTGAAAGAAACGGCCCCGATCTCGAAGATCAGCTCGAGATTTGGGCACATCATCTCCTCTACCCTACTCTACGCTATGCTACGCTACGCTACACTACCCTACCCCTCTTGACTACTCATACCTATCAATCATCTCATCTCCACTCCACCCCCATCGCATCCCATCCCGTCTTCCCCGTGATGGAAGAGCTGAAATTAGCCCCATTTACGGGGACATCCGACACTCACACTCGCACTCACGCTCACGCGCACACCCACACCCACACACCTCCGCCTCACTCTGTCCCTGTCCCTGTCCCAAATTGGTACCGACTATGGAGTATAGTATACGCTATTGCTAGTCTAATCGCCGTACTACCCTAGTACGGTGTATTTCTACGATAATGACCAAAAATGTACATATCAACTTTTTCTTTCAGTGTTCGTGTTCAAATTCACCTTTGTGGTTTAGTGCCAGTGCAAGTACAAGTACGGAGTACGGTCCCCAAGTATTGTACCCTACCTGTGCCAGTGGTTAATATATATTTCTTCTTCCGAATAGTTGCTTACATTCAAGGCGCGGCGTCGGGAATACAAAAAAGAAAGGAACCTCGGATAGGAAGAGAAATACGATAGGAATATGCTCAGGCTCAGGCTCAAGCTCTCGGCGCAATGGATTATTATTAGCGTGACGATTACCGTATACGATTAATGTTTGTCGTGGTATTTGAGTTTCTAGGTCATGGACGCCTTGGGATCTCTCTTGCAGCTATTGTCTTCCATTTCCGATTGGTGTGCCAATCGATCGGGCCCGGTTCTTGGGGCTAAGAGGGTCAAGAGGGTCTGCCAAATACAGTCATCTGCAGGATGGCTTTTTTCATCACATATGTGATATGCAGACGCCTCATTCCGTGTCAGTGCCAGTGCTCCCTGAATGCGAAAGCGAGGCCGATTAAGACAAATGGTTATCCTTTAAGGGATAGGCGGCTGCCATGATCTGCACTAGTACTACATAGGTTTGTGGTGTCGACTCCGTATTCTCATCGATAATCATATATGCAAGTTAAAAGTCGGCTATAGCACTGGCATTCTCAGAAACTGAATAGTCGAAGCCCTACCCTTGTACGATTCGGATAATTAGGACAGGGAGATTCCTGGGGACATCCACACAGTTCAATGATATCAGTGATATAGAAGGTGCCCGTGGACTTGATCATTCGATGAAAGCTCCATATGCATTGAATATAGGATATAGAACAAAACTGGCACTTTTGAATGCCATGCAAGTGAAATAATACATGAGATAGATAATACAAGATAGTATCGCTGCAGAAGAATATCGCCTTTGTCCGGTTTCAACGCTTGACCCAGGCAGGCATCTTGCGAGCCTTGACATGACCCGGCTTCTTTCTCTCCACACGACGAGCATCGACCGTAATGACACCGGCTAAAGAGAAAAAGAAAAAGGTCAGCAACGCTCAAATATCGAAGACGGACTAAATAAGACAACTTAAACTTACCTCTCCGCAGCAATGGCTTCAGACCAGGTTCGTGCACCATCAAAGCTCGCGCAATCGCCAATGTAACAGCCTCCGTCTGGCCAGTCACACCACCACCCCGAACCGTAACCCAAGCATTGTACTTGTCCATTCGCTCGGTGGTACGCAGTGCCCACAGCGCACTCTCTCGGTCATGTACACGGGGGAAAGCCTCAACAATAGACTTTCCATTCACAAGGACCTCACCCTCACCCTCGACCAAGTGAACAACAGCCTTGGACTCCTTTCGCTTACCCTTGGCACGCGCCTTTCCATTCTCATCCAACTCGGGAGTCTCGCGCACCACAGCATACGGGTTTCCAGGACGAAGGAATGAGTCCAGCACGGTGCGGACTTCACCGGGGACCATCTCTGGCTGAATTCGATTCAACCGCTGGAGAATCTTAACCAGACTCTTATATTTCTTGACCGGCACGGCCTCGCCAACGTATTCGCGGAACTGCTTGAGCTTGAACCAGGCCATTCGGGGGGGCCTCGCCGGCAGGCAATTGAGGGAGGGCGGCGTAGCGGGCTTGTAGGGACTCCAGGTTGAGGACGTGGTCGACAAATCGCGGGCTACCGGAGAAGTAAGATGGAGAGGCGGGAACGATTCGGGCCGGATTGCGAAGGAAAGAAGTCGAGAAATCGATCTCTGGAGCAGCTTGAACGGGCAAATCTGGAATTGATTCGGGTTGGATTGCCGTGTTGGTCTCTGTCTCTGCCTCTGTCGCATAGGCACGGGCTAAATGCCTTGATGAAGGGATCAAGGAACGTTGTGGGAATTGCGAGGACAGTCGTAGGGACTGCATCGCCTGGACGAGGCCATTGGAGGAAGGCCGGGCCATTATGGTGAGTTGGGAGTTGGGAGTTGGGAGTGCCAATGATTGGGATATGATGAGCACTCGGGGAAGTTCAAAGGTTTCTCGGCCTTTCGGAGGAATATTCTTGCAGGTCCCAAATCACGTGCGCGGCGGGCGGGTTGCTGAAAATTAAAAACTTCCCGTTTGCCCCTCGATCTCCTCTTTCTTTCTTCCTTATCCCCCCCATTCTCTCTTTATCCCATTCAAGATGTCTTTCGGCAAGCTTTACGGTCTTCCTGTATGTTCTTGATTCCTTCTATTCAATTGTCTTTTCTTTTTCATCTTGACTGACTTGGTTTCCCCCCTCTCCAGGACAACCCTCGCACCATCTCCATCCTGGTCGCTGCCAAGCACAACGACCTGGACTTGGAGCTGGTCAAGACCGCTGCTAACTCTTCCGCCGAGTTCAACTCTGGTGCTGAGTTCCGCAAGGTCTCTCCCCAGGGCAAGATCCCTGCTTTCGAGGGTGCCAATGGCTACACTCTGACTGAGGCTATTGCCATCGCCATCTACGGTATGTTGTGACAACTTGTTCGGTTTATTTTTTTTTATACCCACCACCCACCTGCATTTCACCACTGGCCTCACAGCCAACCCCTTTCATGATGAGATGTATAAATTATAGTTATCCCTGTCAGAACTACACTGTTGAGAAACTACACAACTCTGAAAAATCACGCAAGAGAAGAATTGAGTACCCCGCTCGCGGGGAAAAATTCTTCACCTTGGGCGTGTGGACTTAGCCTCCTACCCCCTTGCCCCTTTCTTGCTTCACGTTGCCCCGTCAATGTTTTACCATTGCTCCTATTGTGGATCCACCTGTCAAAAAATCAAACCATGACTAACTTGATTTGATTTTTCAGTCACCTCCCAGAACGAGAAGACCACCCTCCTTGGCAAGACCAAGCAGGACTATGCTTCCATCGTCCGCTGGTTGTCCTTCGCCAACGGTGAGCTTCTGCCCCGTTTCGGTGGATGGTACCGCCCCCTCCTCGGCCTCGAGCCCTACAACAAGAAGACCGTCGATGAGGGTGCCAAGGCTGCCCTGAACACCATCGCTGTCCTCGAGGCCCACCTCACCGCCAACACCTACCTGGTCGGTGAGCGCATCACCCTGGCTGATATCTTCACTGCCGCTCTCCTCACCCGCACCTTCGCCACCGTCCTGGACAAGGCCTGGCGCAGCGCCAACCCCGCTACCACCCGCTGGTACAACACCATCATCAACCAGGCCGCTTTCAAGGCTGTTGTTGCCAACCCCGTCTTCGCTGAGGAGGTTATCAAGTACACTGCCCCTAAGAAGGAGGAGAAGCCCAAGGCTGCCCCCGCCGCCGAGGCCCCTAAGCCCGCTGCTGAGGCCCCCAAGCCCAAGCACCCCCTTGAGGCCCTTGGCAAGCCCACTCTCCCCATCGATGAGTGGAAGCGCCAGTACTCCAACGAGGACACCCGCACCGTTGCCATGCCCTGGTTCTGGCAGAACTACAACCCCGAGGAGTACTCCCTCTGGAAGGTCGACTACAAGTACGACGACGAGCTGAAGCTCACCTTCATGGCCAACAACCTGGTCGGTGGCTTCCACGCCCGTCTTGAGGCTTCCCGCAAGTACCTCTTCGGTTGCCAGGCCGTCTTCGGTGTCAACTACGACTGCGTCATCCGCGGTGTCTTCCTGGTCCGCGGCCAGGAGTCCGCTCCCGCTTTCGATGTTGCCCCCGACTGGGAGTCCTACACCTTCGAGAAGCTCGACCACAACGACCCGGCTACCCGCAAGTACATTGAGGACCTCTGGGCCTGGGACACTCCCCTTGTGATCGGCGAGAAGACCCTCGAGAACGTCGACGGCCACGTCTTCAAATAAGCGAGTGCATTTTGCACCTGCCATTAAAGATTTCCTTTCTCCCATCCTTGCCATCAACCCAATACCCCACTTCTTGTCAGCACCTTTTGCCTGACCTGATTAATGGTGGCGGGATTTAAAATACTCCCCTTTTTTTTCTGTTACGCGCCGATGTGGTTCATGTTTACGTTGTGATGTGAGATGATATGACTTGCAAGAGGTCTTTTTTTTTACCTACTTGTTTTGTCCTTGCTATTTAAATTAGCAATCAATGAAGGAGAGACCTTGGTCTCTGAAGAACAAACATTCTCCAGTTTTGTAGTTTCAAGTTCAAGTTTTACGTACACTGGTAGTCCGTAGTAGTCCGTAGTAGTCCGTAGTAGTCCGTTCTATATATATTCGGAGGTTCCCGCTGTTATTGCCATCCACGGTTCGGATCGACAACCTTGGAACTTCGCACAATCTAGACCCTTTCAAACCGAGATCAGCACACCACCTCAGTGCTATCATCAACTATCATACATTCAAGTTCAAGTTACTATCATCCCTCTCATCCCCTCCATCTCGCTTTATATTGCCTCGGTTGCATTCCAGTGGGGGCGTGGCCCGTGCAACGAAGGGGCCATTTGTCTCGCATCTCAACCGCGCCATCACTCAAACTTGAACTTTGCTAGTTCCGAGTCCTATTTTCTCTCCTTCCGATCAAAATCATTGGCAATCATCCCCTCCCATCTCATCGCATCCTATGACCCGAGTCCAGCTGTCACTCTCGCGTTGATCGGCGATTGCAACTGTCAAGCCTCACTAGCGCGGCGGTCTCCACTGCAACGTGGGGACTTCCCCAGGAACAACAAGCAAGACAGGCACACGACCAGGAACAGGACCAGGAACTGAAATAACCACCAAAATAACCCCATTGGACTGGACTCAGCCATGCTTCCACGATCGATCCTCCGAGTGCGCACATTACTCGCCGCCATCCTCCTCACCTCATTCCTCGTCTGGTCCTTTTCACGATACACGTCAGCGCCAACCCTCGACTTCGGCCGCACCGTACCCAACCTAACAACCGCCCAACAATCATTCTGGCGCTCACTTCACACTCTCCTCGAACAACATGGCCCAGATACAAACCCCCCTTGTCGAGGACGTCAAGGCGCCGACAGAAGGCTTCAACGCGGACGATAATACCAAACCACGACCAGACTACGTACTCGTCGCACGAGAAGACGTCGATACAATGCGAGAAGCGCATTCAAACTTTCTAAATGCGCTCAAATCAAAACCCGAGTCTTCAGCCAGACCTTCCAACCTACACCTCCAATATATCCCAGGAACAAAGGGCATCGTTTCAACCGCTGGCGGTTCTTACCTCCCCGTCCTAGTTATCTCTCTACGCATGCTCCGTCGCACCGGATCCAGATTACCCATGGAAGTCTTCCTCGCCGACGAAGAAGAGTACGAAGAGTATATCTGCGACGTCGTTCTCCCCTCATTAAACGCACGCTGTATAATCCTCTCAACAATCCTAGACGCCTCATCATCATCATCATCACCATCACTACCAACTGCCAAAATAACGAAATACCAATTCAAACCCTTCGCAATGCTCTTCTCCTCCTTCGAAGAAATCCTCTTCCTAGACGCAGACGCATTCCCCCTCACCGCCCCCGAGAAAATATTCACAAGCGACCCATTCAAAACAACCGGAATGATAACATGGCCCGATTTCTGGTCGTCTAGCGTTTCACCCACATTCTACGAAATAATAGGCCTCCCGACACCCCCGGCAATGAATTTGCGCGCATCAACTGAATCCGGCGAATTCGTGCTCTCGAAAAGGACGCATAGTCTGACGTTGATTTTGGCCACTTATTACAATTATTATGGACCGAGTCATTACTGGCCTCTTCTTTCGCAGGGTGCGGCGGGAGAAGGTGATAAGGAGACATTTGTTGCGGCGGCTATGGCGCTAGATGAGCCGTTTTATCAGGTTTCGCAGGCTATTTGTGCACTTGGGCATCGGACTGCTGGTGGGAGTGGGATGGCGGGTTCTGCTATGGCGCAGTTTGATCCGGTGCAGGATTATGCTCGAAGGAGGGATCGTGAGGGGAAGGGGAAGGGGAAGCACGGTGGTGGTGGGAACAAGCCAGATGTATTCTTCATCCACGCGAATTTCCCAAAATTTAACCCGGCGACGATCTTTCAGAGTGGGCATGAGGTACAGCCTGTTTTCGATGATGAGGGGGCTTATACGCGTGCTTGGACGATTCCGGAGGATGTTATTGCCAGTTTGAGGTTGAATGGGAATAGTGGGAAGGATGTTGAGAAGGTCTTTTGGGAGGAGATTCTTTGGACGGCTTGTGAGCTTGAAGGGAAGTTTGTTAGTTGGGGGGAATATGTGGGGATTTGTGAGAATGTTATGGATTATTGGAAGGGTATTTATGGAGAGAATCTTCCTTCTTGAATTGGGATGGTAAGTATGGTATGAAAAAAGTATTGTCTTGGATATCTGTCTTGTCTTCTCGTTGTCCAGTCCGGTCCAGTCCGGTCCAGTCCAGTCTCACCCAGGGTCAGCTGGTATGGGTATGATATACTCTACTTGACGACTCCTCAGAACCCCGAGATATCCCCCATAGCGGGCTGGACTGGATACACTATCCGCGGCGTTGAAGCCATCCCATGCCATCGAAAATCGATGTCTGGCTGGCTTCCTCGACTACGCACGATAGTGGCCTGTGGCATTGCTGCAGTATGAGACTTGGTGACTTGGTTTCTATCTTTACTTGGCGAATGTTTACCTCCAACTGGTTTGGAGGGAGAAATTGCCGGATGTTTTTGCCTTCCAGTTTATAAACAAATTTCATAGCGACTCGCACCGTCTTATAATGCAATGGAACTTTCACAAAAGAATCATATCAAAAAGTAGGGAGATACATTCAAGTTCGCATTATTGACACAGCGGCTTATCTTCTTTTCTCGATCGTTAGATTACAGCTGGGATATGATATTGATGTCGTAAGATATCACAGGTAAATAACCGGAAATCCATTCACAAATCTACCAGATTTCTGACAAATCGAAAAACTAGAGTTTCAGTAACTACATCTATGAGATATGAGCTAGTAAATCTATCCCTGCCGTTGACGAATCTGCTACACAAAAAGATACAAATCCAATCCCGTGGCACAGGATCATCTCTTTTGGCGACGTCCAGCAAAGCCCCAATGTATCTGATTTGCTGACTTGACGTCGACATCAAGCTCCTCCGCAAACTGCCAGACCAGGCCGGGGTTCTTTTGGAACAGCCGTCCTACAAAGACCATATCAAGACCACTGTTCAACAGGCCATTTGCCTGAACAGCTGAGGTAATCGCCCCAACAGTTCCCACAAGAAGGCGGTTGCCAAGGGCTTTCTTCACTTGGAGAGCAGCTGGAGCCTGGTACCCAGGTCCACCGATAATCTTCTGTCTTGGATCATTTCCTCCACTGGAAACATCGAGAACGTCCACGCCTCGACTTGCTAGCACTTTAGCAAACCGGATAGTCTCATCGACATCCCAACTGGGCTCACTCTCAAGGTGCTCCAGCCACTCGGTTCCGCTGACACGGAAGAACAGGGGCATACCCTCGGGCATGTTCTGCCGAGAGACATCCACGATCTGCAGCGCAAACCGAATCCTATTCTGGAAGCTACCTCCATAGTGATCAGTGCGTTGGTTCGATACCGGTGAAAGGAATTCGTGGATCAGGTATCCATGAGCGCCGTGGATTTCGATGGCCTGTGATCATCTGCGGTCAATATGAATTTCATGTCTAATGAATCAAGTGAACGCACGTCAAAGCCTGCCCGCACGGCTCTTTCAGTTGCTTTGCCCCATTCCTCTACCAAAGATTGGATTTCGCTATCAGACATCTCACGCGGAATAAGGTTTTTGTCCTTGTAAGCGATAGCGCTAGGAGCGGACACATCGTCTGGCCAGCCGTGGCGCTGTTGAGAAAAATTCGTCAATTTCTTGGAGACAGTAACCAAAAAAGACCAAGGAGAAATGTCATACCGGTGCGAAACCTTCGTTCTCGAAACCATTGACCTTCATAAAATAGTTAGACACGATTTTCCGGGGAGAAGAAGACAATATACCGATTTCATGGAGGCACCAGGGCCACGGGTCATGCTCAACCAGGGTGCTACAGTGCTTGCTTTGCGTCCGGCATGTGCCAGCTGAATGCCAATACGCTGGCCCTGGCCATGGGCAAACTCCACTATCCTTCGCAGTGGCTCAACCTGGGATTCTTTCCAGAGCCCAGAGTCCTCCGGGTGATGCGGCCATTGGGTGTGACCGCAGTAGCCTCCACAAACGATAGTCCCGGCCCGCGCGAGATAATACCACCGAGGTGAGCGAAATGCCAATCATTGTGGTGTCCATCTTCAGCAGAGTACTGGCAGAGAGGGGAAAGCTTTGATCATTAGTCAATTTTTACAATTCATTGCCGTCGAGAAACAACATACTAGAATGCGATTGTGCAGTTCAAGCCCTCTTATTCGCAATGGTGCAAACAGCTTCGGCAAATTTGGGCTACTATGAGCTGGCGAAACAGCTGTGCCGGCAGGTGGCTCTTGCTTCGGCGTGAAATAAGAGACCTAGTAGAAGTCAGCGTTGTGTTGGAACGCGGGTTGAGATTTGATCGGTACGAACACCAGCGGCTGGCTCATTGGGGATCTCGACAATGGCACCTTCGTCAACATTAGCGTACCGGGAGGGCATCTTCAACTGGAGTAGTTAAAATGGAGCAATCAATGGCTTTGTGCTCTCTCGTTTTGCAATTCATCTACGCTTAAATATGTGCCAGGTAGAGTTTATGTAATCTACTCTCGATGAATTTATAATCCGGTGCCTATCTCAGGTATATTAGCAAAATATTCAATTCTCCCCTAGACGCTTGTTTAGTACGAGATCACACATTGCCACAGCTTTAGAGTTCATGTCGATCCACTTTTGACAAACTTCAAGTCCGAGTCCACCGGAGTCGGATCTCTCTCACATTACCCGCCTCTGGAGAATTCCTTATCGATTAGACTGCGCCACAGTGGACTCTCAGGCGAAAGTTTGAGTGTGGGCAACTTGAAATTATCATGATGATATAATACAGAAATAAAGCATTTACTAATCAGCTGTTGAGTCCCACTGGCAAAGACGCGGATTCCATGCAAAGAAACTCGCCGAGAAGTTCACTCTAATTCATCCGAGCCGGAAACTTCCAGAGCCTCTTTTTAAATCCACTGGCCATAAAGACAGTGCAGTAAGCTTCATTTGACATCTTCTTTACCAACCTTATTAGCGATTCAGTGATGGCAAACAAGCTTGGCATATTCCCGGCCTCTGGCGGCCTTGGAGGTAGTACCCTTAGGCACCTTCTCCGGGCAGTCCCGGCCAATGAAGTGGTGCTCGTCGCTCGCAGCCCAGAGAAACTCAGCAACGAGGAAGCCGCTGGGGCTATTATTCGGAAAGCCGATTACGACAATGCCCAGACACTCGACCACGCGTTTGATGGAATTTCGTCTTTGAACTTGATCTCCTATGCTAGTATTCAACACGAGCATCGATTCATGGTAGGGTTTACATTTTCGATACTACCTTTTGGCGCCCAAATGCTAATCTAATTCCATAGGTACATAAATCCGCGATCGATGCGGCTCGAAAGAGTGGTGTTAAGCATATCTTCTATTCGTCTCTTGCGTTTGCTGGCGATGGAAATCTTGATACTAAGGCCCAAGTCATGCTTGCCCACCTTGCGACGGAGAAGTATTTGGCCCAGCTACATGACCAGGACCCACAGTTTACGTACACTGTCATTCGCCAAGGATTGTATTCAGAGTCTTTCCCACTCTATACTGCCTTCTTCGATCTCAAAGCTCCTTCCAACGAAATTTGTATTCCCCACGACGGCTCCGGCCCTGGCCTTGCTTGGGCTAAGCAAGATGAGTTGGGGGAAGCAACCGCAAACCTTATTGCACAACACGCCCAAGACCCCGTTGCTTTCCCTTATTTAAACAAAACCGTCCTTCTATCCGGCCCTCGTGCTTGGACTCTCAATGAAACGGCGGATGTATTCAGCCGCGTGCTGAACAAGCCAATTAGGATCCGCCAGGTACCCGTGGACGAATACGTCAAACAGCCACAGGTCCAAACTGGTCTCACATATGGTGGTGGAAACTGGGCGCCTCTCTGGGCGACTGCTTTTGATGCGATCCGAGATGGGGAGTGTGCAGTAGTGACCCCAAATCTGGCTCAAATACTTGGCCGCGAACCTGAGCAGTTTGACACAACTATCAAGAAAATGCTTTTGACCTAAGTGAGCACGTGTGGTGTGAAATTTGGGCCTAGCATACTGGCAATGAATAGTATGCACTTTTATGCGATGTGTCTGATTCCGATTTTCTAAGAGATTCTCTAGCAAGATCTAAAAATTCGCATGCAGATATATCATATTCAAGCTTCAGACGTATATGCCTGAACCGATACTTCCATCACCATATTCCTTTTAGAAAATTTGGGTGACTACGACCGTGACCCTATATAGCTATCATCTTGAGATTATTTAGCCATGGTCATCTTAGACCTAGACAAAGCCCACCCTTTGGTCTTCAGGTAATATACACTGTGGACTAGGACCTGCCTACTACCCCGCATGTTGCATAATTTTAGCTCAAAATAGATAGATAACTACATAGTCTTACTAGGTCTACCTACCTATGCTTGATCTATTGACAAAAGTATAAGATATCATGGCCAAGTTTGTTCATTTGTGCTGTACCATTTCAACATTTCAAGTTCGTCTTACTTCTAATTAATCATGATTTATCAGACAGCGAGCATTCCGCCGTCCACTATCAAGCTCGAACCGGTGACGAAGTTGCTAGCCCCGCTGGCAAGAAAGATGACAGCTCCCCTCAGGTCTTCAGGGGTCCCCCACCGGCCAGCTGGTGTTCCCTTCAAAATGAAATCATTGTAAACTGAGTCATTCTCCAGCTGTGTTGTCAAAGGCGTACTAATATATCTATTCCAAATTCAGTCTTTACTTCGAAAAGGAGCCAACAAGAGTATTGCAAAGAACCAAGAAAGATCTTACCCTGGGCAGATACAGTTGACCTGAATGTTGTGAGGGGCAAGTTCATTGCTGAAAGACTTTGTCATTTGAACGACTCCGCCCTTGGAGCTTGCATATGCAGAAACATTGTACATGCCCCGATATGAAGTTACTGAGCCAATGTTGATAATTTTACCAGGAAGCTTGAGCTGAAGCAACTTCTTTGAAATTTCTTGTGCGGCTACGTAGGTTGCCTTGAGATTGATGGAGAGAATCTGAAGTAATTGTCAGCGCTTTTCCATATGAGCAAAAGAAAAGCCCACTCATTCTTCATACAAGGTCGAGATCATCATCAGTGACTTCTGTGATTGGGCATCTTCTATTGACACCGGCGCAGTTCAAAAGGATGGAAGGCGTGATTCCTGCCCGCCAAATATCTTGAAAGGTTGAACGAATTGAAGATGGATCGGTCAGATTACACTCAAAAGTCCACATTTTTCGACCAAGCTCTGAGATGGATCTTGAAAGGCTTTCACTGTGGACATCATTGGGAATCTGAATAGAGACAATGTCGGCACCTGCAATTGCAAGGGATTTACACAGGGTTTGACCAATGCCACCTGTAGCTCCCGTGCAGATGACTGTCTTTCCTTGGAGCGAGAATAGCTTTTCGGTGGGCAAGTGATGCATGTTGTGAGAAAAAGACTGGGAAGATACGCTGAGGATCTAATAACAATATGGACAGGTTACAATGAATGAGGAGTAGGCGAGAAATCTTGAATTTCGTAAAAGTGCTCGCTAGGGCTTATTTATTGTTGACTACAGTCCAAAAGTCTGCATCTCAATTTCGACAGGTGCATTAAGCAGGTGAGTCCGCCGGACTCTTTGCCTGGTTTGCGCTATCTCCCATCCCTAATATGGTAGCGATTGATGATGCGGAAACTTTGCTTCCCCGACGGATGCCCACCGGAAGGTCCTTGCGTACGAGGATCAATCTCCGCACATAGATAATATAGGTTCCTCTTGCGTGAGCATATCCATAGGTTACTAAGTATACAACTCTTGGTAGATTCTTAGGCCAGGCCTTCCAAGCAGGCAAGATGAATTCCTTGGCACTGAGGTTATCTGGGTCCCAGCGAGACATCTTAGGAGAACGTGGAGTCTGTTGGAGACATTGTGGGCTTGAAAATTTGGTGGCTGGGAAGCAACGATGAAGCAATAACTACCTGGGTTGCGGCCAAGCCTCTGCATCCTATTAAACGTCGCTAACGGACGACCGGACCTCCACCGGACTCGGATTCATCAAAGTGGGACCCCGACCTTCCACCGGACCAAAATGTCCAAGAAATAGTCCAGCGCGCCTCCAATTACCACACGCTTTTCAGTTGCAATATGCCTTCTGCCTGATTGGCGCAATGTGGCATCTAGCCTGAGATGATTTTTAGAGTATATAAGAGACCATTTTTATAGATAGGCATTCATTCTTATGCCCACAAATCCAATTTCAAATTGCAAGATACTTGTCTCTGCTTCGTCACCTACTTTCGGTATAAATTTCATTATGACTTCTGTCTCAGCCGACCATCGACCCAAGGGGGAGGCTATTCCCTACCAGGGGAAACCTCTACCCAACGTTCCTCAAGACCTCGTGGTTCCCAACATTGTGAATCTGGACTTCGACGAGAGACTCTGGGTTCCCCAGGGTCAGGATGTCTGGTTCCGTCCCATTCTTTTCAATGTCACACAGGGCTATTTCGTCAACCTTATCCGTGTGCGTCGTTCCGGTATTTTGTCCCGCCACCGTCATTGTGGACCTGTTCACGCCACAGTTCTCCGCGGTAAGTGGCATTACCTTGAGCACGATTGGTGGGCGACTGAGGGAAGCCATGCTTTTGAGCCCCCAGGTGATATTCACACGCTCGAGGTGCCAGACGGCGTGGAAGAAATGATCACTTTGTTCCACGTTACTGGAGCATATATCTATGTCGACCCTATGGGTGTTCCTTTGGGAGTGGAAGATGTTTTCTCAAAGCTAGCCAGTGCAAAGGCCCATTATGAGCAGGTTGGGCTCGGTGCTGATTATGTGGACCAATTCATTCGTTGAACTCATGTTTACAAGGGTACACTGCCTTCAGCATTAAGTTCTTGTCTTGGTCAAATCTTCTGTTCGGCGTCCATGAAAAATATTATTGACATGTGTTGGAATGTGTTGGAATTTGTTCATTTCAGAGAGTTCATTCATGTGTATTAATTTTATTCCTCTAGTTCCACGAAATACATGGACCAACTATCAAACACCAGATATTTTCCTTTTTTCTCCTTTTAGCCGCAAAGTGATCGGATTAGAGAAGCATAATTACTGTTCTCGCAAAAAGTCAAAGTCCGGCTGGTTCCACAGCCAACTCTGACCTAGGAAGGAGTTATTCAGGGTATTTATATCTTGGCTTGTAGGGTCAGCTACAGAAACCAGCGAATTCGGCTGAAAGCGATTGTTTTCATCTGCGAAATTCCCCACGAATGGCCTCGGTTGTCCGCAAATATCAGCCTGCGGGCTGGAAGTTGGCGGGATATAAGCTCCTGGGTGTGCCATGGGATCGCAATTCTCCCATAGAACTGTAGACCAGAGCGATCAGCAAGAGAGCTAGATGCATCGGTACGCTCGTACATATAACATAGAAATTGTAGAGAAATCAATACGAAATAAGTTTTAAGAGAGGCATACCTTGCTGCACCGACTCTAGTGCATGGTCAATTCCCGAATAAAATGATGAAACGGGAACATCTTGAGCAAGATCAGGGTTCATCCCTGCGTGATCGTTGGGTGGAAGTTGGGATCTATATTCGGGTTCAATGACGCTTGATGGCGGCCCTGATTCCTCCTGGCCTCCACGCGAGAGCGTTTGATTAAATCGACGGATCATAGGAAACTGCATATTTTCAGATGGTTGAAAGTCGTCAGGCTCATGTGATTGGTCTGGTGGTCCGCCCATCGGATTGGGACTGTTCAATTCTAGAGACGGATTCTTTAGCAATGACTGCATTTCCTGTTTGAAAATTAGCTGGAACAGCCCTTCAAGGACCCTGACCGTCTGAGATGGAACTATGGATGATGCAGCGAGTGTTTTTTGTAATAAAATTGAGTTCGCGACACCTCTTTTGGCACCGCAAGATTGTTCTGAGCCAGGGTCAGACAGCGCCACCATTGCCAAAGTGACACCCGCAGTAAAATTTTGTATAGCAATGTATGCTGCTGCATGAGTGGTTTGGGCTACAATGAGAAGTTTGGCATATCGTGGTAGTATGCTGCAGGTGCGGCGAGCACAGTGCTTGCATTGTTCAAAACTTGTTCGGCGCGCGTCGGACACGCTCAAGCCGGAAAAAGCAGGTAAGCGGCGAGTACATCGAATAAAAGGGCGATGTAGAATTATTTGGATGTTATCATAGGCCAACTGAAGGGCCAGCGCCTGCAGTTGAAATAGTTGGCAGACGTCAGCCTCGGCGCTTGTCAAACTTCCCATGTCTAATTCAACATTGTGCTCCAGCCTTAACTCCAGAGGTAGTTGGTCAAACCACTCCACCAGCTTGGAGTTGATTTCTGCGGCTTGGTTAATTGCAACCTCCGAACTAGAGACATGCACATTATGAATATTGCCAATGACGGGGGCTGCAAGAGAGTATAGATCGAATTTATGCCGTTGGTATGAGCCCAGTGTGACCGGCGCTGGAGAATGGTTCGCAGGGCTCTCAATCGAATTCAACAATGGATGAACAGTTGAGATGTCATCCATATCTTGTGGCACGCTTACAGCGCAAAAAGAGTTATTAATCAAGGATGGCCGACCATAGGTCATTGAAGCGAACCTGATAGATGATTAGTTAGAGTATGATGGCCAAGCACTGGGATTTTAAGCACCTGTCGAGGACATATAGAGCCCACCAAGTTCGCTTGCGGACTTCAAGAACAATCTCAGTTGCCGGGCCCCAAAGACTTTCCTTATGTAGGCTCTGTGCCTGCGCACTGTGGATCCCCGCACCAAGTATAGGCAATGCTAAGTTTGGCTTGCCATTGTAGAGGTAGTAGGTGCTCAGCAAAATGCATAATTGAACACATTCTACGCCTCCAGTGTCCAAAACATCGAAATAGTGTAATCGAATCTGCTTGAGCATATCTCTCTGGAGCGAGGATAGCTCTTCTTTGGATATGTCAACTTTCGAGCGTTCTTCGTCAGAGGCATATCTTGCCCCTATGGTAAGGACCATCAGAATCAACACTGCTGTATTCCGCTGCTGCACAGTTATGTGTTGATTACTAATGATGTGCCTATACTCGTGTTCAAACGAAGGCTTATAGAAAAGCATCATGAACCAATGCACGGACCTCCAGTAGGACTGGAGCAAGAAGTCACAAACTGGGCGGGATGGAAGAACTAGCCCAGGAAAGTGTGAAGAAAGGCTAGTCTTTCCATCATCTTCCCTGTCGCCAGCTATGTGACTATGCGAGAAAGTCCCACCGGGAAGGGCGGACGTATTGCTGTGTGTTGTGGGTGAAATGACTGATCCCTGATCGTGCAGGTGAAAAAGCTAGCAGAGGTTAATATAAAAAAGGGGGGGTTTTAGCGGAAAACAGCAAATTACCTCATCAGTCAATTCCACTGCAGATGCTTGGACATATCTATGTGGCTGCTGGAGAGGCTCAGGTTGCTCGCAGGTGTCCGAGGGGATATCTGTCCGAGCCCTGTTCAACGACCTGAGAGGAGTATCGAGAGCTCGAGAGCTTGGCCTTGAGGTTGCGGGTAAATCGGACTGTATGTGCTGTACGCTTCTGCGCCGCCCATGCATGTTTTTTGCTGATCTTTTAGACTTTCTACAAGTCATGAATCAGTATTTTCTTTACAATACCCGGGTCATGCTGGTCTGTGACAAACAACGTACCGCAATGGAGCTGATGTTGTCTCACAGAGAAAGCCAGACCGGAGGCATAGAGAGCATGGCTTTTCAACATCACACTGGAAGGAAATCTGTCATTAATCAGGTACCCTTAGAATATTCTATCTGCTGTCTCTACCTTGAGTTTCTGCCTACGACAGCGGTCGCAGGCATGTCGACGGCTGCCCAACGATTTGAGTTGCAGTTGCGCACGTCTTGTGCGTGAAAAGGGCCGATCTTGCGCTCCACGTGAAGACGCTCCGGACCCCGGAGTATCAGGATCTTGCATGTTGCAAAGGTGGCACGCGACGCGTGAAGTGGAGTTAACGTGCATGTATGTAGTTGCAGTTCCCCCAAGATCTTTCTCGTATTACTAATGTGACCACCACGCCTTATGTAATCTACAGACACGACCTGACTATCATTTACTTACTTGCGCTTACAATCTTGTAAGCACAGGTATAAGCTTATTTAGATACCATATTGCATTAGCAGTGCTTGGCAGAACGATATTGACCCGTGGGCGATCAAAGATCAAACTCTAGCATATGATAGGACGAACTTTGCATCTTCTTTGATTTTGATTGGATACTTTCAGATCTCTCTATAAAAACTCACTTACCATTCTATGGTCACCTACTACTAGGATGAAGACCTTTTCGGGGGTTGATGCCATACTATTCTCGCCAGATTAGGTAGCAATAACCGGAAGTAAGACCCGCTATTCGCATGACCAAACACTTGCTCCTGGGAGCGTCACAATGTTACATCTTCAAGATAGCCGAATAAAAATAATCTGTCTGTTCGGGCGAGATATTATCATAGGCTCCTGGGAGCTTAAATCTGACCGATACTGCCTTGTCTTAATGAACATAGACTGAACAAGGCTCCCCACACCGATGCCCCTTCTTTAAACAATGAGTAAAAGTGAGTTTAACACTAATATATAGCCTTATTTCTCTCACTAATACTTCTTCGGATGGAAGGACCTCTACCCAGGCCAATCACCGCCCGTTTATGCCATGTATTTTAAGCACTTACAGTGAATCCTTGGCTATCATAACCAAAAGCATAATTAAACGTACTTGAACAACTTCTTCCATCGAGACAAGCGAAAGGTGCCGAATAACCTCAACACCCATAATTACCCTCAGACCACATACCTAGATGGCTGCCTCCATAATCTAGTAGTCCGACCTGCATTGCAATAAGAGCGACATCCAAGGACAAAAGGACTGCCCTTATCCAGTATAAGATTAGAACCAGCGTCAAGTGCCCCCAAAAAAACAAAGCAACCTGCTCATGCCGGTGATAATGACAATCAAGTCTGACACATACATGTTTAAGTATGTTAAAAATGTTGAGGGAAAGCTATACCGGTGCTCTCCGCTTCGGAAAACCCACCGCTGCTTATTAATTCACTGGTAGAATTGATTTTGGCGGCTAAGTCGACTTCTTGATGAGAACACAATATACCTTAAGGTTTGTCAGCTCACTAGATCGAGTTTGCTTTGCACATGGCGAGAAAAAGGAACGTTGATGTTAGCAGCAGCAGTAATGTAGAACTTACAGTGCATGTATGATTCCAGGGAATATCACCTAACAAGGTGAGCAAGATGTTGATGCAAAAGTCTGCTCCACATCCTCTTCGTAACAGCACCGCAAGAGGTGGGATAAAAACAGCGATTATACCGAGGCAGATGTCTCTGATCGAAAGCGGTCAGATAAATTGACATTTGATCATGCGTATAGTGTTCATAAGTCAATCTTCCTACTCACGACGCTGTGACGGCCATTTTCAATGTCCCGAACAATTGTAATCTCCCTTAAGTCTGAATGCAGTCTCGGGATATGAGAGATTATATTAATGAAACGAAAGATCTGGGTTTGAGTAGCCGCCATGATTTTCAATCCAGGAATTGTGACGAAGATACATAGTCGATGACGTAACTACTGTGCACGCTCGAAGGTATGGAGAGTCGGGTAGCATGGCTAAGGTATTATCATTTATAGCTGAAAGAGATAAATAGCTATTTAGGTAAATGTTTGCCAGAGAAAAATCTATCTAACTAAATGACTACTTACTATCTTCGTAGTCGATGCGCCGGATTCACATAAGTTTACCAAAATAACTCGCGGGTACGACCGTTGAAGATGTTGATTTGAACACTGTTATTTGAGCACATTGATGGCGCATAATGTAGTGATTAAAACAGAACGAACTTGGCTTTTTATCAACGGGCTCCAAACTGTGGCACGGGAAAATAAGTTGAGGCGTTCAGAATCAACCTTAGATAGCGCGCCTTCTCACTGTTGAATAAAAAGCGGAAAAGTAAATATTGTCAGTGGAACAAGGGCGGTCATGAAAAATAAAACACGATGTTTGACCCGTCAACGTTCAAGCAAATTCAAGTGCGTTCGTTCAGGCAAGTTTCACCATTAGCAGTTTCACCAACACCGTTTGACGAGATCCGAATTAAACGGTCATTTTGGTGGTTTCGGTTGAACCCCACCCACATCTTGCTGCCTTGGGCCATCGGTCACATGGAGTTCCGGGTCTTATTAGAGTCTACATCGAAAAGGAGAACCGTAAAGTTGCCATGGAATCGACATTGCGGGATGTCGGTATTTGTGATAAATTCTCAAATGTTGTTGATTATCGAACATGACTTAGAATAAAGATTTAATGGCATCTTTACTATGCATTCGCATTGCTATATATTTTTGCCTAGTATCTGTGGTGTGCTGGATCGTGGGCTTCGTCTGGTCGTCTGTGCGAGTCTACTCATGCCACCTCGGACTACCATGAGCCTTAGACGTTTAGTAGACGGGGATGCCTTTCAATCTTCTCAATCTTTTCTCTCGGCGGTCTAATGATGGTTTACAAGAAGCCAGGTGTTAGGGCTACGGCGCGGACAACGGATGAAGGTCATTAGATAAGGGCTATGGCAGGGGCCGTGAAATCCGAGAACTTTTTATGCTATGGCCGAGACTCGAAAGGTACTAAATACATCTTTTGCTTCAAGGTACCATCCTAGATAACCCAGCTACTTGGACCTCGACAGAATTCTCCTATTCTTCCAATACTTCCAATGTCCAAATTGGTGGTGGTCGAATGAGATTGAGCACGCTTGGGTGGACAGGTTACTAAAGTAAAGATGCAATTTTGGGGATAAAACAGATGCCAGAGCCTCCTCAAGTACATCCAGCAAGCTATCCATTCTAATCTTGACTTTCTCGTAATGCTCCCGTGTAACCAATGGGTTGCTGAAAACATCTTCAACGCCTAAAGGCTTGCCGTCGGCACCAGCGGATGTCCGAGTCTCCGGTGAATGTGTTCGGTGTTGTATTCGCATTCGCTTTGGACAATTTAGGAATTATCTATCGGAATGAGGGCTAAAGGTGTGAGGATACTGTGAAAAGCCGGCCCGGGGGTATTCCTCAATTGCTCTCCCCAACCGAAGGAGTTGGAGTTGTCCACAATCTTTGTCCTTCCGCGCAAAGCCATGTTAGTCTGTGAGAAGGTGTAGTAATGGTGAATCATATGTTTTAGATGTTTGAGGTTGGCATGCCTTTTATGAGATAGCTTCTTTGTCTTCTTCATATCTTTGCCACTCTCCTCCACCACCTATTAATACCATAATTATCTACCTCTATCCCACCCTTCATCATCATACAAGTGCTTCACATCACCAGCACCATCCAGGCTGTCAGAATACGGCTTACAGCATTTAAACAAAAATCGTTGTGGACTAATTGATTCAGTGAACGTTGACTAGTGTTTGCATAGTTTTATAGGCTTAAGTACACATATTTTTGAAAATTTTACCCTGTTTGCCCACGAGAAACATTCTGGAGATCAAAGAATCGCAAGTGCGTTACCTAGGCTCGCGACCCCACCTGAGAAAGACAGATGTGTGAGTATCTCTGTTGACGGAAAAACGACATTGAGGCCTACCTGTAATATTGATCGGTGCGCTTGTAAACATAAATGAATACTTATTATTCTGCTCACATTGAACCGACAGAGCCTGCAATGTTTAATGAGCATCATAAAGAGAATAATGGACGGAGGTGCAATTTTACCTCTAGGTCAAACATCTCGCCGATCATAACTCCCCAGCAAGCAAGGAGATACTCATGCAGATACCAGCTTTGGGAAGATGGCCATACTTCAAAGGAGGGAGCGTCGCCTGCAACTGCAGCAAAATAACTAATTACTCACTTGGATATTAGCACATCTTCAGAGATAAGGCATTGTGATACGGTAGAGGAAAGGGGAAACTCACGAGTCGTGGAGCCACGTCTTCATTTCTTCCGACTGCTCGACTCCAGCCAATGTAGGAATGGAGGCGGCAGACCTCTTAAGTTTGGCCGGGTCCGACTTCTGCAGCTGATGGTATCGCGACACGTAACCACTTCGGATGATCAAGATATCTCCCTTCTGAAATCGGGTGCCTTGATAGTTCGCGCAGGACAGAAGCTCATTCAAGGTAATCGCGTGGCTGGTCAATGGATCGTACGGTTTGTTGAACTTTTGCGAATAGCGATAATAGTCGAGAAACACGCCGCGACCTACTATGCCGCGACGGGAAATAACATGCATCCCACACCGATTCGTGAGCATCACATCCTTCGGACTCAGGTTATTGTAGAGAAATCCGTGGGTAAGATGGCCGAAATGTCGAAACCCATCCCACTGACTTCCAGATTGGATGTTCATCTCAAGTGTGTCATCGAATATACAATCACTGGAGGGATTTGGCAGAATCTTGAACTTGCATGGTGAACGATCGAAGTTTGGGTGAGCAGGAAGCTCCATGTTCCAGCTAAAAACAGTGTTAAGTATTTTCTTTTGAATCAATTGGAGAGAGCAATGTGTTTATGTGACAACATACTTGAGCGAAACAACGCATCCACTCTGAACTTCTTCTTTGACTACTTTACTGATAAGCTTCTCAGTCAGAAGATTTAGCCGGCCAACCTGTCCAAGGATAAATTCCAGTAGAAGTCAGCTTCGAGAGAGAGTTAGAAAGCGGATTTGGACTTTTGCATGATACCTCGTCGTTCGGACCCCATATCCAAGCGACCTCGGGACAAATTGCATTGGCATTGAGCTCTCTCAGCTCCTTGAGTGAGGGAAGGAAGATATTGTCTTGGTCGGCCATCATGGGGCAAAGTAATTCCTATTGAACAGCCATGTGGTAAAGGAATATCCCTGCTTAAAACCCCTAGTGGGCCGCAAATCTTCACAGAAAAACGAAACCCCGCAATTGAACGCCGGTGATGTTGTCCACCGGAACTTCCATATATGTAATATTTATGAATTTGACCGGAAAGGTCTCCCCACTGTTGCCTGTGCATTGATACTCCAAGTGAGGATGATTATTGGAAGTTGCGGAAAGGGCACACCTCGCCACGGGATAGAGTTTGGGCCGGGCATAGAAAAGAAGCACACAAATAAAGACAATTTGGTGTTGATCAACGTCTTGCCACGGGTCCGGAGAGCGAGCACAGACAAAATTGTTATATCCGGGCTCCGGTGGACATGCGCATAACGGGTTCCCCGCATATTCCTGCAGCTGAATCCCCAGATCTGCCTGGGGTTTACCTGAATGGAACGTGGGAAATATTCAAGTTGGAGCAAAACTCAATACCAAACTCAATAGCTGGTTTGTGATGCACGTCTCGCCCAGAACTGGATTAACTGGAGCCACATAAATAAGGCTGCTAACGCCTTACCTCTGCTACTGCGAACTTTTTGTAATCAATCCACCGGGCTCTTTTTTTTGCATCTACTTAGCAACACTTGATCTCTCTACTAGATCATGCTTCACAAAATCGTTGTGAATGCCTACAATCTTTGGCTCGTGGTCTTCGTATCCATTGGCACCATTGCAAGTGCTTACGGTCTGGCCATTATTGGATCCACCGTCGGGCAGCCCAATTTCTACGCATACTTCAACTTGCCTACACAGGGCGAGCCAGGATATGAGCACACCACCAACACGATCGGCGCCCTCAATGGTATAAACTCGGCCGGGGCAATCTTAGGATGCCTGGGACAGGCCTGGACAGCAGACTTTTTTGGTCGCAAGCGGACCATGCAATTTGGATGCGCTATCTTGATAATTGGCGGCGCACTATGTGCAGGTGCGGTAAACATGGACATGTTTCTTGCAGGTCGCTTTATCGCGGGCGTGGGAGCTGCCACCCTGGCTTGCATTGTGCCGATTTACCAGGCTGAGGTTTCGACAGCTGAGACTCGCGGTGCAATGGTCTGCGTTACTGGGATTATGTACGCCGTCGGATATAGCTTGGCAGGCTGGCTTGGATTCGCTTGCTATTACATGAAAGCGACCAGCCCGTACGCAGCATTCGCCTGGCGGTTCCCACTGGCCTTCCAAATTACCTTTCCTCTAGTTGTCCTTGCAGGAAGTTCATTTATTCCCTTCTCTCCTCGCTGGTTATTACAACAAGGGCGGCGAGACGAGGCTTTTGAGATCGTCCGTCGTTTGCACAAAGTGCCGGACGATCCCAACGACGCGAGAGCTAAACAAGAATTCCTTTTGATGGAGAGGCAGTTTGAGCACGATCGTTCGATGGTAATCCGTCCTTTCGAGATCTTTCGAACTCCTGCCAACCGCCGAAGAGTCCTTACAGCCTTCTTACTTATGGCTGGAGACCAATTCCTGGGCATTTATGTTATTGCCAACTACGGTGTCATTATCTATGGCTACCTTGGTTTCACCGGCGGAATCCCGCTGCTCCTCAATGCTTGCTGGACAACTTTTACCTTATTTGGCAACACCTGGACTGCCTTTTACTTGGATCGTGTGGGTCGTCGGACCTGTTTGCTTCTTGGGTCGATTGGCTGCACTGTATCTGCAATTTTCCTTTGTGCTCTGTCAGCAGAATACTTAGGCACAAGTATGAAGTCAGGATTGCAAGCCGCAGTTTTCTTTACATTCTTCTACATCTTCTGGTGGTGCTTTTTCATGGATGCGACGCAGTATGTCTACGTGACAGAAATCTTTCCGAATCATCTGCGGTCCCAGGGGGTGGCTATCGGTCTCAGCACCTTCTATCTCACCTCTGAAGTCACACTAGTTGCTGCACCAGTGGCCCTCAACACAATCGGATGGAAGTTTTATCTCGTTTTAATTATTCCATCCGTCTTCTATATCGCGGCCATTTATTTCCTCTTCCCAGAAACCAAGGGCCGCACCTTGGAGGAGATTGGTGCCCTTTTTGGCGATGCCGAGAATGTCGCGTCCCGTTGGTACGATACCACTGAGGAGGAACGCGAGAAGATTGCGCGTGAGGCATTGTCCGAGGCCACGGGTAGCAGTCCTGACGAGGAGCCAAAACCAGCTGCGGTTCATGCCGAGTCGCTCAGTGAATAGGGTGCGGCTTAATCCTCACCTGCCCAGGTGTGGATACAAGCGCATACAAGGATATCCTCACTAGTTTTGGTTTAAATAATGTTTTGTTTAGCTATTATTTAGCAACATCTTTTATATTGAAGCAATATTAAATTTCTATTTATATAGTGTATTATAGACACTCAGCATGCCTATTAAGCCGAACCCCCTCCCCCCAACAACAAAAAGCAGCGTGCTATTGAGGCTTATAAAGCTGCTTATGCCCAAAAGCCAACTTTATCGATTCGAAGCCAATACATTGAAAACAATACAAATAGCTTTAAAATTGAACAAGCCACCGACAAAGAACAGATGCGCTTGGGACTAGTATATTTAATTACGCCCTATACGTGCTCCACTGTGAGTAGGGCATGCTTCTCAACTTGAAAGCTCGCAAGTGCAAAGGCTTGTTATAAGGAGGTTAGGCTTGGTACTGATTATGTGGACTAGTTCATTTTCAGTCTCGCCAGAATTTCTCTCTTCTTATATCGCTTTCGCTCATCTGTATGGCTATCAAATGCGATTGATCACGCTCTCTTGGACAATTTGGACGGGTAAAGAAGCATTTGTTGAGATTCAAACCGGTGCTACCTATCACTGCGTTGATCACTCCAAGTTGCGGACTACCACATTCCACGAAGCAACTTGGAACTTAGAACACTATGTACTTCGAAATGTGTTCCCTACTGCTGGGCTTTTATTAGTCAATCGATCCTATCAACTTTGGAAGTCAGGATCTAGCATATTTATCCTATGATTCGTAAAACTGGATGTTAAAAATACAACTTGGAACTTACACTAATTAACGTAGTGCGTTCCAAGGTCCGCTGTTTACATCTATTTTATATCGTACATCCAATCCATCCAATACACACTCCAAGATCCAAAATCCAACATCTAGAATCTAGAATCTAAAAGCCAGGGCGAGGGCTAGACCTCCTTCACCTCTTCCCATCCCCATCAACCTCCGCCTTTCTAACAATCTCCCTAAACAACTCCTTACAAGGAACCCGACTCCCAAGTCTAGCACAAAGCAAAAAAGCCCCACTCAACTTCCGATGCAAACTATAAGTCTCCTCAGGAGGCGGACTTAGCCGTTCCCTAAGCATAACAGGAATCAAAGCCCTAACCCGATCAGTAATAGTCTGATCTCTAAAATCATAAACATCCTCAGAAGTTTCCATAAACGGCTCCGCAATAATCACCAACGAAGAAACATGCGCATCGGCCATGACCTCCGACTCATAACCCGTAAGATATCCCATCTCAGTACTGAGTTTCTTACAAGAGTCGCGATCATTTTTCGACGCGGCGATCAGCGTGCGCACGTACGTACTGATGAATTCGGCCGGGTATTCACGACTAGCGCCGAAGTCGAGTAATTCGAGTCGATTTGTGGACGTGTTGTATAGGAAATTCGTCCAATTGGGATCCGTTTGCATGTAGCGGAATTCCGCAATTTCACGCAGACAAAGGCGCATTAGTTGCGTGCCTATCCAGTCTCGTTGGTTTTGGGTGAAATCTTGGATTTTGGTTACGGCTACGCCGTCTAGCATTTCCATTGTTAGGACTTGTTTGCCTGAGGCTTCGGGGTAGATCTCTGGAACGACGAAGACGGGGTCATTGGCGAGTAAAGTGCGGAAGCGAGTGGCGGCCTCAGCTTCGCGGATATAATCGCATTCCCATGCGAGTTCTGTGCGGGCGTTGGCGATTGTTTTGTCCAGGTACAAACCGCGGGGGAGGAGGCGGGAGGCTGTCAGCAGGATTGAGAGATTGTTCAGGTCTGAGTCAATCGAGTCGGCGACGCCGGGATACTGGACCTTCACGGCGACGGGTTTACCGGTGGATTTGAGGACGGCGGAGTGAACTTGGCCGATTGATGCGGCGGCCATGGGGATCTCGTTGAAAGAGGAGAAGAGGTCTCGCCAGTTCGGGCCCAAGTTATCAGCTAATACCTTGTCACGCTGGGACGCGGGCATGTAGTCTGCGCGGTCTTGGACGCGTTGAAGGACCTGCTGGATGGGCTCGGGGAGCATGTTTGAGTCTTGGATACTGAGCATTTGGCCTAGTTTGAGAGCTGCGCCGCGCATTTTAGATAGCTTGGCGACCATTCGTTCTGTGTTCCCCGCACTGAACATGATTGATGAACCGTTGTCTTGGCTGCCTGTTGCTCGGCGGAGGGTCTCGCCGACGGCGCCAAATGCCATTGAGGTGGCTAGCCCGCCATACTGCCACATTCGAGCAAATCGAGAGGATGGCACGCGAGACTCCATCATCTGATAAGGGACGGCCTGGGCCTTTTCTCCGATCGCCTCTCCCAGGCCTTCGGGGGTGGGTGTCGCAGCATCCGGGACGACGGTGACGGGTTCGGTGGTAGTAGTGCGATATCCAGCAGCGTCTAATTCCTGCAATAATTCCGGGATCTCATGGGCCTCGAGTCTCTGGTTCTGGCTCTCGGCCTCTGCAGGTTTGGTTGGTGCAGCAGGTTTCGCAGTAGGCTTCGCAGGAATCCAATCTCGTTTCGGCTTCGGCTTGCCCGCTAGCATACGTGAGACTCTCGGACTATGGAATAGACCTTCGACCATTCCATCCGGGATCTCATTCTGGTGTGACTCCACCTCCGCCGATGCCGACTTTTCCGGGCGCTCGGCGGAATGAAACAGATCGGCATTCAGCCCTTCGCCGACACTAGCTTGAACTTGGACCGTGCCAGACGCCTTGGGCAGCTTTACTCGGGGGAGTCCGGATAAATCGGAATTAGACGAGGTCTGGCGCGAAGGTTCGTAAAAGACATCTTGTTGTTGGCTGACGTTCAGGCCACTAGGTGTCTGTGTCTGAGTTTCGGTGCCGGTGTATTGGGCGGCAGAAGCCGGAATCTGAAATTGAGCTTCAGCCTCAGGCTGCGAGTTCAAGGTTCGAGTGGCTGCATCGGCATTCTCAGGGGTTGAGTTTGAGGTTGAGGTTGCAGTGGAGGAATGGGGGTTGGGGGAGGAGTTGGCCGAAGCTTCGGGGGATGCGGTGCTCGGCGATGACGGCGAAGGAGCAGAGGGAGTCGGTGGCGAGTCGTCGAACCGACGAGCCAAAGCGGCCGCGGCTTGTGCGGTCAAGATCAACCCATCCGTTTGGGCTTTGATACCCTTGGTAAGGGAGGAAGTGCGAGTATAGACATCGAGCTGGCGTTGGCGAATACCTAGATGTTTAAGAGCGATGGTCTTGGAGACATTGAGGAACTGGACAGTGTCCAGCAGACGCCTGCCTGACATGGTTGGATGAGAGGATATAATTGAAGGTCCGATGTGGAGCAGTGCATGAAGGGCAGAATAGGGCGGTAGATAGGGAGTTCGATGGAGGGAAAGAATCGAGTAATGCAATCGAATAAGACAATGTAAAAGTGGGTCAAGTGGGTGAATTGGGTGAATAATGAGGGTGACTGTCCATGAGTGTGGTGGTTGATAGAGAATCCGCCGGGGCACGCGGCATTCTCCGTCGACTCCACTTGGCCTCGCCCGAGATATTCCTCTTCCTACATAATTACGACTATAATAGCTCACCTGCCTCCATTTTCACTCTTTTCCTTCAATTATCTCTACACATACACATACACATACACATACACCTACCTACACATATATTCACACATCCACACCCATACAATGCTCTTCGAAGACCGCCCACAGGACCTCGAGTCCGAAATCGCCCAGCTAGAAGCCCGCCTGCACGACATGCGCGCACAGCTAGACATCTCCACATATCCCACACCACCATCCTCACACCCAGACAAATCCTGGACAATGCCCTACACCAACAATAATAAGACTACCAATAATACCACCACCACAACCTCCAAGAAGGAGCAATTATTCCGCCCATCCTCAGTCCGCGCCTCCTCACTACACGCCCTCCTCCTCCTCTCAGACTCCGCCTTACCACTAGGCTCATTCGCCTACTCCAGCGGTCTTGAATCCTACCTCGCACACAACAAACCATCCCGCCGCACAAACCCAGTAACATCCTTCCACCATTTCCTCAAATTATCAATCGCCTCTATCGCAAGCACATCTCTCCCCTACGTGCTTGCCGGCTACCGCCGTCCCGAAACACTAGATACCCTCGACAACGACCTAGACGCCTCAACACCGTGTATCGTCGCGCAGCGCGCGAGTGTCGCTCAAGGGCGTGCCTTGATCGGGGTTTGGGAACGTGCTTTCCGCGTTAGCTTTGCCACACCTGAGCAAACCTCTTCCTCCTCTGATGCTGGCGTCACAACGGCTATCAAAGCCATTGATGAATTCTCCTCCGCACTCAAATCTTCCTTCGAAGACGTGGATGAATACGACCTCGGACCACGAGGTCACTTCGCTCCGTTGTGGGGCGTAGCCTGTCGGGCAATGGGACTGGATCTCCAACAAACAGCGTATACATTTGTGCTCAACCATGCGAAGGCTGTTCTAAGTGCGGCGGTGCGGGCGTCTGTGATGGGACCGTATCAGGCGCAGAATATCCTTGCTAGTCAGAGTTTGCAGGATACTATCATGGGGCGGATTGAGAGGGAGTGGAATACTGAGCCTGAGGAGGCGGGGCAGGTTGTTCCTGCGTTGGATTTGTGGGTTGGGAGGCATGAGTTGCTTTATAGTCGGATTTTCAACTCTTGAAGGGGGAATTGTGAAATATAATATAAATAAACGAATAAATTGACATGTACGAATATGAATAAGAATATCTTGGAACTTGAATCTTGCTATTACTGTGTTGTATTGTATTGTATGCATTGCTTTCGCTTCGCATTCATCGTATCCTAATTCTCATCATCATCCTCATTCTGAGACTCAGAACAACCCTAAACCAAAAGTAATCCTACATAACAGAGATCTAGAGCCACCTACTCTCTTCCAAGACATCAAAACACCGCGACGCCTCTAGAGAGTTCCGAGGATTAATCCAAGAACAGAACACTGACAGACACACAGAGATTCACACGCACACACAACCCGCTTACACAGCGCCCCAGCACCTTGCAAGCGAAGCAATGAAATGAGATAACAAAACCACCGATGCGTCGATCTAGATGCGATCGCATGAATTTTGAACAGAAACAGAAAGAGGAACACAAAGAGAATCAGACAGAAACAGAGCTCACATGACTCGTCAAACGCCGGTCCAGCCCATATCCCAGGAAAGAAGAAAACCAACCAACACCGCACCATGGACCTGTCCGAAAGTGACCACTAAATAAAAATAGAAAAGAAAAGAAGAATGGGTAGAAGAGAAGAAGAAAAAAAAAAAGAAGAAAAGGGGAAACAAAAAGGGTGGGATATAATACACGAATGAGAATTTTGGGAGAATAAGGGAAAATCACAGAGTAACATGCATGTGGTCATTGCTTCCGAACGACTTGTTACAATTGGGACATTTGCGTGAGCGCGATGTAAGGCGCTCTTCCACACAATCCTTGCAAAATACATGACCACAAGTTTTGATCACCGTGTTCTTGAAGTTCCGTCGGCAGACCGTGCATAATGCAAGTGACTAGATTAAGGTTAGCGGACCCATCAGCCAAGAAGTTAAGGTTATTTAGTGCAGCCATCGTGAAACTCACTCTTAACATTTCATACTCCGAAGAGCTGTTGCCCAAACTCTTGCCCTTCCAGTTCTCGAGACTCTTCTTGGTGTCTGAAAGAGTTTGTTTGAGACCCGCAATTTCGATCTCGGCTTGTCGTAAAGCGGATGATTTCTCCCCGAGAGTCGAGTCCTTCGAGGTCGACAGGGTCTTCAGTTCGACAATTTGGTTCTTCAGTCCATCTGCAACAATATCCCGCTCGGTCAATTGCTGCTGGATGACACGGTGCTTTTCAAGTGTGGAATTTAAGGACTCCTTGGTCTCGCTGACTTGCTTATCCATATTAGACAGCAATGACCGTGTGACGGCTTCCGACTCCTTCAGTTGGGAGACAATGTCCGAGGTCTTGTGGTTTTGCGCTCGAAGCGTGCGAACTTCAGCCTCGCGGGCTTCTTTGCTCTTCATCGCAGCGAAATACTTCTGATCCGCCTTGGCTTTCTCGGCCTTGAGACGATTGATCTTCTCCTCCCACGCACCAAGATCAGCAACCTTCTGCGATGCCAGTGTCGCATTCTTCTTATAAGCCGTTTGCATGGAAGTCAACTCGGTGTTGAGCATGGAATACTGGCGTTCTAAGCTGGTGTACTTGGAACGAAGCTCCTCCACCGGCATGTCCGTCAAATTTTCCGCAGCCTTGGCTCCGTCAATTTGCAGTCGCAATCGCTCGATCTCTGATTCCAGGGCTGTAATTCGGGCTTCACGGGCGTCCGCTAACTCTTGCAGTTTTGTGCCAGTGGATTTCTCTTGATCCTGGGCGGCCTTTCGGATGTTTTGGTCGGCCAGTAGTTCATCACGGGCATTTCGTATCCGCGCTAAATCGGTTTCGGCTCTCATTAACTGGGCTTCCTTCTCCGCAATGGCGCTTTGGAATTCTTCCTCCATCTCAATTTTGTATGCTGCCCTTTCCGAGCGAAGCTTTTCAGCTTCCTCGCGCAGTTGAGTATTTGTTGCCTCCAGGTTGTTGATGCGCTTTACCACATCATCATGTTGTGATCGGATTTGTTTGAAAAGGTCGGTATGGGCGTAGTCGTCGTTGGTAAGCTTAGATGACTAGGAATGTTTAGTCAGTGGGAGTTTCAAAAGGGTCTAGCTGGCAAGGAGCCTACCTTGATCTTCTGCTCGTTAAGCTGGCCGAGTAAAGTAGTGTTCTCCGCCTCGAGCTTTTGCAGCTGCTCCTTCTGTTTCTCAGAGACCACAGTGAGGCGCGTATTAGTTTCTTCCAATTCGGCACTGCGGTCTCCGACAGGAGTTCCACCGTTCGCGGGAGATGACTCTTCACGCTTCGCCTGGGAAGCTTCAGTGTTCGGCCGTGAGCCACCCAAAATGTATTGTTTTTCAAGCTTGGCGACTGTCACGCTCCTCGCCCGATCAAGTTTCTTTTCCGCAACCATGTATCGTAGTGATGCTGCTTCGAGGCTTTCTTCAGCTTGTTGCTTGTCGGCTAGAGCTTTCTCGAGGTTGGCGATTGTCACCTTCTCCTCGGCGAGCTTCTTGGCCAGTTGGCTCTGCAGATCTGCCATGTCTGAAGACACATCTGCCGATTTCGACGGTAAATGAGAAATAATGTCGCGGATATCATCTGATCGTGTTTTCAAATGCGCCTCAAAACTTTCCATATCTTCAAACTGCAAGGAGCTCTTGAAAGAGGGTTCTGCTTATATTGTCAATAATGGTTCCAAACATGCGTATGCGTTTGCGTTTGTGGCGACGCTCACGCCGAGTAAAATGGGACCACTAACCTTTCGCAACCCCTTCAGACCCAAGAATTATTTTCATCTCGTCGATTAACTTTTCTCTTGTCAGTTACTCAAATTCTCATATGGAAAGAGTGCCAAGGCTGGCACATCTCACATACCTGCTTGTACCAGGAATCGATGACCCGCAAGTGACTATCATGATACTTGGCTGCTTTTGACATTTCATTCACACGCGATTCCAACGACTGCTTGTCTCGCTTGAATTCCTGCATCTGCCGTAAAATCGCATCTTTTTGAAATCGCTATCAGGGAGGGGTATATCGTCAGCGCTGTGATGGATATGAATGTTAAAGACACCCTTGGGTCTTCAACTTTGAGCAGGATAGGGGCCCACGACATACCTCAAGATCATCTTTCCACGGCATATCGGCATCAGGGTGAGGTTTGCTCCCACCGTTCACGGTGGTTGCTTGCTTCTTTAATGGCGGGGCGGAGTCATTGTTGTCCGCGGCGGGCCTCTTCCGGTCTTCCATTTTCACGAGACCGGACTCTGAAGACAAGACGGGGGGGTTCGGCGGCCGGCATCAGTGGCTAGACTGACATGAGAGGGGGGGGGTTATCGTCACCACCGAACCGTCCGTCAGAAGAATCAAGGTACCGCGACCGTGTCCAATTCTGACAAAGACGAGCCCTGGACGAGATTGAAGGGGAAATATGTCACAATTAAGGTGTTATTTGGAGTGGGAAAGAGAGTCCAAGGGCGTGGTGTGAAGGGGCGGGGGGAGATGTGGTCAAGATTGAAGAAGGAGAGCGTTGAGAATTCCTCCTGGCTTTGCCTTCGCGACCGCACTGCTCACGTGACCTCCCGTTCACCCACCTCGCCCGCTTCGGGTGACTTTTCACATCTGAGAATCTTCAACCTAACAGTGTCGCCGCTCAGCGACGGACAGCAATGAAGTCCTTCTCGAGTTCTGCGATCAGTATGTCCTTCTGTGATTGTGATTGTGATGGAGAATCCCGTGCTAACGCTCTCTGTTATAGACAAGTCGGGCAAAAAGTTCGCCCCAAAGGCGCCCGTTCGCCGCGGTGCGCCTGCGCCTGCGCCCACTGCACCTTCAAGACGACCCAGCGCAGTCCAACAGGCTCAAGCAGCCCAAGCAGCGCAAACTTTACAACAAGAACGCGAAACCAGAGGCTCTGTTGGCTCTGTTGCAGCTCCATCTATTACCTCTGCCTCTGTGGAGCCCGAACAACCGGCGATCCCTGAAACCACCCCACCAGTTGCAGTTGCAGCTGCAGCTACACCTTCTCAAGAGCATCAGCCAGCTCCCTCACAATCCAAAACCGCAATTCCTATCCCCGTCCCAAGCGCAAAGCCTCTATCGCGACTCCTGCCACTCGAGAACCGAATATCATTCCTACCCCCGCATCTGATGTTCCGCCTTCCCCCCCCACTTCGGCAGTTGAGCCCCATCTCGAATCGGAGATATTTCCTTCGATCGAGCATGATCTCGAACTGTCTACTGCCCGTGGCGCCTCCACCGCGTCTGTACAGTTTTCAGATGATGCCATAGCTCCACACGAACCTGCTTCACCCCGCTCGACTGTCGTCCAACCCTCCGCAGCCGCCTCTGCGCCCGCGCCCGTCCCTTCCTTCAACCCAGTCGAATACCGGCCGACAAAGTATGCAAAGAAAACCTCAGAGATCACCAAGTCCCGGCAAAAGAGCCAGTCTCAAGTGAGTACGTCGGTTGGTCCCACCATTGACGGGACTAGTGAGACACCGGGAGGGTCGTTGGCGCCGTCTACCCCCGATCCGAGCCAGGCGGGGAAGAAAACCAAGAAACGACAACGATCAAAGACCGGCGCGTCTGATGCCGAGGGTACTGAAAAGGCAAAACGTGCTCGTCGAAAGCGTGAACCCACGCCGGACGATGCGGAGACTGTGGAAATTTTGCCCAACGTGATGAAGATGTCGGAGCTCTGCAAAGATCTCAAGACCGGAAAAAAGTCAAAGCGAGAGGTCGAACTACGACGATTGGAGCAGGTTGAATTGGAAACCAAGCAAAAAGCGCAGGAGGAAGCAGCGTCAACCACCGGAACTCCCGTGAAGGCCAAAGCGCCAGAAGGGGAGCAGCCCTCCGAACCCGCCAAACCCGCTGCCGGCCCAGTCATGCGTATTGTCAACGGAGAGATTGTTCTCGACACTGCGTCGCTGGAAGTTGATCGTCACGCCGATGCTGCCCGAGAAGCGGGCGATCTAGAAGACGTGGTGGAGAACCAACTTACTCGCAAGGTCAACCAAGCGACCTATGGCAAACGATCCAAGACCGAAAGCTGGGACGAAGAAATGACAGATCTATTCTACCGTGGCCTTCGCATGTTTGGCACCGACTTCATGGTTATCAGCAACATGTTTCCCGGCCGGTCTCGTCGACAGATCAAGCTTAAATTCAACAATGAGGAGCGTCGCGACCCGCAAAGAATCAAAGACACCCTTCTTGGCCCACGAGAGGTCATCGATATAGAAGAATACTCCGCAATGACCAACCAGACCTATGACGACCCCAAGCTCATTCAACAGGAACTGGATGAAGAAAAGAGAGTGATTGAGGAGCAGCACGAGAAGGAAAAGCAGCTTCACGAAGAAATGTTGCGCAATCCGACTGGAGGTGGAGGTGAAGAGGATTCCAAGGGCGACAAGGGCAAGGGCACTGCCAAAGGCAAGCGGAACAGCAGGAAACAAGCTGCCAAGAATGCCGGTGGTGGTACCGAAGAAGTTCTGGGCTCTATTGACGAGATCCCGGCCTTTTAATCAATTCATCTCATGGTTGTACACTGGAGTCTACATTGCATAGATACGGGGTTCTTTTTGATTCTGGGGTTTATGGCGTTTTGGGATCGGGAATGATACACACAGGTAGTTCAAGTTCTATCTCAGGTTTTTTTCGAGTCAGTCTCTTTTTATTCACTTTACCAAGAATTCTATCTTGTTATTTTGCTCCCAGCAAGTGCTATCATTACCATCCCTGACCACCTATCTGCGCCGAGTAGATCCAAACCCTGTCCCCGACGTAGTCGTCGAGAATTGCGGCGTCGCTGCACGTCGCGAACTCCCTTCTCCAGAATCACTAAACCTCGAAGAATCTCGCTGACTCGAGCGACGGGCACTGTTCCGTCCCATCTGATATCCCGCCGCCCCACCAGCCCCAAGACCAGACCAAAAACCAGGTCTCCATCCTTGACTCTGCGATCCAGAAGAACAGTCACTACTACTGTAAGGTGGCGGTGGTCCCCCTGGATAGAACCCATCGTCCCCTCCACCACCACCTCCCCATCCCCATCGTCGTCGTCGTCGCGGCTCTCTAGGTATCGGCGTATCACCCCAACAAGCCGCAGCAACGATGAAAACAAAAACGCCAATAAAAAGCACCCAAAACACAATCGAGACCATAGTTGTAGTCTTATTCGAATCAGAACCGCGATAAACATCCTTCCCAAATCTCTCCTCACCCTCATCCGTCAATAGCATCCGATACTCAACACCACAACTCCCCTTCAATACCCAAGGATCATCGGAATTCCGATACCCCTCACAGATAACATCTGTAGAACCGAGTTTGAATTCAGAAGGGAGGGACGCGGTACATGTCCACTGGATATCTTCCTCGTCGTAATCATAGCCTTCGTTTTTGCAGCGCATTGTTTCGATCTCGTATAGTTTGCAGATCTTCTCGTGGCCGATACATTTTAGTTGAGGGGCGGCGGAGACGCGGCGAGATGTGGTCATGCGATTTGTTCGGAGGGTTAATGCTTGGACGTTGGAGAGGAGGATTGCTCCTTTGCCTGGTGGTTGGTTTGGTTTGGCGCATGTTGTTGGGGTTGCTAGGAGGAGTGAGGCGAGAGCTGCTACCAGCGCTGTGCCTAGGTTGCGCATGGTGGTGGTGGCGGTGGTGATGGGCTTCGTTAGGTGGAGGAAGCTAGAGGAAGCTATCGCATCACAGTGAAAGAGTGGGTAAAGTGGTGGAAATAAGGAAATAAGAACAGGGTCAGACTGGAGGGCAGAATCCGGAAAGGACAGTCTGTCAACAAAAGCCAGTTATAGTTTCTCCGTCAAGTAACTGGAATGAGTTGGAGTTGTCCAGTGGGAGATCAGCAAAGGCAGTTCGGCCAAGGTTGGAAAGATCCACCCAGTCCACCCGAGGCCGAAAGTTGACTTCAACCCTCAACTTCAACCTCAACTCCTCTCATGAGGATGGGCGATTGACGAACTCCTTAACCAATGGCGCTTCCACAAAGTACGTTCTTTCCTGCTATCATAACTTGCATTGACTACCTACTGATACCTTGGTTTCCCAGCTGAGCTGCCCGTCCCGGTTGCGCCGCAATCCTCGTATGTCCAAGCGGAAGCCCCGAGCGAGGAGATGATCTAAAGCTAACCTCAGCTTCCCTTCTAGCCTTTCTTTCACGCAGGGATTTTTGCTTGGCCAGCTGTCGGTAGTACTACTCATCGGTGCCTTCATCAAATTCTTCATCTTCGGCGAAGCACCACCACCCCCATCGCGCGGCCTGTCCAATCGCACAACCCACCGCCGCTACAGCTCAGTCTACAACACGACCCAAGACCAAAAGACACTCCGAGAGAAGCCATCGAACTCCAACGTCCTCCGTCCAGTCCCAGCATCCTCCACAAACACCCGCTCCATCCTCCGAAAGACATACTACAGCGCCATCCCTACCAACCCCGCCAAACATGGCCGCCATCGAATGCACCACTCCTCCCACCAGCCCGAATCGCTGGACTGGTTCAACGTCCTGATCGCTCAAACAATAGCGCAATACAGACAAACAGCATACTCACTCAAGGACTCACCCACCGCCTCAATCCTAAGCTCCCTAAACGCAGCAATGAACAACCCAGAAAAGAAACCCTCCTTCATCGACAAAATCACCGTGACAGACATCTCACTCGGCGAAGAATTCCCCATCTTCAGCAATTGCCGCATCATCGCCGTTGACGACCCCACAAACGCCGACGGTGGAAGACTCCAAGCCCTCCTGGACGTCGACCTAAGCGACGACAATCTATCCATCGCAGTAGAAACCCAATTAGTCCTCAACTACCCGAAAGCCCGCTCGGCCATTCTCCCCGTTGCACTCTCCGTATCCGTCGTGCGATTCTCGGGAACATTATGCATTTCGCTTATTCCCGCCTCAACCGACCCAGTCGGCCTTCACACACCAGCAACATCGCCAGGGCCAAATCAAGATCAAGAACGAGAACCCTTCCCCGGTTCTCCAGGCTCAACCGAATCCCGCGATACGAATTCACAAAAGAGTAGTCCCAAGAGCAATGTTGCCTTCTCATTCTTACCAGACTACCGTCTCGACCTCTCCGTCCGCTCCCCTAATCGGTTCCCGCAGTCGTCTCCAGGACGTGCCAAAGGTAGCCCAACTCGTCGAAGCGCGCGTCCACGCCTGGTTCGAGGAGCGCGTTGTCGAGCCCCGGGTACAAGTCGTCGGTCTTCCGGATCTATGGCCTCGCATGGGGAGAACGGGCGTGCGTACTGGCGAGGACTCGGATGCCGGGTCTACTGCGCCGCCGCGCAGTGCGGGGTCGGCGGAGGGACCGATGCGATTCGATGATCGTGAGCGTGAAGCGGAGGGCTTGAGGTTTCGAGGACCTTTGGATCCGAGGTTAGGCTTGGGGGGTCTTGGTGGTGGGTCGAGGAGTAGTAGTTTTAATCTGGATATGGGTGGATTGCGGAGTGCTAGTATGACTCGTCAGGATAGTGCTGGGGCTGGGAGTGATCGGTTTGAAATGCCTGGTGGGTTACCGGCGGGGACTCCTACGGGAACTCCTACGCCTAGAGATTGATGTGATGTGATGTGATGTGGTGTGGTGACTCGACTCGACTCGACTTGGACGAGTATCACGTCTGGAGAAGAAGGTGATCATGATCTAATTCCCATGTAATGCCAATGCCTACGGATAGCATTGGGTGAAATGGTTCAAACTATATTTAAGAATAAGCAATGAACTGATTTAGTTTCCAGTTACCATTTATCAGACGACGTTAAAGTTCTCACGATCCTTGCTAGTTGCCGCGAAGAATTGCTTCACGTCCCATCACTCGGTCAGGGTCGGTAGTATGTAGGACGGGTATTGCCAATGTGGGTTTATGTTGTGATCATTCTTACAAGTGTGTTCTTTTATCTAGAAAGTGAAAGTGAAAGTGAAAGTGAAACTGTATAAAGATAATAGATACTAGGACACCCTATCCTATTGTCTATTGAAAGCCGTCAATCATTATGTATTTCCAAGATTTAATTTCCGCGAATCAAGACTCAACCAGCCACTGGAAAATCGAAATCTAATATACTTTACACAGCAGCAGCAGGCTGCAGAACAGTATCCACATAGGTCTTGCGATGAGGGTTAACATCGACCTCAGCACCCCGATTCAGCGGTGTCCACTTAGGCTCGTCTTGGAAGAGACGCATTGCCTTGACGTACTATAAGCCAGTCAGTCACTCAGTCACTCAGCGGGTATTTAACTCCAGCATGGGGCAATTGCATACGTTCTGCTCATTCGTCGTAAACCGATGATAAATCCCAGCAGGCAAGATAATCATATCATCCTTATTCAAACAAATCCGAATCCACTCATCCTCCTGTCCCCGAACATCAAAGTATCCCTCCCCATCAAGGATATACCGAATCTCCTCATCCTCATGCAGATGCTCCGCGAAGAACATCTTCACCTTCTCCTCGTAGATATCGCCCATCGTCGCTGGCGATACGCAGACCTGGTCGCGGTTCTTGTACCCGCGCGCTGAGGCTAGGGGTATCCACCGCCTCGAGTGTCGGGCAGTGGTGGTAGAGAACGCCTAGGTTGGCGAGGACTTCTTCGGAGACGGCGCGGCCGGAATCATGGGGCTCGCGTTGATCGCCCTGTGTCGTGGAAAAGATTGTGTTAGTACAGTACTGTTCGTGTTGCGTCATCGGATGGTGGGGAAAGAGGGGAGGAATGAAATGAAATGCGCAGCAGGCATGGAATTGAATGAGATCGGTGGAATCTTACCGGCTTGTTGTCGTACCAGTATGCGCGCATGGTGGATATGTATAAGAATGATGATTCTGCGAGAGGGGTTTGGAAGTAAGTGGAGGAATCCTATTGCTCGGGGGTGAGATGAGATTATATTCGCAACGCTGAACATCTGCGGCCCCGCAATTGGCTCGGCCGATGGTGCAAGTTGGATTATGTCATCCACGATACGGCCGTACCTTATCCCACGTGACCCTTCAATATTTTTATCTTATCGGGGCCTTTCATCCCGGCCTTACGGGGCACGCCTCAATTTGCAACGCTTTCGTTCAAACTCACGCCTTTCGCGATGGCCTTTCGAGCGCGTTCAGTCGTTCTTTTGCGCCGACGCATTGGAATTCCTTTGTCGGTTGGCAGACCTCGTGGGCTCGCGACTGTCGCCAACGGCACGCAGTGCGTAACTTCTTTCCCCTTGAACATGCATGCACATCCCATGGAACACTGCTAACCAAACCCATCAAATAGACCCTACGATGTCGTCGTAATTGGAGGCGGTCATGCTGGATCAGAGGCATGTGCTGCTGCAGCTCGATCAGGCGCACATACTGCGCTCGTGACGCCCTCGCTCTCAAATATCGGCGTATGCTCTTGCAATCCCAGTTTCGGCGGAATTGGAAAGGGAACGATGATCCGCGAGGTCGATGCTATGGATGGTGTTGCGGGAAGAATAATCGATAAGGCCGGTGTTATGTTTCGAGTATTGAATCGTTCCAAGGGCCCCGCTGTGTGGGGACCGCGTGCGCAGATCGACCGTGATCTATACAGGAAACATATGACGGATGAATTGGTCAATACGCCAGGTCTCAATATTGTGGAGGGCAAGGTTGCGGATATTGTTGTTTCGAAGGAAGGTGTTGAACATACACCCGGTGTCCAGGGCAAGATTGTCGGTGTTCGCTTGGAATCTGGAGAAGTTATTCCCACGGGTCGTGTGGTTATCACCACTGGCACATTCCTTGGTGGTGAGATTCATATTGGCTTGAAGACTTTTCCTTCAGGTCGTATGGGTGAAGCACCGACCTATGGCCTGAGCAAGTCTCTCCGTGACGCGGGTTTCCAACTCGGCCGGTTGAAGACCGGAACACCTCCGCGATTGGACATGAAGTCGATTGATTTTTCGGCCTTGGAGGTACAGAGGGGAGACTCGCCTCCTATGCCATTCTCCTACCTCAATGAAACTGTCGACGTCGGTGACGAAGGACAGCTGAATTGCTGGATGACACATACCAACGAGGCATCTCACGAGATCATCCGCGCCAACCTGGACAAGTCGGTGCATATTAGAGAGACTGTCCGGGGACCGCGATACTGCCCATCCTTGGAATCGAAAATCATGCGGTTCAAGGATAAAGAGCGGCACCAAATTTGGCTCGAGCCGGAAGGGTTTGCGCCGAATGAAGTGATTTACCCCAATGGTATCTCGATGACAGTTCCCGAAGATGCGCAATACGCTATGTTGCGAACTGTTCGCGGTCTTGAAAATGTCAAGATGCTCCAACCAGGCTACGGAGTGGAATACGACTACATCGACCCTCGAAATCTACGTGCAACGCTGGAAACAAAGCTGATTAGCGGTCTGTACCTGGCTGGCCAGATCAACGGCACAACAGGGTACGAGGAAGCAGCTGGGCAGGGTGTCATTGCCGGCACAAATGCGGGTCTGGAATCGCAAAACCGCGCCCCGATGACTCTTACTCGATCTGACGGCTTCATTGGAATTATGATCGACGATCTCATCACAAAGGGAGTGTCCGAGCCGTATCGAATGTTCACCACGCGCAGCGAATACCGCATTTCGACACGCTCTGATAATGCCGACTTGCGATTAACCCGCATGGCTCGTGATGCAGGCGTTATTTCAGACCGTCGTTGGAGCGCATTCACAGATACAGAAGCGCAAATCGAAGAATTGCAATCTCTTCTCGAAAATACCAAACTTTCCTCAACAGCTTGGTCCCGTAAGGGCTTCAAGGTTCGCGCGGATACTTCTATCCGCTCTGCGCTCGAAATTCTCTGTCTGGATGGAGCGAACATTGATACTCTGATCCCGCACATTGAATCCTCGGCGGCATACACAGCTTCATCATTTGCGCCTGAAATTCGAACTCGCGTCGCTATCGAGGGTCGCTATGCCCCCTACCTGAAACGACAGGAGAAAATGGCTCAGCGTTTCCAACAAGATGAGAATCTACTCTTACCTGCTGATCTTGACTACAATCTGATCAATGGTATCAGTAACGAGGAAAAGCAGGCGCTGGAGCGTGTCCGTCCTTCGAGCGTTGGTATGGCGCGTCGGATTGAAGGTGTCACGCCGGCTGGTGCACTTCGACTTCTGATGCATGTGCGGAGAGGTAGTGGATTCACCAAGGAGATTCCTAGCGATGACCCTGCCATGGCCGAGGTGTTGCGCTCATCTCCTTAGCCCGGGTGGGTAGTGGAGGTTATGGTTGTGGTTTGCATTTTGTGATTCGAGCGAGCAAAAATGGCGTTGATATGTACATTACAAGGGCTCAACCAAAGCTGATTCAAGTTCTATTCTGGCATGTACTTATACTTATATTTATATTCATACCTGTCCCATATAATAATGACCCAAATACATTAAAAGAGACAATCTCGATTCAGACATTCATTCAAACTATCATTCTTGTGTAGAACGAAACAGACATATATAAAATCCGCCATGGTGAAAGGGGCTGGCTCATCGTAAACATCCAGAGAAGAGCTGAAAAAGCCCTAAGAAGCCCTGTCTATGCCAGGGTGTCGACGCAGTAACTAACCACTAACTACGTGTCCAACAACCAACCAACAAAACAAGCAGGAAACTAAATCCATCCAACCTAAACAACTCTCCAACACTACCCCTACCCCTAAACTATTGTAGGTCATCTACTCGCCACGGAATACTACTAGACTCCTCTTTCCTTTCCTTCCCTTCCCTCCAGCCCCTAGCCCCCAAATCCAATCCAGGAACCCACCAACACGAACCCAACCGTCAAAAGCAAATAAAACCCAAACCCCGTATTCCAACGCCCACACGCGAAACCCAAAGCCCGAGCCCGAGCCCGAGTCCAAGCCCAAGCGCCAGCCCCCCCTCTTCGGCCCCCAAATCAAATCCAATCCACATTTCATTCCCCGCAAGCCCGACACGCGAGGGTCAGCGAGGGGGAGTCGGCATGCATAGCGTGGCGTGGACAGGATAGGACAGGACAGGACAGGACAGGTCGTGTGAATGCGCGCGCCCCCTTCCATTCCCATCCAGTCCCATCCAGTCCGTCCCAACACTACGGGACGAACGCAAGGGATTGCCGATCTTGACGAGACAGGGATGTGATGCCCGACTCCGTACCCCGTACATACTGTGTTTTCGATGTCGATGATGCGGTAGTTACTCACTACTCCATCCAGTATGAGGCAGGGCGGATAGGTAGGGCGCTATTGGTTCGATTGCTGTGATTGTTGGGGTTGGGGTTGGGGTTGGTTTGGTGGTCATGGCGGCGTGGCCATGCTGCTGCTGCTGCTGCTGCTGCTGCGCTGCATTTCACTGAAGATGAATTGCGATGCGATGCGATGCAATGTGATGGTCTATGGGTACGATATGTACGTACGTACGAGTATCCAAGGTGGTGGGATTGCATTGCATTTGCATTGCATTACTTCCACTCCACTCCAAGATCAAGGTTCCAAGATCGAGGCAACTTTTGGAATTATTGTTATTTCGCACTGACGTTTGTTTGCCTCCTGGATTTGATTTAGATTTAGACTTACTGTACGGAGTACAATTAAATTTACGGGGTAGTTACTCCCCTGGAACTTGAACGACATTTTCTTTTCTGACAGCAGCACTGGCAGAAGCAGCAAACAGATGAACCATCCATAGACTACTCGGATCTATGTGGCACTGGTGTACTTTGGCTATGCTTTCGTGGCGTGATGATTTCTTGCAGTACTTTTATTGAAGTTCTTTTATCTACTCCAATGCACCGAGTAAGTAGCCTACTGTATGTACACAGTAGTTAGTTCAAATTCCGTCCTGGTGATCGGGACAAACGAATGCCCAACCCAACCCAGCCAGGTGGATTGGGATTAGATCGTCATGTTGGAAGATGGGATGGAATGGGATGCAAGACTAATAATGCACGATAAAGTTAACTATGACAAAAGCCTTTCACTAATGCACCAGCCCCGATATGTCCTGAGATAGATAGGAAAACTGGGGAAAACTACGGAGAACAAACATACACTCCAATCCAACTCAATCTAACTATTGTACGAGTAGAGTAATCCGTCCGATTCAACCTGAGACATAACCGAAGAGAACCGACAAATTGGCCCCGAGAATACTCCGACTGGGATACTCGTACGTAGTGATGATTATATTTGGCGATCAATGCGTATACTGTATACGTAATTCTAAAGCCTCGTTCGTAAACGTCCCTTTATTTTCATTTCATTTGTCAATGAAACCGATTCCTCGCAATGCAACTTGCCCTTACCCATGCCCCTGCCCTTATTGGTAACTGGTTGCTTCAAAGTTTCTCCGCATTGATTCGGTATGATCGCTAGTAGGCAGCTCACTAGTTACATAGCAGAGCAGGTACAGAATGGCACTAACATAGCTAGTACTAGTTTGAAGGAAGGAGTACAGGGGTTCGTCCTTGCGGGATGCGCCGCCAGGTCTACGAGTACTGTACAGTACAAGTACATAATTTGCGCTTTGGAGTAATGATGGTGCCATTGATGACATCGTTCACTGTACGGTGGAAGGTCGCGGAAGGGGGGAGGGGAGGCGCGTGATGGGTACGGGTGTATCGTGTGATTCGAATCCTTCCATCAGATCAGGGATGGCGGCCGGCAGTAAGCAACCCCCGGAGAGGAGAGGAAATGGTTTAACCCTCTACTCAGGCTACTAGCACTAGTACTAGTAATATGGTGGCGAAAAGTGGGAGGCGTTGTAGGCAAGTCGAATTTGCGGCGTATATTGCAGGGGAATGAGCTAGATACCGATGGTTTGGATAATTATGTATCTCATGCAATGTGGTGCGGTGCAGATTTGTGAAGAACAGGGTAGAGGGAGCATACAGCCCTGGAGAATTATAAGCTAGTGCTTATTTACTCGTAATTATGCATACTAGACAGTATGCATTGCATTGCGCTATACTCGTACACTGCCAGTGTCTCGTCGAATTAAGGTGTTAAAGTATATACTAGTAATCTACTTTAGGGTCTCTGTGCCAGGTGGTTCGCACTGGCAGATATATATACATAGAGGCGGGGTGGGAAGGTAGATAGATAACCAAATAGACAGATATGCTGCATGCATAGTCTGCAGGTATTTTACATTTACGACCGTGTTCCTCTGGCACCTTCCATAATCCCAGCAGGGGTATACATATACTCCGAGTCCGTACTCCATACCAACGTCAGGCTTGCAGGAAACCGATAAGATATCGCATGCACAAACCTTCCTTCCAAGGTTCCCATAGGGCCGGGGCCGGGGCTGGGGCTGGGGCTGGGGCAGACAGACGGTGTCCCCAAATCCACTGGCAGACCAGGCCAAGCAACTTCCAAACGGTTGGGTCGAAACCTACACCAAATCAGATCAGACGCACAACTAGACCAATAGATGTACTCGTAAGTTACTTTACGGAGTACAGGACACTACACAAGACTAGTCTCGTCAACGGCCATGCGTGTCTCGGAGGAACATGTCACTCAGACTTTCCTCTCTTCTCATTCTCCTCTCCGCCGAAGGGAAGGGAAGGGAAGGTTTCTGGCTGTCCAGCCACATAGTCCCTTGTCCAGTCCAGTCAATCCAGTCCAGTCCGGTGCCTGTCCTGTCACTGGTGCCCTATTGCTGGTTGTGCATACAGAGTTCATAGTTTGTTCTGATGACAGCATGATCCACACCTTTGTACGACACGAGATCAAGACTTGGCTTTTCCATGACGAGGAGTACGATGCGGAGATCCTCTCCTCCTCATCCTCCTCCTCATCCTCCTCCTCATCCTCCTCATCCCCCCTCGAGGTCGAGGAAGGGAATGGGAGTGGGAGGGGGTCTCCTGAATACCGTGCACAGTCACACAGGATGGCTGATACGAGTCCACGAGTCCACTCATCCCGCAAGAGCGCGGGTCCGTGGTTTTGGAAAACTCGTTGGGGGCCACATGAGTGCGGGGCGAATACGTTTCTTTCTTTTTCTGGATGGAGTATGTAGTGAACGGAGGTGATTTTTTTTTCTTTTTCTTTTTTCTTTTGCTTTTCGCTGTTTGGCTGAGTGTTAGTCTGACAGACACGGAAGAAGGGGAAGGGGAAGGAGGGCAGGATGCTGCAATGCGGCTGGAGTGGATTGGATAGGATATTGGGGCTACGACGAGCATTATTTTTTAATTAAATTAAATTATCTTTTTAATTTTTTTGCTTTCAGGTGGAACCATCTAGTCAGGGCAGACTGAACAATACCGACTGCCTATTTTGAAAAAATCCACCCTTCAAATGCCGTCTATCACTAGGATCCGTAAACCATAATCCGTATATAAATTATCATTGATCCACCCGGGCACACCAAGGGTGGAGGGATCCAAGCCAAGTGCCAGTGCCCGTGCCAGTGACAAGTGCCAGAGCGAACGAACCAATGCAAGAGAGGGTACAAGGTTAAAAAGTTAAGAGTAGGTACGGAGTACTGGTGCCATGCTTGTACGGAGTATAAAGTTCTGGTTACGGCATTGAAATTAAAGACGACAATTGCCAGTGATCTACGAGATCCAGTCCAGTCCAGTCCACGGCACGGGCACGGTGAGAAGGGAAATAAAAGAGTGGTTCGATTCGGGATGATAGGGTGATCCTCTTTAGTCTACCGTAGTCTGGGAGTACGAGTACTGTAGCAGCTGTACTTAGTTTCCTCCGTAGTCCGTACTTTAGCTGAAGACTCGGACTTGAACTCGGACGGACCCAGAAGGCGTACCATACTTTGTATCGTGCGGAGCACAGTAACTCGCAGAGAGCCAAGCAAAGATAGCGAATAGCTTCTGAATAATGGGGAATAATCACGATTGAATTTCCCTCGGGCCCACACGATTTAGGATCCGTTCTCCACAGCAACTAACTGGGCCTTGGCTTGACTGGACTGGGCTTGGCTTGGCTGGGCTTCCCGGCTCCGATTATTTTTTGCCTCTAGCGTTGTGCCTCCGGTGTAGCCTCTAGTTACGGTATGGAGTAGGTTTACGGAGTCGGCTCGGCGAATTCGATTTCATCAAGCTAAGTGTAGCGCCTCCGCCTCCGCCTCCGCCTCCCCTTCCCTCCGCGCGAGTGCGAGCGCGACAGCCAATGTAAAGCTATGTTCGGAATACTAGTTCCACCGATCCCTTGATCGCTGCTCGTAGACCCCGAGAATGGCATAAATAGACGATCACGATGATCCTGATCACAGACCCCTTCTCTGATCTCATCTGTGTACTCCTTACGGAGTAGTGTACTTCGTACTCCGTACATGGGTCCCGTACTAGCAGGGCGCCGCGTTATTCGGAATGTTTCCCGCAGCTTTACTCTAAAAGAGGTCAGTGCCGCGTCTAGCATGAACCTTGGCACTGAACGGGGGCTAATGATGATGACATGACAGGACATGGGCATGGGCATGGAGATGGAGTTGGAGATGAGGGTGGATCAGATCAGAGAGATCAGCATCAGCTATCCAATCCTTCAGCCTCGAAGAGCCGTTTGTACAAACGAAAACGAGGAGGATCAGACCAGTGTGAGGAGGGAGTAGGAATAGGAATAGGAAGAACGAGGGATTTAACGGGGAGAGTAGGAAGTAAAGAAAAAGAATAGGAAGAGGGAGGACAGGGGGGGGCAAAGGGAAGGGGACCAGACCAGACAAGACCAGACCAAACTTCTAGACAAGAATAGAATAGAATACTCGTAGACCGACGGGTCGCGATTGGGGGGAAAGCTCCGTTCAACCAGACCAGACCAGACCAGAGTCGAGTCTCTACGAAGGGATTCAATTCACGAAGTGAACCTGAAGCTGAGCCACCAATAGGAGGATACAGTAGTGCAGTACGGAGTACTGGGCAGTAGTTTCTTGCCTCCGACCACCACCCCTTTCGCTTCACATGATACGAGTACTCATACTCCGTTCAATACGGAGCGAGCGCTTGTTATTGCTACTGTTGTTTGCTATTGCTGCGACTGTTTCTGCTGCCTACCTACCTGCCCCATCCCATCCCCTGCACCAAACCAAACCGAGAAAACTAGCGCGATCGCAGGAATTGTCCACGCGGGCCTCGTCCACTAGCGCTGGCGCTGGCAGAACTAGATTAACAGACCCAGACCAGACCCCGTACCGTACCCAGCCCAACCCAAACCAAACCAAACCCAAGTTCTGAGATTGACCTGACCCGAACCCGACTGTTACTCGTAGCCATTTGATTCGAGCACTAATGCCTGGTCGGTGCGAAACCGGATCGCCACCAGAGTTCCCGGTCTGGCTTGGATGGAGAGGGGGGGGGGGGGGACTAGCAGCACCACGGAGGACGGAGTACTCGTATGTACAGTCGGGACTAGCGACTAGCACGGAGCAGGACAAGACTAGCATCTCTTGGGAGAGGGGTACATAATTGCAGAGAGTTAGACCGGTGAAGATCATCAGACCCTGGTGCGGGATTTCTTAGCGCACTAGCACCGAAAACAAGGTCGGTCGACGCCACCGTGCTGCGCCCGGCCTCCCTCTCCTCTTCGTCTCCTAGTCTTGCTGCGGTTAGATCAGAGGATTTTATTGGGACAGTCTTAATATGGTGCGCCCCGCTGGCCAATACGAAGATCGACGGGGATTACTGACAGCTTGTTGGGTGGGTGCTTCGGGATTGTACGGAGGGAGAGGAGAGGAGAGGAGAGAGAGAGAGAGACTACTCTGGAAGAAAATACGAGTACTCCGTACTGCTCTCTCTGTAGGGTCCTGAACTAGATCAGAGTGTACTTACTACTCATGCTCAGTATGCATGTACGAGACTGTATGTACTCCTCATCCACGAGAACTTGAACTTTGTCCTCTCCCCGGCTGACAAGACAAGATGCATCATATCACGCATCCCCCTGTGCGGACGCTCCGAGAGTCTGGTACGGTGGTGCGCCGTCCGTGGATGTGGGTTCTTAGGGCGAATGGGGGACGGAGAGGAGAGAGGGGCGATCGGCGGGGTTGGCTTGGATTGGCCATAATGGCTGTGATTTCATTTGTGATTTGTTTGCTCACCACACACAGCCTGCGTAATCCGGGCGGAGCAGGCAGGCTCGAGGTCAGGTCGTGGCTCATCCCATCCCCATTCCCATTCCCATTCCCACTCCCACTCCCCCGTAAGCGCGCTGGGCGGGAAGACAGCTGGCCCAGACCAGGCCAGAACCTCCGGGGATCGACCGAAAGGGATCCGTGCCATGACTGGATCTGGATGAGGCTTCCTATTTGTTGGGGGGAGATGGGATGATTTCACCTGGTCCAGTCGAGGACCCCTTTTCTGGGTGTCCCGGAGGGTTGGGTCAGGCTGAGGAAAGTCGTGGCCGATGAGTGATAAGTGGCAGTATGTACAGTACTTCGCTTCGTACTGTACATACATCATAGGGTATGGATAGAGCAGAGTAGAGCATCCTGCGGATGCTCTACTCACTCTAACTCACACCATCCTCAAACTCACCCTGACATCTGTCATGGGCGTCAATTGAGTTTCAACAAGCGTGCGCCAGTGAGATCGTCTCCTGTTCACCCAGTTTATCGGGACGAACTGAAACACGGAGGACAGTTGTCCGAATGGTGAAGAAGCAAAGCAGAAGAGAGTTTCCGCCACGAGCTGCCGATCATGGGGGGGGAATGGGGTGGGAGAAGCAATACAAGATGGGATGGGAATCAGCTGAATGGTACGGATACTGATACAGATTGTACTGATACACTACGGAGTACGTAGTTGATGCTAATGCTAATGCTAATGCCAATGCTACTGGATCTGCTGGGGATCTCCCGCGTAACTTTTGCCAGGATCCAATGAGCCCCAGTCAGGTACGGGACCCTCTTGCCTTGGTAAAGTGTAATTAAGAGTGAGTACGGAGTACGGATACAGTAGGTTAGCATAAGTTTGTAAATATTTAGGTACCCAGTCTGTGCTAACGGTAGGTCAGGCCTCCAGATCTTGACATGCGGTGATCATTCGTGCCGCCCCAATTTTTGTGGTGGAGGCGATTTCAATAGTTGGTGGATTCGCCGTTGTGGGCAGGACAGAGTACGAAGACAGAGTACGGAGTACGGAGTACTCTGCCCACACACAGGGCAGACTCGGGAGAGTCGAGAGTACCATGGCTGAATAGCCGAATAGTTCTGGGCTAACCCTTGATCCTTGCTAATGCCATCCTTAATTCTAATTCTTCAAGAATCCCATGGATACAGAAACTGCAGACCCAGAGAGATCCTGCTGAGTCAGACTGACGTACGGAAAGAAGTTGGCTCCGTTCCTTCGTTCCCTCCCTTTTCAAGTTTCCCCACTACAATCGATGATCATTACACTTACACATACACTACACTACACTACACTGGGTATTATAGCAAGTATTATTACTCTTATTTTATTACTCTTATTTTATTACTATATTCTCTCCTCTCCTCTCCTCTCCTATCTATTCCATTACCCTAATACCTTACCCTAATAATAGCTATCCTCTACTATAATACTATACTACACTTACTACACACTCGGAGGGTAACCGCTCCCTCTTTTCGGGTCTGCCTACATTAGCGTCTCACTCTTCCCCCCTACCACTCAGAATCATATAATCATATCATACCAGTCCATATACGAGCCTCCTACACTATACCTACGACACTCTCCTCTCCTCTTCTCATCCCTAAACACCCTAACCCTAATAAAACGACCCAAACAACCCTCCCCCCCTAACCATACTCGTATCCATCCATCTCCATCCCCCCAACCAACCACATCTATAACCACTTCCACCACGTCCACCACGTCCACCATTCCACTTCCACCACTCTCCACCCCACAACCCTCCGACTCAGTGGAGCAATCCGTGGAACCAGTAGATCCCATCTCCAGAGATCGGTGCAACCTCTTGACTCGCTGACGCTCCTTGGGTCCGTGCTGACTGGTCGATCCCTGGAATTCTTCCAAGCCGAGGAGGGGTTAACTCAAAACCACCGCATCCGCTCTTCCTTCTCCATACCCTGGTCGATCTCCTAGCTTATTTTATTTTTTTGGGTGCTGGTGCTTTTCCTAGTCCGAGAAGGTCTAAGGTCCAAGTCCAAGGTCCAAGGTGTAGTCTCTACCGTCTACCCTCTGGTGATCGCGACCGCAATCCGGGGTACCTGGAAGGGAACTGCTTCACACACTTCCCTTCACTTCACTTCACTTCACTTCCTCCCCTCTCTTCTCCCTTTCCTTTCCACACTCCCCTCCCCTCCACTTCACTCCACATTCTTTCTCTTTTGACTTCCTTCGAGTCTCTTCCCCCCCCCTCCCTCCCCGTTTGTCTCCCCACCAATCTCATCATGGTGAACGGGACTGCCGCGGTGCTGGAGCCCACATTCACCGGCTATGTGGCCACCACCCAAGATGCCCTCATCCTCTTCGAGGCCTGTCTCACCGGCGTCTTGCATCATGTTCCTCGTCGCCCACACGACAGGGAGCGCTCCCATCTCGTGCGCTCGGGGAGTGTCTTCATCTATGAGGAGAATTCCTCGGGAATCAAGCGTTGGACCGACGGCGTCACTTGGTCCCCGAGTCGCATCTTGGGTAACTTCCTCGTCTATCGCGAATTAGAGAAACCATTCCCCCCGGGTGAGAAGAAGCGCGCCATGAAAAAGGCCAATCGTCGACCGGTCCCCTCCACCAGACCTGGTGAACCTTATCCTCGACATGACAGCAACGGCTCAACTGGTTCAGGCTACTCGCCCACCTCACCCCGGGACCCTTTGGAGAGCGCACACATCAGTCCGAACTGGAACGCGCCCTCGTGGGATCGCTGGTCGATTCGTACGGTTTCAAGGACTCCGGTCTGGTCAAGAAGACCATGTCCGTCACCGTCATGGGCATCACCCACCACTTGGTCTCCTATTATAGCGTTGAAGATGTGATGCGCGGCGCACTCAACCCACCATCCATAGTCGAATCACTGCGCTATATTCGACCTCGTGTTGACCTTACTCAGAAACAAAGCTTCCGGGCTCCGATCGACGATCTCGAGACGAGTGCCATGGAATCCGCCCATGATCCCTCCCACGCCGCTCTCTACGGATACCGGCCTCAACAAATCATGGCGCCACCAACATATGGAATGCCCAACCCACCCGCAGATTTCTATACCATGCACGCCGCCAACCCTTACCCCGCCACACATCCTCCCCAATCCGGCCCGATCGCCGGCTACTCCATGGGCGCGTCGATGCCAACACAACAAGCACCGAACCCATATCTCCCCTCACCCGCCTCAGCGGCATCCATGACCCCCAAGGTGGAAGATTACCACGCCTTCCGCACAGGACCGTACGGTGGCAGCATGGACTCAATGAGCCACTCAGCACTCTCCTCATCGATCCCAGGAGCTCTCAACACCGCGATCCCAAGCTCGATGAGCGATCGCAATCGCTCCACATCCGACCACTCCCCATCCGCCTACCGCAACTCATCCATCTCCTCCCGCAGCGTCGCCACAGACGCAACTTCTCCCATGGACCCTTCGACTCCCGCCACCTACTCCCGCAGCAGCTTCAGTATCCCCGGCCAGTTGGATTCATCGCATTCTCACCCCCACCCTCACCACCAGATGGACCGCGGAATCGGCCCTCTCGACCCGACTGTCCCGCGCCGTGAATCAAATCCCATGCATCAGCAGAGTTACTATGCGCCAGATCGCTCGCAGTATTACATGGGTTCCAACTCCACCGGTGAACCACGCGCATTACGCGACTGCTCAACCTCTGTCAACGTGGACGACGACCGCGCCCGCCCAGCCACAAATTTGATCCAACTACAAATTTGATATGATTCCCCGGTGAACTTTTTTTGGCTTCTTTTTTATTTCTCTCTGGCTACTGGTGTTGGCTATGGCATTATGGATGGCACGTTTCTTCAACAACTTTCTGGGAGGCTCCAAATATATAGAGTGTGTTCTCTGTTTTAAGGGAATTTCACTCTTCCCACTTCCATCTCAATCGGGTCCGGCTTGGCTTGATTTGATTTGATTTGACTTGATTTTTATTTTGACTTGATTGGTATAGTTCGGAGCGGGAGGAGTCGTGGTGGCTTTTTTTTTCCCCTGTTATGGTTCTACTTTTTATCTGCTCGTCGCTGTTCCTTTTCTTTCCTCCCCCTTATAATCCCTTCTCGCTTTCCTTTCCTTTCCTTCTGTTGGTACGACTATTTCTTCCTCTTGCTATGATAGAAACCCCCCTCGCCTTCTCTGGCTTCGTTTGGTCTGTTTCTGGGTGGTCCGCGTGTGCAAGTGCATTGTGCAAGTGCATTGTGCTGTGTGCGTCTTGGCTTTTGCTTTTGCTTTTATTATATCGATTTCCTGCCCTTATGATTACCTGAGGTGTTTTCTTTTCTTTTCTTTTCCTTTGCCGATATTCCCAATTCTCTTGTCTGGAGTGGGACGAATCCAAATTCGGTTCTTTTCAGCTTGGTTTGGAAGGAAGAGAAGAGAGGAGGGAGAGGAAAGAAAGAATCCGAATCCGAATCCGAATCCGAATCCCCGTTCATCATCATCGATCCCCAATTCCTACCCCCGCTGTTCCGTTCCTGTCCCTTTCCCTTTCCTTTCCCCGGTGTACTCATGTCTGTCTATAAGGATTCTGTTCTGTCTGTTCCGTCCTGTTCTGCTCTGTTTTCGTTTGGCTTGGCCTTTATGTCTCGTGTGTCGGCTCTCTGTTTTATCAGGAATAACCCTAGGCGGCGTTTTTGTTATTGTTTATGTGTCTTTCAAGTTTTTCATCCTTTTTTTTACCCCCCAACTCACGATGTGATGCAACGCAACTACTATTCTACCCAGTACCCAGTACCCAAAAGGAAACTCTTTTTTTCTTCTTTAAACTTTATAGGAATTGGTTCTGGTATCCTATCTTCTTCTATTCTATTCTATTTTACCGTTCCCTATATTTACCTCTAGCTTCCGATTCGAGGTCGAGTGTGGTTTGAGTCTCGTCGCATCCCCTGTCCTTTTCTGTTCCTCCTGCACTAATCATTCAAGTTCCAAAGTCTAGGATACGTTATGTATTTCTGAAGGAGGACTGAGTAGTTGAAGAAAGGGCGGCCCTTTGTTGTTGATTCGAGAATTACAGCCCTCTCTCCTGTAGGCTGGGATCTGTGGAAAAGATAGGAAAAGAAAGAAAAGAAAAACAAGTACAGAAAATGAATTATATTCTTCTCAAATAAAATGACCATCTTGAACCTGATTCTAGTATACTAGATACTATCAACTGGTACTTAGTAGTTAGTACTCGCTACTACTTTTCAAATCCAATCCAATCCAATCAGATCAGATCAGATCAGATGTACCTCCCCCCCCTCGAGTCTAACTAAGGCGAGACTTATTCCGAGTCTCTTCTTCCGTAGTCTTCATCCAGTATTCAAGTCCTCGATCACCTACCAGCACAATTTAAATTAAGCATTACAACCTTACCCAACCCCAACCTCAACCTTAACCCTAAGTTAGACTAGATTAGATAAGATTAAACACTCTCGAAGACCTGGACGCAGTGGAGCCTGTATAATACCTAATATACACGTAAGGATTTGAATTGAACTAAATTCCTGAACCTAAAAAATATGGGAACTGCAAGGTTACGCTTTTGGATTGAGATTTGGATTTGGATGTGGATTTGAATTCTGCAGGATCGGTGGGTGGGTGGATGAAAGAAAGGTTAAAGGTTAAATTTAGGTTAGTTATTCTTTGTCTTTGTTGAAAATGGATTTCGAGGCTTGGCGGTGTATGGTACCTGGCTGGGTATGGGTATGGGCATGGGCATGGAAATGAAGAAACTTGAAGTTGGGGATATGGTTAGTAGGAGTATTCCAAAGGTTCAGTTTGATATTGTATCATACTTGAGTGGGAATGTAGAGTTAAACTTGGATTTGGATTTAGATTTGCACCTCTAGTTGATTTTTACTAGGAAGGTGGATTGAAAGAAACTTGAACACGTGGATGGTGGTATTGGTTTGGGAGAGTAGTATGTTTGAGTTTCTGAATATGATTCATTCAGCAAGTCTTTTGAATTGACTATATATAAAAAAGAAAGAAAAAGAAACCGGGGGAAAAATCCAAAGGATATCTTAGCGACCTCGCTACGCTATGCACAAACTTGAAAATAAAAGAAAAGAAAAAGAAGAAAAAAAAAACAAGAAAAAAAAAAACAACCAATGCTAACCCCAAGCAACACTCCAATCACCCTCCAATCACCCTCCAATCACCCTCCAATCACCCTCCAATCACCCTCCAATCACCCTCCAATCACCCTCCAATCACCCTCCAATCACCCACTCTCCTTCAACCTCTCTTCCCAAAGCAACAGCAACGACGGCGTAAGCGGTCGATTAACCATATTCATGACGCGGGACGTCTCGCGCGAGTTCGAGTCCGAGTCGTCGTTCGAGGAACGCCCGTTCTCCGGAAGGGGAGGACCCGGACCAGTGAACTGTTCGGAGCATTCTGGAGCGAATGGTCTCAATTTCAACTCCTGGGCCAGTTTCGAATGGATAGGGCCACCACTCACCGGGGCCAGTAATTTTACTTTCATTCTCGTTTTTGTTTGCATTGTCGTCATCGTCGTCGTCATTGTCATTGTCCTCCAAAGTTCGTTTTGTAAGCGTAGTACTAGTGGCGGCAGTCGTAGCAGTAGCGGTCGTAGCAGTAGTACTAGTACCAGTACAGGTACTACTACTCATCTCATTATTCCCGACCTGACGCGCACGCGGCGAGACCATTGCCGAGCGCAGTGCGGATAGATTCATGATTGCTACGCCGTGACTTGGGCCTAGGGATACGTTGAGATTGTTGGATTGTGCTTCGACGCCGGTAATATTGGCCATGTTTGTCGTTGTTAGGGATGGGGGTGCGGCTGAGAAAGGTGCGAAGGGTGGTTGCTGTGTCGGGTTGCTTTGTAATTGGTATTTTTGTTGCACGTTCAAGATACCCTGCATGCCTTGCATTGTTTGGTTTTGGTTTTGGGTTCCCTGCATTCCCTGCATCGGGTTGAGCGAGCCATACTGGCCGGGATAAGGTTGTGGATATCCTTGACGTTCGGGGAGGTCGGTTTCTTTCGGTATTTCCATCTATGGTGCGAGTTGGTTAGCTTGTTAAGGTCTTTCTTCTTCGCTTATTCGCTTATATTTTCTTTCCAATCTGGTGCAAAGCACACGTTGGGGATGGGCCACATACCTTCCGACTGTATTTCCTTCCTGGCAAAGCAATGTAATCGTCAAAACTGCTTACAAGAGCAGCAAAATTGAAACCACGCTCCGTATCCAGCGGCTCAAACCGCTGTCCAACCTCCTTGTCGAAATCAACATCGCGACGTTTCGCTGGCCGGTAGGAAGGCAAGCTCAGCGACCAGTTGGGATAGTTACCCCACCAGGATTGTATGACGGGGTCAATATCGAGAGACAGCTTGACGCGAGACTTGAAAGACGGCTTCTGAATCAACATGACGAAAGTAAACTCGCGCGGCAGACCAGATCGCTGAAGATTATTCTCTTCAAGAGACCAAACGACTTCGCCGGCTTCGATATCGAACTGAGGACCTCGGGGGCTTTTCAGAGTGCGCGCTGAGCCTTGAATACGCATCATTTCGTAGCGACGGTAGCGACTATTCACACTACCGGAAGGGATCAGGTTAGCGCTTAGTGGAGCCTCGGAGATACCGATGGAGCCGGCGAGACTGAAAGTCCACTCCATCGTCTCGGGTGAAACGGTGCCGTAGATCAAGTGAGGTGCATGCATCAAGATCCGTGGGTTTTTAGGGCGGCGTTTGGGACTTGAAGTACCATCTGTCGCTAGTTGATCTGGTCCTTGGATGGAGGCACGAATTGTGGCGGATTTGAATCGGTGGGACAGAGTGTGAGGTGAATGAAATACAAAACTAAGAGCTAAGAAATCGACATGTTCGGCCTCGGGGTCGGAAACTGCTGAGCTAGAATAATAGCCATGTTGTAGTCGCTGGACATACACTGTGATGTATGCATCACCTGGAAGCTGCCGTTCGTAGATACTCTCTCGGTTGACTAGCAAACGGGGGTTGGATTTGTTCATGTCGGGTGGTTTGTCTTCTTCCTTTTCCTTCTCCTTCTCCTCCTCCTTTTCCTTGTCGGGGATGGTTGGTGGCGGTTGGGGCTGCGGTGGCTGTTTGGGAGGTGACGAAGTGAGATTCGTACCCCTCCCTCTGTTGATAGGTACTGATCCGTCCATATTGGGCAGTTTTCCAGTGGCCACGGTCGCTGTCCCCTCGTCCACAGGTTTGTTTGTTCTCCATCTGGTTTTTGAAGAATGAATGCAGCTTGCCATTCACAGCTGCATTTCCAAAAGAGTAAGTGCTTAAGTTAGTCAGAGTTAAAGAGTCAGAGATGTCGGCATTTCATAAATATGCTATCAAAATTTTGCCGCATCATCGGGATGATGTTAGCTATCAGGCGGGTTGTCATGTGTTACAGAGCAGTCAGATGAGTTAGACAGTGAACATGAACATGAACATGAACAGCCTGGGTGACTCATAGCTATGTCTGCCTGCTCTGCACGGGTGGGATCGGATATAATCCGTGGATCGAAGCCAAGAACCATGGCTAGAGAATGATCAGTACAGGTGAATCAGGGTAGCAGATGGAAAGAGTAGAGTTGGTGAAGTAGACGTATACAACGGACCGCGGTGCTTATTCTGCCAAGCACACCTTGGGGTCACTCACCGCCCCCGCATCATCCCCAGGACTAGCGGAACGGGTTAACAATTATCCGCGCCGATTTCGACATCAACTCCAGCAACTCGTCACGAGATCCATCAGATCTTCCAAGTGTTCGAGTGTATTGCATTCTCTCAGAAGACAGTCGAGGACTCGTCTAGGTGTCGTCTGCTGGGCCGTAAGCTTTTATTCTTCCCAGGCCTTCCGCTCCCACCAAATGTCTTGCAATCCCACTGACACTCATCATAGCACTACAGCTGTACTATATGACAGCCGATGTTTACATCTGTGGGGACCAACTTGACTCATTCGATTGTCTTTTCTGCCTGAGATAGGTCTCGTGCATACCCGGAAACAACTGGTTGGCACTGCTGCTTGCTGCATCTTCAACCCACCACCACCAGGGCATGCGTTGAATCGTACCCCGAAATTCAGCCAACTGCTTTTCTGTTTTCGTATTATCATATTGAGTTTACTCAGCTGACCGTCATATTTGTTTATTTCTTTTGTCTTGTACCACCATGTTGTCTGCAGGTGCTGCCCGTATGCTGCCCGTCCGAGCGTGCCAGGGGTCTCGGGTATTCTGCATTGGCAACCGGCTACCAATCCAACCCCAAGGGCAAGTGTCTCTGCGCATGGGTACACTGCATTCTAAATGCATTTCCACGTTGAATCGATCCCCGGGACTGGCCCTGTTTCAAACCAGGTAAGTCATGTCCCTATGGATTGGAGTATTTTCCCATCCTAACGTTGCGCTTCCAGGAACTTGCGACACCAAAGTCTCGTCTCAGCGAAGACGACCATTTGCGCGTCTAATAAAAGATGGACTGCATCGCAATCACCTAAAGATGAAAAAGAATCAGACTCGGAAAAGTCGGTCATTTCCCAAAAAAAAAAGAATTTGCGAAAGGGGAACCACTCCAGCTAACACTAGAGAAACAGGCCTCTTTCTACCACCAAACGCATCTTATCCAAGATCCCACTGGCCACTAAATCGCATGAAAATATCTACACCATTCCCAACATTCTCACCTTCTCGCGATTAGTTGCCGCGCCCGTGGTGGGGTATCTGCTCGTCCACGACTACCATGCAGCTGCGTTGTCACTATTTGCATATGCAGGTATCACGGACCTCGTCGATGGTTGGATTGCGCGGAAGTGGCAGCTGCAGACGGTAGTGGGGACGATTATTGACCCGATGGCCGATAAGCTGCTGATGACGATTGGCGTGGCCTGTTTGGCGGTGAACGGGTCACTTCCTGGTAAGTGAAGTGTTGTGTTGGTTGTTCGATGATTAGGGTTGCATCCAGGCTTGAGTCTACTGAAAATTGAGCTGGTGATGGGATTCTGAGATGATATGATGGGACGGAAGCTGATATTATACAGTATGGCTGGCTGTGATTATTCTTGGCCGTGATGTTGGCCTCGCCATCTCGGCAATCTATTACCGATGGATCTCTCTTCCGGAGCCCAAGACCATGGCCCGATACTGGGATTTCTCCCTGCCATCGGCGGAGGTCAAGCCTACAGAGATCTCCAAGATTAACACGGCGTTGCAACTGGTGTTGGTGGGTAGTGCGATTGCCCTGCCTGTGGTTCCGGAGACAATCATTACGGCCTGGCACTTGAGCGAGGCTATGACTGGATTCCAGTGAGTATTATTTCCCTCCCCGGCCCCCTTGCCTCTTTATTTCCCTCCCATTTATTCGTTTCCATTTTGCCGTGGATGTTCGGCTGCAGTGGCGGGTTTAGTCTGTTCTGGTGGTCAACCTAGCACATACGACCATAGGGTGTGGAGAACAGGGCTTCCCGTCCGCTCAGCCGTACTTAAGCCACACGCCGGCAGGTTAGTAGTATGGTGGGTGACCACATGCGAATCCCTGCTGTTGTATGTTTTTTTTTCGGTTTTTGTTTTTGTTTTCGCTTTGTTTTCGCATTCTTATCCTTTCCTTTTTTTTATCCTCATCCGTGCTGTGCTAATTTTCTAGATATCTGGTCGCCGGCACCACCCTCTGGTCCGGTCTGAGCTACGTCTTCTCCAACAACGCAGTGAAAATCCTCACCAAGGAAGAGATTCAAAAAAGAATTGCCCAGGCGGGCACCAAACGCAAGCCTTGAATGGACTTGCATCCTTAATTGAGTTGACCGGCATGCTCTCTGTATAGTAGACTTCTTGCATTGGAGCCAATGCTCCCGTTCCCTTTCCATCTAGCATTTTGTATTTTAACTTCGCATCTATCTGAAAAATTCTAGAATTCATTTACCTTTACAAACTTGAAGCATTTAATCTTCCATTTTCCAGTTTGGTAATGCTCCCCGCTGCAGGCTGCAAGCCCTGGAGCTGCATATTTATCCGGTCGGGCTGACGGGGCTCGAGTGTTGAACGTGCGTCAAGCATGTGCTTGGCCTAACGGTGTGATTTGACAGTGATTGGCTTATCTGCTAGTGGCAGGTGTATAAGTACGCTTGCCCCGTACTTGGTAGATGCACTAGTATACCAGTGGTACCTTGATATATATTTATAAGCTATGGATCCAGATAAAGTGAACACCAAGGTACTCCATACTCTATAATGTTATGCAATGCCTGGTTTACAGGATTAGTAACCTGTGGAGCTAAGCCAAGCGTACTCTTTCTGTTGATTAGAAATGTCGATCAACCTGTTTGCAGAATTTCTAAGCGGTGTGGGATGAAATCGGAGAGATCTCATGCAGAACCTTGACCTAAAGTCGCCGAGGATCAGGGCTGATTCATGAACTCTCCTCGGGCCCCGCGGACCAGTGGGGTACATTACTCTCAGAGTTCTTTCTTCCACCGGAATATATATTCCAAGGGGGGTTTTCCCGTATGAAAGGGCCCTAGAGTGGAGCACCCTTGACCAATCTGGTGCCCGACGAGGAATTCAAGATTCCGCAGAAGCTGCCACGGGGTGGTGGAAACTTTGAAGAACCAATAAAATCTATCGATTGGTTTCAATGCTGACCAGCAATCGGCTCCATGCCGGGATTAAATTCGTGGATGATGGTGGTATCTCCGGCCGAAAAATTTTGCAGATTGCGCTTAGACCCGCCACCGACAAATCCAGACGTTCTCAGCGACTCACCTTGACTCATGGTGGATATCCCCCCCACTATAGCTTCTCTTCGGATTTGGTGGTGGACTCCCTTTTTTTTTCCTGTCGAATTATGAGTCGTTATGAGTCGTTGCATTACCGATCATTGGGGCTATCTTTTCTTACAAATCCGATCTCTTCTTGGGTCCGGATTTAATGGCGTTTGCGTTTGCAATGGGAAAATAAGAGGCCGTTGTGTTAAAAACTCCCAACACGCCCATGCTCATGCTTAAACGGCTCTCTCCCCCTTCTCTCCACTCTTTCTGATCGTTGCTCTAACCTTTCTCACTCTCTTTTCTTTTTCCTTTTTCTTTTTGGGCAACAATTTCCCTACCAACTCTGTACATATACTCACAGACCCATCCCCAATACACTCCTAATATCTTCCTCTACTCAATCGAGGCTGGCGAGTAGTTTCTCTCTCACCGGCAAGATGGAAGACCATCGCGCCGTGGAGTCGCATCAGAGCTCCGCTCAGGAGTCTCAGCAATCTTATACCCAATCGTCCACTGTCAACGAGTCGTCAAATCACTACGAATCTACCGCCGCCGACGATGTTAAGCACGCCACCGAAGCCCCCATTGATCCTACTTCGACCGCGAGTTCAACCATCTCTTCCCATACTAGTGTCGAAGGCCGATGGGGAGAACAGGAGGGCGGAGACCCGGTCTCCCGCCGTGGTGCCCTGGAAGACCTGGAGGAAATGCGCCGGGAATTGACCCGTCTCAGCCTGCACCGTACCCGTTCGACTACCGCCAAAAGCATGAGCCGTCGCAAGTCTCGTGCCAGTCGCAAAGATGAGGAGAAGGCTCTGGATGGGGCCTCGTCTGATACCGAGGTCGATGCCGACTTCGATCTTAGCAGTTTCTTGGTGGGTGGTCATTTGGAACGCCGTACCACTGCTGGAGAACCGGCGAAGCAGATTGGCATTGTTTTCAAGAACTTGACTGTCAAGGGTGTTGAGACTGGCGCTTCGTTTGTGCGTACCCTCCCACATGCGGTGGTTGGCACTTTCGGACCTGATCTATATAACGTTATCTGCCGCTTCGCGCCAGTGTTGCGTGTTGGCAAGAAACCCCCCATTCGCGACCTGATTCATGATTTTAACGGCGCTGTTCGTGAGGGTGAGATGATGCTTGTTCTTGGTCGCCCTGGTGCTGGATGTACCACCTTCCTCAAGGCGATTGCGAACGATCGCGGTGCCTTTGCTGGTGTGGATGGTGAGGTCAGTTATGGTGGTATGTCGGCGGAGGACCAGAACCGTTATTTCCGTGGCGAAGTCAACTATAACCCGGAAGATGATCAGCATTTCCCTACGCTTACGGTCTGGCAGACCCTGAAGTTCTCGCTCATCAACAAGACTCGCAAGCATGATCGCGAAAGCATTCCCGTTATCATTGATGCCTTGCTGAAGATGTTCGGTATCAGCCACACCAAGAACACTCAAGTTGGTAACGAGTATGTTCGTGGTGTGTCTGGTGGTGAGCGAAAGCGTGTCAGTATTGCCGAGACTCTGGCCACCAAGTCCTCAGTCGTCTGTTGGGATAACTCGACCCGTGGTCTGGATGCCAGCACTGCCCTCGACTACGCCAAATCGCTGCGTATTATGACCGACGTCAGCAAGCGCACCACCTTTGTCACCCTCTACCAGGCCGGTGAGAGTATCTATGAACTCATGGACAAGGTAATGGTCATCGATGCGGGACGCATGCTTTACCAGGGTCCTGCGAACCAAGCACGACAATACTTCATCGACCTTGGATTCTACTGCCCGAGCAGTCAACTACTGCCGACTTCCTGACTTCCTTGTGCGACCCGAATGCTCGTCAATTCCAGCCTGGCTGCGAAGCCTCCACCCCGAAGACAGCCGAAGAGCTTGAGCAGGTGTTCAGGAATAGTAGCTCATTCAAGTACATCTCGGACGATGTTTCCAGCTATGAGAAGCGCCTCGAGGAGACGGAACAGGAAGATACCCGCCGCTTCCAGACAACTGTTGCTCAGTCAAAGAGTAAGACCGTGTCCAAAAAATCACCCTACACCGTCTCTCTGGCACGCCAGGTCTCGGCTTGTGTGAAGCGTGAGTTCTGGCTGCTTTGGGGCGACAAGACGTCGCTCTACACCAAGTACTTCATTATCATCTCCAACGGGCTTATTGTCTCGTCTCTGTTCTACGGAGAATCCATGGATACCAGTGGTGCTTTCTCACGAGGAGGCGCTGCCTTCTTTTCGATCCTTTTCCTCGGCTGGCTGCAATTGACTGAACTGATGCCCGCTGTCTCGGGCAGAGGTATCGTCGCCCGGCACAAAGACTACGCTTTCTACCGTCCCTCTGCCGTCTCGATCGCTCGAGTGGTGGTGGATTTCCCGGCTATCTTCTGCATGGTCGTTCCGTTCACTATCATCGTTTACTTCATGGCTGGCTTGGATGTTACCGCGTCCAAGTTCTTCATCTACTTCCTCTTCGTCTACACCACTACCTTCTGCATCACCTCGCTCTATCGGATGTTTGCCGCGCTCTCGCCCACTATCGATGACGCCGTTCGCTTTGCTGGTATTGCACTTAACCTTTTGATTCTCTTCGTTGGTTATGTCATTCCTAAGCAAACTCTGATCTCGGATTCGATTTGGTTCGGATGGCTCTTCTATGTCAACCCTGATCTCGTACGCTTACGAGGCAGTCTTGACTAATGAGTTCTCTGATCGTGTCATGCAATGTGCTCCTGAACAACTGGTTCCCCAGGGCCCCGGTGTCGATCCCAGATACCAAGGCTGTGCTTTGACTGGTTCTTCGGCAGGCAGCACTGTTGTGACAGGACAAGAATATCTGGCGGCAAACTTCCAGTTTACTCGCAGCCACCTCTGGCGCAACTTCGGTGTTGTCATTGCTTTCACTGTCCTCTATCTCCTGGTCACTATCTGGGCTGCTGAGTTCCTCTCCTTCGTTGGCGGAGGCGGGGGTGCCCTCGTTTTCAAGAAGTCCAAGCGTGCTAAGCAGGCCACTGCTCAAGCTGGAGAATCTAATGACGAGGAAAAGGTTGCCAACACAAACGATAATGCTGCCATTGCCCGCGGCGAGGCGACTTCCTCCTCCGACAATGCTGCCTTTAACCGATTGTCTTCGAGCGAGCGATGCTTCACTTGGTCTGATGTCGAGTATACGGTGCCCTACGGCAATGGAACTCGGAAGCTTCTCAATAACGTTAACGGATATGCCAAGCCTGGTGTTATGATTGCTCTGATGGGTGCCTCTGGTGCTGGTAAGACTACTCTGCTCAACACTCTTGCTCAACGACAAAAGATGGGCATTGTCAAGGGCGATATGCTTGTTGATGGACACCCCCTGGGAACCGATTTCCAGCGTGGAACCGGTTTCTGTGAGCAAATGGATTTACACGACAACACCTCGACCATTCGTGAAGCCTTTGAGTTTTCTGCCATCCTCCGACAGGACCGTGAGACTCCACGACAGGAGAAGATCGACTACGTCAACCGGATTATTGACCTTTTGGAGCTCAACGACATTCAGGACGCCATCATCGGATCTTTGAATGTCGAGCAGAAGAAGCGAGTCACCATTGGTGTCGAGCTGGCCGCCAAACCCAGTCTTCTTCTGTTCCTCGATGAGCCCACCAGTGGTCTCGACAGCCAAGCCGCCTATTCGATCGTTCGCTTCCTCAAGAAGTTGTCTCAGGCAGGCCAGGCTATTGTCTGCACTATTCACCAGCCCTCTTCTATGCTTATCCAGCAATTCGACATGATTCTTGCCCTCAACCCCGGTGGCAACACATTCTACTTCGGCCCCGTCGGCAAAGATGGCTCAGCAGTGATCAAGTACTTCGCTGATCGCGGGTTCAAGTGCCCACCGTCAAAGAACGTGGCTGAATTCGTCTTGGAAACAGCCGCAAAGGCAACCCAACGCGACGGCAAACAAGTCGACTGGAACGAAGAATGGCGCACCTCCAACGAAAACCGCGAAATGCTCGCAGAGATCGAACGCATCAAGACAGAACGCAGCAAACTCCCCGTCGAAGAGAGCGGTGGCTCGCAGCACGAATTCGCAGCACCAACCCCGGTCCAAATCGAGCTTCTCACCAAGCGCATGTTCATCCAGTACTGGCGCGATCCATCATACTACTACGGAAAGCTCTTCGTCAGCGTCATCATCGGTATCTTCAACGGTTTCACCTTCTACATGCTCCCAACCACCGTTGCCAGCATGCAAGACCGCATGTTCTCAACCTTCGTCATCATCCTCATCCCACCCATCGTCATGAATTCCGTCGTCCCCAAATTCTACATCAACCGCGCCCTCTGGGAAGCTCGTGAATACCCATCCCGCATCTACGGCTGGGTAGCCTTCTGCACAGCCAACGTCGTCTGCGAAATCCCCGCCGCCATCGTGACCGGCCTCGTTTACTGGCTACTGTGGTACTACCCTGTCGGTCTACCTACCGACTCTTCAACCGCAGGCTACGTCTTCCTCATGTCAATGCTATTCTTCCTCTTCCAAGCCTCATGGGGCCAATGGATTTGTGCCTTCGCACCCTCCTTCACCGTCATCTCCAACGTCCTCCCATTCTTCTTCGTCATGGTCAACTTGTTCAACGGTATCGTCCGCCCTTACGCCGATTACCCCGTCTTCTGGAAATACTGGATGTACTACGTCAACCCAGTCACCTGGTGGCTCCGCGGTGTTCTCTCCGCAATTCTCCCGCCGTCCAAATCGACTGCGCTGATCTCGAAGCCACCCACTTCAACCCACCACCCGGCTCAACCTGCCAGGAATACGCGGGCAACTTTGTCGATAACCTTGCGCAAGTCGGATACCTGGTCAACGGGTCCGCTACAGAGAACTGCCAGTACTGTCCCTACAAGACGGGTGCGGAGTACATGGCCAATCTGAACGTCCACGAAGATGACAAGTGGCGCTGCTTCGGCATTTTCTTAGCCTTTGTCATTATTAACTGGGCGCTTGTTTACTTCTTCATCTACACTGTTCGTGTTAGGGGATGGAGTTTCGGACTTGGATATCTGTTTGGTGGATTTGGATTGGCTATTGAATCCGTGAAGGGTCTTTTCAAGGGGAAGAAGGATGATTCGAAGTAATATCCTTAACCCTGATCCGAACTTTGTTCTTACTTTCTTTTTTTTTTTTCCTTTTTGTCTCTTTTTCATTCTTATATCCTCTCTTTTATTTTTCTCTGTCATCTATGCCCTACCTAATGTGCATTTACATGGAGCGTGTGTGTGCCATGCATGGTGTGCAGGGTTATTATCCTGCGTTTTGCATTATGGCTCGATTGAAGCGATTTGGTTGCTCAGATTTATTGAAAGGAGCGCCTAAAAGTACTAGTATATAATCTATCTAGATCCAATGAGATAGAAATTGAATTGTTCATATCGAATTCTGATTCTAACTTCCAATCCTAAATTCTAGGGTCGATCATGTCCCTTCAAATGTACTAAGTGTTGTATGTCAACCCTTAACCGTTACCCTGGAATAATTTACCTGTTCCGCAGTCCTCCTCCACGGCGGTTGTGAGTGGAGGAGGAGGAGGAGGAGGAGGAGGAGGAGGAGTTTTGCCCAAGTTCAACGGCTTCAATAACTCGAAACTGCAAAGCAATTCATCTGATACGCACATAACCCCACCCCAGTTGTCAAACTCCCCACAATACTGCAAATAGTTAGCCATAGATGCCACAGGTAAAGTTGTCCTAGTCACATAGGAATGTCACAAGACTCTTAGAGCAAGGGGGGTAGAGCTTACATTTGGGGCCGAGAAAATCGTCACTAAAACACGATCGTGCCAAAACTCATACCCATCTTCAACCACCATATGAGCCCGGCAAATCAGATCAATATCATGGCGCTGCAAAAAATTCATAATAACTTTCTTGCCAAAAAGGTAGCTCACGCCTCGATCATTAGGTTCCCAGTCCTCTTCCGTATCCGCTGGATCGCTCCAAAGGAGGTCGGCCAGTAGACCAGAATCTGACACATCGGTGGGACGGGCGATCTGGCGAATTTCCTCCAAATCGGTCAAAGAAGGTGATAGACCCCCATGCACGCAGAAAATCTTACTGGCGATAAGGGCAGCGATGGGCATGCAATTGAATACATTGACGAATTTCTTCCAAGTCTTGATGGTTGTTCTGCGCTTGCACTCATCGTAGAACCCGTAGATTCGGGTGATGCTGGCGCATTCGTGATTGCCGCGCAGAAGGAAAAAATTATCGGGATATCTCAGCTTATAACAAAGTAAAAGGAGAATGGTTTCAAGTCCGTTTTTACCGCGGTCCACGTAGTCGCCCAGGAAAAGGTAGTTAGTCGCGGGTGGGAAGCCACAGAGCTGGAATAGGCGGATTAGGTCAAAGAACTGGCCGTGGATATCACCGACCACCTTGACAGGTGCATTGAGATCTAAGAGCACGGGCTGCGAGAGAAATAATTCCCGAGAGGCGTTGCATATCAATTCGATTTCGCCGTCTTTAATGCAAGGGGGGGTTCTTCTTTGTCGAGTTACTGGCGAGGGCAAACTGACGTTTACGGCCCTTCTTGGTCGAAGTGTCGACAAGACCAAGGAGTCGTGAGATCATGTCATCCAGAATAGTGTTATCGATCATCTCCCCTTTCGATTTCGGGGCGTCCAAGGGTGGTCTGTGAACTGGTTCTACCGGTGTGCTGTCGACCAGAATAGACTCGAGGTTCTGCGCTGGACCAGGGATAGCTTCGGGCAGGTGGGTAGCGGGAGCATCAGAGACTCCACTAATCTCCCCTGAAAGCTGCATAGAAGTAATATCCTTATGGCCCACTGTAGAAGGATCACCATGTAATGGCGATGGTGGCGGACTTGTGCTGTCACTTTCTGGCGCATCTGCCACGGGCAGGAGTGAACTTGGTGACCGGCCTTCCGCTTGTACAGATTCTGATCGTATAGATTCCAAGGGCTTCTCACTACTTGACCCGATATGGCTGAGATTTTCACCGCCCTCTTGATGGGGTATTAATGCAGAATTGGCGTCCGACGGTCGATCGGTGTCAGATTTTGCCGAGATCTCTTGGAGTGTCTCATTGATTGGAACCACTGCTTTTTCGTCTGGGATGTCGTGCATAATATGCATATGACCGTCGACAGTATCATCTATTTTGACTTCTTGTTGAGATCGATCCATGGCCGGTGACGGATGAATTCGTCTGTTCGACAAATTTCGAAGCACTGGGTCATCGAAATCCGTATCTAGTTCCGGCCCAATCGTTGCGAACCCCCATTCGAATTGCCTCTCACTTTCTTGTGGGTTATTTATTCCAGTTGGAGGACCATGAACGAAGTTGCCCCATTCCTCTATTGGACCCGAGCTCGAGAGGTCGGGTAACGCCGCCGTAGTATATGTGTTGGCAAGGCCGCTCAGATGCTCCGAATCAGGACTGCTCAATTCACCACTCGGGTTGTTTTCTTCAATGCTGGGAGCCTCATTGACAGTATCGCTGTCATTATCCCGAAAGGTCAAGAGTGTAAATCTATCCGGATCGTTGTCTATGGTGCTCCTGTTGCGGGGTTTTGATGCTTGTGTGGTAGCGCTATCACCATCCGACGCTTCCGACCCTTCATCCTGATAGGGTGGTAGTGACTTTAAAGCAAGAAATCTCAAATGGCCAACAATATGTTCCATGATCGTGCCCCCTTGCGGAGTGTCGGTACAGCCACAGAATGGACATGACTCGAAAAGTGGGTCAACAGCTCGTGCATTCCTGCCAGCCAGCACACGTAGCTGGACTTCACTGAAAGCCCCCTGATGAGCCTGTCGCATATGCTCTATGTAGCCATCTCGCGTATCGAAAATCAACAGTCCGTGAGATTTTGAGTTGCAGCGCCAACGCAATGCATGGTCTTCCATATGCTTCAGCCATTGTTCATTGTGGCTGTATAGCTGATTTGGCGTGTCACATTCGTCAAAGAGGCAAACATATGCGTCCAAATCATTCTTGACATGAGCTCTAGGTTTTCTAGTCAGAATTTCCCCAGAGTAGATGAGAAAGAAAGGATGCCATTGGACATGACATGGCTGGCGGGACTTACTTCCACTTGGCATCATTCTGCATCTCTCGTGCTGGAATAGCATAAAAGCAGAACGGGCATGTTATTTCTCCGATTGCGTCGACGCAAAAATCCCAGTACGTACGCAAATCTTGTTTCAAATTCGCTTCTGCCTTCCTCTTCAAGCCATCAATGCTGGACGGTGATTGTTGGAATGCCAATTCGTCAGACAAATACTGGAGGTATAGTCTGTGCTCTTCCTCTCGTGTTTTTCGCATTTTTTTGTATCTCTGTCTCACTCGCCCAAGAGGTGCCACCGGGAATGGCAGCGCTTCGTGGCTGCTGAGTGCTATTGTCTTCACAACGGAAACTGTGGAAGGAGCAGATGCCTTTCTAAACTTTTCGACCGCTAGCGTGGTTGCGCTAAATCCCGTCTGTGATTTTTCTATGAGCTCAGCGGGAGCTGAAGGCAATTCTGACGGGATCTCTGGGTTGGAGACAGCCGTCTGTTGAGCTGCAGTCATCGGCGGTGGTGTTGCTTTCGGTAGAGGGGTTGCTGATGGGACTTTCAACGCACCATGGCTGAAACGAGATCTCTTATATAAAATTCTTTTTCGGCGAAGTATCATCGTGGAGACCATCCGACCCAGGATTTTCGCATCCATATTGCGGAATTTATCGCGAATATAATTTGCGAACACGACCTCCAGGCACGATTCCACATCGTTGCCCTCCTCATCCCGAATTGTAGATGCCATGGACACTTTGGCATTCTGCGTATCGCTGCTTGCTCTTCGAATCGTGTTTGAAAGTCTATGAAGGAGCGCTATTTGATCAGCAACGCCGCGCGTCAGCCGGGGTATCGCCTTTCTTTCGGGTTCGGGAACAGTCTCCAGTTCCGATGTTGGAGGTCTGTTGATTGACTCCAAAGCGTCAGACCCTACCATATAACTCAGTATGTTTCATTCGTCATCTCAGGGCGATATTCGTTTAACTGACAGGCTTCGACTTGATCCTCCAGTGTTTCCAGAAGCCCGGTAATCACATCATGCACCTCCTGTGCTTCCCTAAGACGGTGATCCAGCGAAGCGCGCCCTCCAACAAAAACGCCAATACTGGCAGTCCAGAGAGAAAATCTTGCAAGCTGGTCTTCCACTAGTGCCGTTTCCTGGGATGAGATTAATGCCGACTGCTGCAAGCATTTCTGGAAACGAGTGAGGCACTGGCCCGCCGCATCTGCAATCGATGGGACATGGTCAGGCTTTAGTGTCATGCTGATGACTGTGGCCTTCCGAAGAAAACAAAATTATGCATTCGATTGACCGAGGCCCAAATGATCAAATTATTGAGAAGGGAACGATGCAAGACTGGAACGAGAGGGGCAACGCCGGCCCGACCCACGTAAGCGGGGGGTCTTCATAGGGCATAGACCAGCATGGCGAATCACTCCCTCTCCAACCTCCCCCCACTTCTCCCAGTGAGCCTGGGAAATCGGAGGGATCATGACCGTCAGTCAAAATGTGGGATTGTTGCTGCAGGCGTCGGAGATGTTTCGTGAGATTGCCAAATATCTCCGCAAACATGGCGCCACCCGAGAGTCCAAGCACTTCTACAGCAGCGTAATGGCTCATTGCCTAATGATCCACGATCACATCAGCCGCATCAAATCGTTCGTCGCAGATGATAACAGCCTGATCACGAGCATCCTGCTTCGACTCGAGGCGACTGTCACTGTGAATATTTTGGAAACGCGACTGGTGCTCCCGACCACTGCTTACCCTCGACTTGCGGCTCTAAGCGACATCTGGAGCCAGACACAACGCGAGAGCGGTTTGATTGACTTGCAGCGCATAACACGATTGGTTGAGCTTGCAGGGGATCCTGGGAAGCAGGAGGAGATGATTGAATTCTTCGAAAACTGGGAAGATGACATTAAGAGCCAATACCCCGACGACCCTAGTCTGTGGGCCCAAGACGATATGCCCAGCAGAGCAAAAGTCAGAGGAGATCCTTCATACGTGGTTTTGAATGCTTCCCAGTCACTTTTTCGAGCCTTGGTGGAGTCGAAGGACTGTACATGCCAGCCTACGCATGACTTTAATGTTCGACTTTGTCTGGGCACCTTTCGAAACTCCCAAAAAGCCGAGAAAGAGCGAGATCACGACTGCGGATTCGACATATTTTTATCAAATATGCAAGAGCAATGGCATGAGGCAGATGTGTGTTTCGCCAAGAGTGCTGGAATCAACTTTGGGCAAGCCGACAAAGCCGCACAAAGCCCGAGGATTCCCGCCATGAAGATCAAGAATCTATGCGAGCCCATTAGAAAGAGGCAGCCTTTTGATCGCCTTAAATTGAGAGTCGGGGAAGATGGACGGCTGTGGAAGCTGCGATCCGAAAAATGTTCCTTCGCAGTGGATGAAACTAAGGAACCGGTATCATTGCAGCATTTCATCCAAGGTCAGTATAGGTCTCTTACCGACAAGACAAAACGTATCCTGGCGGTGATGCTCGGGTATGCTGTTCTTTATCTTCACGAGACTCCCTGGCTCACGCCATCATGGGGTCCTTCGAACATTTTGTTCTTCCATACGACCTCGTCAGCGATTCCTCTCAAGCCCTTTCTCCAAACCGAGCTAGCAATGAATGACACGGTCCCTTCTCAAAGCAATCCTGCCATGGATCGAGATAATTTTGATCCAGATGATTTCGACCCAGATGATTTTGATCCCAACGATCTAGACCCCGATGATATTATGGTCCACCAGTGCCCACATCTGGTGACACTGGGGATTGTCTTAATGGAATTGTATCTCGCAACTCCGTTTGAAGAGTTAGCCGAGAAATACGGGGTTCTATTGAATGATCGGACGAGATCTATCGATGCGGAGTTGGTTTTTGAACAATGCAAAAAAGAAATCCCGGAGAATTCCCAATTTCACTACGCCGTGAAAAAATGTCTGGACCCTAAAGTGTGGGAGGATAAGAATGGCGCCCGATTGAGTGGTAACACATTGAAATCAACAATTTACCATGAGATTGTTGGCCCCTTGGAAGATGAGTTAAGCCAGGCATTTAGTTACATTCCTCTTGACCAATTGGATGTTGTTGCGCAGGGTTTAGATCTTGCCAGTTGGGGCCAGGCCATTCAAAATCACCACGCCCCTGCTCATTCTTCCGAAACACCCATCCAAATGCCATTTAGGCAATCACATGGGCTTCTATCAGCCCACGATTTTAAGGATCAATATCAGCAACAGCGGAGTTCTTCGCCATTTCTTCAAGGTTTTGTCGCATTGCCGGCGATGCCGAATTTTCACCCTATTTCTTCTATGATGACTGTACCCCAACCAGAGAATTCGGTTCCGGTTTACTATGCAAGCATGGATTTTTTTGACGATGAAACAACCTCCGAAGAGCACTCAGTGGAAGCGTAAGTGCATCTCATTGACCTCCCCAGCTGAAGACCTAGCTAAAAGTCAGGATACATAAAACAGGTGTATCAATTACCGGAATTGGCGCCGAAGGTTCAAGGATGTCTATGAGAAGTACATCACACAACCACCCAAAACACCAGTTAAAATTGCTATTTTTGATACTGGGGTGGATCAGACACACCCAGATGTGGATGCATGCATTGAGCAAATCAAGGGTCGATTCAATTGGACCAACGAGAAATTTCCTGACTTGGTCGACGATTACAATGGACATGGAACTTTTACCACGAGCTTGCTGCTGGAATATTGCCCTGATGCAGAAATCTATATTGCAAAGATATCCGACGGGAAGCCGGTTGGCCCTGGTATCATTGCCAAGGTAATACTGGTCAGTTAGTTCTCTTCATCGAAATTCACTAACCTCGCACAGGCCCTCGACTATGCGGTTAATGAATGGAAGGTTGACATCGTTTCTATGTCATTTGGGTTTCGATCCCGGGATGTTGAAGGCTACGAAGAGTTGGAACGTGCCATTCACAACGCATACTCCGCCCATGTCCTTCTCTTTGCTGCTGCTTCGAACAGCGGGGCCAACCTGGACAGGGCCTATCCGGCACGCGATGAGAATGTGATCTGTATTAATTCAACCGATGCGAACGGGAATCGATCGCCTTTCAGTCCTACAGCCCTTGCGGATGTACTGAACCTGGCCACAGTCGGCGAGGCCGTGGAATCCGCTTGGCCAATGCGGTACTGCGATCCCCCATCCGGGCTCAAACATAAATCGGGGACATCGTATGCCACCCCCATCGCGGTCAGTATTGCGGGTTTCCTACTGCAATATGCCCGTTTGTATATTCTCGATAATGCACACCTGTTGCAACGGCAGTCAAAAATGAAAGCTGTCCTTCGGAAGATCGCCGAGAAAAGCCTGGAGTCTCGAGCCCGCGATGATTACCATTTCATTGCCTTGAGTCTCTATTCAGATAATCTTTTTGGCAAGGATCAGGACTTTATTAACTACACATTGCGGGATATACTTCGACAGTAACTAGCCATTAAAGATTTTCTGCACCGCTTGATTGTGGCACGCCGACCGTTACCAGCTCGTCCCCTTCTGCCAGTTGCATTCTTGTCCAATCTCCATCGCCATCGTGAACAACCAACTCTTCCTCCTCAAGAATGAGAATTGGCTTAGGTCCTTCCACTACCTCAGGCTCATTGCCCAGCATAGCGCCCTGCTTATAATCCACCGCCTCGCGCACTTCATTCGTCTTCCTCGCCACCTTTATCTTCCTCACGCGGAACGCCAGGACAAAATCCCCACCGTCTTCCCAGTGGACACCATTCTTCCTCGAGTGGGTGAGCCCAACCTTCGGTCCCCCAGATACAGGAACTACACCACCGCTCCACACCGTTCCATCCACTGTGGCACCGATATCACCACTGATCCCCCGCCCTGTCTGCGAATGACCCGTCTTTGCCCCGTGGACAACCTTCAACCCAACGATGAGGTACAACGGCTTCCTGTAGCGAGATCGCTCCAACCACCTCTGCACCGCAGGTGATGCATCGATGCATTCCTCCTGGATATAAGCGGGCCGAGGCACAAATTGCGTGGTGGTGAGGCTCTCGAAGCGGAAGCTCTCCTCGTCACTGTATAAAATCAGGACTTTCTCTCTTCCGCCATGAATTTATATGGGATGCCAGTGCGGGGTGCGGGTGCGCATCAAAAATAATTGTGGATTTCACGGAGTTGATAAATAATAAAATACGAACCTTTTTTCTAATCCTCCCTCGAGATCAATTCCAAACCCAAGGACCGAGAGAAACTGGGTGAGGATTCCGAATTTCCCCGCCCGCATGCGCTCGCTGGAGAAGGTGACATTCTTCTTATCAGATGAGAATATCCCAGACTCGGTCGGCAATGCTGCAGTAAAGAGGGGCTGCTCGGGTTTCTGCAGCGAGGTAATCAGATTGCCTAGTTTAATGGGCCCGGTTGGCGGCGGTGGGTAGTCCCATGTGGGAGCGAAGAAAAAGTCCGGGGTTTGACTGGCCATTTCGTAACTGAATTGAAATGGAATTTGTTTTGTCGGGTGAAAAGGAGGGGTTCAGTTGTTTCTAAATCTGACTTCCGATTCCGAAGATGCAAATGGGACCTTGTGATTGGGGCGCAGGACATGCGTATTTTCAGAAAAATGGATACAATTGGATTGACACGTCAATGGATGTCCCTGCTTAATAACTAACAGGAAACCTGGAACATTGTCTGGAGTTTGAATCGCTATTCTAGCCAAAGGCGGAATTAATGTTTGCATATCCATTTGTTCAGCCAATCCTAGGGTGTCATCCACAAAAGAGTACTCAAGTGCGGGTCCACTACTAGTAATCTGATCACTAAGCTGGAGGCCATTCTGAGATCTACTTATTTAGCAAAAGCTTCTTGGAAGATATTGAGTCCGAAATCAGAAAGGAAAATCAAAATACACCAAGAAAGAAATTTGTTGTGTAGATACTCAATTTCAGACCTTCACATACCCCGTATCATTTACTCCCTCATACTCCCGAAATGGCTTCGGCGCACTCGTACTCGTCATAGTGCACTGCCAAAGCATTCTCCTCTTGTCCTCTTCCTCCTTGTATTTAGCTAACTGTCCAGTAATACTATGCATAACACCACGATTATGGAATATGACCAAATCACCCTCTTCCCAGCGATGCGCGTAGATATTCTCCGCTGCATAGATCTTGCGCTGCATGCTGTAGATCTTGTTTCGAACTTGTCTCACGTCGTCCATGATCGTGATTTCTCCTGTTGTTGGGTTTCGGGTGCTGAGTTTGTAGACGCAGCAGCCGTGGACTTGGAGGAAGGGTCTTTCTGGGTTTAGCGGATTTCTCCAGACCATCTACAGAGGACGGAAATAGGAATGGTTAGTGAGACTGTGGATTTGAATTTGATGACATTTAATTTCCAAGAGGTGAGCACTTACGGGGTGTTCAGCCACTTTATTCCAGCTCCAATCCGACAATTTCTCAACGGCCACTTCACGTCCCATAGTGGGAATAGTAAGGCCATCCTCAGAGGCCTTGCACTGCCTGATATATTCGTAGGCCTGAGGCGCATATGTGACAGTGGTATTCAGAGCAAATTCCTGCTCATCGGGGCTCAAAAGAGCGAAAGCCCGAGCGCCTGAGAAAACTAATTTGTTTTCCAGTCTGTCAGCCCCGTGTTGGGAGATATGAAACAATTTGAATAGGATAGGCGTTCTACTCACAGGCTGTAGCCCCAGCTCCAATCTGCTTCTCCTGTCCATCTGGGAACTTAACTTTTTGGTCGGGCAGATTCGGACTGCGGATTGAGTGCAAGATCGTCACTTCGCCAGGCAGTCGCTCGTAGAATGGAGTGTCCATGTGCCATCTGTATGGGCGGGTGTATCCATTGTCGAGCTCTTCTTCAGTGAGAGGGGATTCATGGAATAGGGTATGGTCCTGATAAAAAAAAGAGTTTGGTTAGAATCGCACTTTACATGACATTCAATTTCAATGTTGCCACTGAAAACATAGTCTTTGGAATACTAACCAAGTGAACAACCTCAATCTCCTTCAACCCTTCATAATCGTAAAACTTTCCAGAGCCAATAATTCCAACTTGCGGAGCTTTAGGATGTCTCCCGGCTTTATACGCGGAGAGTATATTTTTCGGATCACTGACGGCTTTTTCGCCAGCGGAATGGATGTCGGATGCACTTTTGTCGAAGATCTTTGCAAGCTTTGGAAGGATGGTGGCGTCGATGCCTTTTTGTTTCCGGATGACGATTACTTGGTTTTCAAAAAAGGGCTTTTTGGAGAGTCTTTTTGTCTGTTTCTGTCAAGTTTTCTAGCTCCAGAATGGTCATTCTTGGGGGGAGTTGGATTTCGGCGCCGATTGCTGAGCTTTGTCTGATTTCATCTGGAAGGATTTTGAATTTTAGTCCTGTGGGTTCCGACATCTTGGATAGTGGGATATGAGGGGGAAAAAAAGACAGAATGGAGATACTCTGAAAATTGTTCTGTTGAAATTACTTCTTTTATTCTGTGTTGTTGTTATTGCATTCTTATAGATCGATGCAATGGAGGCGGAGCGGGTGGGTTCGGAAATTCACCCACCTCCTCTTTGGGCGAGATCTCGACCGCATCATCGCGATTAGATTGTGTAGATATCTTATCTGGGGTAAACAGTTCAGGTTAAATCTACTTAGACATAACCGAGAGTAAATAGTCTAGCTGGGATGGGTTTCCACAAGTCACCCGCTTGTATGGATCTAATTTATACAAATCCGCGGAGGTTGGCCTTGTATAAAGACGACAGATCTCTGGAACCTCAATAACAACAATCAATTGTTTGCACACCCCAGGGAAAACACCTCTAAAAACAGATATCATGGCCGTGGATTTCCGTCCTCTCCCTAAGACCAACGAGTCTCAAGTGGACTTTGGCACTGAGCTGAGCGGATTGAATCTCGAGAATCTCAGTGGTAAGTTGATATCTAATAAATCATCACATACAGCGATACACATACTAACTCCAAATCTATAAAGATAATGACTTCACCATCCTCCGCAAAGCCCTCTACGAAAACCAAGTAGTAGTGATAAAGAACCAAAAGAATCTCTCACCACGCGCCCAATACGAACTCACCCGACGTTTCGACCCATCAGCCGGTCTCTACAGCCACGGAAAAACAATCGACAAGCGCAGTGTCCTGCACGCAGATTTGACCACAATCCCTCACCAGCCTCAAGTGCAGGTCATTGGAAGTGGCACCGTCCCCGAATACGAAGGCCTATTCAACCTTCAATTGAAACATCCTCACCACAAATCTTTCCACAAGAATCCCATCCCGTCCGACCAAGATGCCAATTTCACGCATTTCTATCGCTGGCATATCGATTCGGCCATGTATAATCTCGACCCGCCACTAGTTACTTCTCTGCTAGCGGTGCAAGTACCCAGTGATCGCCGTCAAACGCTTCGCTACGACGATGAAACAGATACAACCATCGACGTCCCGCTCGGAACAACGGCATTCTTCAGCGGTTATCGGCTCTACGAAATGCTCACAGATGATGAAAAACACTTCGTCCGCACTAGTAAAGTCGAGTACGCACCACACCCATATATCTGGATGAGCAAGGCGAAATCCCGCTCCAATGGTCTAGGCATAATATCCGAAGGACTCGAACTCTCCGAGAACGACTTACCCCCATTCGAAGAGTCGAAGATAAAAACATACCCTATGGCGTGGAAGAGTCCCATCACAAACCAGCTAGCAATGATGGTCTATCCAACCTGCGTGCGCAAAATTCATCTCGAGAATGGAGATGTTCTTGACGATCTTGATGAGGTGAGAGAGAAGCTGTACAGATTGCAGAGAAGGGCGATTGAGCCGCAGTTTGTTTATGCGCATGATTGGAAAGAGGGGGATTTGGTACTTTTTAATAATCATGGCGTGATGCATTCTATTGTTGGTTCGTTCAAGGAGGATGAAGTCCGTCTTTTTAGACAGTGTAATATGGCGGCTAGTCGGCCTCCATTGGGTCCTGGGGATGATGTGCCGGGGGCTGAATGATTGGTCATAATCAAATTGCTTTCTAAAAGCTTCAAAATTGGGCTTAACACACTCAAAGAGACAAGACAAACGTTCCATTCAAATTCCATCTCAATACTGTCTCGTCTTACAAAGTTTCACAAAATGCTCTTAGTCCAGCTCAACCCATGAAGAACCACGGCTCCCGCTCAGCCCGCAGGCTCTCGGCGGGAAGTTTCATCGGGACAGGGATTGTACCATTGAAAAGACTGAGCTCGCGACATTCCGAGTCAGACTCCAAACTGTTTGAAGCAGTCGTTGCTTTGGCGGCGGTGGATGTCTCGCTAGTAACCGGAACCAGAACGCCACATTCCCAGTTCCGACAATTTATTTTTGGTTCGCCGGTAGCGCGATCCTTAACAAGACGACCCCTAGAAAAAATATGTCAGTGAGATTGGAGAGCCCAATAAGATCAAAGATATTCCATGGTATTCCAGCCACGCTTCTTCCAACTTACCAGGCAGATTCCGAGAGATTGGCACTTCCGACATAAGCCCATCCTTTGCACTCGGAGCCATCTGGGAGTGGAATCGATTCCGAGGGTCTGACAAAAGCAATCTAAGATAAATAAGATTAGCAGTGTGTCAATAACAGAGCCCGAAGTCCCATTCCCGAGGATATATAAATCAGACTCAAGCCAGAACTGGGGGCCAACAAACCTTGTTATGCATGAGAACGTCACGCTGGCTCTGACAATCCCTCAAGACACGCCTTGGCAATTTCGGATTATTCCAGTACTTCGAACCAAAGCAGACCGTTCCCCCAATATCCTGTGGTCGACGGCCTGCAGCCCGGGCTACAGCCTCCACGGTTTTCTGAGAGGGAAAGTAGACTCGGAACCGGTCTTTCCATTCCTCGCATGACCCTCGTAAGGGACTCGTCGCTTTGGCCGCTGGCTTGGTGTTGCGGAACTGATAGTCTGTGCTTCCATCATCACCTGAGAGGGTTTAGTATCGAGTAAAATCATAGAAAATGGAGAGGGGGATGTTTTTACCCTTGCAAGCGAGATAAATTCCGCGAAGAAGATCTTCGTTAAGCGCACCGAGGGAAGAAGTCTATCGATCATAGTCAGAAAGATCGCTTTTCAAGCATGTGCCCCGACATATATTGTGACTTACTATGAAATCAATGTTGACGGGCGACTGGGTTCGTAGGCCTAAATTCGACACAGCGCGGCCTAGCCCCGTGTACCCAGTCCATCTCCAAGTTTCAGCAGTGTGGGATCCGCCGCTACGAGAAATTCAAATTAGAAAGGCGAACCTCCGATAACAGATGACATAGGCGTGTAACTCACATTGAATGTACAAAAGCGTATCGGGCAGTTTTGGTAAAGTCAAACTTGGCCACTTTTTCAATAACACCCTGTGGATATGAGCTGGCTTTGAGGAAAATGACGAGATCGTTGTAGAATTGTGTGTAGGTTTCGTCGTTGGTGTTACCGGATGAGCTCTTCGCACCAGTTGTCTTTGTCTTCAGAGGTAGATCGATGATGAAAACAGTCTATTTTGTTAGTATCTCAGGAAGCTCATTTTTCTGTGGGTAGGAACTGACATTTTCCATCACATTCTGCGCACCCCAGTCAACTTGAATGAGATTGGCAGTGGGAACAACGATTCGAAGATACTCCGAGTGGAAAAGTAGCATCAATTTGGAATGCATGATATTTATCTGGCCATCGAGGGAAGGGAAACAAAATCGGAGATTGGGAATAGTTGCAGCATCTGCCTCATAAGCAGGGCGCTATTTGCAAAGTCAATAATTCACCGTCGTTTCGCTGGAAAAGGGGGGCTGGTTAGGCTTGGTTACCTCTTCATTTGCGGCGTGAACCACAAGCAAAATCCTTGTTTGATTTGTGTTCAGTTTGCCCAAAATCCATTCCATATCCCATAGGAATGAACTGAGAACGGCAAGTTCCAAGTCATCTTTTTGGAGCACTTCTTCAATCGAGATATCGTCGTGCTTGCGAGGGGAGTTAGATAGGCGCGTCTTTTTCACTATCCCAGATGGCCATTGAATTCCTGCTCCGGAGGGGGGCCGAAAGTTGACCATTGAGGGCGGGTTGCGCTGAACGTTGGCAGTCGGGGCGGGTTGAGTCGGAGCAGACTGAGTCGGAGTAGGTTGAGTCGGAGCGGGTTGAGTCTCGGGTGTTGGAGAGAAGTATTTGACATTGACGACTTCATAGCCTGGCGAACCCAACCTCGGATTGCGGTTCACCGGGCGCTTGCCCTTTCTATCAAAGGCGGTCTGAGATGATATAGCCGTAGATGTCTGATGGGAACCTAGAACTTCAAATCCAGGTGAAGGGGAAATCCTAGCAGCCTTTGGCAGACGCTCAGGTGAGGCCTCGACTTCCGAGGCCTTGCGTTTGCTCAGGCGCATGAGACGTTCTTGTTCCATTTGCTTGCGGTCGAGCCCAAATATTCCCTGGGTCGTTGGTTGATTGCTGGAAGAACTTTGAGCATCTGTGTCCTGACGTTGAGGCGACTTTTTGGGAGATTTTTTGACCTGAGGCGATGTGTTGGCCAGTGACAGTGCGATGGCATGTTTGAGATCGTAGTCATCCTCCGCAGCATCGGATTCATTGTCAGTATCTGAGCCGACGACCGAGTTTGATTTTGGAAAGACCACCTGCACATCGGACTCATCATCCGACTCTTTTGTCAAGTCCACGACGCGATCTTGGGATGATTGCTTCTTCGCCTCTTTGAGAGAAGCTTTGATGGCTGCTGCCATCATGGCGTCCTCTGAGTTTTCCGAGGCCATTTTGATGGTCGGGAAGTTTGATCAAAAGAAAGTGCGGTGATGTGGTGAAGTTGATAGTGCGGGTAGATGACGGGATGTTGTTCCCAGAGTTGCAAATGGGAATGACCAAGTGCGAGATACGCGTCACTTCGGTGTTAAATGGCAGCTTCGACCAGAGTAGAGTGGGTTCCTCTTGCCATTTGAAAGGAAAGAAAAGATGGAAAATCAAATTCCGATGAATTTAGTCATGCACTCCACGTTGTTGCAAAGTTATGTACGATCCGATCCGCCGTGGCCACCGCCGCCCTTGTTTACCACGGGTCACGTGAACATCGTCCGTATACAGCCACAGCCACAGCCACAACTTCAACTTCAACTTCAACTACATTATGAATTTAGGATATATCCTATGGCAAACCCCATTTCTAGAGATATTGCCGACTGTTAGTAGCAATTTGATGGTACAGATGGACTTGGGTCCCTGTCACGTAGACTCCTTCAATAGTGCTACTACTAGTTTGCCACACAATAACTAACTAACTACACCTTGGGACACGCCTATGTACACGATTCTGCTGTAAGATCTTGGCCTTTTAGATAAAGAGTATTAAAGAGTAGTAAAGAGTAGTAAAGAGTAGTAAAGAGTAGTAAAGAGTAGTAAAGAGTAGTAAAGAGTAGTAAAGAGTAGTAAAGAGTAGTAAAGAGTAGTAACTACTTGTACTGTACTTTGGCTACTTTAACAAGCACTAATTTTCCAACAACCCCTGCATCCATACACCTTTCAACACACTTTAGACCGCCACTTCCACAAATCAAGATCAGCAAGGTAGATTACTGTCAAAATATCCCAGCCCTTACTAGCCAATGATGTTGGACCAGTCTTGCTTTTTGAAATAACCTGCCACGCTATCGAGCTTGGGCGTATGTTCCAACTATGTATGTTAGCGTAAATTAACTACCTCACACAGTATGGCATGACACTCACATCCTGAGGATGTACGATGGCTGGATCGCCTCCGTAGTATCCAAACTCCTTCCAATAAGCCCAGTTGTCGTCGAGTTCCCGTTGTAGTTCAGAAGGAAATGGAACAACTGACTCTCCTTTGGGAAGCACGACGGCTTCAGCTTTCATACCTGTCACCTGCGAAAAGGTTTCGATCAGGTCGCGCAGCGTAATGCGACCTCTATAACCGATAACTTCCTTTGCAGCTGACTCAAGCACTAGGGCTCTGACAATGGGCCCAGTATCTTCTTCTGCAGCAATAAATGGTAGTTCCACGTCAGGGTCGAGTCCGCCAATAAACTGGACCACTCCACTGGAATTCTGCATAGAATAAGCTAATGTTCAAGTAGAAGGAGGGCAACACACTACCTTTCTAGGAAGGGTGATTGGATTGGAGACAAAGTTGCTCAAAAAGTACCCAGCCTGGAAAATGCTCGTTTTCGCCCATAGCTCGGGGTGGTTCTCTCTCCCATAAGTCTCACCATTTGCTTTGGAATCAAAATGATAGACATGGCTGTATTTCCCTCCAGACCATTTGGTTGCATCGGACAGGGATGACAGCACAAACCGTTTCAAAGAGGGAACCTTGGCTGCAGCATCGATAACATCCTTCAATTGTTGTGTCTCATGATTGGCGGCCCAGATATTCAGAGGCTGCGCTGCTGCTGTTGCTTTCGCTTGACTGGCGGGATCGCCAAACAGCCCCCAAAAGTCGCTAACAGCGAAGATGACATGCGCATCCTCAAATGCCGAGCCAAGTGACGATGGATCATTCAAGTCAGCTTTAACGATATCTGCACCACGAGCAGCTAACGCTTGCGCTTTCGAGCCGAGAGGATTTCTAGTAACCGCTCGAACGCGCCACTCGGGTTCCTGGAGGAATGTTTCCGCAACGGAACCTCCCTGGTTACCGGTGGCACCGAGGATGACAATGAGTTTCTGGAAAGCCATGAGGAAGATACGTTTGGAATGACTGGAAAGCTGACGATCTTGAATGGATTCAAATTAACGGACTAATAGACTGCCTCCGTTTTTATAGTTAACGGCCCTACGAGAATCGTTGATCTGAGTTGTCGAGTCATGGCAGTATCGTTTTCATTATCCACGACCAGCTCATTATTCAGCTGCTTACAGACAAGCTTAAAAAAACTTTCCGAGGATCCACCCACCTGAACCACGGAACCTTTAAAAATACGAGTATTTGCTACGGGGAAAAATATCAATACCGAGATTTACCCGACTATTTAGCTTTGGATTGAATAGTAATCATTCCGAGACTTCCAACAACCCAGAGAGTCTGTAGTAAGGAGCCCCACACTGTTCCTGGTAATCGTTGTTTATGCTCAATGCCCTCGCATGCTTTAATGTAGTAATGGTCTGATTAGTGATCCAACCGTACCCTTGTGTCAATACCACGAGGGTCATTACAAAGTTGATCGGAAGAGCGGACCGTACTTCAGATAACCTTTTGCATAAATAATTACGCAGAATAACAATGACAAATAATGAATAAGCACTCAATTTTAACCATTGTTTGATTTATGATAATTCAGTGCCCTGTGCATAATACACATAAGGGCGCTGAAAATGATTCAAGTAAATTTATCCTCAATACCGTTACATCGCAATGCTCTTGCAAATATTCCTCGTCTTGATAAGTGGGACTACGGATCAACTTAACGACACTAACGGACTGCTCTTCCTTTTGCTCATGTCTGGAACTCTGCTTGACGGGGAATTCATGGGCGTTTATGTTGCCGATGCTGCTATTTCGCACGTCAGGGTCCTTACTAGGAGCGGTAGTACTGCCAAGGGCCTACAGTCGTACCTTGTTTCTTGTAAAAGAAACCCGTGCCGGGAGGTAATTTGTTCCACCCGATGTAATTCCTGCGTTATTCTATTCTTACATTTTCAATGCTTCCGGGCCCAAAGGATATTCAAGGCCGATGATAATAAATTGCCAGCCAATACTCTCAGAACTTCTCTAGTGAATTAGCGAATTAATCAAGCGAAGTACATATAATGGTTTCTTTCTTTGATCTCCTCCCACCACAACATTCCTTAGCGCCCCATCAATCCCTAGACCTTACAATTGGAACAGCCCTAGCCCGCCGAATGCCACCACCGCTGCGCCTCCACACAGTCCCCAAACACCGTTATCCCATCCTCTGGGCCCCATTATCGTGACCCATGTATCAACCACACATACAACAGTCCACGCTGTCAAAATAGCTCCCATCTCTTTTCCCTTTTCTTCACAATGAAGCCAAAACAGCGCACCTGCCACAGCTATATCGCGTATCCCAAGGAATATCATTGCTTTGTCGGCTATGTCACGGCCTTCTGGTGTAGTAGGTACGACCCCAAGAGAGCTTGCAGCAACAGACGGAGATATAAGGGCCAAGGCTCCGAGAGAAAAGACAGTCGTCGTTAGGCCAAGGCCGATGAAGCGCCATGTTGAACGAGTAAAGAGGCGGTTAGGGAAAGCCATAGTATATCGGGCGCCAGAAATTGAATGGTAATTTCTTAGTAGAGGCTGGGATGAAAGAGCTTTTCTTTTCGATACTCATGCCATATGAGTTGTGGATCCTGAACTTTATATACCCCAGCACCCACTTGTAGTCAGCTATTTCAGCGCGGAGAGTTTAGAAATGCTCTGGTTTTATCCACACCTCCAGCTGATGAATAATCAAAATTGTCGACAGGGATACAAACCTGCCAAGAGTTTCAGGAATGCAACAACGTGCTCCAAAATACATGTCAGGTTTCCCGTGGAGCGGAGCGTGTAGTGTAATATGTGGAGAATGCAAACCAAGTGCACCAGTAATAAACTTGAAATAATTAAAAACAGAGCCACTAAATATTGGCATATTTACACTGTTTATACATATTGCACTCCCGATATCACACACGAAGGCTTGGACATATGCTGCCGTTTCGCATTCTGTCCACCACCGTATCAACGAGCGCAGACCACACACTCAAAACCAGCCACATATTGAAAGACCTTTCTTCTTCCAGCAGTGGAGAACCCAATGGAAAGAAAATAATATCAATGACCGATCCTACTATTTCTTTTCCAACGGGCGTACTAGGAGCCGAGGGCGCAAACAATAACCCCTCTGGGAGAAACCCGCAAGGAAAAAAAGAGAGGGCGTCCAAGAATACAACCAGGAGAAGAGACGAGCAAAAATGTTAGTGTTTTGTCCAACCAGAGACATATACTGAACTTATAGCTGAACTACAAGAAACGCAAAACCCAAATCAGGCTAGCACAACAAGCATATCGCGAGCGCAAAGAATCTACTATAGCATCACTAAATGACCGGATTCATCATTTGGAAGGACTTGTGGAGCAAATGAGCACAACATTTCTTTCCTTGAGTGATGATCTGGTAAAATCCGGGGCGTTGGCTCTGGCACCAGATCTTGCACAGACGATCCAGCGATCTACGAAACACTTTCTGTCTCTCACAAACCAGGCAGTTTCAATCGTGGATGGAGGCCCTGGGAGGGTGGAAACCGACAGCTATTTGTTGCCCCCGGACCCAACCTTACACATTAGGAACGCCTTTGCTAGCGCTGAAGCCAAAGGCAATCTCGCCGACGGCACCATTATTCCCACTCACTACTCTCCACTTCTGTCATTTCGCAGTGACAATACCACCACAAGGAAAAGTGTAGAATCAGGATTCGTCAATCGACTTCGCCTTGCCTGTCTTAAAGTCGGATACAAATGCCTAACTGATCCAACTTCTCGTCCCCAGACTATTGAACAAAGATTTGGGCTTCCCTTAGGCAAAGTGACACGGCAACGCTTGTCACATATTCTTCAAACACTTCTGCAGAATGGTCTCCACATCCATTCTGGTGAGCTGGAAGTCCCTTTCTTTGGTATTGGTGGTGCCGGGTCGCACTACATCGATTACCGGAGGGATTATATCACGGAAAATATTATTGACAGGCAAAAATCCATAGATGCCACTAATCAGCAGTTCGCTCATGAGATGCAGGATGCTTGGTTCGATTGTTACGACGTGGAAGGGTATCTTAAAGAAAGGGGCATCTTTCCGGTCAATACTTCCGAGCATCCGGCAGAAGCCCGACCGTACTCAGCTTCTCGAAGTGATAATAATGGTGAGCTGCAGGACGGCCAGAACTGCCTCACAATTTCGCAAAAGGCTCAGCAGTACGGGACTACAGCAAAGTTCGTAGAAGAACGAACCCTGATTCAACGTAAGTGCCCTACTATCGTAGTAATCACTACATGCCAGGCTGACATACATATCAGAGCTTACTAGATGCTATATTTGTCTTGGACGCTCTCCTGGATTTCCTCTCCTGGAAGTAGAGCGCTTTGTGATGGAACTGGAAAACATGTGTTGATTCTGTGTACCGAGGATCTTGCTGCTGTTGCTGAGTGTGATTGGTGATCCCCATTGCTCAAAAGTGCTTGTTGGAGGCGGTATGCCCTGTGTACTAAATTTTCGGAAATAATTGGGCGTTGTCCTTCAATGAATATTCTTTTGACTGCTAGGGCCCATCTAATGAGTTAATAGCTATGCAGGTGCTTCCCCACACGAAGCAAGACATCTAGCATCCAAGCTCCATAAAGACGAATGTCAAATCTGGAATATAGAAAAGACATTGAAAACAGCGCCGTATAGCCACATCGAGTGCGGCAGATCCATCTAACTTTTCCTGCCACCGGAAAAACTGTCTCCCCTATGCCATCCGGTGCTTACAGGCTGTTTTCTCAATAGAGGTCTTTGATTAATCTCTGAATAATGTCCATGCAATCGTCTTGATACCACTCCACTGGAAAACATTTCACGCCTGTAAATTCAAGAAAAGAAAACCCTAGCGCTCTGCATATGCCTTAAAACCTTCGATTCATGTACATCATTCTGAGACCTGACTAGTCTCTTCTTCCTCCAGGATCGTCGAGGACATGAAGCGCTCGTCCTTGATCTTGGCTTCCCAGTCATAAGGCTCTTCCTTCGGACGGACAAGCTCCGTTGAATCAGATGATTGAGGCGAAGGATATAAGTGCAGAAATTGCGTCAGAGCATCGCCAGTGAGATAAAGGCATAACCCTACGACGACTCCAGTAAACACGGCCCCACTCGTGAAAAGAATGAAGGCCTGGTGATAGGTCAGTGAATCAGGATAGAAAAATATATCAAATCAAATACAAATCAAATAGTAAGCATCCAATTGGTGGAAATTCGTACCTCGAATTTGAGCAGTAATCGCAAGGGCCACAATGCTATGGAGAGTAAACCATGGGCGATGTATAATAAGGGGGAGACAAGGAAGCCCAGCAAGGAGAGGAGATAGGATAGAAGGTGAGACAGAATGACGGAGAGAAAGCTCAGAATGAACCACAGGGGGTAAATGAAGGTGCCCAATTCCATTGGGTAAAGTCGAGTAGATGTTGAAGTTGTGAAGTGGTAGAAGTTAAGGTGAAGGAGATGCCCGAGTGGAACAGTGGAACCCCTCAAGGTTCAGGCATTCGGTATTCAGGCAGAAAGGCGGCATTTTTAACCTTAGGAACCAGGCATCAAATGCTGAGTCATCTAAATTTGGGCCGAGGTCCATCTCGAATTTGGAACAGTTCCAAGATTTGCCAATTTGGCAATTCGAGATTTGCGATTTATTCTCATCTCTCGACTATTACGGTCGATTTTTGAACATTTCGTTTTGCATCTTCGCTCGCATTGTTAATTTGCATATCACCTTCCATTTATTGCATGAGATACACCCCTAATGTCGGCGATCGCATCAGACCTACTCGCTACCTTCCCCATATCATTGCTCTTATCAGGGCTGGTCGCCATGGGACTTCTTTCGTGGCTTCGTCCCTCGGGTCGCGTTTCCTTCTACCACGCCAAGGATAACCGACTCCTTTTAACCAAAGCCTCCAAGTCCGGCGGCAAGGAACAGATATCCCTGGTGGATATCTGCCGGGACGCGACTCCAGAATCATGCAACCTGAACCCATTCCTCTTCAATGGTCATTTGCAAACAGTCTGGACGACATTGAAACACGACAATGTTCCCGTTTACTATAAGCGCAAGATGTTCGAGTCGGAAACGCCCATGTTTGCCGGCTCTTATGCGATTGATTTTGCGGTGAAGCCGTACGATATGCCCCCGAGCGGGGAACTCACCGACGAAGCAAGAAAGTATACCCAACCTGACGGTCTGCCGGAGCGAACATCTTTCTACTCTGAAGAAGAACTCGCTGCTCTGCCATCCGATGACAACAAGCCTATGTTGGTTCTTCTCCATGGTTTGAGTGGTGGTTCTCACGAAGTCTACCTGCGCCATATTCTTGCCCCTCTCGTCGAAGATGGTACTTGGGAGGCATGTGTGGTTAACTCGCGGGGCTGCGCTCAGACAAAGATCAGCACCGGTGTGTTATACAATGCCCGCGCAACCTGGGATGTCCGTCAATCCGTGAAATGGCTCAGGAAAAACTTCCCCAATCGCCCGCTGTTTGGCATCGGATTCTCGCTCGGTGCAAATATTCTCGCTAATGTACGTTCGGTGATTCCAATGAAGCGAACCAATAAGTCATTTGTTTCGACAAGCTAACATGATGCTACATAGTACCTCGGAGAAGAAGGGAGAAGACTGCCAATTGAAGGCAGCTGTTATCTGCGCAAGCCCTTGGAACTTGGACATCGGATCGGCTAATTTGCAGTCGAACTTCCTCGGTCGGGAAGCATACAGTAAAACGATGGGCACAAACATGAAGAAATTATTCAAATCGTGAGTTCGCAATTTATGCCCTTGGTATCATGAAATGGCCACTCATCCTATCTACCATCAGGCATATCGAAGAAATTTCGAAAAACCCTCGCATCGACCCTGAAGCGGTGATGAGCATCACTTATCTGCATGAATTCGACCGGTAAGAAAGCCTGCATTCACGATCATACACGATCTCTTCATATTCATATAAGCATATATGTACTAACCATTGGATCACATAGTCACCTGCAATGCCCAACCTGGGGATACCCGACCGAAGGCGCATACTATCGCGACGCCTCCTCAACAGACGCCATGCTCAACATCCGCATTCCATTCCTCTGTGTTCAGGCCGAAGATGACCCCGTAAGGCACCCTGGCTCCAAAACTACTGCATGAGTTGAACTTTTGGCTAACGATTACCAGATCGCTTCATACGATGCCCTCCCGTTCCAAGAAATGGCCCAAACACCATACGGTGTCATGGTTACTACCTCATGGGGCGGTCACTTGGGATGGTTTGAGTTCGGAGGCGCACGGTGGTTCGTGAAGCCTGTCAATAACTTTTTGAATAAGATGGCCCGAGAAATAGACACTAATATCCCGGGTGTTGTTGAAAACCCTGCGAAACTGCCAGGCCACATTGCCAGCCATCCCGGTCCTGGAAAGGATATCGATGCGGCCCCTCGGCCTGAGTTCCATTCTGTGCTGCGGAAGCTGGATATGAAGTTCCAGAAATAGATGGGGACATACATGAAGAGAGATCAGAGCTACTAAGCTACCAATCTCGGCATAGCTATTTGTGATAGATCATGATAGACTTACAGTTCATAAATAATAGACAGCGTTTATTTCTTTCGCAAGACCAAATCAACCTAGCTACTATTACACATTCCTAGATCCGGCAAAATGTAGGTCATTTGATCAATACCGCTTTCAACTAGCACCGTCCGGCGGAGCGACCGAGTCTCTTTCAGCCCGAAATGAGTCTGAGATAGTAGACCAAATCCTAGGCCAAAAAATATTCCAAAAATGCAAAAATATGTGACCAGACCCGGGCTCGATCCGAGGACCTCATCGGTGTTAACGATGCGTCATAACCAACTAGACTATCCGGCCGCTTGATATATTAGCTGCTCCACTTATGGCACTATCAACCAGAACTTGATTCAGGTGGGAGTTGCGGCCTCATATACGGGACCTGTCAAGAGTACTGTAGGCTATTTTCCGTATCATCTAGCACACTTCTGCTTTAAGTGAGCTGGTTAGGTCCGGTTTAATGGCAGAACCTGGGGATAATCAGTTTTGCCACCTTCACCCAATTAAATTTTAAATTTTCGTTAACCCCATCACTCTTGAATGGCGATATTACTTCGCGTACCTTGGCTTACTTGTTATTATTCTCTTTGAAATCAAAATTTTCTATGCAGATATAAAAGGCCATTGATTGGAGGATGTGAGTATAAATTTTAAGGGTTCAAACGAGGGCTGTCATTGTTGAACTGTCTGCGGTCCTTCCCATTGCAATGCGACATACATTTGAAAGCACAGAGGCTTGGACGAAGATAATCTAGCAGCTGCAAGACTGCCCTCTCGTCAAATTTGCACTAATCCCACCCTGTTCCCCGTTTCAAATATTGATCCCTATCTCCCGCCTGTATTGGCTTGCTGTTCATTGATAAATTCACAACCCCACGCAAACTCCAGGAATAGCCTCTTTCTGCAAAACACATGCGCGGAACTCAGTGCCATCCGGAAAATCCTCGCAGATCTCCCTAAACTCGGGATGATACAAGGCGTTCTTCAAGTCCCCATTGTTCTCCCAAACGGCGTAGTTGACGATAAAATTGCCATCTCCAATAGCGCCATGCAATTGAGTGGAGATGTAGCCGGGCGCTACTTTGAGAAAATCGGCGGTACGGGTCCAAGTCTTTAGGAATGACTCCTTATTTGCTCCTGGGGAAGCGAAATGATATTGAGAAGAACGACGGGGCCCACGGCAGGGCTGACGGAGAGCATGGCATCGAAGGTGGTGGAGCGGTCGAGGGGTTTGTGAATGGGTGCCATTTTGTGAGAGGTGTATGTTAGTAACCTGAAGTCACTGGTTAGAAGATATTACTTCATGCATAATAGTATGAGCCTACTTCAAATTTGGTTATAGACCTTGCTTCTGCGATGAGTTGCTGATAGAATACTATGTTCTTTGCTGTACGAACAACATCTTTTATCCTCACCCATACAAATGTTGTTAGATCGCGGCTCGGCACTGAGAGGCCCGGGGCCCGAATCTCAAATCCCAAAACCCGAAGCCCAAAACCCGACGCCCCGGAAATTTATATAATTTCATTGTCGCCGCCGCATCTGGTCTATCGAGTTTCCCCTGAAGGTTTTTGTGGGTACTCGCGGACTTCGCGCTGTCCTGGCTCCGAGTTCCGGGTATCGACTCAGTCACTCGGATCCTTTGCACTCAAATTCAACATACCCAATATTGGCATTTTGTGTGTCAATCACGAGTCAAAAATTTCCAATTGATTCCAAGCCCCAGCTTGGTTTCTTTTGGAAATTCAGGCCGATATGCACCAGCGAGGGACGCCATTGCAACTATAGAGCTAAATTCGTTGAGCTGCGTCTACTGCCGAGGGAGAAAAGAAATCTGCTGTAACCGGCAAGACCATGTTCAAACAGTATCCAAGCTAATATTGAGCGCCATTTTTCCCCGTTCTGTGCGAAACGCACAAAATAAAAGACACACTTAAATTTCGGGTTTAGCAGCGAGGATGCGCCGGCCAGAACAAGCAACCTTCAATCTCAGTGAAGATTTCAGATTCCACGATGAGGCACCTGGCCTGTTGGAAAGTTCATATTCTCAACAAATTCAAAAAAGTTCAACCGAAATAAATACCTCTGGGATTCCGCGAGAACTCTTCACAGTCGAGGATGGGTCTGTTTCATCGAACCAAAAATGCATAGCATTAACATGCTACAAATTTGGTCTTAAATTCATAGATCAACGCTTGCCATTCAATTACTCTATCTCCCTGTAGGGGGAGGTAATCTGGCAAAGCTGTCTAGAAAACGTGGCTACGCTTGTAACCATCGTACACCGGCAAAGCCTGGAAGATATTCTGGCGCAAGTGAACGACTCGGAGGACTCTCTTGAAACAACAGATTAAACACTATCTTGCGCCATGTATTTATTTGTGATTATGAGCATTATACTTGCTCGGTGTTTTGACCGCTTAGGGAACAGCAAGAGTCGGCTATTGCTCGGTATCGGTTGGCAGTCGTTAAGGTAGATTTGATTAACTCCCATGACTTGACCTTACTTCAATATGACCTCTTGTATCTGAATGTTGTTCGACAGCATGATAAAGGGAATTTTGCCTGGGCCATGACAGCCGTTGTATTGCGACTCGTGCAACGATTAGAGCTTTATCACGAAAGCACTCTATCCGGCACATCCCGGATGAAAGCTGAGATGTCACGTTATTGACCTGGAACATCGTCTACGCGAGAAATATTCGCGATATTATTATACAACAGCTACTGCTCATTGGCTCTGCACTGCTATTTCTTTGCTGTACACCTCCTTTGAGGTGTAAAGTTACTTCACCGCAGTTATAAAAAGTCCATCACAACCGTCCGAGTCGTATTGCGGTTATCAAAATCCATTTACTGCAACCACATATGACTGCGGCTTCGCGCTTAGATCACAATTATACCCGAGATACCACATATGTAACAAATACCATAAAGCAAAAATTAAAACTTCGCCCAAATCGATCACTGGGTCTACGAGATCAAGGATCCACTTGGCAAGTGGCAAAAAGGAATGTGACCAGACCCGGGCTCGATCCGAGGACCTCATCGGTGTTAACGATGCGTCATAACCAACTAGACTATCCGGCCATTGTTGAAGACGGGCTCGATTTGATGCTATAAGAAAGAATTCACTCGCCCTCGAGCTGCAAATAAAATCACCAAATAAATGGCAAACTGCCCATAGGATGGTCTTATGATAATCAAATCTAATATAGAACATGAAATCAAAGGCATGTGTATACACTCTCTTTCTGCTGCTAATTTAAATAATTTTATTCATGTTCGCGGTCAATTTGTCACAGCAACACAATACTATATATATCAAAGCGCTTATAGTCAAAACCTGAGCACCATAAATCACAACCTCAAGGGCTGGTAACCGAATAGTCGGAGCTCACACCGGCACTACTAGTAGTAATAATTCTTATTATGTTGTTTCATATACTAACATGATGCCAGGCTGTTTACTAGTAGTCCACTACTTTGGAGTGTTCAGACATTAAACTTGGAAGGGATAATTCTTTCTAGGTGAGCAAGCCGCAGGTGCGGGATAATACTTGATCTATTGAATCTTGGTAGCTAAGTAGAGGCTGAAGCTATCGCGATTATCGTGCTCTAGGGGTATGAATTGCGGAGATGAAGATCGGAGCGTGGATCCTGGGCAGGACTTGAGTACATACCGGACCTCGCGGGAATAATCCGGACCGACGCAGCTGTCTACTTCTAAGTCGGTTCTTTTGCATAGAGACAGTAGGCTACCCGAGGAGTATACTAGACTCACCTGTAGTCGTGCCAGGTGAAGCACCACGTGTAAATCCTTTTTTCGTGTGGTAAGCCATTGCATCAACGCCTTCTTTCAAAACGTTCCGGCCAAGGTAGAACTGATGCGATTGGTTATGATGGGGTAGGCAAGGGTCTAGCGAGTTCAGACTGGATATCGGAAAACGCGTCCGGGACCATTCGAAAAATTTGCTATTGGCCACAAAAACTTTGCGGCAGGATCCTTTCCAGCCAATTACTAGCTTGACCTTGAGTGAGGTTTCTAGTATGCAAGGCCTAATTGTTGAACATATTACTAGTCGTATCTTGTCACAATAAAAATGCAGTGCTCCGGTCATGCCCAAATATGACTCCCCACGCTTGGTTGGCTCCCTCATTTCCTCAATATATAGTACCACAACTTATATCAGCTATATCAAAGAAACTTGAAGGTTATTGCTTTAAATTTTATACCAATAAACGCCAGTGAACACCAGATTTATAATAAGGTTTCTGCAAACGGGAGAAGGTCAGTAGATGTTGATTGATGTACATTGGCCTTGGTATGGTATACAGGCGTGTGCTTGACTGCGAAAACTTCAAAAAAATACTCGCAAGATGCAAAAAGAAATGTGACCAGACCCGGGCTCGATCCGAGGACCTCATCGGTGTTAACGATGCGTCATAACCAACTAGACTATCCGGCCGCTTGTTGTGGTTGAGGTTCCACTTTTGCCACTATGATCCAAAAAAATCCAAAGACTTCGCCGCTGACAATCCACCCAGTCATTTTCTCTTTGCTGGCCTTCTCTCCTCTCAAATTGTAAAGCGTTGAAGAGCACCTGCACGAGAATTAAATAAATCACCGGCAATATTACTCAAATTAAAATTTCCAAGATAGCCGCTTCTTCGTAATCGTACTGTTCAAATATTCTTTTGGTTAGTTCAAAGGTCGTATGGCTGTTCCATTAATCTCTATTGACAATGTACTATTGACGGCCTCATATGTGGTAAAAGGTAGCTGAGAATAACCCTAAAATCCTGTTGTGTTTAAGGTGCACAGGGGTGATGGGAGCTTTGCGGGCGCCCTGGTCGCTAAAATCGGAACACATGAAGCCTACGACGCCGTCGCCAGAGAGGTCACCTCCAAATTTCTTTCTTGCCAGAGAAGCAAATCTTCCCTCCTCCAGCTCCGCTTGAAGAGTGCTTCCAGATTTAGTGAGTGGAACCAGGTTGCGGCTAAAAGGTAATCGACACGGATATTGGGTCAAAACTATGTTGGGGTAATTCTTTTGGATAGCAATTGGTTGTATGATGCATTCCGCCGAAGTTTCCCTCAGAACTCACTAAACCGGAATCGGGGATCGATCTCCCCGTTCAGATTTATATGCTGCATTGATGTGAACAAGGCGGCAGAAATAATAGACCGGATCCAAACGAATCAAAGAATATAGTATTAGGTACTGTAACTACGGTGATAATTTAATTGAGCGAAAGAATATTCTAAGTGCCCATAAATTCTTGGGAGTTAGATCACCTGCAGGGTAATACATGATTGGGAAATGGCATCTCCTAAGAGACGTTAATCCCGGGACCTGTCTTACTCGGGAACCAATCTTTCCTGAGATAATTTAGTCCCACGCTGAAACTAAATGTCCTTGGATCTGAAAGTGAGCGTAAGTGGCCTTCTATTATCAGGGATCTTGATATACCAGTATATAAACCTATTTCTGCCCTTGATGATGACAATACCTCCCCAGGACGATATCAGTTCGATCATTCATGGAAAGACATGAGAGTCTCATGTACTGAGCACCACAGCAGGAATAAAGAGCCCCGATGACCCAATTGAGACGTTTAGTACGGTCCAAGGGAGCTCTGCCCAGGTGATCGGGCCGGGCTAATGCAACTTGAAGCAGTTCGGCGTCTTCCCAAGCTGGCGACGGAACTGAATGAAGTCCTCGCGTAACCAGAACCGCAGATCTGTGATCTAGGAATCGCTGTCTTCAAGAATTGTACCAAATGGTTTCCTGTTGAATACAGCTCCAAAAGTAGTATTGCGTTTTATGGGTGTATTCTTAATTCTGCCCAGCTTGAAAGTACAATGTGGTCTAATTTTGACCACGGGATGCTTATGTAAGTATCCCCCCCCCCCTTTCTCGATATTTCTTCTTTTGTATGCCTGGGATATCAAATTCAACAGTCTTGGTTGATAATTCCTGGCTTTTTGGCGTACCGCAAAGGTATCTTATGACCGCTGAGACTTGCTTTGGATCATAAAGCCAAAAGTTTCCTGGTCACTTCATCAATGGCCGGATAGTCTAGTTGGTTATGACGCATCGTTAACACCGATGAGGTCCTCGGATCGAGACCCGGGTCTGGTCACATTCCTTTTTGCTTTTTTCGCCTTTTGTTTTTTTATTATTTGAAAAATGAAAAAGTCGACCGCTATCCTGCGGCAATGGTCTTGCGGCTTGAAGTTTCAATGATTGTATTCGGTGTTAACCGAAAAGTTTATTGTAGAAGAATGATATCAGAATCTAACAATGGTTTGGTCGAGGATATCTTGGAAGAACAGGATTACTTTCGTAGGGGCCAGCCACAATACCAATGTCCATCGCCTTGGAAGCGCTATGATCATAGATAAGTACAGAATTGGAATATTGGAATAGTAGTGCCATTATTTACGTTTTGCTTACCAACGAAATGATGATAAAGTAGGTAAAAACGAAAGTGGTGATAGAATCGGAGAAGAGAGCGAAGCTCTCTCGAGGCACGGCGATTGGGATCCGAGACACCCACATATCAACAAAAAGTAAGAAATATTAGCTAGATGGCAGCTTGTATGATATTAATTAGACACCACGGGAGATATAAAATACAGCACAGAATTAGATAGACTTGCTTGATCAACAGCTAAACTAAACTCAACTATTGCCGGCCGCTCCGCCCCAATGCTTAAATATTCCACGCAAATCCACGCAATGCTTGATCTGTGTCCAAAGACAAAAAGGGAAGCATTGATTTATTTAATGGCCGCAAGAAGGGGAGAAGGGGAGCTAAGTTATGGTCTTTCTCATGTTCAGATATCTGCTCCAATAAACAGTCAACCCACTCGAAGCCGCGCTGGGCAGAAATGTTACGGCGCTCCGTCATTTCAATCGCGATAATAGCAATATCTGCAATTCACTCCTCGCTGTCCTCATAACCCAGAGTCCGATGACTCACAATATATCGTCACATAGAATCGAGCTGTCGGCCAACGTGGCAGCGGAGTGAAATTATCCACTGGAAATATAAGAATCAAGATGAGTCGGAGCAACCAACATTGATACTATATCATGAAGGACAAGAGGAGGAATCGCATTCAGTAGCTTTATAGGGTTTGGGGAGAAAAGGCGCCCAAACGCAAAGAAGAGGTGAGCTTGGAGTAATAGTTAATTGTTATGAGACTAAATTAGGGGGGAGAGAGAGGAGGAAGGTGGTTGTGAGTAGTGGGAATAAACTATAGAAGACCTTATTAGTTAGTTAGTTATGCAAGGATGCCTGGGACTCTAGGCAGCGAGATTTGTATGCCAGCAAATGATTTGTCATCATCAAGCGGCCGGATAGTCTAGTTGGTTATGACGCATCGTTAACACCGATGAGGTCCTCGGATCGAGCCCGGGTCTGGTCACTTTTTGCTTTTTGCATGCCTCTTGAGCATAGACCAGCAGGCCGATGCCACTGGATTATTTTTTGGAGTTTTACTGAGCTCACAAACACATGTATTGGCTAAAAACTGAGCAAGACAAGGCATTGAGGCTGAGGACAAAGAGCCATGATTTTTTTCCTCAAAAAGTACTGAATGTATTCTATCAGGAACAGATGGTTTATGTTCTATATGTCTTGGTGGAGCTTATTGTGATGTCCTGGGCTCCAAAATCTGAGTTTGGGGCCTCATATACTCACCATAGCTTCGTGATGTCAAAATGAGGTAGCCTCTCATAACAAGTTGGCCGGATAGTCTAGTTGGTTATGACGCATCGTTAACACCGATGAGGTCCTCGGATCGAGCCCGGGTCTGGTCACATCTCTTTTTGCTTTTTATATTCTCTTTTTACTGTAGCTTGCTGATGTCAGATCTCAGTTTTTTGATCGATTTCAGTCCCGGCGGCCGGCGGGATAGAACACAGGACCAACTACTTCAAACCGAAGTTTCCAAGTTTGAAGACAATGCTAAGATCATATCCTGAAGTTTTGAGAGAACCTAGGACATGCCTGTCATAGTCACTACTAGTAAGAGTCAGCATCATGTTTGATTTTTCTGAATGCTGCTACTCTTACATGGTAAACTAATGGATCATGAAGGAGCTTGTATTCCCTTCTACTACATTTATTCTCGAAATTGAGGTCTATTCAGATATTGATTACTTAGCTATGCTCTGAGTGAGATCTCCGCCATGAGTAAACAAACCACACATTAGTAGAAGCCTAAAAATGGGGCCAAGATGTAAGCAGGCCGCTGGGACACATCAACAATGATTGAGCACATTCTCTCATAAGTTGAGTAATCTTGATGCCTCTTTTCATACGTATACGAGCGTTGATAGTAGCGGTGTTGGACTTGGCGAGTGGCTTGGGTTCTTGGCAAAGGGTCCAAAAGGATGCTCGCCAGCCCTAAAGCGCAGGGTGCTTCCCTTTCCGGCATGACCAACTGATCTGCACTCTAAGCCCCAATACGACAGTTCGTATAGCAGCGTCGCCAATTTAGCTGTAGCGGTGTTGGACTCTTGGCGAGAGGCCTTTTCTTGGCATGGGGTCCAAAATGTTGTTCTACTCAGCCTTGTCGCGCTGGGTGAGTCCCTTTCTGGCATGACGGCCCGATCTACACCTTCAGCCACCGATATCACAATTCAGAGATGAGATTGATGCAGGGCTTTGTAGTTAATTGTTAATTGTTAATTGTATATAAAGCACGTCCTGGGTCGAGGTTTTGTGTTATTATTATCTTCAATTATCATCACAGTTCTCAATCTCGAGTTTATCGATCTATACAACTCCTTTGCTTCACAATCTTGATTTACAAAGGTATTTAATTCACAACTTCGAACCATCCCACACAATGCGCTTCTCTATTTATTTCGGGGCTATACTCTTGGCCCCAATGGCCGCTCTGGCCAGTCCAACCATCGCCGCCGATTCCAATTCAAACATCCTCCGTCGCGAGAACAACCTGAGTCCCTCTCAAGGACGCGTGAGCCCAGCGCAAGTCCTAGCTCGCTCCCCTAGACCTGACTCAGACGACGATGACGATGTCGAGTGTTCAAGTGACCAGGTCAAGTGCGGAAATGCTTGCTTCCCTGAATCTTATAGCTGCTGTCCCAATGATTTCTCCGGTGGCTGTCCTTCGGATAAGGAATGCCGGAAGAAGAACGGCCGCTACGGTTGCTGCGATGATGACGACGATGACAAGTGCCGCTATGATGACGATGATGGCCGTAGCATCTTTGACAAGGTCGATGACTTCCGCGATAATGTGAAGGACAATTGGGATGACTTCTGGGGTAACAATGGTCCCTCTCTTAAGCCGGAGCTCCGAGTCATGGGCGGATTGACGGGGTTGGCTGTTGCTATGAGCTTTTTGTTGATGTAATGTGATGTGTGCAATGTGATGGAATGGTGTTTGGGTAAGGGTTTAGTTTGTACATAGTATATGATAAGCGATAGATGGACCACGAAATTGTCTCCTTTAATATGTTCGTTTCAGAAGAAACACAGTCTAGTCTCTCTTATAAAACGCAACGCTATTTCTCATAGTTCGTCAATAAAAGCCCGTAATCCATAATCGAATCAGGCTCCGCCGACGTGGTTGACAATGCTATTCACAATAAGTTGTTTTTTTTTGGAAAAATCTTAGAATTAGACCTAACCCAGTCAGAACGCCAAACCCCTGGTCTAGATACATGAGATGGTATAGACAATAGTCGCTTTTGTGATCTTGTTCAAGCAAATGAAACACTCTTCCGCTTTCCCTTGGCGGAGGACTTGGCCGATGAGGGCGCAGCCTTTCGGTCATCGCCCTTGGCGGCCTTCTTCTTCTGCCGGATGGAATCCTTAACAGCCTCCAGCTTGTCCTTCTTCTCCGTCATGCGGGCCTCGGCCTCCTTTCTCTTTGCTTCCCGGATTTCCTCCAATTGGCGTGCCTTCATCATCTTGGACTCAATTTGGCCCTCCTTCTCCGCATTTACCATGGCGAGAATTGTCATCATGCCCTCCTGAAAAAGAAAACAGAACATTAGTATCACAGCAACTGAATCATAGCAATTGAAATTTGAATTGGGCCACCCAAAGCCATAGTAAACGTACCTGATCATCCACAAAAACCTTGCCCTTCTTCTTGCCCTTTGGCTTCACCACACCAACAGGGGTGATAGCGTTCAATTTGGGCAAATCCAGCTCGGCATCTGTGTAGACTCTCTTCTTCTTCTTCTGGAGATTTGTCTGCTCGGTGCGTGCCTTATTCTTCTGTTCCTTGGGAGGAGGACGCTTGACGTTGCTCTTGGGCTTGCTCACACGCGAGCCACCGGAGACTGTGGAAGACTTGGAGCCCTTGCTACCTCCATCAGAGGCGCCTTTAGACGACCCTTTCGTGGGCGCCATATCGTAGTGTGGGAGGATTGATCGAGATTCGTAGTCGTGAGGCGGAAAAATGCGCCGGTGGAAATTTTGCGGCGTGAGGGCTGTCGGTAGACCGTGGGATTATTGGCGAAAGGGATCCAGAGGTCTGTGATCCGAATAGAAAGACCAAGAAATAAATCCGGCCGTAAAGAGTTAATTCTTAAGGAAATGTTTATCAGAAGAAAAGAACGAGGCAAATCAGCGTTGCGCCGAAATCAAAGAAAGAAATTTTTAATCAGGCAGGCGGTGACAAGACCGCCCCGTTCCACCCACCCAAACCTCACCTGTGAAACCTCCACCATCAGAGCTTCGCTGTGAACCTCCAATTCTCCCCTCTTTTCCCTGATCTTCGGACCAAGCGGACACCAATCTCTCACCATGACTATCAACCCTACCTACCTTGCGCAGCGGACGCGCTCCTGTACGTTCTCGTCCTGGACTCCCCTCCTTCATCGCCCCGAGGTGTTCCGACTGCTCGCCCGGAATGCACCTGCAATTGAGCCTTGCTCGCAGTGTACAGCTAAGCTAACGGATCTCTTTCCACTCATTTAGCCGTCAACTGGACCGATGCCAAGTTCCGCGTTCTCAAGACCTACCGGGAGTGGCTGCGCGCGGTCAGTTTACCCTTCATATCCCCCGACCCGATACCCGCCCTGCCCTTGTTGCGTTTCAAAAAGTCACATTATTTCGGCCCCTTGACGCTTTCAAATGGACCAGAGAGGCGGTTGCTACGCTTTCATAGATCAGGACGGCTCGGATGGGGAGGTCTAATCATGACGGTCAAGCTAACAAGATTCACGCCTACAGTCCCCCGAGATCCAGACCATGTACTCTCTGAACATGCCCGTATCCGCCATTCGCACCAAGGTCCGCCAGGAGTTCGAGAAGCACCGCTACGTCAGCCAGCTTCCTGCCGTTGACGTGCTGCTCTTCCAGAGCCACGCCGAGTTCCAGGTTAGTCCCGGCATCATGATCACAAGCGATAGGAATCCACTTGTTGGACGGTCAATGCAATGCAATGCAATCCCATACGTTATGCAGCACTTTGCGCGAAATGGACGAATGCAAAAAGGGAAACAAAAGAAGGATTACCCTCGTCCAAAATCCACCCCACCTCGAATCCGCATTGCATTCAACCGTCACAAATGGATTCCTATCACCATTGCGATACCCCCTCCCTCCCCCACTTGACGGAATCCAATACTAATCGACATAAACAGGAAACCCTAAACTACTGGAAGCAACTCTCCCACGTCATGAAGTACTTCCGTCCAGAGGAGGACCCCGGTGCCCGACTACCCCGCAACTTCGTCTCCGGCTTCCTGGAGGGCCGCAATTGAAAAGACCATTCCATCCATACCCCGCCCCCGCCAATCCCTCTTCCCTTTAGTCACTTTTTCCTTTATCGCCAGTATATGGCATGATAGCCGGTGGAGCTGTCCCATCGGCGAAGACATGATGTGTAAATATTGTCTGAGTAGGTCGCCGAATCTTTTGTCTTTTTCCAAGGCGATTTCTGTTTTGTGAACGTATTCTTGTTGTAGGTGTAGTTGTAGTAGTGGTAGTAGTATCATCTGTGAATTTCCTCCATTTAGTTGAACGAGAAATTGATAGAGGATTACTAGTACCCCTTGATGAGACTTTGCGTATGTCTTTGATGATCAGGTTCTCCGGTTATAGATATGGAAGTAATTCAAACGACCAATTAAATGGGACTTACAGGTCAGCAACATTACCTAATAAATTCAACTCGCGCCAGTAGTACCAGTATCCTCAAAAACCAATCAATAGCCATTAGGTAGGTATAGATCGATAAACGAAACATTACAATCCAAATCTCGCCAGCCAGAAAGAAGAAAAACCTCGGTAAATATGCAACTCCTCGTTATACTCTTCGACCACATAAATACATATGTTTCCTTGTACTGTCCCAGCTAGTTAGCCACTAACTAGCCAGTTAAGCACCAATACACGCAATTTTCTTTGAAAAAGGGAGCCACAATCAAGATCAAGCTCAAACCCAAACGCCCCAAAAACAAATGCAAAAACATAAAGTTCAGCTTCAATCTCGTCAAGATTGAGAAGTACACATACACTAACACACACTCGAGTCAAGCTCAATCAAGATTGCATGCGGTTACTGTTCTCCTCGTTAAATTGATCCCGAGCATCAGTGAACTTCTCCGTAACAACATCACAAAGATCCATCAAGTCGCTGAAGCCTTTCTCCAAAGCTTCCAGGGCAGTGGTAGTATCTATAAACCTCCGGGTCAGTTCTGACAAAAAATAGATATAGATATCATACAACGTGGCGTGCGGGGCAAGGAGCAGGAGCGCCATCCATTCCATTTTGTTAAACTTACCAGTTGTCTGAATGCGAAGGTGCATCTTGGGGTCAGAGGGATGGGGATGGTATATCCGCAGAACTCAACGGCGGGGCTATAGAAGATATATCAGTTAGTTATGTTATGTTATGCGACAAGAACAAGAACTAGTCCCCTCCCAAACTCGACTCGACTCAACTTACTTCTTCATAATAGCATATCGCAACGCATTACCCATAGTATGGCCTTCGTTTTCAAACTGGAACGAGGCGGATGTTTCAGAGGAACCGGGGAGCTAGAATCAGACGGGTTAAGTTAATAATTGTTCTTATTCCAAAAAGCCACTGCCGCGACAAATTAAAGTAGAGCAAAAACCAAGATCAAGAGAAGAAGTTCTTTCTCAGGCCCAGTCCTGCCGTTGGAAATGGTGTATAACGAACCACTACAACGCGCTTCTCCTCCAGCATGATGGGGTCGACCTCGGGCTCGGCGTCGATCATGGATTGATCTGCCTCTTGGGGCTCTTGGGAGTGAACGGAGGCAGGCATGGTGTATTGAGAGGGGGGTTGGTTGTTGGCTGTGTTCGCGCGGAGAGGAAGCTTGATGATCGGATGTCGCTGTTACCGGACTGGTGGTTATGCGTAGGATTATTCGAGGTGACGATTCGACTGTGCTCTGGAGGGGCAATTTCACTCGGGAACTTCGTGTCCAATTGCGCAAAAAGAAAGAAGGAAATGTAGTTGCGATTTCTAAGATTCAACTCTGCTGGGATTTCTGGATCGTCGGCGAAAGAAAAAAGTGGGTTATCGATAGAGGCTCACCGCCTGCCGTATGCAACACTTTGCATCTACTGGGACACTACATGCCCAGGTCAATGTTACAATATGACCGGCTATTATTTAGAAATTACAGTAATTCAAGTTCTTCTGAAAGATCGTCTCAAATGCGTGGCATATTAGGGGGTGAAATTACATTTGGTGTAGGTACCTGGTCTGGCAGGGTAGTCCGAGGCAAGCCCATATTAAACCAATCCAGCATCAGATCAGTGCAAGAGAAAAGATCAATCGATACCCATTCACAATGCTAGACCCATAAAGCAGCAAAAAGCAGCAACAGCAAAAGAAAACATCCAGAAAAGGTATATTGTAAAAAGAGCCAAGCAACGCCCCCAAACTCCCATTGCGAAAAAGGAGATGCATAAATATCCCGGACAAAGAATTTTCTCCCAACTGAGCATAAAGCTCAAAAAAACACTGTCGTACCTGAGGTTCAAGTTGAAGAAAATATAAACATGACTGGTCATATAAAGAGAAAGAAAAAAAGAACGGAAACCACTTGGTTCAATCAACCAGGAATGAATCAAGAGTCCCGACCAGCAGGTGTAAACAAAAGTTTGCTGGGACATGATCAAAGCCGCGGCCCGGACGTAGCGGGGAACCGGCTGTACTGAAGAAGAGACGTGCTTGGAGAAGAGGATAGGGTATACACCGATCGTCTCCTAGCATTTATTATCGACACATAACAAGAGGAATTTGCTTTGAGAAGCAAGTTCTTTTTGGAGAGCGGAGCATAGCAGAGCAATGACTTCTCTCACGAATGGAAGAGATCCCAAGCCCGTGCGCAAAGGCCGAGGAATTCCTCTTTCTTTCTCCGTGTAGTTTCCGGCGAGTCTCTGCCGGCGCCAAAAGGGCCGTAGGATGCTGCGCTAGCGTTGGCGGCAGGGTTGGGCCGGTGCTGAGGCTCTGGGCCATGTCCAAGCGGTGGGCTTCCATTATCTTGCTCGTACTCGCTCCGGGGACGACGGCGTGCAGTTGTGTCGGCGAACTGCATCATCGGGACCTGAGGCGGGTGATGAACCATGCTTTCGCTAACTAATGGAGCCGTCTTGGGGGCAGCATGGAATGCGTGAGGAGATGGCGGGGTGGGTGGCTGGTGGCCTCCATAGTGTACGATTCGCGGCAACAGTTCCTCCCGCCCGCCGGACATTTCTTGCACGGCTTCTTCGGCCGAGCGATACTCGCGTGATCGGTGGGGAGTTTGTGACTGGTGGTTCGGGGGCAGGCCGGGCGAAGGCATCGGTGCCAAATTCGATTGGGAAGAGTTGGTGCTCGAAGCGTTTAAGTAGACGCTTGGGCGGTTCGCATCCGGGCGGGTTGCATCTCTGTCCCGACCCAGAGCATCAGAGCCGAACACATCGGAAAGAGGAGGGAGGCGGTTGTTGGTCTGTGTAGCTGGAAGTTGATGCATGTGCGAAGTTGAGCCCAGAGTGGGACTCTGGTTCACAACATGGCGAGTCAACGGCTGAGGTTGGTGTCGACCAGTAAAGGTCTGGTTGAGCGGGGCGGATTGAATCACCCGTTCGTTGGCGAATTGCGATGCCGACGGAGGGACGATGGACAAGCCAGGCGGCGGCCGTCGCTTAGAGCTCTTGGGTCCCAAAAACTCGTGCGCGGATGGCCTGATGCCATCAGGGCCTTCATCCTTGGCTGACCTCTGCAGCCGTGCTTCGATAATTGACCGTTGCTGTTCGCGCACCGAGAGACTCCGTTGGAGCTGCTCTCTCATTGCAGGATCATGGGTCTGAAATCCGGGCGACAGGCATGCCAGACCGACATCCTGCATAGTGACACCGTCGCGGGCAGTCATAGGCCCATTAGGTGGTCGAACCGACAAGTTGCTACTCGATGAAGGGAGACTGGTCGAAAGGTCGAGCTTCCGAGGGCGAGGGCGGCTACTCTGCATGCGCGGCGACGAGGGCGGTTCTTTTTTGACGGTGATCTTTGGACCTGCGCTACCTGATCTGTAACCAACTGTGAGCAAATAATCTTTCTTCGACGCACCCGCACATCGGTGCAACTGGGTTCTGATTTCTCATATCCAACTTACGGGGAGGCCGGGTCTTTGTTCTCGGGGGTGCCTCTTCGCGGAGCATCCTGCGAGGTGGTAGACAGTCGTGATGGGGAGGAATTCGCCGCGCCCGGTGGGGGAGGAGGAGCTAAGGTCGGGCAATTCTTTGGACTGGGATCGCGGGTGACATGTGGCGAGGACAGAGATGCTGCCGTCGCGGGCGCAACTGCGGTCGACATGATGATGTGATGTGATATGATGTGATAAGGACTCTTTGACGACGAGGGTCCTGAACTGGATAGGACCGTTCTGGCTCAGGATGATCTGGATCAGTCGAAGTATACCTATCACCTATGGTATCTTTCTTCGCAGGTCGTGGGATCGGCGGGAATAGCCTCCGACCTCAAGTGTGGAGCATCAATAGTAGCGACAGCGACGTGCACAGATCCCGGCGTTAAGGGATTAGGCACTTTTGATATTCCAAGGGCCGGGGGAGAAGGTGGGAGGAGGGAGGAGGGGAGTAGAGAGGGAGAGAGAGAGTAAGAGGAAACAAAGTTCCCAGTCCAGAGTGACAAGCGAGAGAAATGGACCGGCAGAACTTTTTTTTGGAATGAGTTCTGGGCCCAGAAGGGGGGGAAATTAAGACAAAGGCTGAAGAGGGGGGGAGGAGGAGGAGGTGGTGGAGGAAGAGAGAGAGAGAGAGGATGTTCACCAGGGGTGGTGGATGTACTCAGTACTTTCCCTGAACCACTCACTCCCTCCTCCTCCCACTCTTCCACTCTCCAACCACTACCCACCAGCACCCACAACAAAGGCTAACTCAGTTAAACCAGCAGCCTAGAACCACCCAAACTCCCTCCGGAGTCCCCCCCCCCCAAGCATGGAGTACCAAGTACAGAGTACACCGCATGGGCTGCCTTTCCTCGTTCGTGGAGTCCAGAGTTCAAGTGGAGCCGCGCTCAAACACTTGCTGCACCACTGCCGGAGCCCGGCGTATCAGGATCATCTGCCTGAGACACGCCATGTTTCTACTTTGTCCCCCCTGTTTGAGGCTGGCCCTGGGTGTGGGTGTTCGTGTTCGTGGATCGTCACATCCTGACATACCGCAGCGGTTATGCATTTTGACACTTGTACAGTTCCAAAATATCCCAGGAACCTCACTCCTGGGATCGATTATGGGCCGTCCGCCCTACGAGTACGGAGTACCTACTCCATACTTCAGACAAAGAGGATAACATCCACTTCGACCAGACCCTCTTTCCTTTGATTCTGGTTTGGCCCCCAATACTCTTTCCCCCCTCCAAGACTGAGGCTAAGACTGGTCTCATCTGCACACGGGGCTTCTGGGGTCTCTGATCGGCGAGGACATGTGCTCCCGATCTGCATGAACTCGGCACCCTCACCCGCCTTCACACTTGGGCAGCAACTCATATCACGTTCTATGTCAAACATGGCGCAGACGGCGCTTATTATCGACCAGGGGGTGGAAGCATCTATCCATTTCAATCTTAGTCTATGGTCTTCCTCCCGCACTGTGTGTCGTGTGTGTCTGGTGTGTTTCTTTGTTCTTGGCGGAGTCGCTCCAACTAAACTCCCTCTGCACCCACAATCCTCCTGGCCACCATCCGCAACCCCCGGACCCAGGAACGAGAACCAGTCCTTCGCCCTGCGTGTGGATCACAAGAAGAAAAAAAAAGGTCGTGCCCTAGACTAATGCACGGAACCCTCTACCGACCGCAAACTATGCCCTGTCTGATTCCTTATCCTGGTCACTCTCGATCCCCCCCAGCAGCCATAGTGATTGGCTACAGCTTTCACGTCACTAATTTTTGGGGGACGCTGAAAGGATGAGTCGAAACGCACAGATCAACCTGGATCAGGGCTCTGACTGCCAGATTTGGTTGCTCCGATTCTAGTGAGACTAGCGTCGCAATGAAATTGCGTCTGCGACCGAGATTTTCAAACTATTTGAATGGTTTGTCTCGGAGTTGAATTGGATGTCTTGTCAGCTGGAGTACATACAAGTACGCTCCGGAGCGGAAGCATCTTACTAACTGATATCAGTCCCATGGTACAGATCCCGTGTATTGTATCACACTATCAGGCTCGGGGTGATCTTGACCACCCTAGCAGGTATATAGATAGATGTAGTTGTAGATATTATCCGTTTACTGACAAGAGAATCGGGCATGGTTTGAATATTGAGCCCTTCTCCCCTGGTCTTTTCATTCGTTGAACTCATACCCACCTGGGCATCTAAATATCATCTGTCTCCACCGTGGAAGGGGCCGAGACGTCTCGGATGGATCACTTCGTCGCAACCCGGCCACTTCTTACCTTGATCGGCCCAGGGATAGTTGATGCCTACAGTATGAGCATATCCGAACATGTGAAATTAATCTATGGTTGAGGCTCCCGTGTTACTGGTATGTTTGGGTGACTGCATAGTAACTCGCAAGCTTGACGAGCAAGTGTTCGATACAAGTTCCACCGAATCGCAGATACTAGTGCCATTCATGGATGTATGCCAGTGTTCATAATGTAATGTTCAAGAAACTTGAATCAAACGATCCGATATGCATTCAAGTTGTGTTTATACACTTTGGGTATCCTAATCAAGTCGTCGACGCTTACCACCCCGGTCCGGAGGCGCATCGTCCATTCCACGCCGCTCAAAAGGCATATCCTTGCGCTCCTTAGACGCGATCTTCTTACGCCGGCGCTCCAAAGCCTTCGCACGATCCCGCGATCCCATTTCCTCATACTTCTTCTCAAGCACCGCCTTTTTCAAATCCGACTGCTTCAGATAGTACGGGGTACTCTTCTTACCCTCGCGTATTAATTGCTTCTCCTTCTTCTTGTGATCGGCCATGACCTCCCGTTCACGCTTTTGATTTTTCCGCGTCTTCATCTGATCTTCCGCAGAGCGGATCTGCATCTTCAATTCCTCCTTTGCATCGGCATTCTTAGTCTTCGACAGTTGCATCTTGAGCTCTTTCAGCTCCGAGGCCCGGTACTCATCCAGGAAAGCGTAGTTTTTGTTCGCACCCTCGGAGTACTTTCCGGAACCACTGTAACCCATGACCGCTGCGTCGAAACGGGGATCGCGGGCTTTTGCAACGGCCGGTGGCTCAACTACCAAGCGCCTCCTTGTCACGGCACGCTTAGATGATTGAACCATGGGAGCGTGCTTCGAAGCACGAGCGGCCTTCTTTTCCTTGCTCTTTTCCTTATCCGCAGCTTCGCGCTTCTGTTCGCGCGCTTCGCGGATTTTGGCCCGGATGTCGTCGAGTGGGGAGGCCGTTGTGGTAGATTCGTCGGCGCCCGCTTGAGATCGCTTTTCTTTTCCTTTCTTGGATCCCATGGCGGCTTGGGCTTTGGCGAGTGCACCGAAGGATACGCTGCTCAGAGATGCCTGAATATCATCGTTGTCGTCACCGGCATCTGAGAATTCTTCTTCTCCGATATTGCTGCCGTTCTCGTCCTCGTCTTCTTCGCCTGCGCTGGCATCAGATCCCTGGGACTATTATCGGGAGTAGTTAGCCTCAATTCAAGCATGTCATTGGTGGGAACAAAGTCTTCATACACTGTGAGATTGTTGATCCTCATCGGATTGTCCCTCTTTGTCGCCGCGGACCTCGTCACCCATATCGGATTCTCCCGAGTAGACACTTTCGTCATCGTCAGTTGGCCGAGCCCGCACTCGGCGGTTCAGCATATCTGAAATTCCCATTGTTGGTAATTGTGAAATGCAAGTAGAGTTGTCGTGGAAGCAGTTCCACCATATTTTCCCTCAAGAAAAAAAGTACTGCCGGGCGGTGAGGGCGATAACAGACGATAAGGAAAATCATCCAAACCTTTCGGAAAGTCCCAAGGCACTTTTGATTCTGCGACTCTTTTTGCCTTTCTGGCTCATGTCTATTCTTTCTTGCGTTTGTCGACGGCCAGAATTGACCCGTACTATTATCTATAGACCTTGCAGAATCCCTCCTCCCGTACGTATATGATTCCATCCCATGTTCAATCCAGAACCCCTCAATTCTCCCAGAGAGTCAACTAAACTAATTGCCTCCCAACAGCTCATTTCTACCGTGCCTGTCGCTTTCTCCGAACGCAATTCTTTCACGCCAATTCCTATCAAATCTGTCAAACTGTCTCGTCGCGGTAAAGGGAGTAAGAGACGTGCGCAGGACGCCGCTCAAGATTCCGCGCCTAAACACCCCCGAGTCGACAACACGGAATTGTCGCATAATGGTCTAGAAACCATGGGCTCCAACTCCAATTCCAACCCCGCGCACCACAGCGCGCGTGATAGACGTCCCGGGCGAAGGTCACAAGCTGGCTCTTCCCAAACGAATTACCCGCAGAACGGCTTGGCCAATAATACGATCTCAACGTCAATACCAACACCGACACCACAATATGGTTATGGTTCTGGATATAGTTCGTATATGGCGACCCCGCCTGACTATGTTGCCGACTCAAATCAATATCCGACAGGGAACACCAACGGTGGAGCGCAAATGCCTTTTGGATCATTCGATATTCCGGGATGGAACCCACAAGCTATGAACTACGACCCAACGGCTACACCCCCGTCGATGCCGATGCCGATGCCGATGATGGACCCGAGATTGTTCGCTTCCATTATGGGAAACATGCAGGGTCAATTCCCCATGATGCCTTTTAATAATGCAGCCCCCTTTCAGGGAGTACAAGCACAGCCCATGAGCACAATGGCCAGACCACCCGGGCCAATTATCCATGGCCAAAAACCAGGTCCCTCTACCTCAAGGCCCCGACAACGAGAATCAACACCACCAGTCGATATACCATCCGCGACTGCGGAGTACATGAAGCAATCGTCGCAAAAACCTACAAGGTGTCCCACGCCACGACCATTACTCATTATCCTCGATCTAAACGGAACATTGGTCTACCGAAAACACAAAAAGCTACCCCCATCTTTCGTTTCTCGGGCCGGTCTTGAGCACTTTCTAGATGTATTAACGAAGAAATACGCCGTGATGATTTGGTCCAGTTCACAACCCGCTACCGTCGAAGCAATTTGTGCGAGAATATTTTCAAAAGAAAAGAAGCGCAATCTTGTCGCTTTATGGGGTCGTGATAGGTTCGGCCTCACACCTGTGCAATACCACGCAAAACTACAGGTCTACAAACAACTCCATAAAGTATGGAGTAGCATCGAAGTACAAAGTTCTTACCCAGGAAACGAATCCTACAAACCACCCAATCAAAATCAAAATCCGGCCAATATAAAGTCAAAACCAAAACAAACCACACGCGAACAAAAACAACAAGAGCAAAAGCAACGCGAGCAAGAAATGGAACTGACATCTTCCTTTCCCCCGGGCCAAAGATGGGATCAATCGAACACGATCTTAATCGACGACAGCAAACTGAAAGCCCTCAGTGAACCATTCAACATCCTAGAAATCCCCGAATTCACCAATAACGCAAACCTCGACGAGTCAAAACTTTTTTCCACAGTTCTTGCCAGACTTGATACGCTCTCGCGCCATGATGACGTTAGCAGAGTCCTGCGCGGATGGAACGAGATGGCCGATTTGCAAAAATCGAGTGTTCTGGATTTGGACATTCCGCCAGAAGACGCAGAAGAAAAAGAAGAGCCCTGGGAAGCGGACGATGATGAGGAAGGCGGTATCAGCCTTGGTGAATTCAGTATTAGTACCATCCCTGGTGCTCCGCCTGTTTGTAAGAATGGGCAGAAAAAGCAGAAGAAGGCCGATGTCAATGCCAATGTCAACGGTGCGACGACTGTACCGAAAACCCAACCACCAACGGACCCCGAAGCAATCAGACTCAGGAAAGAGGCTAAAAAGATTCGCAAGAAGGAGAAGAAGGTTGCTAAAAGGGCTGCTGAAGAATCTGCTCGTCAAGAAACCGCGGCGGCGGCGGCAACGGCTCCCGGTGAAATAACAACGACCGGGGCGAATCCCGCTCCAGGCACTACCACTGAGTATATTGGACAGCGCAAGCGGAAAGCAATGAAAAAGGCTCGACTGGAACAAGAACAAGATCCACTTGCACAAGATCCGGCAACGATTGACCCTTCTGCGCCACGGTATAGTTTCCGTACACGAGGGGCGCAAGTTTCAGCAGAGGCACAGGCACAGACACAGACACAAGATGGGGATGGCACTTCTATTCCTGTTCCTACGGCTACCACGACGCCTGCTTTTACTGGACCTTCGGAGGGCGGTGCTGATACATTTCCTGCCTATACTCATGGGGGTCGACCTGAAGATCGGAATCGGAATCGATCTCCTTCGTCAGCTTCTTCCGCTGCCTCGGGAAATTCCCTCTTAGATCGTCTTGAAGATGGTCTTGGTTTTTCGAAATGATTTTGATATCCTTTCTTACTTTGCGCTTGATCTGTGGGCTGGGGCTGGGGCTGGGGCTATTGCTAGAATAGCATGGTCTTGTTGTTCATTTTGTCTCATTGTTGAAGATAGACCTGTTTGTGTATTCTAGATTTTTTTGCTATGCATCGAGCGATCTCATTAGTATCTATCGTCCATGATATCATATCTCAGACACAGCTGAGCCACCTCACCTCACATTCTTTGTTTTGTCGTTTGTAGTAGGCACTAGTAGTTCGTTTGTCGTCTGCTAGTAGATATATGGCTTCACTTCTCGCTTCAGTGGCTTTCACCTTCTTCAACCACCCAGGCTTCCTTCCATTTGCCTTTTCTTCTAATTCGATCATTCCATAGGCCTGCTTTCTTGTCGTATCTTACGGCTATATTTAATTATGAGGTTAATTAGGGCTACGCTCAAGCAACCATGTATCAATTTGGTGATTTGGGGACTGTTTCAATACGTGACTATTATATAAGTTTTCCAGGGCTAAAGTACGTCCGTCTGGACAGGCACTGCTACTGGTCCGCGTCATCAGAAACTGGACCAAACATCGAGGACAGGGCCGCAGAGCCATTTTCGAAAAAATACGGCGACTTCTGAAGTCACGACGCTCCGGGAACAGTGGTAAGCCACTGGGCACTCCTCTATCTCCCGATACATTCTCAAGTGTTTCCTCACTACCGGTACCAACCGGTAGCACAGATAACACCACTAGCAGAGCGAAATCACTCTCGCAGAGTAGCGGGGCTAGCTTTATTATATTAATAGCCTCCATCTCACCTCCTACCTCTCTATTAAGATACACAATATTACCATTCCTGCCGTCGGGTGACTTGCTTGCGGTTTCATGGAACCTCTTTGCTGGTGCCTTGGGTGCATCATGCACTTGCACAACAACCACAACAGGACTTGGTAGGACGGGACGCGTCTATTCTTATCCAATAAACTAGAAAGCTTTGCAGGATACACACGAACCCGCGCAGTATTACATGAGCTCGCACGCCCTGGCTTCACTTATGAATCAACATGAAGGAAATCATGCATTCGGAGGAGTGATGATTTGGTCTGCTGGCTGGTCAGACGCCAATGGGAACAACGATTGCAGTTAATGATGGAAGCCCAAGGGCAGGAGGAGATGACGGGTCAAAGATGGTATTTACAGCATTGTCTATCATGGACCGCTGCCAGGTGATTCCTCTTTTTTCTTGCACTATACCAGATATTCCACATGAGATACCGACTATACTCTCTGTTTGGCATCTGCCACCAGAGCACCGCAATATTCTAGGCTACAGTTTTGTGGTTGGCTATGTTTACAGTATCCGAGGCGTCTATACTGATAGCAAAAGTAAAAACAACAAAAGTAGAAAAAAAAGAATAAAGGCATCAATTATACTAGAGTGGTGTATAGGACCGCTTCAATAGTTCAACAGGCAGTCGCTCCAGGCAGGCACCTTCTCTCACTCCCACAATTTCCTTCTTCACCAACCTTTACGTCAACCTCCCCCGCAATCTCCTCCTGTTTGTTACACTACCTTTGTTCCTTTGCTCGCCACCGATGAAATGCTCAATTCCCCATCTATTCGCATTGAGAGGCATGGCTGCCTCTCCCCAGTGGCTAGAAGCTGGAGAAGGACAGTGCCGTGGACACCCATCTGCACGAAACCAGACCAAGTGAGTACTTCTTGACCCCAAGTTTCGCATATACTTACAGAATAATAAAAAGTAATCTTCGCAAAGCCATCAATGAGGCATTTGGTCCCGTAATTCCTCTCCGCATTACTACCCCTGCTCTTGCCAACGATACCTCTGAGGATGCGATTCCTCTCCGCATTACCTCCCCCCCCGTTGTTGGCCGACACGATATTATCGACGAAGCTCCATGCCCCTTGGCAGAACATATCATGAGCTTGCCCTACAAGATGGCCATACAAGGGACTGATAATGCGTCGGAGGCTCTTCGTGTCCTTCGCGGAAAACCCATGCAGAGAGAGCCTGCAAGGCGCTCTAATAAAAAATGGGCGGGGAATTTGATTCACCAACATATCGATGCGAGTATATCCAATGTTGAGTCTGCCGTACTACAAATTGTGGGACCGCCCCCGGTCAAGCCTTGCAGGTGCTGCAGGAATCGCCATGGTCCATGGGCTAGGTGTATCGTTTCCCCAGAGGGCTGTGGGAATATCATATCAGCGTGTGCAAATTGCCATTGGTATGACAAGGATAAGAATTGTAACTTCTACAAAGCACCGGCACCGGCACCGGCACCTATGAATCAGCCTGGCAAGTCCTGGGAAAAAGGTCACCGGCACGCAAGCTCTCCCTTTCAGGGGCGGCTTCAGCATCAGGAACGCCTCACTACTATTGGTATGGCTGCCCCTCGTATCATGGAGCACCTTCACGCAGCCATGGCAGACCAGCGTCAGGAGGAAGCAGAAACTCGAATCACGGTCAAAATCATGGAAACTATCATCAATGATCCAGCTCTAGATGCGGATGAGCGATACATTGATTTATTCCGCCTTTTCCTCTCAAAATGGGACATACTCGGCTTAGCAGTGTACTGGGAGATATTTGTGATGAGGTGGCTAGATTGTTGGCTATGACGGACAGCTAAAGCGAGACTATGGAAAGTGTATTTTGAAGGGGTTGTAAAAATCTGTATTTTTTCTGTCACAAATCTCATTTCGAATGTCTCTGCATCACGTTTCATGCTTTAGAGATATCCCCCCGCTTTCGCACATTTTCTTCTCAAAGGATTTCTCTGAAACTTTCGATTAACCTGAAGTATTTCCTCTCATTTCCGCAAAGAGTTCTTCTTTACAAAGCAAAGCAACGCTTGTCACAAAACCTCAAACTCGGAAGACCTCTTGAGAAGGTATTTGTGATTTTGTTGAATTCATGACAAAACATATTCCGGCATAGCATTTGACTAGATTTTGTCACTCTCATCTATTTAAGGTGGTTCAGCCCTATACCAACCTCTCTAAAGACTAAGGTCTTTCTACCTATGGAGATATACAAGCAGTTTCTATGGAAGAAGAAATATTCTATCTCGGTCTGGGTTTATACTGGCGCGGGCCTCGGCCGGCCGCTGGCCATCAGTATCAGACCATCGGAATTTAGACGATCAAGTTGGTTGTTTAATTGCTGTCGTAATTTCTGGATACCTTGCATCTACTGGTCAAATTCGTCATGTCTTAGTAGCCGACGAAAACTAACGACATGGACAGCAAATAATCCGTATTCAGTATACCGTCAGTTTCCAAGGTTTATTGCGCAATTTGGTTAACTTACTGATATCAAAAAATACTCTTAATCTCTGATAAAACAACAAAAATTGCGGTCAGTCAATGCGGCAAATTCAAAAGAGCGAAGCCGATTCGAGCAATAACGGTCATCCGAGGAATTTCAGCCACTACCCAACTGGCTTTGGGCTTGTTGGAGAGTCAGGAATGGCTCCATTGAAGTCTGCAGAGTTGTGCATGTAGGAATCATCCCTGAGTGATCTTTGATAGGAACTTGCGTGATTGTGAGTGAGGTAAGGCCGCAAGGATAGAAGACAAGCAACAATCAGCCCAGCGTAGGAGTCGAGCGCGCATAAAAGTTGAACATTTGTGATGGGCACCTCGGGGTATGCTGATGTAATAACTAGAAGGCGAGCTAGACAGGTGCCGATGCTCAATATCGCAACTCCAAAAGTAGTGTACAAACCCAGTCTCTTCTTCCAGTCAACTCGGAGGTGACGTAGAAAAAAGAAGGGCAAAATAAATATTAACAAGTCCGTTGCAAAATGTAGGGCCCAGGTGATAACCCAGGAAATGAGGGAGCTCTGTACTCCACAAGAAGCCAGGCGAAATCTAATCTCTGTCAGAGTGGTCATTCCCTTATCATTGTAAATAGCATGATAATGATACGTACCCACTCACCCGGCTCCTAAGACAAATCAGAGCTATGCATGATAGAGATGCGATATATGACAAGGCAGTACAAATGGTGAGTATCCAGAGCGACAAGGAAACTGAGCGCAAAATGGATGGGAAAATATTGAAAAAGAAAGAGATAATAGCGGCTTTATTGAGATATTGCGTCGACAAGAGTGGAAACCATGCGACGAAAATTATCTGATAGATGATTTAGCAGCTAACCTTAGATGGTGACAGTGCGCGCTCACCTTTTCCGTCAACGGCAGGCTTTGTGTATTATGAACAAAATTAGACCAGGTAGAACTTGAATTTAACCAGCCAAGTTTTACCAGTTCGATGTCAAGTGCGGCTCCCCATATGCTGCTGAGCCAGGCAAGGCAAATGAAGTAATCACTGACGATCGGCTTTTTCCCTGCAGATGTAGTCGAAGGTAAAAACGAGCGAGAATCAGCCCGATGCAGAGGCAAATTAAACTCCATTCGACATACTAGACAGACAATATCAGTATCAAGCTTCTCCTGATCATACTCTGTTCTATTGAAACCTACAATGACCGTTGCTCCAGAAATAGATAGCATCGCACTTGACTGCGGCGGCCAAGAGCTCTAGACGCATAATATAAATGCTGGAATGGGGCGTCGTGCAAACACTGTATCAAGCAATGGATGCCGATCCTGTCATTGAGGGCAATAACTGAGGATGAGTAGCACAGTCAGGAAGGTAAATGAAGTCTTGACATGAACTGGGGGATGAGATGCTTTCCAGTCTCTCTAACGCATTAAATATCTCCTTCTTATTGAAAGGGTTTATTTTACGATCTAGGGACTGGTGGCGACAAGAACATTGTCAGGTGGTATGGTGACAAAAACCTTATTCAAATAATGTACCAATTGAAGGGTTCGCAACACGATTCGATTCATCCATCGATCTCAAACTTTTTTTTGACTTTCGGGACCCGAGGACACCGAATTCCCGCCAATGGCAATTTTTTACCCTTTCCTATTTTGGTCTTCACTGAGAACAGTGGCTCATTATCTTGTAGCTGCGACCGAGCCTAGATGGAACTTTGCTCTACTAGTATCCATGGATGTCAGGCCAATGCCGTATCGATTCACACTGGCATCCCTACTAATATTTGCCGATCATTTTTATCTTAGGGCGTTGCTGCAATATCAGGGTGATTTTGCAAGCTAAATTAGCTATCCATGAAAATTTTCTGTTTTTCTTTCTTGTCGCAGCACTCTAATTAATTTCTGAACTGGATCGGTTTGGACAGGTCAAATTTCACAGACAGAAACACCCGTTTACGTACAGCAGTTGTTCTGGTTGAAGTATAACATCAGAAAACCGAGACGCAAGCTTCGACGCGGTTGGAATGGAGTGCGAATATTTCCATGTCTTTGGCAGTGGGGGTCTATCAGACAGGGATCGAAGGAGAACAACAAAAGCATGTAGTAATTGTCAAAAATCCCATCGACGCTGCGGTAAGTAAAATAGGTTCAGTGCCTTTTAACTTGTCTTTATACATTTTAGAGACTAACGGTCAACCTGGTTTTTCAGACAACCCACTGCCATGCCTGCGTTGTATTGAGCAGGGGAACTCACATACGTGCGTTGAAGGCGCCCGAAAACAGCCTGCCTCTATTCATTACTCTGTTGAAGTGCCCATATTGATCTCAACCGGTTGTCAATTGGATCAGAGGACGGTTGGCGAAAGAAATACTCAAAATTCTGCTACAACTGTTGAAGGCCCGGCATACAATTCATTCAACTTGCAATCCAAACCCGCTACTGAGATACGAAGCTCCCATCCGAAAAGACTGGAAAGATCACTGCTTTCAGGCTCGGAATATACCTATGACCGGAAAGAAAATCCCGCAACACAACCACTCACGTTTGTGTCGGAGAATGTTTCCACTTGGTGTGCTACTGAATGTTCGACTCTAAATACTGAGGCACACGAATTTCGTTCTCCGGGCTTTTGCGATCACATATCTTCTGAGGTCCGTGGTCATGAAATTAAATGTCCGGACCAGACATTTTCGGCGGGGCGAATGCTTCCTGAAATAGAGCCTGTTGGAAATTTCAAGCCTTTTATTGTGCGGGCTGAGGGCTCGCATTTATTTCCAGAGGAAACATCGTATCCTGGATTCGCTATCTCTAGCGGTTGGGCTAGTACTTTTTGGTATCCTGAATCTCTAGATGGCCTATTGTCACGACACACAAATTTGCATTATTGAATATCTTCAGAGACTACGAGGACTTGACAGCTGGGCACTGAGGATCGGAATCAGATAGATGAGTAAAAATACAAAATTCAAGACCATGGTATAAACTATAGCCTCTACAGTAATATATAAACTGCTTCCAGCTTCCTTTTTGCACTACCAACTTACACGAGCGGGTTATATCTCAAGTTTGATCTCTTTTAGCTAACAATATAGTAGCATTTGACTAATAATCATCAATAACTGACGAAGAGAAGAATACAGATGTAAAATAAAACAGATACTGCATTACCATGGCAGTCATATCTGTGGTTTGTCACATTCTAGGTTCCTTAGGTCAGTCATTTGATCTTGACCTATAAATTTCATGGTCGGGGAGGTATTCAAGCCTCAGAATGCCTGCGATCTCTAACCCATGTCTCTGCTCTCGCTAAGGCCACCGGCATGTCCTCGAAATTCCTTTCCTTGCCTAGACAAGAGCCGGAACTCATTTCATTGGACTAGCTCGAATCATCCATCGTCTGTTCTACAATTCTTTCAAGTGCTTGAGAGTTGTTCCATGATGTGAATCGAACTATTTCGCACGTCAGGAGGAATTTGATCACAGAGTATGTTGAATATTTTTTAACAAAAGTATGATTTAAACATTGTTTCACTCTTCTAGATATGCGTATAATTGATCGAAAAGCTGTAGGTAGGGTTGTAATGCATGTCCCAGTACTCATCCCAGATAAGCTTAGTTATAGGCCCAATTTGACCCCCATTGATCGCGTTGCCATCAATGGATGTAAGGGGCATAATACCTCCGGCAGTGGTGCAAATGAATATTTCGTCCGATTCAAAAGCCATCTCAACGGGGACAACTTGCACATGAACAGCCTTTCCATTCCTTTGCGCAATTTCTAAGACGGTTCTGCGAGTAACACCTTCTAGAACGCCCCGATCTGGGGTGTATAAGGCATCACCTTTGACAATGACGACATTGTAACCAGGACCTTCAGTCAAATTCGCGTCCCCATCCGTGAGCAAAGGATAGGTAGCTCCTCGATCACCAGCTTCCTGTAGGCCACGTATCAGGTCTCCCCACTGTAGGTTCTTGACTGTGGGATCCATTGATCCCGGAGGGACACGGCGGACTGTTCGTGCAATAACAGCCTTCCCACCAACACGCTGCATAGCAGGCGGCATAGCCCAAACGTAAGGCTGCACAAACATGTAAAGTTTGTTGACAATATCTTTTGGGTCGGCCTGGCGAACGAATTTGAGACCCCGAGTAACGATTATTTCCACATAAGCGTCGCGAATTCCAGATTTAGCCACCATCTCCACTAATTTCTGTTTTATTTCTGATTTAGGCTGAGGGAGCTGAAGCCGGAGCTTTCGACAGCTTGCTTCCAATCGATCGAGGTGGTCGTGAAGGCGGAAAAACCGCCCATCCCATACAGCTGGAACGTCATATGTCAGGTCACTATGAAGGAAACCCTGGTCGAGTAGTGGAATTTGTGCCTGCGATAGCGGAACCAGGTCACCTCCAACCCAGGCAATTCCCTGGGCAAATGGGTTGCTGCTCGTTTCAAGCGCAGATTGTCGGGCTTCGTATTTTGCGATCACCGTATCCATTGACGCCATTTTGTGTTATTCTTGGTTAAGAATTTCAAGGAAATTGACTGTTGAATTGAGCTCAAAAAATGAGAAAAATGGTACTGTCGCAGTGTATTGAATTCGAATTGAATTCTTTGACACTGAGATTCCAATTAAGTTGTCGGTAGGAATGATCCTTTTGTATCTCTCAAGCGACCGTGGCGGTGCTACGCCAATTAGGCCCCATTTACTATTCCCTAGGAAACAGCATGAAGAAAACCAGCATCGGGTAGATAAGCGGCGTTTATTTTCAAGAGCGACTAGATAAGACGCTTAGGGGCCGCCCCTGTCCTTCCAAGGGTTATCACAACTCCCGGTGGCGGCTTCGGAACCCTAAATTGCCGAGGTATCCCTCCTCAGCTGGACCATCTAACTGATAAGTAGAAGTGTCGGCCGGTGGACATTATATTTCTGTGCCTAGAGATACTATGAAATCTAGCACTTAGTAGTACACTGTATTACTTTCCCATCTCCTACGACAATCAATTCACAGATTCTACTCGACTATTGTTTCAGATCTCGCTAGATTGTCGAGTATGACCAAGAAAAGGATCGTGGTGATCGGGTATGTTAGCAAAAAAGCGGCGGGCGATTTTATTTTTGAAAGAAAAAGAGAAAAAGGATCTAATTTGCTCTTTAGCGCAGGAGTCGCAGGGCTCACTACGGCACTCCTCCTATCCGAACGCAGCGGATACCGCATCACGGTAGCTGCGAAGCATATGCCTGGGGATTATGACGCCGAATACGCTTCCCCATGGGCTGGGGCTAATTATATGCCGTGAGTTGAGCAATCAGGTATGAGTGCATGTTGGCCATTGTCTCACAGAAAATTGCCAGGGTTTCGATACGTGGAAGCATGGCGGCCGAGTGGGATAAAAAGACTTGGGCATGGCTGCTAGATCTTGCGATGAACCGTCCAGAATCAGGCGTACATCTACAGGGTTAGTGCACATTAATTCAAGTTTTCTATGGGCAATCGAAGGCTGATAAAATAGCAAGAATGTGAGATCTATAGCAGAGCCAAAGATAATGGGTCCGCCACGGCGGATTGGTTTTCTGAGTTACTGGCACCAAACCCCTGGTTCAAAGATATTGTCCCAAACGTGAGCAGAATCTTCCTAAAGGAGCGATGATGTGTTTTCAAGCAGCTAATGAATTGCCTTAAAGTTCCGGGACATCACACAGGACACCCTAATTGCTGGGGTGGAGTCTGCTAAAAGTTTCACTTCGGTCTGCATTAATACAGCTATATATCTTCCCTGGCTTGTTTCTCAGTGCCTGAAGAATAGCGTAACTTTTCGTCGCGCAAATTTCAAACATATTTTGGAAGCTTCGAAAGGTATTCAGTTAGGGGGACCCTTTGACTTGGTAGTTAATTGTACTGGTCTCATGGCGTCTCAGCTGGGTGGCGTGGAAGATAAGTCGCTTGTGCCTGCTCGTGGCCAGATTGTGGTTGTCAGTAATAATGCGAGCAAGATGATCAGTATATCAGGAACCGACGATGGAGATGATGAGGCTTGTTACGTCATGACAAGGGCCGCGGGGGGTGGTACCGTTCTCGGTGGATCCTACCAGAAGGGTAACTGGGATCCTCAAGTTGACCCTAACCTTGCTGTCCGAATAATGAAGAGAGCGGTCGAATTGTGTCCAGATCTGACTGGTGGGAAAGGCATTGAACATCTCGATGTTATCAGGCACGGCGTGGGGTTGAGGCCAGTACGCGAGGGGGGGACCAGGGTAGAAAAGGAGCGTATTGGTGATACATTGGTAGTTCACAATTATGGCGCCGGTGGGGCTGGATATCAGTCGTCATTCGGGTGTGCACAAACAGCTGTCGACCTGATCGAGGAAGCATTGGGCACGGGCGCGAAACTATAGTGTTGGAATGAAATATGTGAAGATGGCAGGTAGAAATCACAACCAGACACATACGGTGTTAGCAGGGCCATGTATGAATCTGTTAAACACGGCATAATAGAAATTGCATTGAAAATACACAATCGCTTTCTCTCGCACTATTTATGAAGCTGCCGAAATCAAGAAACATGTGCCACGCTCGTAGTAAGTATTTCCCAACCATCCTAATATAGGTCAGGTCGATTTAAGGGTTCATCATGCTGGTTCTATGCCCTCGTGTGTCCACTTATGGCAATCTGGTCGGTATAGCGTATTATCATACGGTAATTTTCGATCCTAAGCGAAGGAACTGTCATCAAGTCCCTTCATAATGTAGATAGGGCTGTTATTTTGCTACATATTCTGAAATTGATAGCGACTGCCGATGATATAGTATTCTCCGCAGCCAGATGACAAGATGGAATGATATCTTGCCAAAAGTAATTTCAGGTTTTTGGGCCACTTTGGAAAATGAAATTACGGGAAAGTAAATCAAATCTCTGGCAGCGTGTCTTAGGCTCATGTTTATAGTATGTTCGAATGTACTATTCTGTTAAAGCTCATTTAAAGTACTTGTAAAAGGCAGCTTATCCCATCCTTTACTCGATCAAAAGTACCAAAATACCAGGTGTTTGACGAGATAGGAAGCAGGATCAAGACTTTTACGGAGAGAAAGAAGAAGAAAAATCATTGACCAGAATTCAAACATCACGGTGTGTATTAGGAATGATGAAAACCCAATTTACTAAACATATAGTCTTCAAAGGATCATTTATGTTCGAATACATAAGTTATTGAGTGAAACTGAGACTCTGAGATTCTGACCGCATAAGCAGATAAATCTTCCATATTTTATATCATTTGTCCGCTCAGTGGTGTCACTCAAGGTCTGCTTGAATGGTCTAGCTGATTCCTTTCCTTAAGTGATCAAGGGCATGGTCGTCTCCCGAGAGACCAATAACGTCGCCAAGCTCACAATAGTCGGATTGCCAAAGACCGGGGGATGATTTCGGGAATTGTGAACGGAAGCCCAAAATACGTTGTGCTCTTGGAGATAATTCTTTGATGGTCTCCAGGCTGATGATGAAAGGATTTGCTTCTTCCGGTGTCAAATAGCTACACTGTAGTGTAAAGGCTAAGCCACGACGAAGCTCTTCCCTAGTTTTGTTCTCTCCGCCACCATGAACAGTCTTGCCGCTCATAAGAACAGCGTCACCGGCTTTCATAGTTGCAGGGATAGTTTGGCCGTGCGATCCCAGATCAGAATAGTTATCCCATAGATTGGAACCTGGAATAACTCTGGTCGCACCGTTTTCTTCCGTGAAATCCGTCAGAGCAATAAGGAAATTGATAGTCGCCTCTGGAGCCTTCGGGCCTAAGAGATTGAATACCGGATATTGGCCTTGGTCTCGATGAAGTACCTGAGCTTTGTTTCCAGGTCCAATTTGGATCACCTGAGCGGCACCCATCCAATATGTCCCGGAATCTTGGTGAAAGATTCTCTCAGCCACCGCGTGAACCAATTCGTTTTCAAGTACTTGGTGACGGAAGACCTTGCTATGGGTTGTAACATTTGTAAGGCGCTTTGTATTACTGCCGTGAAAATCTTGCACTGCGCCGACATTGTGTTTTGAACCCGCAGTTATGGCCTCCAATGGTTTGTCGAGTTCGAGGTTCAACTCCTTCACCTGCTCCTTAGACAAAAGACCTTCGATAATGAGTGCACCGGCATGATGTAGCTTTTGGACGACTTCTTGCGGATCATCGGTTGGCAATACACGAGGAACACTGGCTGGAGTCATAAAGGGCGATATTTGGTGATTCCGTTGAGTCGAACGAAATATTCACTTTGAAAATATGTTTGAATTCGATGATTGAACGACTTTTCGTGGCTTGTATTTGCCATTTATGTACAATGAAAACAATATCTTTAGCTTACATTCCACAAGCGAACAGCAGGCAACATTCCAGAATCCCGGATCGAGCAGCCAAGATGTTGGCTCTCTGCCTAGCTCGTTTGGACAGAATGGGTGGCATTTTCTATCCGACCGGCTATCATACGTTATCTAAGCGCTAACCACTCATAATTGATAATGGAAGGAACAAACATCCAATGGTACGGGTATTCTCCATCGCCTCTAAGACCCATGTATTTGTAACACCGGTTGGTGGCAACAAGCGGGACCCCATGTTTCCCACATACCAATGAACAATTAAACCAACAATAGTCTGGAAATCACAAAGTTTATGGTCAAGAGGTGTCCTGTCACTCACAGCCTGCACTCCAGTCTCCACTGTCGAACTTTATTTGCCTCAACGTAGTCATTCTCTGAATCTCCGGTTCTCCGCGGGTCCCGGCCGATCTACTGCGCAAGCTCCCTCCATTCTGGAGCGGGGTTCACCTGACTATATCAGCGCTAAACATTCAAAGTTTCCTTTATACGCGACTTCTCCGCTCGCCTTATCTAGTCGTCTGGAGATTCTCCCTATCTTCGCCTCGCAGGACTCCCCCTCCCCACCCACCTCCTTTCTGAAATCAACAATCGGCTATCCTAGTCATGTCGCATGAAGCTCGGCAAAACGCTGTCAACTATCCACGGCAAAGGGTACGACTTCCCTACCCACGTTCGAAATCCGGCTGCCTGGTTTGTCGGCGTCTGCACAAGAAATGTGATGAGCGTCGACCTATATGCACTCGCTGTTTGCTGAAGGGAAAGGCTTGTCAATGGCCACGTACTGGTCAGCGTGATCGTGATCCCGATCCCGATCCCAATGAAGATGATGTACCGTCTCTTCATGACACTACTCCTCCAGCTCAGGGTATTGCTGATAACTCTAATCCCTGCGGGAATGACTCATCATCTCCGGTTTCAATATTCGGTGGAAATTCCAGGTCTGGAGACAGAGGCCTTCGTCTTATCGAACCACCGAGTTGCTCTATGGGCAATGCGTCTTCCATGTTTCTTGCATACTTTGTTGCAGAGACCAGCAGATACTTGACTACCGTTAGCCCAGAGAAGAACCCATTCTTAACTCATCTGCTACCGCTGGCTTTCTCGGATGAGCTAATACTCCACTCACTGCTGGCTCTTGGAGGGACCCATTTAGAACGTAGACAAAGCTCCCCAGAAATCAGCACACGGGTTTGCCGACATTATGGGCACGTGATATACATGCTTCAAGAGGCCATTTCTCAAGAATCGATTGAGCCGCTAGAATTGGTTCGAATTCTTCTAGCTCAGCTAATCCTTTACTTAATCGGGGTATGTTCTTCCTATCCTGTATGACCAGTATTCCCCGGAATTCCTTGGTAGCCGTGGAGTTACACGTGGATACAGGATTCTCCTGAATGGGAGTTAATATATGTTCATATTTTGATGCGTGTTTTTGGTTCTGACTTTCTATTTCCTAGATTTTCGGTCCTGCTAAAGATGAAGGAGCAATGATGCATATTCGAGCAGGAAGAAAAATTGTCCGTCGGCTGCTAAGTGCTTCCTCAAAAACAAGTAGTGCGCGAGTACTATATGGCTTCACCTTCGAATTATACACCTACCTGGCCCTTGTAGCCAGTCCTACGCCTTATAACAATGGGACAGACTCCGAGCTAGATACTCGCAGCTCTATCCTGCTTCCCTGGAACACCCTGAAGAGCTACGGGAATTTTGGTGCCATTGTTTCCCCCATATACCAGTCTCTAGAGATCATCCCGCGGGTGATTTCCCTTTGCACGCGACGCCAAGCGGATATCATGTTTCAAGAGTGCTCGTCAGAGCATTGGGCGGAATTTGTTCAATTAATGAGTGCCATTGAGAGCATTGGATCTGCCGATGATTTAACAGAACCCGGAGCCAACCTTGAACAGCAAAAAAGTATCTGCGTTTCAACTATTTATCGTCACGCTCTGGCAATTTTTGCATACGACGCTATGTGGTGTGGTAATATTGTGGAAGATGAGGGCCGACTTTCAGTCGTTCGTGGGCATGCCCTGAGTGCGTTGATGCTTATGCCAACTGTGATGGACACGCAATTCAGGAACGTTCTCCTTTGGCCAACTATCGTGATCGGGTCATGTCTTCTCAATGAGACAGAGTGGGACCTGATTAGAAAAGGATTATCCATCAGCGAGCCGCTCTTCGTGGTAATGAAGATGAAGACAATGCTTGAGAATCTATGGGCTGAAAATGACCCTATATATTTCGGACCTTATGGCCTACACAAACATATGCTATCGCATCAGAGTGTGATTTATCTTGCATAATGTATAATTGCAATTTATTTACGTTTGGTCATGTTTTACGTTTTATCACATGCACGACGTAGTAAGAAATTGACATATAGGAAAGGAGTGAAGCCTTTGCTCGTGATTGAAAAATGGTCAAATGATATAATGTGTACAACAACTTGGAATGTATGCCAATGCACGCTATAAATTTAGTCTTATTTGTAGTAACGGGATGTACATGATCACTTCCTGTAGCTCCCAATTACCAGCATCATTGGACGCGAGTTTAAGACGATGGGCCGTGCCTTAGACCGCGAGGCGGCTCATAAAATGACCTCACCACCAGCCAATTTGCGAGAGAAATTATGATAACAATCCCGAGCACGACCGGTGCCCAGTTCATGGTCTCCAAGTCAACAGGTACATACTGGGGGAAACAAACAAACAAAGCACCTATCATCATCCAGCAGACCGCCAAAATATTTATAACCGGGCCCGCTCGTCCAAGGTTAAAATATCGGGTTGAAGGGATACTTTGACGATTAGCTAAAAGAAGACAAATCGGCATAGCATATGATATCGTAAAGCAAACCGCCGACGCTCCAAATAGACCATTCAGGGCAGTGGAAGGTGCAAAACAAAGAACAGTGAAGATGGCACATGCTATGCATGATGCAAAAACAGCGTTGAAAGGCGTGTGGAAACGATGATTAACTTCAGATAGCAGATTTCGCATCGGCAAGCCACCGGCTCTGGCAAAAGACCAGATTACCCTGCTGCAACCTGTGATAATGCTGACCAGGCCATTAAGGGTCATAATGCAGTATATGAGACATATGACAACCACGAATGCTGTCGATGGCAAAGCGTCCCAGCAAATTTGAATTATTGGCATGCCTGCCAATGGTTGAAGAAGATTCTCCGGATGAGTGGTGCAGAATATTAGGCAAATCACCATCAACAAACCACCCAATGTGGAAAGAATAGAATTGGCAATCATCACAATTGGTACTTGACGCTCGGGGTGAGGGAGCTCTTCTGCCATGTGGGCTGCTGTATCAAAAAGGCAGACGGTCATCATGCCAGGAAGAAGGCCAAGAAAGAAAACCAGCCCATCAGAGGACCACCCAGTTTCGTTGACAACGTCAAGAAATGCTGTCTTTGCAGATGCTTTTGGCTGTACGACAGCGAGCAAGCTGATGCAGATAAATAGTGCAGCCACGTTCAAAAAAACTACCATAAATATCGTTAGGCCTGGAAGGCATTTAATGAGCAGCGTGTTGAATAACATTGCCACTATTATGCTGGCAAGTGCTAGAAGAAATATCTCCCATGGGGTAGGCTTGTACGCGTCCGAGACCAACTGCCCAAGGCTAGCAAAAAAGTCTGCCACAAATACGGCGTTGCCAGATGCAGCGAAGGTCCATCCAAATGTGGTCATTGAACCATTGAAATAACTCAAAATGGGCGCATGTTGGCGGGGGCTTAGGGTGGCGGTCCAAAATATTTGCCCTACAGACAGGCATAAAGAAGATTAGTGAATCAGGCAAATAAGAATCTGAACTAGGCCTTACCAGAAGTATGCGGATAGGCACTCGCGAGTTCTGCCAAGCTTATAGCCACGAGTGTTTGGCCAATTGCTGCAACTAGGAATCCCCAGAAATAGAAAGCACTGCCTCCGACCCCGGTTATGAGTGTGGTATAGCTGGCAATTGCAAGTGGTGGTGCAATAACCGAAAATTGGATACCGATGGTGCTCCAAATATTAAACCGATTGCGATCAAGCTGTGTCGTCTCAAATATCTGACCCTCTTCCCTTGTCTCCATTGGCTGGAGAACTGGGTCAAGCGAGTACTTTGTGGCTGACATCCTAGGGTTACTCAATTATCTTCGTCGGATTTTTTTCGATTACAATGCTTCATTCAAGCTGCCGAAGTTCAGAATAATTCCATATGTGTCCAGTAAAGAAAATAGGAGCGTGTTATAGCGGTGATGGCATGGGATGCACTCTGTTGAGAATTGTACTCCGAACATGAATGATATCTCATGGCGAAATTGAGATCAAACATATATACCTCTTCCCAAACTCATCTCGGTTTAAGATAAGCTGGTTTTAATTTCGATGTACTGTGCCCCTCTTCTGAATATACAAGCAAATGGCTTATCTACGCGCCAGTGTACTCGATAATTCTAGCATTGGTTGGGCGATGTCGAGCGCCACCGGTAATCCCAAACTTTGTTCTCATTAGCCCTAGGTCATTTGCGGGCACCAATAGCAGCGTCGGGGAATGACTTCAGAGCGTAAATATAAAATATAAAGTTTCGTATTAGTATCCACCAGATGCTGGCCCAGGTTCCGTTCAGAGACCTCTCAATCCATCTTCGGGGGACTGAGGGGATGGATGTCCTTAGATTATAGACATGCAGACTTATTATTCTGACCCCTCAGAAAGGGCCGCCTCAGAAAGAATGTGTCTAAATTAGGAGTTCCTGTCTGTACAAGGGGCGCATCGTATTCTAACAGCTCAGTCATGAAGATTAGCATCTCGCAAAGTGTAGTTTTCGAACGCATTACTAAGTGTAGAAAATGAAGAGGAGAGAGCCAACAAAGAAAGAGCACCTCAATACACCTCAGCTGCAATGCCCAAGACATGGAACATGTAAGTAACATATTAACTGATTGCTTAAACATATTACCAAAGCATAACAAAAAGCCGGCAAGTTCTTGGTGGATAGATTATTACTTGGTTCTTTTGCCTTTTGGCCCTAGTCAGTAATTTATTTGCATACAGGCACTAGTACACCCTGAGAGATTCCAAGAGAGCTCCATTATCCGCGGTTACCAACTATATTCAGAACTTCCTTGTGGATATGTCAGCGCTCCGAGGACTCAGGCGTTAGAAAATATGAATGGTAGATTTTTTTTGCGCAAATTCATGAACAAACAGGGGCTCAGAAATCTCTTAACAGCCGACTGTGCAGAAACAGAATGCGCTCGCCCCTTTATTCCAAATATTATATAGCCCTCTATCCAAACAGGAGCATTTGTGAAAAATAGAGGTTTATGTATATCGACAGGTCCCCCATCGCCTGGTTTGATCGGTGAAAGGGTGCAGTTTCCCTATATTGGCGGAATCCCTCAAGCTAAATTTCGTAAGACCCGAAATGTAGATCTCTTTATATGAAAGATTTCCGGATGAAAAGTTAAAACACATACTTTGAAATGTCAGTAGATAGTTACAACTGTCATAATGAATCGGATGCTTACTGGGATGAACAGGTAGGGAACTTCATTCTCATAACGCTTCCAAGCATCGCCATATTTCCTTCGGCATCTTTTGATATCTCTCATCGTGCGGTGGGTGATCATAATCATGAAAAAAATGAAATAAAACCAGGGAAATGGACTCCTAATAGTTGACTGTTAATTGTGACAGTCCACGGCCTTGCAAAGTGGAAAAACTTACTTGAACCCGGTGATCAGACCCCAGGACATGGAAAAAAACATGTCAGGGACATAATTCGGCTTCCTGACTATTGCGAACCAGCCATCAACCATGATATTATCACCCGTATCAGTTTCGATTATTTTTGGATTCTCAATAGCCTGCCAGGGTACTTGGGGGAATGTCTTCCGCTTCAAGTTGGCAAACCGACCCTTTTCTGCATGACGAAACGCGTTCTTTTGACCATTTGCACTATCCCACACCCAGTAGAAGAAGATATAGACTGTAGCAAATATAGAAAGGAGATAAGGATTCCAATGGTATTCGGAAGGCTCATGGTTTGCCAGGTAAAGAGCGCAATGGCAATAGGTGAAAGGCACACCAGCCATATTCCAGAAAGTGAGTAGAAATCCTAGTTTTTCAAAGTACATATCCCTATCTTAGAGTAAGCTAACCTTGAACACAAAATTTTTCAAGGGATTCAGGTAATCCTACCAGCTCGTGATAATCATTTGCTCTCCTTTACCACAAGCATTGGCATATAAGAAATGCACACCAATCAAGAATAGTACCTCATTCGAGACGAAGCCGTATTTTTCATATTGAAGAGCGGCGACCGAGCAAGTGATAAGGAACAATATAAACCATGGAATTCTGACCTCGTAAAACATCTTGAAGTCCAGGATACCGATTCGAGGATTTAGCTCGGCACCTATGAAAAAATCATAGATAACTGAACCAGATAATCTGTGAGTCCGTCCACGTAATATAGCTTGGATGTAGACTATAACGCTATTCAGGAAGCCGGAAAAGATAGCGACACTCATAATAGATCCAAATTCGTCAACCAGAGTGTATAAGGGGAATATATGCGTAATATGCAAGACTGCAGCAATGGCTAGCGTCGCATAAAAACTGCAGTACGCGGAGCAGTAGTAGGGAAGACATTTACCCCCTTCGTGCTTCAATGGACGGCCAAAACTGGAGACTCCAGGCAAGTAGCAATACATAAAGGCTTCCATAATGAAGAATGTCCAGTAGATTGCCCATGCCTTCCCAGTTGGATACGCTCCCTCATAAACCAATTTGCATAGGAAAATGACAAAGTCAGCCCAGGTTTGGTTGGCAGTGGGAAGAGGAAGCATGCCATCATAGTAGGTTGCACCAATCCACATATACCACATCAAGAGAGGGAAACCTATCATCAACAGAGCAGCACCAAATGAACCCCCGAACTCGAATTCATCGGACGCGCCGTCTGCGAATTTGAGGGTGGCATATGCTTTTGATTCAATCGCTTTGGCCTCTTGACCAGGCATTTTAGCGGCAATGGAAGCTTTCCTCATCAGTGCCATGGCTGGTGATTGGCTTGGGGTCGAAAGAGAAGATTGGTTCAAAAGCTGTCTAACGATTTTTTGTCGTGCGTACAGCTTTTTAAAAGGGGCATGTGGCCATGGATGAATTGAGCTTGAATGCTGAATTACCACGCGCTAATGAGACAGGTCTTACCGTCCAGTCTCGGTTCCTATTAGCCCCATCCCAGAAAATACCAGTACCCTGCTCAGCTCCTAGTTTGACCGATCCAGAAGCTTACAGCCAATGAAGGACTGAACTGAGCATTAAGTTCAACCAAAAAATCATTAGGGATCCAAATAGCCCCACTACGCTTGCGTCTAGATCTGCCGGACGGCGGGAATTCTTTTGCCTTGAGATAAGACTAAGCGGTTAGATAAACGATGATAAGCGGCAACTTGAAGAGGCCCGTGTCACAGGTCCCACGGGTGAGTTGCGACTGACGCGTCGCCGGTCCTGGTGCTGATGACAAGTATTTGGCAATTCTTGCGAATGATGGATCGAAAACGAGGGGTGTCATTACCCTTCCATAACATTTAAACTCGAGAGACTAAGTTAGCCGTACACTCTGTCGGGATCTAAGTTCCTTCCAGCACTCGTTATAAATATCGTGTACAAAATCACCAAGAAAAAACCACAGCCATCATCAAATTTCACCATAGTAAATGAAATATTTGCAACAATGGCCATACTTCAACAGCTGAACTTATTGACCGCTCTCCCAGCAATTGTGGTCATTTATTTTTTCTATCAGGCTCTGTTGTCTATATTGCATAGCCAACGAGCACGGCGAATGGGCTGTAAGCCCGCTTTCATCCGACCGTATAAGCTTCCGTTCGGTATTGATATCTTGAAGCGTTATATTGATACAACGCGGGATCAGATCCTCCAAAATGATGAGTTGGTACTCTATCAGGAGCTAGGTTTACGCCCAACATGGAATGAGAATATCTTGGGTAATTGGCATCACGTCACAGCGGACCCGAAGAATGTCCAAGCCTTGCTTGCAACACAGTTCAAGGATTTTGAGCTTGGCCCTTTGCGGCATAACTTGTTCGGACCTGTTATTGGAAAAGGTATTTTTACCACTGACGGGAAAGAGTGGTACGTTGCAAATTCATACAGCCGATATTAGTAGGCATTAACATTGAAAATAGGCAACATTCTCGCGCCCTCCTTCGTCCACAATTTACTCGCGGACAAATTGCCGACTTGGAACTTGAGGAACGTCATGTCCAACATCTTCTGGATAGGCTCCCCGTTCAGTCCGATTCTTGGACAGACACTATTGATGTATCACCCTTGTTTTTCAACCTTACTCTCGACTCCGCCACCGAATTTCTCTTTGGACACAGTGTCAATTCTCAGATCCTTTCGTCAAAGTCAAATGAAGGTCTTGATCCTGGGACAGTCAACCCGGATTCTAAGCCTAATGGTTTGTCCTTTGGCAAATCCTTTGATCGAGCAAATGAGGTAGTTGTGTTACGAAGTTATTTGATGGATCTCTACTTTCTCTACTGTCCTGCCGAATTTCGAGAAGACTGTGCGAAAATTCAGGAATTTGCCCGGTATTATGTCAACCTCGCACTCGCAGGGGAACTTCAACCAGGGACGAAAGAAAACGTTCCAGGGAGTCCTACTGAAACTGGTTACGTATTTCTCCAGGAACTCGTCAAGGAGACAAAAGACCCCGAAATGCTTCGGAGCCAGCTTTTAAACATCCTGTTGGCAGGGAGAGACACAACCGCAGGTCTTCTAGGATGGACTTTCTATCTTCTATCTCGTCATCCTGAGGTTTACCAAAAGTTGCGTGCCGTCGTGATTGAAACATTTGGAGAGTTCTCCAATAACACTACCATCACTTTCGAGTCCCTCAAATCCTGTTCCTATCTTCAGCATGTTCTATCTGAAGTTTTGCGACTACACCCAGTCGTACCGGAGAATAGTCGCCGCGCGGTTCGAAACACTACACTCCCTCGAGGAGGTGGTGAAGATGGAACATCACCAATTTATATCCGAGCCGGAGAGGATGTAACATACAATGTGCACATCATGCACCGCCGTCAGGACATCTGGGGCGATGACGCCAATGAATTTCGGCCGGAAAGGTGGAACGGGCGCAGACCGGGATGGGAATTTATACCATTTAATGGCGGACCAAGAATTTGCCTGGGACAGCAGTTTGCTCTGACAGAGGCTGGTTATGTCGTTGTGCGGCTGCTTCAGCGTTTTGACAGAGTGGAAAATATGGACAAGTCGACTGTTGTAAAACATAAATACACGTCGACCACTGCTCCTGTTCAGGCTCTCTTGCGATTTCACAGTGCGTCTCAATAGATAGTTCTTAGCCTCGCGAGGATTCAATTCAATTGTCTTTTTTTTAGAAACCCATGGAGCTATATTGCGGGCTTTCAATAGATGATTGTGATTACTGAAACTACCTAAATCATAATATTTCCTCACCATGAGTCGCTCCAGTTACACACTTGGAAGTCGAGTCTGTGTACATTGAACGGCAAGTAGATTGCCTAACGCGCCCAATGTATCCATGCAAATGTTTTTACTTGATGAAATCCTTTTGAAGGATAATGAAGTGGTCAATACCCTGAAATTCACCATAGTAGTTTCTACTTTCATTTTGATAACGCAACAGGCTCGTGGACTACAGTTTAGTTTCAAGCATGTTACTTTTCAATATCCTTCAACGAAGATTGCTCGCAACCGTTATCGAAAGTGTATTCTACTTCTTAATATCGATCTAACCCACGAAAGGACCCATTTTATCATGCCAGCAGAAATTGTGTCTCGCGTAGTTCTTCAACAGCCTCGGTAAGTCCCTTTCTTTTCGGAGCCCGAGGACACCGAGTCTCTGGCTGCTACGAATTGCACAGAGCCTATGGCTCAACTATTGGTTAGATAAGAAAATCTGTTGAAGCGACAGAGTGATGTCCATTACCATTCTGTACGAAGTTCAAAAGTCCAGAGTTAGTTTGATCATCAAGCACATATTCAAAATATTCCATATGAGCAACGGAATGTCTCATCTCTTGAATACTTGTTTTCTAACTACATGCTAGTCCGGCGGGACTCTCTAAAGTATTCAGAGACTATTGAATGAGCTAAGCTGCGCTGACTAAATCATTGAAGCATGGTCAGTGTTTCCGTTCTAGGATAAAAAAAGCGCTATAGGGACTGCTTTGGTATAGCTTCACATTATTTTAACTGGCAGATTTGTGCATCAACAAATGAATTGATGTCGCTTTCAATCCTTGCTGTTTTCCTCCTTCCTAATGACCAATTACGGTGCCAACTTGGTCATATTATTGTCGGATTGCTTCAAACTTCCCATGGTTGATACAAGCGCTATCAAAGACCTTTACTGATTTTGACATGACCTGGAAGCCTTCTGTGGTAGGTAAAGATCTCGACTGTATAGTCGGATTACCAAGACCGGTAACTTTGGCTGGCGAGGTGGACAGGGTAGACAGCCGAGCAACGAATAACTTATTTGATTTAGTAAATTGTCCTCTAACCAGTGCAAACTCAAAATCAATTGGTACAAATGAGATGACAGTTGTCCTACTACATAACTTGAATATCTCATTCTAATCCATGCATTTGTCGGAAAGTCCTTCCCGGGGTTAACTGACTGGAAGAAGAAAGTCTATTCTGTTAGCGACTAGATAACGACTTGGTAACGCGGCCATTCCGCGGATACGATAAGACTTTTTTTTTTTAAAAAAAAAAAGAATAAATAGAAAAAAAAAGAAAAGAAAAGAAAAGCAGACTAGCTCCGGTACAGTAGGCTGTGCTTTTTAAATTCTGCTCCAATATCTATCTACTATCGGGTACCAGAAAGTGAAAACGGTCATCTACTTGCGAACAACCATTGTCGGCGCCGAAATGAATTCAAACGACGCTGAAGTTCTCCGAAACAAATTGAATAGACATGCCTCCAATGCAAAATCTAATAAGCGTCGGATAACGCGAGCTGGGGTTGCTTGCATCAATTGCCGGCGGAAAAAGATTCGTTGCAACGTACAAATATCGGAAGGCACATGCACAAACTGCAGCTTGGATGATATTACTTGCCAGACTCACCTCTATGGTTCTTTGATCGTGAAACCTGATAGCCAGGAAACAAGTGATTTATTATCATGTCCCCATCTCAACAGCTCACATGACATAACATGCAACGTGGGGGAAAAGGAGGAGTCTTCACTACATGGTGTGTCGATACCGTCGCCTCGCGACGTCGAAAATGGAGTCCAATTCCTTAATGCTCAATTTGATTCTTCCAAGCCTAATGGTCTGAGAAAATACCTAGTAGGATGCTTCCTGCAGTTCATCTATCCCACGTTTCCTGTCATAACCTTCTTTCAAATGGCCGGTATCGCGGGTGCGAACGAAGGAAACGTTCCATCTTGTGGTCAATTCGTTTTAAATGCTTTTCTAGCGACATCAATCAGATTTGGTGACAGGAAAGTCCTTGGTACTTACGGAATACATTCAAAGGAGCGAGCGTTTGATTTTTTCTACTCGAATGCAAAGGTTAGGGCTGATTCCCATACTTCAGCATCACAACTAATCAATGCACAGTCTCTTTTCCCTCCACAGATGAACGAAAGATCTTATGCGGCAATACAAGGACTACTTTTAATGGGTTATTGCGAGACGAATTCTTCACAAGACACCTTTTTCTGGTTAGGCATGGCACATGCTGTTGCCGTTTCACTCAGGTTAGACAACGAACCAGCCAACATCCCCCAGCCAGAGAGAGGCCTTCGAAAAAGGCTATGGTGGTGCCTCTTTAGCCAACTTACGCTGTTGGAATTCACGACAGGGAGCGCCCCATATATTCAGACGCAACATGCTACAGTCTGTGTCTTGAATTATGAAGATTTTGAAAGCACAATTCCCTGTGTGCTGTCAGAAGATGTGAGAAAATTTGCCAACCTTCATAATGGTCGTGGGCCTCTCGGTATCGGAAATCAGTTTTTAAATTTGTTGGACTTTTTTCAAGCACAGCAAGGGTTTTCAAGCGCCAAGTTTAGCAAAGATTTGGATATTAGGTGGGGAATCAAGGCACCTCCCCACAGGACTCACGGCGCGTGCAATCATAAGCAATCCGACAAAGACAGTCATTTAGCGGAGAGCCTCGAGGCAGAAACACAGAGTTGCACATTTTTACCGCCAGAAGATGATCCCGAAAATGCGGATCTGCTTTACGGCATGGAACAAAAGCTGTTTGACTCAATCTTTGCATCAGGGGAAAATATCTCAAAGAACGAAAGATTGGATTTATATCAGACTCAAGATTATTTTGGCGATAGCGGGCCAGCGAATGAGGTACTCTAGGTGAAATCCTTAGATGTTTTTACAGCCTGCAATATACGACGTACCTATATTATTCCAAGCTTGTCCTTCTCAAAAACAGGAGCTAGTTCAATAGTAATCTTTAGAAAATCGGAAAGTTGTCGCGCGACTGTGTGGGTAGCCAATGTAACATTAGCTAGTCTGTAATTTGCTTCAAGTTTGACAAATTAACTGGCGAAATAACTATATCAGTATCGCGCAATACGCGACTACATTCTCACTCCGACTCCTGGACTAGAGCGGCGATGAAACTATGTATTTCAAATGTATGGCGAGTTTTGAATAGGCGCTTAGACACGCTTCTACAATAGTGGAATTTCCAATAGACTTCTGCCCTTAACGGTCTAAGAAAAGCTGATATGCAGTTGAGCATTTGAAACCAATAGCAGGAAAGGAGCATTCAGTCGGAGCCCAAGCTCTCAGTCAGACGTCTTTTTTTTGAAGACCTCGGGAGCCATTCGATGGGTCTTTCTATATTGCAGATCGTGGCATAATATACACGCACTTGGCCTCTGCTTTGAGTAAACCATTTTTGTCCAGAACTCTTGCCTCAAGGAACCACTTTCTACCCTCCTTCCGTCTCACCCATGATGTAATCATAATGGCACTAGGGATGGGTACGGGTGAACGGTATGTCACTTGAAGTTCGCCCGTAAGCAAAGACGCCAGTTCCTCCGAAGCAAGCATCCGGTATGTCTCGACGCAAATCCCTAGTGTTTCATCTAGCAATGATGCCAGGAGGCCTCCGTGGGCGGTGTTGATAAAACCATTCACACCCGCTTCAAGCTGAAAAAATGCGACGAAATGTGGCTCATCTGGATACTTTAAAGGATCAAGACCCTCATTATCATAAGCTGGGCCTTGCAAAGAGACTGGTTTTCGCATAAAAGCTAGGACTCGTGGAATGGTGTCACATGTGTTGATAGTTTTGTTGAAGAACATGTCTGACAAGTCACCTTTATCGTATCGCGTAATGAAAGGGACAATCTGATATGGACTTGAGACCTTTAAATAAGGATGGACAAAAGGCATCTCGATGAAAAAGTCAACATCTTCCTGGGAGACCGGAAGGGATTTAATCAGGCTTCGAAAGCTATGGTTATACATCACGCTTCAATGATGTTTGATTGATGAAGTTCAAAAGGAAACCTGTAAGGGCAATTTTGAGGAACTAATATTCTTAGAAAATTCTTCCTTCAGAGCAGAGGGTAGATTATATGCCTCGGCTTTTCAAAGTTATTCGCCGAATAACCGTGATTCCGGTCCGAAGTCCCGGTAATGCTGTTCCACTCTGACTATCAAGTATATTTGTGGACGAAACAAGTCCAGACGTGTCTTAAGAGTATAAAAGCTAGTATGCCTTTGGACTCTGGCCGCCAAGTCAGAGCTAACTTTAACAAGTTCAATTTAATCCGTTAGAAAGCGTGACCTTTTTAGGTAGTGGCCCATCTATATAGTAGTATACGTAATAATATTAGTAAATAGGACTCGTATTAGTTTTACTACAAAGATACTTGACGATCTGCTTTTAAACTTGAATGTAACAGCTATTCTGTAGGCTATTGAGGTGGCACAGACATTATGGTCCAATTGAAGGGGTAATCAACAATTATAGACAAGCTTAGCTCGGGTGAGAAAAGAAAAGGCAATTATCCCTGTCAAACTTTACCTGCTTGCCGTTCCAGGATTAGAATATCATTCATGGTGCGCAGCTGGTAAACTTTTCTCAATAGAATTTAACCGCTATGGGGTGTCGGGATGGACATTTTTAGCGAGGTATAGGTGGCGAAATCATGTGAAACGAATCCATAGTACTGAAGTGGATCAAAATATTCCTGAAATCTGGCTCATGAAAATATGATGAACAATAGTGGTGACAATTTTGGTTGCTTTCTTCCTCGGGCCCCGCGGGCCGCGAGAAGTGCTCATGCCAAGCCGTTGAATCTGGGAGGCACGGTTTGGCCACATCTGATACGCGCTTATGCGCTTATCTACACGATTGTCAGAAATTGGATTGTATCGCCCGGACCGCATACTTCCCAGAAACCACTAGCACAAGCCTGGTAAGCCTTTGTACAGTAATTCAAAAGATGATAATTGCCAGTGGATTATCTGAAAAAACGGACCGAGGCTGCATATGAGATGAGAAGATCAAGTTGGTTTAAGTTTTCAACTTGAATCTGGGCATATAGCTTTTGGGAAATACTATTAGTAGTAAGTAATGATTCAAATGATGCGGGTTAGTTCCTGATCCGAACCAGTCTAATATCAAAAAATAATAAAAGTCTAGCTTAAAGCAGAAATTTCGACCCCTGCACGCTTGTGTATATCACAACTTGGAACCCACTTCATCTGCGGTGATTGCTCTCAAAGCGCAGTACATAGCTACAGAGTTACTTTATGAGTGTCGTATTAAAGTTAATTGCTTGGAACGCAAATACAAGGGACCCAATATCCCCCCAGAATCGCCACCCACACTACTGTCATCAAGTCAATCCAAAACTGGATGAGCGCCTGCCGGGCCTATGATACTCGCAAATGACTTAATAAAACCTCGCTTATGCAGTCAAGTGGTAGCATATTAGCCTCTGCGTAGTAAGTAAAACCATAGGATTTGAATCGACAATCACAATCCACCCGTTTGCAAATTAACCTTTTGCCATTTCTATGACCCAAAACTTTCCCCTATTTAGTAAAAGCCCAAAGATATCAAGAAGAATCTCCGCGGACTATAAGCCACAGCATCCCCAGGGCGAAGAAGATTAAGGCTATTGCCCACTGGCAAGAGACAAGCATTTGTTCAGGATGCGGCCTAGCCCGATGTCCAATGTCACTCGTCTTTTCCCCAGCAAGCTCAATACTACTTTTTGACACTAGAGTATTTGCAAGTTTCTCGATCTTATCAAGTCAGCATGTCTCAACTACCCATCGCTTCATTGTGACAGAACTTACCTCTTCACATTCCACCTTAATTCTCACATAGTTGGGATCCTCCTTGTCATTTTTCTGTTGGATTCGACGAACGTAATGACAGAAGATGTTTGCCACACCCTCAATGTCCCGACTAGAATGAATCATCAAATCCAACGCATCCCTCTTTGTGAGTTTGACGTTTTGTTGAAATATTGCCGGATTGTGGAAACATAACTCAAGTGTAGCCAAGGCCATTGTTTGAGGAATCGCGCAGAAATTGAACACACTCTGCTCATTCAAGCCCGCGAGATATGACAAGCAATCACGGCAATGTTCTATGGCATTCAGAACCATCTCGGAACTGCAATTAAGGGCACTTTTGAGAAACTTTGGGTCGAAGAGGTCTTCGAAATTGTCGATGTGTTTAGACCAGATTTCTCTGGGCCAGAACTGGCGATCGTCATCAAAATCCTCACGAACATCGCGAATGATGTTATTTTTTTGCAAGAGGAGACCCATTGATCTGTACAGGGGCTGGTTTATCAGATTTTTGTCGCCCATTCCCGCCTCAACAAAGAGATGAGTCAAGCCCTCGCCAACGATCCCGGCTACATGCCAGCAATAGAGATCATATTCTTCCACTGAAGTCACTTTTCCATACCCTAGAGCGGCCTTTCCTGCAAAATCAGCCATACCAGTACCCATTCTTTGAGTTATGTCTTTGATGATAGCTTGGTAGGTCTGTTCTAGCTTCCAGAACTCAGCGATGACATTGTGAAACTGCACCAGGAGCTCGCGATCCTTTTCTTCAGGTCGATTTCCCGTGAAATTCCAGTCATAATCGTCAAGATTGTCCTTGAAGCTTCGAAGGAGTGATTGTTTCACATCAAGAGGAATCGATGTGTCGTCTTCAATCGTATCGAGGCCACGCAATATCAGATAGAACACGCACACTGGCATGCGCAGCTCTCGGTGGAGCTCTTTGATAACGGGGCTGAAGCTGCGGCTTGTCTGGTCCAAGAATTCAAAACAGACCTTGGCTGTTGCAGACTGTTGCGACTCGTGCCTGGCGTGTAGAGAGAATTGTCGTAGTTTCCTATAATATTGATAAACGAACCATAATTACTTTATTTGTGGTCATCATGTGGAAACAATCGACACTTACCATTTAATTAGCATGCCCCACTGATTGGGATGGAGAGAAAAGTAGAGGCCATCCAAAGCGATGCCCATGATAGCCAGTGGGAGGACCAGATAGAACACGCTCAGACTGGGTAGGAGTATTGGGGGCGCGAAATTCGATAATATATTACTGCCGACAATAAAATAAAAAATGAGATCCAAGGTTCTGACCGGGATTTGATGGGCTTTCCTGGAGTGGCAGAGGCTGATTAACCGTCCACGGTTGGATCAGTGACCAGGAAGAACTTTATCCGGTTATTTGGTATAGGTTAGTTATATGGGACTCGCATCAATCCAAGAAACGCAAAATTTCTAGGCACACGCTAGATGCTGATGCCTGGTTTGTCTTGGAAGGTAGTTCGATTCTGCGACTGAAATGGCGCATACATTAGCGGCAGATGACCCTTAAGGGCCGGAACGATCATACAGGATGAATAGACTGCCCTTGGAACCGCTATAATGACAGAAAATGATAAGCAAGAGCTCTATTGTGTCTAAGAGAAAGGGGTGGAGACTACTAGTACTGCCTATCTAGCCGCCTACAAAGATGGTGGTGGAGCGGGAGACAGTGTAGAAAAATGCCGAGAACAAATCAAGGTGTACCATCATCAATCCAAGTTTAAAAATGAGAATATTTGCTTATCAACCTCGGGAGACTTCATCTATAGGCTATTGATGTAAATCACATTCTTCTATGCCAAATTTTGTGGTACATGTAAAGCATGCGCGGACCTAATCAGATGGTGGTTTTGCGTCATGCAAGATAAATCCGACTGACGTACTACTAGTAGTAATAGCATATCTTCCTGTAAATCATACTATTACGGTTCGAAATAACAGAACGTTATTGTCAGAGAGATGATGGAAATAAAAAATCTCGGAAGCCCCACAGTGGATACAGTCCCAGATTATTTGTCTGCCTATCTGCCTATCTAAGCGCCTAAACGACATCAATTACGAGGTTGATTGAGAGACATATCGTCCGTCGGTGCAGACAAGTGTGATATTGGTAAATTACCTCGGCAGTTTCAGGCTGTAGCATGAGTACAAATCGTGCCAGCGCTACATAAACGTCGAAGGAACCCCAACTCTAACCCTGACGCCCAAGGAACCGGCAAGGCCTACCTAGGTAAATTCCACATCAAGAATCTCATACACTACCACAGTGTGACACATCAGCCGCCATGGAAATCCCCTCAGTTCAGAAGTCAATAATCTACAATCAGCCTGGAACAATATCGACTCAAGTTGTCGAACTCCCAGTACCCGAACCAGGACCTGGCGACGTACTCATCCGGCTGTACGGTCAAGCTCCTCTCCTTTGAGTTGTGGGATACATCTAACGAGTAAATTCAGTACTCACTCCGGAGTGTGTCATTCTGATCTTGCCGTAATGACGAATTCTGTACGTTCGACACGGGTGATCCCCATTATATTGAATTCACTGGCGTGAATTTTCCCAATACGCTGTGGCTGTTGGCTCATATCTCTTATAGTGGAGCACGCTGCCCGCCCCAACGCCAGAGGGTCAAGTGGGTGGACATGAAGGGGTCGGTCATATTGTCAAACTTGGTCCAGGTGCTGACACAGCAGGTGTCAAAATCGGAGATCGTGTTGGAGTTAAGTGGGTGTCTAGCACTTGTGGCAACTGTGGTTCGTCTCTCGTTTCTTCTGATCGTTTGTTCATGTTTTGTTCCATTCTCCTGACGTTTGTAGAGCCATGTCAAGCCGGATCAGACGGTCTTTGTTTCAATCAAGAGATATCGGGCTACTTCACCCCAGGGACCTTCCAGCAATATGTGCTCAGTCCGGCACATTATGTATCGCCTATTCCCGATAGACTTGACTCTGCTGAAGCAGCGCCTATGCTTTGCGCAGGAACTACTATCCATGCCGCCCTTAAGCGCAGCAATGCTAGACCGGGACAATGGATAGTAATTGCTGGTGCTGGCGGCGGACTCGGGCATCTAGGAGTGCAGCTGGCTAGCCGGGGTATGGGTCTGCGAGTAATCGGTGTCGATCACCCCAGCAAGGCGGACATTGTCCTTTCATCGGGCGCAGAGCATTTTGTCGATATCACCCAGTTCTCTAAAAACGACCAAGGAGCAGCTATCTCTTCCCACATCATATCGCTGGCCGGCGGACTTGGTGCTCATGCTGTCATTGTCTGCACTGGTTCTGACCAAGCCTATGCCAATGCCCTGCGCTTTCTGCGTTTCAACGGCACGTTAGTGTGTGTAGGGATACCAGAGCACGGAACACAGTCTATCGAATCTGCCAGTCCCGGTACGATAATCGGAAAACAATATAACATAACTAGCTCGGCCGTTGGTAATCGCCAAGATGCCCTTGAAGTACTTGATTTCGCTGCTCGTGGAATCATTAAGGCACGCGTACGCATTGAAAGTATGGATTCACTGGCAACCGTCTTCCAAGAGATGAAAGAGGGGAAATTGCAAGGAAGAGTGGTGCTCGACTTACAATAGTAAGTATATATGAACACGTTCAGGCTCATCACTCGACCGGCTAAGAAATATGACTAAAGAACGGTATCCTATCAATAGGCTCAAAGTATCAGACTTTTCTGGTAAATAATGCAATTTGATTTCACCCTCCATAATTCGTTCCTCAATCTCAGTAAAATTTCTCATTTTAATAGTTAGGAGCTGCGTCTGGAATGTCCACACCCCTCGCGAGGTGACAGGATCGATGAGTTCAAAGGTGTGAGGATGCTCAGATACTCACAGATCAACGTACGGCGTAGCATACGATGCAATGAAGTAGTAGCGGTTCGAACGAAAGTAATAGCTTGTGGAGAAGAAGAAGAAGAAAGTTGAGATGAACTACTAGATACATGTAGGCATGGATGCCTAAGTGGATTCCGCAGGCGTAAGGCATCCACGAATGGTAACGGTATCAGAAAAGCATGAATTAGCGCACAAATACAACGTCGTTGACGCATCTTCGTACGTGGTACTGCAAAGATTACGCCAATATTCTGCCAGAGGCTCGCGTGAAGTCTCACAAGATGAGCCCCGGGTTCATACCCTAGTTATCAACGGCTGTGATTGGTTCAGTGCCAGCCCTTCGAGCCTTTCTAAACTCCTAGGGGAGAATTCAAAGGCCGCGAAGATATCGATGCGAGGTATATTGGCCTGGATAAAGCCTTCTGTCTGCTGTTGTAGGAAATTGGATGTTAGAGGTCAACATTTCAGATTTACGAGCCCTAGAGCGACGAGCAGTTGACTCATTGAAGAATAGAGATATTCACCATAATGAATTTAAATGTAAAACTAATTTTATCATATCTTGATTCCGAGTCCTCGCACGATTCAGCACAAGTAACATCGTCGAAAATAGATGACCCTCCCCACCCCCATCATAATGAGTATATGCACCAACCAAACACCATGACACCAATCCAAAGAACCCAAAAACAAATAATCAACAAACTCATTATTCTCTCAAGACAACAAACTTTTCAACATCCCTTCTTCAATCCCTCTCCCTCTCACGTCTCCTCTCAAACCTAGTACTACTAATCTCCCCAGTCTCCCTATCCTCCTTAATCCCCAAAGCCCTCCTCAACCTCTCACTCTCCTCAATCTTCGCCTCAGCAAGCTCATGAACCTGATAAGACTTAAGATTCCTTCTATCACGCGGTGGTCCCATTTTTCCTTTTCCGCCAGAACCGGCACGGCCACCAGAACCGCTAGCAGCGGACTCTTCCATCTCCTTCAAAAGTTTAGCGCGTAACTCTTCGCATCGCTGATCGATTTCTTCATCGGATAGAATCTTCCCCTGGCCCTGGCCCTCTTCTTCGGAATCTTGTTCTTCGCCTTCCTCCTTCTCCGCCTTCTTGGGATCCACCTTCTTCGACTTTGCCTGCTGTTTTTGCTTCTCCTGCTGCTCTTCCTGCTCTTCCTCCAATCTCTCCCGTTCCTCCATAACAAGAACCTCAATAGCCCTCAACCGATCATGTTCAAGAATCTTCTTATCAGGAACACGCTGCTTAAATCCTCCCGAGGTGTAATTGTTCGCTCCAGATAATGGTGGTGGGTAGGGCGCGCCGGCACCGGTGTTGCGGGGTTTCATGAATGCGGTGTTGCGTTGGACGTAGCCGGATGTTCCGCTACCACGTGGGGTTGTTAGGCCGACGTTTGAGGACATTTTGATGGTTTGGCTTAGGGATGTGTAAGGGTGAGGTTTGGTTTGGTTGTGCTTGGTCGTTGACACAAGCTTTTGGGTTTGGGTTTGGTTTTGGTTGGTTTCTGCGCGTGGTGTGGGTTTGTTTCTTCACGCTGGTGAGGAGAGAATTCCTTGGTCGGATCGGGGTTTTTCAGGTCAGGTCCGGCCTGCAGATGTAGCTTGAGGTGGTACGGTAACCGAGGTGGTGACTGAGGTGGAGTGATGTCCAAGTCCGAGGGAATCTTGAGTTGGCCGGGGCGGCTGGGAATTCAGGCGGGTCCGATCTTATCAGTCACGTGATTGCGACCCTACCGCAGAACTAAATTTATAGAGTATAGTTAGGGATATAACCTTCCATTTTTTGAAGTTTACATTTATTTCTTTTAGAATTTACAAAATTGTATATATTACTCATAATAAAGAGCAAGAAATTTGAATAAGAGCAGGTAGGTAAGAGTGTTATCCAGTAATACATTAGCCATAGAATGAAAGCGAAAATGAAAAAAAGTGTTATCAACATCAACATCAACATCGACATCGACATCGAAATCAACAGCAGAAGGAGAGGTTCATTGATTGAACCAAGTGACACTGTATACCGAAGCAAGCCCGCATCTGATATGATTCGAGGCATAAGGTTATCCTCCTATTCATAAAGATATAGGAGGAAGGATGGATGGAGGGGAGGAGGGAGAGCACAAAGGCCCTGTGTATAATTAAAGTAAGCAGCAGGGCAGAGCAGAGCAGAGCAGGCAAACAAACCTAGCTATCCACTTCCACTCGACTTAGAGTTGACAAGACGAGAAAAGAGGAGGATAGACAGAGAGACATCAGATAAAGAAACAGGTTATGAGATAATAGTAGAATAGATAGTAAGAAGACGAGGAAGAAGGGGGGGGGGGAACACTAGCACCACGCCATGCAAAAAAGTTGTCTCGCTCTCTCTCTCTCCCTCCCATATTTCCATTTCCATTTTGCCCAGATTTGGGAGGAATTTCTCTCATGTCATATGCCGGAGATTCAAGTTCAAGTTGCGAAGAATAGTAAAAAAGCGAAGTAATTGCCGTTCCATTTCCATTTCCATTTCTTTCTCTCTTTAGCGCTTTCTGTTCCCGGGCGCGTGAGGTTAGAATTAGGATAGGGGGAAATCCCCAACCTAACCTAGCTCCAGCAGGGAAGAAAAAAATAAATAAGACAAAAGCACAGAAGACATAGAAACACACCATACACAATCATAAGATAAGAACAAGAAAAAAATGAACAGGAAAAAAAAAGAGAACAACCCAGCACCATGACACGTCCGATCCGAGATGCACACTAGAGCGAGAGAAAGGAAATAGGAAACAGAAAAAAAAAATGATGAGATGGTAAGGGAAAAAAAAATAAGAGGCCCTGTCTTTGCGCCGTCAAGCCATGGAGAATAAAGTGGGGAAAACACATTGACGTTTTGAGTAACTTCATATATCCGGTCCGAATCCCCCTGTATGTATACGCCCATATTAGATAAAGAAGAGGCAAGAGAATGACTCGGTTTTTCAGATCAGCATTAGAAAACAGAATTATGTGGGCAAGCAAAGGCAAAGTAAGTGTGCAACGAATTAGTGAGCACTGGTGACATCGACCGGGACCGCAACACCGGTGTTGCCTGTCTCGGGACTGGAAACCGAAGTCACCGTGCTGTGAGCAAGACCCTTCGACTCAAGGGAGTCGTCGACAGTATTCTGATTGTCCGTCGGGGGTGGGGTGGGAGGGGCGGTGCCGACAAAGGCCCGCGGCTGCTCCATCGGCATTGAGCGCTTCGATGGCTGAGGGGAGGATTTGTGAGAGTTGGGGGGAGTTGTCGAGGTGGTGTGGGGGAGCGGGCCGGTTGCCGGGTTGTTAGGGTCGAAGATGAGCTTCTCAATCGCGACTATCTGCTTGCCATAGCTGAACTTCTTAAGTTGGCTCAGCAGGGGCTTGATCTGGTCGATGAGGGCCTCGCGTTCGGCGCCCTTGAGTTGACCAAGAACCTTCTGGATGACGTAGTTACCATATTGGTCACGCATCAAGCCAAGGAGAGGGCTTTCGCCATTGCGATTGGGGACGAGGTCAGCGTAGAAATGATGTGATGACGCTGGCTCTCCTCGCCAAACTCAATGCTCTTCTCGACGACGTTGCTAGCGAACTTGTGCTTGGAGTAAGCCATAAGCTGGCCCATGACAATGACAATAATGCGGGTGCGGTCCTTCTCATCACCATTCTCAATGACATGTTGGATGACATAGTTGCCGAACTGGTCCGGGATGAGGGCGGTTGTACAAGCGTGGAGTTCGCCGAGGATAGACTGTCGGTCAATTTCCTCGCAATGCTCCAGCATTCTCTGAATAACACGGCAGCCATAAGGGTGAGCCGCAAGTCGGTTCACTTGGCCGCGGAATGCATTGATGATGAACTGCACGTAGTGGGATGGGACACGCTCAATGGCTTTCTGGATAACGTGGTTGCCGTTTTGGTCGCGGACACACTTCAGAACATGGTTCTCAAGCTCCTTCACCATGGCCGCTTGTTGATCGGTAAGGATGTGTTCCAGTGCCTTTTGAACGACACGGCATCCATACATTTGAGTCGACAGGGCGAGAACATGGCCGCGCATTTGGTTGGCCAGGATCTTCTTCTGAGTCTGATTGCCGTGCTCGAAAAGCTTCTGGACCACGTAGTTACCAAACACATCAGTCATCAACTGCAAGCAATTGGGCTGGATCTCGCGGAAAACCTGCTCCTTCTCGTCGCTGTTGGCAGTTTCGAGCTTTTGCTGGATGAAGCGTGAACCGTGCTGGTCGCCACTGAACTCAACGACATGGTTGTAGATATCCTTCAGCTCATAGCGCTTGTTTCCCTTGCTGTTCGCGCGGAATTCTTCCAGCAACGGGCTACGAACCACCTGCGTGGGGTCGTGCTCTCGGTGCGAGCGGTTGGCCATAGCAGCAGCACCAAGACCGATGGAGGGCATGGTGTAGTAACCTTGGATGGCGTTGAGACGAGCCGCCTGGTATCCTTGGTAATCATACGACGGTGGCATCTGCATCCGCTGCATGCTATTGCCCTGGCTCTGCGCGATCTCTTCCTGCTGAAGTCGCAGGCGGCGCTCGAAGGCCGCGATTTGGCTTTCGCCCATGCGACCACCAGAGTTACGGTACTGAGCACCATCGACACCGGCGTAGATCGGGCTATCCATGCGAGCATAGTCCGAGGGAGAGATGGATCCAGTCTCCCCACCACGTGAGCGTTGGTAGATCATGTCTGGAGCACCATCGGTTCCATATCCTGCCATTGTGTGGAAGGCAGCGTCATCATTGTTCTGGAACTTGCGAGGGAGGGAACCATCGAAGGAAGCGTGGGGAATGTAAGCAGGGCGCTGGGCTGTACCCTGGGCAGCAAATCCTCCATCGTTCAGTTGAAGATTGTTCAAACCCGCGTTGAGATCCACCGAGCCACCACCATAGCGACCGTCGATGCTGTTGTTGTCAGAGTAGAAGGAAGGGCGGGCAGAGTGAACAGGTCGTTGCGAGGCGTAGGAAGCAGAGTTGGAAGAGATGTGAGAGAGTCCACTGCGTGTCTGTGGGGGAGACATGCTGTCGGGTAGACCAGAAAGAGAAGACATGTTCATGGGAGTAGCCAGGTCATCCTGGCGTTGACCATCCATCGGGTGGGAGTAACCAGCTTTGGTAGGGAAGGTGGCACCGACTGGACTTCCGCCCAGACCAGTTGAACTCATCTGTCGTCGACCATCACCATTTCGAAGAGCTGGAAACCCGCCGAATTGAAGACCATCTCCGGATGGAGAAACGTTCTCAGAGCCACCGTTGTTCAGATAAGGTCGATGGCTGACTGTGCCCGCAGAAGTTCCGATACCCGTGGTGCGCGGCAGCGCGAAATATGAGGAAGCCGAGTCGCCATTGTTGTTCAGGGCTGGTGCACTGCGGTCGTTCGAACGGGTCTCGATCGGAGAGGTCGCCATACTGCGGTTCTGACCCATCGCGAGGGATGAGGTATTCACGGTGCTCCATGGTAGGTTAGGGCGTCCGACCCAGCCATCAGATTCGGATGATGAGAGCAAGGAGCCAGAGCCAGACTTTCCTTCAAACGCGTTCTCGCTAATGTGTTGATCTGGATCGAGGGGGTCAGCATTGAGCTCCCATCCGCAAGGTCTGGATGTATTCCACCTACCATCTGCAAATCCACCTCCGAGGTTGGAGTCGCCCCAGATATTGTTCTGCCAGCTGGACTTGCCAGCGCCGAAACCCTTCCCCGCATTGTTGCCATGGGAGCCGCGTGCGCGGTCATTGTTCATCCCAGATGAATTCATGTTGGATCGGCCGGACCGTACCTGTGAGGTCTGCGTCAGTGGCGTGTCCGATTGAAGCTGCTCCTGCTCCTGCGCCTGCGCCTGCACCTGCGCTTGCTGTGGCACCTGCTCCCGACCTGTCCCACTCACGTTGTGTACGCTGCTTGCATTAGCAGCCATCGTAGAAGCCATTCCAGAAAGCGATCGACGGAGCGAGGGTGTTCAGATTATGTACTCGAACGGGTGGGCGAAAAAGGTAAAGGTATTTGCAGGGAGGTCGAGGTGTCGATACTAAAATCACAAGGCCGAACAACCGATTTGTCGGCCAGATATTTGCAACGGGCACCAGGCACCAGAAACGGGCGTACACGAAAGAATATAAGACTATCGATGACGACCCTTGTTAGTGAAGGAGCTGATAGGGCGAGGGCGAGGACGTTTGGAGCTACTCACCAAAGGAGGGGACACCGAAGGGATCGACCGAGAGAAACGACAGGAAGCGACAGTGCCTTTCTTCGATGGAGGTTCCCTGTGGGGGGAGAGGAAATGAAGGTCGATAGGGAGTGTGAAGATTGTTCTTTTTTTTCGCTTTCTTTCTTTTTCAGGAGCCACCGATCCAGGACATGTACAGATAATACAGGATCAGGGAATGGGGAAG